CTCGGACAAAGTTCTCAAAGGCATCGTGTGTTGCCAGACGAACACGGTGGCCGTGCCGCTGAAGCTCGTTTCCTAGGGCGATGAATGGCTGTACATCTCCTCGACTGCCCACGACTTGAATAACAATATTGAGCTTCGTCGCCCATGTCTTGCTTCTTGATTCGATTTCCGTATATTCTGGGGTCGGAGTTGCTGGTTGCTCGTACTTCTCCGGCGGTGTTTGGTAGAGGCGGCTTAGGGTACGGACGAACTTGGAATTGCAATCTATCTCGACACGAGCGTCGTCTATAATCACTATTAGCAGGCGTTGGCAGATTAGATGGAGAGACTACCTCGAATTTTGATGTCATTCTCGACAAAGCTGGCGAATGTGTATGATGATGAACTTTCTGACGGGAAGTCTCCGGGCATTTCTACAGCATGTGAAAGATCCCCGGTACTCCTTGTGTTTCTTAGGCTCTGATAAGCTGGTGTTGGGGTAGCCGGGCTAAGTGATGGAGACTCATCCCCCGCGAGCTCATAGCGAATGGTTTTCCGTTTGTTATCGGCCATTGGAGTTGATGCGCAATATCTTGTTCAAAGAGCATGTATTGAAGGAACAATCAAGACGATGATAAAAATAGTGGTAGCAAGCCCTCTGTGGACAGCGAGACGCCAAGTCAGACTATATAAACCACTTCCGTCTCTGTTTTTTCGGCGGGAGGTCGTGGTGCATGGCGTAGCTAATACCTATTATGCGTTAATTATGTGCTGGCTTGGACCCGGGTGCATTGCACCTCGTTTACGACTTAAACCATAATTAAGACAGTCTCAGGTGCACTGCCAGGTGAGTCAGAATATAATCCGCACGCCAAACTTGACTGACAGAAATATCTGGTGGTGAAGTTAGTCAAGAGTAACTGTAGGCTTTTTGTCAACTAGGTTTAATGTGTGGATTGTATTCTGAGCCCCCTGACTGCCAGCAATCGGGATAGGGGCTGTGGGACAAAGATTGCAATGTATGACGAATGTGTTAGAATTGGTTCATGGCTTGGATCCATAACTTAGACACTACCGGTACTAAAGTTATCTAGTTATTGTGGTCCTGCTAGTGGTTCGTATCTACGATTTAATTCTCGTTTAGCCTCGTTCTACTTCGTTCCTCGTTCTTGTCTTCTCCCTCGTTTATTATCCAGCCCTTTTCGAATCCATCCTAGGCCTACCCAGTCACACACTCCACGGTCCACTAATTACGGCAACTAAAGTGGTCAAGGTTAGTGAGAGAATCCGGTGGTTGTTGCAGTAAGTTGGATCTAGCACAATCGCATGCTTGCATGAAGGTAATAACTGCTGTTTCCCGACATCGCATAAATCCGCCACTTACATGCTATTCACTAACTTAGCCATCTATGGCCCACGAGGCTCACCGATACTAGTGCTTCCGCAGCGGCTATCCTCGTTTTCGTCTCGTTCTTCAAGTTGTTGACTGCCTTCTTCTCCGAAAGAACGCGTCATCTTTCAGGAGGAAAGAATTGAAACCAAGACAAAGAGACAGACGCCGCTAACTTATAAATATCTGACAATGTTTGTATAAGACAAAGTAGAAGAAGCACAGTAACACGCACCATCAGCAAATCTCGACACAGACGAAGAAACATGAGAATCACAACCATCATCACAGCGCTTGTCGCCTTTGCTGGAGCAGTCAGCATCCCCAGCACCGGCACCACCTCGTTGAGAGAAGAGGCGGCAAAGAATAACCTTCTCTTTGGGTCTGGGGCCATCAATCCATCCTATCTCAATGATCCTCAGTTTAGTGCCGTCCTTTCCAAGCAGTTCAACAGTCTCTCTCCTGAGAATGAACTGAAGTGGAACTTTGTCCATCCAGCCAAGGACCAATATAATTGGCATAAGCTCGACCGTCTTGTTAAATTCGCGGATGCCAATGATATGAAAGTCAAGGGCCATGGTCTTCTTTCGCCATGCTGTAACCCAGATTATCTCCTCAATACATCTTGCCCTGAAGCTCTCCGTGCTGAGATCACCACTCACTTTGAGGCTATTATGCATCGATACCGAGGCAAAATGGATCGCTGGGATGTTGTCTCCGAGGCCCTCAAGACCAACGGCAGTGGCTTGGCGCCAAACCACTTTTACGACACCCTGGGTCCCGCTTGGGTTGAGGACGCCTTTCGCATAGCCCGAGCAGCAGACCCAGACGCCAAGCTGTTTCTTAATGAGAATCTCGTCGAGGTGCAGCCAAAGAAGCGTCAAGAACTTTACGACATGGTTTCTAAACTTGTCCACAAAGGCGTCCCTATTGATGGCATTGCTCTGCAGATGCATATCACCCTCGAGCCCTTGGTACCTGGTGTTATTCGAGAAATGGTTGACTCTTACAAGGCGCTTGGGCTCCAGGTCAGCATTGCTGAAATGGATGTTCATACGTATAACGCAACCCAACAAGCCGAGATCTATGGCAACACTATCAAGGAAGCTCTGGGCGCAGGCATCACCGATATCAGTTTCTGGGGCTTCACGGACAAGCACTTGTACACATGGCTCCCGGGAGCCAAGCCGTTAATGTTCAACGAAACCTATTACCCTAAGAGCGCTTTCTATTCGACCCATAGTGCCCTCGCCGACTTTGCTTAAAGGTCATGACCAATTTCACGGATTTAACAAGCGCAACGAAACCCGTTGTCGCAAGGACTTGAATGGGGTCATGGTTGAATCAGCGATCAATGTTGAGATTACAGAGGAGAGTCTCGTTCATGCGAGATGGGGCTGATGTAAGAATGCAAACAGCTTTCGACAGGTCTGCGGGCTAAGTGAAGCTCGACAGCCAGGGAGGACTGCAAGGTGGCTCACAAGTTGAAAACATGTAATAAGAATTTAAGGCCCATTACTAGCAGTTAAAGTAGTATTATTAACATTTCTTAGCAACAACGTGGGTAGCCTGATCAAACTCGTAATGAAACTTCTTATTCAAGGCCCACTGGCCCTCAAACGCATAGGCATTCTGTTAAATATTTAGACAAGTGGACTTGGCCATTATAGAAACTCCCTATGGTGCAGAACAAAGCTACATACCAGATAAATTAGACGTTCCATACGCCCAGGGACCAATCGGGGCATGTCAAAGTATATTTAGAGTACAAGATGGGGACTGCTTCTCTAATACGTGTTGCCATGATGCCTTCTCATTTAGTCATTCCCCAAGGCTGACCAGCAAACTAATATCCACAGCATGCATACCTCATGGTTACTGATAACTTTACAGTGGCATTGATACCAGGCGGATTTAGATTAGGAACAGTGGGAATCTGGATAAGTCTTACAATTCATATTTTGAACTACAGGTGTTGCTAATTTCATACTCTTACTCTGGAAGCATTGCTGGAAACCATGAGGAACTGAACTTATTTACGATATTGCTGTTTTCACGAGAAAGAGCATACAGTCAGCCTAATCGGGACAGCATGGCAAACCTTGAGATAAAGCTTGATAAAATGTTAATATTAGTGGAGGCAAAAGTCTAAATCTTTCCGGACTTGTTGCCTAGAGCTCAGCCACCACAAGAACAGAAGCTACCTTATGTGTTTACGTCTTTGTTAGTAATTAAAGAAAAAATAGACATTGGGAGTAGAGGAAGCGTTCTTAGAAAATACATATTACTTTCAGCCTCTTTGCCACAATTAACTTACATAGCAAGACATTTCCTCTCTAGGACAAAAGAGCAACTCCAATTGTTATCACAGGATATGCTTTGCAGACTATAATAGAATCGCAACTTCAGCTTGTATATACCTGACTTTTATCTAGGCTGAAATATGACATTTTATCTGCAAGTTCATACCCTGCACCCTTACACGATTACACAATATAACTTTCATCTGAGCAAGATATATAGGTCTGACGTAGTTATAATTGCCAAGACTGGCATTTCAGCATTACGTTAAATGTAAGAGAAAGCTAAATAGAGATTTAATTCTTATTTCATAACAGGAGACTTTGCTGCAAAGGAAGCTGTATGCCACCGATGTAAATTTAAGGTTGTGAATAGTCGTGAATTGCCTCAGGCCTCTGTATCTGTATCCTATATATCTATATACTAACTATTTTAGAAAATTCCAGATAACCACATATTAAACTGGACGCCGAATTAACAATACTATCAACAGACTCTCGGAGCAGCTCTATACAATTCGCTTATCATGCCTCAGGTTCAATCTGCAAAAACCCGTTTACAGCTTCTAACCCACAAAAGCACCCTGGCTGCCTCACTTTCCCGCTCGCCTCATTTTATCTAATCTTTATCAATCAATCTGTCAACGTGAGTGACATCAACGGCTTCCCACAATGTTGATCACCTCCGACTGCCGGTCCATCTCCGAGCGTGAAAAGCTTGTTACGAGCATCTGATAAGATAGAATTTTACCCCGGTAGTGCTGACAGCTGATCACTCCGTTGATCTTTTCTCGTTCTAGCCCAACCCCGAGACAGGCTCAACGAGAAAACATCTCACTGTGTGTAAGGGCCAAGAAAAGAAACACTGTTAGAAATAAGCATAATTACATAAAAGCGCCACTTTACGCCAACCCCCACCTCCCAATTTGGTTCGCGTATTTCGGTGATTTTGTCCGCATCCGCTGCTAATGCAACACGCCCCTATGACAGCGTAAAGGAGAGTCACTGAGGCCCATAGCGGTTACTACTGTAGCGGATGAACTCCTTTTGTCCGAGCGTCCCGATATGCTGGGATTGATCAACTCGAAGCTGCGAGTTTGGCATGTGAGTCTCCATGCTTTGAGCCTCATCGGCAGTTCGTAGGGTAGTCAATAGAGTTCTCGGTAGTTTACCAAGAGTATGGTACGACCACGTGTGATGATGGAACGCAGAAACTTTTGTTCCTGATCATCTCGTCTGAGCGTCTGAGACAATGTTACACACAGCAGCGCAACCGTGACAGGATCATTTCTCGCGGATTCAATTAGTCATAGTCGCGTGATTATTCAGTTCGCCAAGTCATGTCATTCTAGAACTTCTAAATACAGTTATCACCACTGGAAACTTTCCTCAAAATACTCGATACGCGGTAGAGGCGGCACTGTCCTTGCCGCAACCACACCTCTGCTCTCATCAGCCATCTTGGCGGGACCGCTTGTGACCACTGCGATGATTCCTTTGTCTCCATCTTCCAATGCACTGTCGACGATTTGGTAGACATTCAGTCGCTTAGACCTCCACTTCACGAGTCTGTAGATGGTCTCATCACATGCTCTTCTGTAATCAATATCGCCACCAGTCAGGTAGATGTTAATCTCTACCCGATCATTACCGAGTATATCACTCAGTTCATGATTCAGAACATCAACAGCCAGAGCCGGCTGTCGCACAGCCCAGTGGATTTCGATCTGTGTCGGCCTTTTTGAGAATGTCGTGAGCTTCCCGAGGTAGGACAGCGGAACCGCTATTCCGCTTCCACCGACAATGAAGAGAACTTTTGTGAAGCATTCAAGAGGTAGAGTCTTTCCATATGGGCCGTCAATAGCCATGCGTACTGTAGCCGGCTTCGGTCGCTCTTCTTCGGCATACTCCTTCAATCGGGAAGTGAAGCTATCATATGGCCGGATCAAGAAGGTCATTTCTCGGTGGGACTTTTCCGATGTAGATCTCAGTTCATCGGAGGAGGATCCATAGTTCAGCAAAGGCGCGTCTTCTTCCAAGGTGCCTGTAGCGCATCGACCAGATCCAGATATTGTTGCTACTGTGAAAGGATGGCTCTCCCAAAAGTTCCACTTGTTAAGCACCATGAGATAGTAGAATGTCCCTGGCTCGATTCTATAGAGACTTGATGAAGTTGGAACAGTAACGCGGATCATGTGTGCATCTTCGTTGTAGGCAATGAGAGCCTGGGTCTCCCAGAATTTCGGATTGAAGGCCATGATCCGCAATCCGCGAATAACGCGATCGAGCAGCCAGATCAGTGCTGGAACCCACACAAGAAGATCGTAGGCACCACTAAATATTGACACATGCCTGGTATTTCGTTAGCCGACTGTCTAGCTTGGATTCATGTTATTGGGCGTACCCGAGCATGGTAATGAGGATCCAGAATGACAGGATGATATGTGTGATGAGGAAGAACTCATAATTCCCACGTCTTGCCCAGAATACCGATAAACCCACAAGCAGACAGATGAATATCGTGGCCTATATAGTGGTTAGTCACCGGCAGTGTCGTGTACTTTGACTACTCACTAGCTCCCCAGTCCACCAAAAGGTAAATGTCCATATTTGACAGAAGTACTTCCAACCGCCACCTACAAAAGTCAACAAACATAGCTATGAATCTGATCCAAGGTCTTACGTTGTAGAATTATAATGGTATATCCGATTGAATGAATCACGGCTTGTAAAGTCGCGATCCGACCAACCCATCGATGGAAGTTGTTGTAAGTCTTGAAGTCCCAGCCTGTTAACCAGATGACGATGTTATTTCTCATCCCAAAGAGCCATATCAGCGGAAAGTTGGCAAATGAGAGTATTCCCGTTCGGTCAGATACGTGTCGCAGCACTTGCGTCCAGACGGAAGGGTAGCTGGGCACTCATATGTCAGCGTGCCTAATGAATTTTAGCATTTGGGGGACTCACTAGCCGTAACCTTCGAACATCTCGTATCCGTGTATACTGCATGCTATATTGACAATGACAAAAAGAATGAGAGTCAAAGTCTGCATCCTTGGAGGCAAGGTACCCCAGCCCCCATAGTCCTGTACGCAGCGTCTGCCAAATGTCGCAGGTAGAAGAATATTGCGTCCGAGCCACGACCTTGTTCGGCCTTGACGGGAGAGGGACTGCCCTAGAGCCCGGTTCGCGATGCCAACTGCGACGACCAAGCCCCAGAATATTCCCATTACCCACCCGTAATAGTAGTGATAGTCCCATATGTAATCGTGCGCCTCCTATTGGAACCCGTTTAACAAACAACAACGATCCGATTTGGGATGGTATACTGACCAGCGTTCTGACCCAAAGATCGTAGTAGGATTGCGATGGGAGCATTAATTCTCCATACACGTGGGAACGGTCTGGCCTTGTGGCATTGAATCTTGTGATGGCTTCGATGTCATGATTTGTGAGGTTATTAATGATATTGTGTGGCGGAAGATGAGAACCACTAATATCGTAACATGTCAGGTTCATTGAGGCTGACTCTGCCTGCCAAACATTCTCAGCGCAATGTATTTCCCAGCAAAGATGAAGCGACTTCTGGTAAATGAGGCTCGTGCATTCCTGTACCGTGAAGAACACGCCTGGAGGGGCATCGGCAAATCGGAGAGTTCGAAATGTTTGTCGGCAGGCTTTCCCGCAATGATCTGGGGTAGCCAAAACCCCACCATGGCCGAGGAAGCTGGCAGCGAGAAGACGTACTGCGTTGCGTCCCCAGCACCGCATCTTGGGCTTTGATGGGAAGTTTGAAGGTTTCAGAGATCATGATAGTCACAATGACCAAATCGTTATCAGATGATCAGATAATCAGCTCAGTGGGTCGGTATCACGGGTTTATCAGTTATTCCGAGAGTCTTGGACTTAGTGGACGAAAAACAGCTGATCAACTCTTGGCACCACCGGATGAGATGAGATCTTGTCGCGTGCTGACTCAATGGACGCATTAAGCGCTACAAATATAAGTCCAAAAGATAAAAGATTCATGAAATTAAGTCACATCAATTGGCAACATTGAAGATATATGCAAATGGTTTGAACTTGACTCCAAACTCACATAGTGTGAGCTGTCGTGATTGTATTAAGGCAGTTGTAGCTACGGTTCGGGGTAATAATATGGTGGTAAGTGAGTGTCGGAGACTGGCGACCGAGAATGCCCCAGTGGCTGTATCATCCCATGATCCGAAGAGTTCCCTTCCGGACTCTCATGAAGGCCTTACACTCACAAATTGGCATTATCTACTTTCGGTACAGAGCAGCCAGCTTCTGCATGAATGTTGCAGGCTCTTGCTGAGTCGCGTTTGCGTCTCTCGGTCCATTCTGGTTTGGGACGTCGACAACCTCACCATCAAGGCCCTTGTTATTGACAGCGTTCTGCTGCTTGCCAAGATAGAAGTTGGGCATGAAGAGAGAGGCGATGAGAGGAACGCAGGACAAGCAGATGGAAGCAATGGTAATATGACCGTTGACAATGGCGTAGGCGCGGATAGAGCCTTGACGGATGGGATCGAAGAAGTCATACTTCTTGAGAGTCTTGATGTTACCGTAGATGGTGGCGATGGTGGTGTCGTCAATATTGGGCATCTCAACGTGCATTTGAGCAACCATCTCTTCAGTCCAGATGCTTGTCGCAACAGCACTACCAACACTAGATCCAAGAGTAGACCACAAAGTGATGATGGAGATGAGAGAAGCAATATCGTCGTGGGGAACAGAGGCCTGGACACCAACTCGGGCACCAACAACGTTGAGCGAAGAGAGACAGAAGATGAGCTGAGCTGCGACGAGACGAGCAGTATCCTGAGTCATCATCCCGTTGGGGCTAATGAGAAGACCATAGCCAAGAATCCTGGCAGCAGCACCAAAGATCATGAGACCCTTGTAGCGATGGGAGACACGATGGATCAAACCAACGATAGGTCCGACCAAGCAGAGACCCATGGTAGTGATACCAAGGAAGATGGTCCATTGGTATGTAGTCCACTCCTTGATGATGAGGATGTAGGACGAGAAGTAGGTGTTGCGAACAGAAGAGGCCATCTGGTTGAAGATGTGAATGATGACACCAGCGACAAATGCACGGTTCTTGACAATACGCTTGGTCATCATTGGCTTGGGGGCGAGATACATCTCAAACAAACCGAACAAGATGAGCACAACGAAGCCAACGACGATCATAGCGATCATGCTGGGGTTGTTCCATCCGCCCTTTGCGCTCTTGGCCAGGGTGATGGGCAGAAGGATGAGGGAGAAAGCAAAGCCAAGCAGAATGAGACCAATGATGTCAATGTCAATCAGACCTCGGTATGCAAGCTTAGCCCAGTAAGTGAGATTCTTGGGTGTAGCCTCAGTGCGACCCATTCGAACATCCTTGGAGTCGGCCATGGTGACCATCCCGGCCTTCTCACCACGTCGCTGCATGGTATAGAGGGTGAGAATGGCAGGGACGAGAAGGGCGGGAACGAGGATGGCGAACATGCCGAGACCCCATCGCCAATCTTCATAGAAGCCATCAGCGATGAAACCGTTGACAGGCACAGTGACGATGAAGGGCAGAGAAAGACAAGCGCTGAAGAAGCCTCGCCATTCGAGAGGAGTCAAGTCTGCGACGATAATGTCGCTAAGAAGATCAAGACCAGACTTGCCGACCGAGGTGAAGCAGATACCAACAGTGTAGGCAGTGAAGCCCGAGGCGCTAGCAGCGACAGCAAAGCCGACAGCGTAGAAGACGAGCACCACGACGTAAGTTGTAGGCCGAGAAGTAATATCAGCAAGCTTTCCAATGAAAGGCTTGCTAATAGCACGAATGATCTGACCAGCCGTATTGACAGTACCAAGCTGACTATGAACACCAAAAGTCGAAGCCGCAAGCGTTCCAAAGATTGTGGTCGTGATACCCATGTCAAGAGCGTAGGCGAACATGGTAAGACCAATAGAGATACCGAGAAGCCAGAGAAGGATCTTGCCCTTCTTGCCAGACTGATAGAGGACCTTGTTGAAGGCCTCGACCCTTCCTACACCGATTTCCTTATGGCTATCATCGTCGGAGACGGGCGAGTTGGACGCGTCGTAGTCTTTTTTCTCGTTGAGTTCGAACATTTGCGACGTGTTTTGGGCGGGGGGCTCAGTGCTGCCCTCGGGGTGTTTAGGCGCTGACATTTTGGACGGATGAATGAGCTGTAGATCGCTCCAAGACGGTAGATCAACGTAGCATTAAAAGAAGGGAAGAAGAACCGAATAAAACGAGAAGAAGAAAGGGAAAAGTCTTCAATCTGCAGCGGTAGTGCCGACTCGCCTGACTTTTTTTTTACAGCAGCTTCCAAAAACTGCTGGTCGCCCCCATTTGCAGAGAGAAAAAGACAGAACCAACAGACAGTGTGCAAGGTACAGATTACAGGACCCCTCGGTCGCCGGTCCTCGGCTCGGTAGGATATGCCTACAACGGACTGCAGTAGTGCTGATGCTACGGCCTGGGTGGAGTCAGCCAAGGCGTGGGAGGACCAGAAACAGGTGAGTCTTTTTTGGTTTGTCCGGCTTGTCTAAAAATTATCAGATCTTTTTCATATCCACTTGCGTTGGTTGATAGCCAAGATTATCAACTGGTCGTCCATCTAATCAGATGGTAGCGTGCAGTAGGGATCGGCCGTAGTGTGGGACGGGATGAAGATCTCTGCCTTGTCTAGCTAAGAGCACAGTGTATCACATATTTATACAAACAGTAGAATATCCCTGGCTTCATGCAGTTGCTGGCATGTCTCTGATGCAGCTGTAACCATGGATCAAGATTCCAAGAAGAGGGAACTCGCCGACGCTTCACATGCGTTGGTTGGTTCATGGAAGAGGCAAAGTTTTCTTGACAAATCAGGGGTTTTATCAATCACAAGCTAAGATTATGAGAGTGTTACCAGCGTGGCCAATTGCTTGTCCATCATGAAGATCTCTTTGGTCCGTTCCATTCCGATGTGACAGGCTTGAACTCAATGAGAAGCTATACCGTTCATGTTGTCGGCTCCTGACGCTTTACCTAGAAATTCTAATGCATTAACTTTACCTAGATTGAGGCCCTTTACCTGGTTCAATACCGAGGACTTGGCAGCGGTGATGTACCAGGGTTTGCAAAAATAACATCTACGTCGTTCATGTAACATTGGTACGCAGTATGTCCTTGATCATTCGTCTTGGCAATTGCAGATCGTTCACTTATCAATCTGGCACACGTAAGCAAGCTTTTCATCGCATCAGACGATCTTATCAATCTTTGGCACCCCGTTGTCGCAGTGGCAATCCTCCAGTGACTTGAATTTACTGGTCGCGTGACCGAAACTATGAATGAAGCATTGAATTAAGTAAATTTAGGTAGAAGATCTATGGGCTCGAACTGAAATATTTGCTTGCGAAGGCTGTGACTAAATGGAAATCTTTGCTGCATCGCACAAAGATCTAAACACGCTGCCTGGTCTGGCATACAATTCCGAAATAGTGTCAAACTCAACTACTCTGCCGCTATCCATCACGACCACCTTATCACACGTAGCAACAATCGTATCCAGTCGATGAGCCACAGTAAGAACAGTTGCATCCCCAACGACCTCGTTCAGCATGGCTTGAAGCTTCGCGTCTGCTCTGCCATCAATAGAAGCCGTTGCCTCGTCCAGAATCACAATCTTGGACTTCCGAACGAGCGCTCTTGCAATAGATATGAGAGACCTTTGTCCTTGGGAGATGTTGGAGCCGTTCTCTTTGACTTCTGAGTCTAAGTTCAGACTTGATCCCTCACTGCCGGACTCGGACTCGTGCTTCTCATTTTCCCCAGTTTCTTTATCTTGTTCTTTCGAGGATTGGCAGAGCCCCACGCGGTCCAGGCATTGTTGCAGCCACTCGTCTTCGTATTGTTGAAAAGGATCGAGGTTGTAGCGGATGGTACCAGCTAGAAGAACAGCATCTTGGCTGATGACGGAGAGGCTTGATCGGAGGAGGTGAAGGCCAACCGTGTGAATGTCGACTCCATCGATGAGGATTCGGCCACTCGTAGGTTCGGTGATTCGTAGCAATGCAGATATTACTATTTGAATGTTAGTGCGCGGTCGACTGAAAAGGACTTCGCTGAATACTTACAGGTAGTCTTGCCAGCACCAGTACGGCCGACAATGCCGACCTTTTCACCAGCCTTGATATCCAGGTTGACATCCTTCAGTGCAGGCTCAAGTCCAGGACGATGGCTGAGGGTGAAAGACTGAAACTGAACATGACCAGCATGCGGCCATTGGCGGGACTTAAGTTCCTTGTCAACGTTGTCGATCTGATGCGCAGGCTCTTGCTCGATGTTGTAGGCGTAATGAAGCATCCTCTCCACCGAGTTCATATTGTTCTCGATCTCGGCGCTTTGGCGAATCATGTTACCAAATACAGCCTGAGCCGTGACTATGTAGGACAAGACTACACCGCCAGACGAAGGATCAATGGTACCGCGGAGTCCAACAACCAGTAAACCTGCAGCCAAGACAAGAGTCGCACCACAAAGGTCTAGACGAAGGTTCAGCCAGCGCTGACAAGAGACCGATAACCAGTAAGCCGTGTTCTCCGTGTCGATCTTGCGCGCGTTATCATGGACAAAACGAGGGACTGCACCAAAGGCCTTGAGAGTGGGAAGACCTGAGAGTGACTCTCCGAAATGCTCATAGATGCGACTTCGAAGCAGGTTATTAAGTCGACGAAGTTCTCGTGAAGATGGGCGGTAGTACATGCCCGTCCAGGTATAGATGAGCAGCAGAACGGCTGCGATTGCTAGAAAAGCTGGTACAATGATGCTGACGACGATGATTGTTCCCAAGACCTGGACAAAGGTCGAGATGAAGAGTCGCAGAGTTTCACCAACCACGTTGTCCACTGCATCAACATCCTTGCTGAACCGATGTGTGATACGACCTTGAGGTGTTGTATCGAAGAAAGCTACAGGCGCAAGAAGAACCTTGGACATTGATGCATGGTGAAGCTTGTTAGAGCACCAGAAGCAAAACAGAGCAAAGGTGGCACTCATGCAGAACAGACCAAGAGACTGCCCAGCTCCAAAAGCGGCGTATCCTCCCATGTATGCATCCTCGGATATGGTGGTGTATTGGTTCTTCTGCCACCAGCTAAGCCAGAGCGGTGAGACGACGCTGGTTCCTTGGTAGATCGAAATGGAGAGAATAAGAAGAGGGACTGTGAGCCAGGCGTTGCCGAATTGTGCGTAGCGGATGTATGTTCGGCCACTGACTGAGCCGACGACTCTTTCTTCAGTCTGCATCACCTCTTTGCCGCGAGTCTGGGTTGCCTGCTTGTCCTTAGGATCAGACTTGGCTGCATCAGCCGGTAAGTCCTTGGTGCTGGATTCTTCAGGTACAGCCTTCTCAGAATCACCACTCCCTGCTGTTTCGGAGTCTGAGTCCGAGTCCAAGACCAGCGTTGAGGACCCTGCGAACTGGGAAAAGGCTCCGTTCCGACCAGACAACTGCTCAAATGAGCCCTGCTCGGCGATGCGACCCTTTTCCATGTAGACGATATGATCAGCCTGTCTAGCGAACGGAATAGAGTGTGTAACCAGCACAATGGTGCCCTCGTTATTGCGACGTGCCTGATTGACGACCATGTCGAAAACACGAGCACCAACGTGAGCGTCCAGAGCGGAGAAACAGTCGTCAAGGAAGAGGAGTGGACTTCTGCCATAGATAGCTCTCGCAAGACTGATGCGTTGCTTCTGACCGCCGGAGAGCGAAACACCATTCTCTCCGACGACGGTCATGTCACCGTCGGGCAAAGCCTTCATGTCTTGATGAAGACAGCAGCGTGTGAGAACCTCATCATACCACGCGAGATCGAGAGGTCTACCGAAGATGATGTTCTCTCGCACCGTTTCACTGAGAAGCCATGCAGTTTGTGGAGCTAGGGCAATCTGAGAGGAGGAAGTCGTTAGGCTGAGCTGATAGGAGCGTGCTTGAATGAGATGCATGTCTCCGAGGAGTGCCTTCAAGACCGAGGTCTTGCCTGATGCAACCGCTCCAACGATGCAGACCAACTGATTGCGTTTCACCAGCAACGAGTTGAGCCACAGTCTCTGGCTCTGACTAGTCGCTTTGCTCTCTGACTGTTCCTGTAGGGCATCCCTCTCATCTTCTGCTGCCAGAAGCTGCGCGTCATCGTGATAAGCAAAAGTGGCGTCCTCTACCTGGATCACGATATCAGACGCTTGCTTTTCCTCTGCAGAGTAGCCAAAGTTGGTTTGAGGACTGGATGAAGGGGAAGTTGGGTCCACGTCAGAAGCGAGCATAAACAACGCCAGTCGCTCCAGTGCAGCCCGAGCATCTGCAATAGCCGACAGAGCTGTTGGAAGAGCTTGTAGAGGCGTTCTCAACAACATGAACAGTGCAAGCGCGGAAAAGACAACGCCTGCGTCCATGCCATTCTTACTGGTCGCTCCATAGCAAACAATGCTGACGACCGAGGCAAGAGTCGGTGCCGTGTAAGAGACCGCAGTGTTGAGAGCCCTGAGAAGCATTCTCTTGCGAATATACACGACTTCGTCAGACCTCAACTTTCCAATCTTAGAAAGTAAGCTCTCCTCGTAAGCGTTCGTCTTGACGAGGCGAATAGCGGCAACGGCTTCAACAACAGCTTTGACTCTGGCGTCAGTGAAAGGCATGCTGCCCCGTCGCAGTCGAAGTAAGCGGCCCATCATAAAAGACTGAAGAGGGTACAATAACGCAAGCAGACCGAATCCCGGCAGAGCGCTGTACCCCATTGTCCACACGGTCAAAGCGAAGCATAGCAGCATCTGGAAGATACTTGTCCATGCGACGTGGAAGTAGCCACAGCAAAAGTCAACTCGTGTCACATCAGCACTGATGAGACTCATGAGCTTTCCAGTACCGAGACCATGTTTGAGCTTGGCCTTTTCGCTGAGTTGTGTCGTGGCTCTTCGATAAATGACGTGCATCAACGCACCACGGAGCAAGACACCGGTCGTGTAAGAGCGATAGAAGCCATGAACATTTGAGGTGACTGAGAAGACTAGAAGCAGGAAGAGTCCGACGACGTAGCCAAAGCCTGAACGAAGACCTTGTTGCGATGAGTCGGATAATGTGGCGATAAGGAATCTGATGAGAAGAGGCGATAGAATTTGCGACAAGTCTCCAGCTAACTTGAAGACTCCGCCAAGCCAGAACCATTTGAAGCATACATCATTGAGAGCCAAGGTCAAGACAGTTGTATCAGTTGTATGTCTTGCCCAGAATGGTCTCCATGAGAACGGGTTTGATGAAATAACAGGCTTTCGTCCTCGATTTGTAGCAAGTCTTGCAGCCCATGCTTCTTCGAGGCGATTTGCATGGTCTTCTGCCAACCTGTTGCTGGGCATGTCATACAGATCATCTGCTTGAAGAGGTCTTGTATAGCCCGTTCGCAAAAGGCGACCTAGCCAATTGAAGGTCAAAATTGACAGCCAATTTGCCTGAAGCTCGGGTAGAGGAAGCTTGTCTTCATTTTGATGCTCGACATTGCCTGGTGTAGGGGACTTTGGCGCTGTAAGTCTCTGCTGGATTGGCTTGGCTGATAGGAACGGTACTCTTCTGTGCCACTTCCTTGGGGGGAAGCTCTTCCCATCGTTGCTTGCCATGGTGGTTGAAGCCAAACTTGCTTCTCGCGAACAAGTCTCACTCGGCAAAGGGCACGTCGATAGCTCTGTCACCAAGGTCCAGGCGGGCCAAGAGCCAGTGTCCGCTTCATGCCTGTAGGTCCGTATTCGGAGGGATCTCCCAGAACAGGATGCAAAAACTGTGTGGATACTCCGTTCAGTAGGGTGTGCAGATCAGCAATAATTCCATTCAAGGTTACATCGCAGGTTATACGCCAAGAGGAGTATGAGTGGATGCAAAAGCGGACGCCTCAACAGTCTTTGCTTCCATCACCTTCCTCAAGCCGTTGATCTAGGTGGCTGCCTCTTCCAGTTTTGGATCCTGTCTAGCCTGTTCTTTCTCACTGTGAAAGGCTTAACCGCTCTCCGCTTATGTAACGTGCTGCAGTGGATACGAAGCGAGGAATCTAAATAAGCTTACGGTCGGCTTCCTCATTCGAGTTTAACCCCGGCACTTCATCCCACTTAAAAGGAGAAAGAAAATGCCGATCTCCACACGGTTCGGGGCGACTTATGCATAATGTGTCAAGAATTGACCTATGAGAAACGGCATGTGAAAGACGGCTCGTTGCGGTGAAACAAACATAAAGGTTTTGGTGGCGTATGATGTTGGTGGATTTTTCGTTCTCGTTTAGGACGGTTTCTTTACCGAGGACATCCGTCGGTTTCTTGTACCGGCTATGCTCACATCTCTTGTGAAATGACTGTGAATAGCGGAGTGATAATACTACAAAGGGCCACAGTGTAGGAATCCTACGAGGTCAGACTAGGACATGATGGTGCATATGAGATATTGAAGCTTGGTTGAGCTACCCTGGATTGAATGATCTGGGGCACGCATGTCATGTCACATAATGAACTGCCTCATCGGCCGCAGCTGACTGAGATTGTGAATGAAACGTAGAAGTTAAGCTAGTAACTCTTTTGAGCATGATCATCGTATCAAGCTGACCAAACAGAGTGAAGGTAATCTGTATTAAAACACCTGGCTTTCTTCCATATCTTGGTCAACAAGTCTCTTGATTATTCGTAAATCCAGCAATCACACTTCAATAAACACTATCCTTATCTCTGTGAGTCCACTTGCTTATCTTGTCCTCGTCTTGGCTTTCAACTAATGACACTTATAGATGTTGTCGCCCAGCATGACTACTGACCGCAGCACTTCTGTTGCTCCCCCACGTAATCCGACGCCACCAAAAGAAGCTTGGGACACTTCTAAAGAGACCTCATTCAGACTCCCCGACGACGAAACCAACATTTGGATTGCCAATACTGGCCATGGCGATGGAAATGACTATCTCGTTGGATCCGGCGATACTACATTGGCGCGATGGTCAATGGATGGTCGAGAGACCAGAATATCACCAGCTATGGTCAATGACAACAGAGCTCAATTCGGTCCTGTCTTTGAGCTAGAGATCTTGAACTCTGACGTCGCCGATCCTCGTTCGCCTTTTGCATCTCACGGTAAACAGCAAGACCTTGCATTGACTTGGGCATCAGTCTACGCTCTGTGGCTGCACCCAGATCACCGAGACGATGACTTGATCGCCATCTCCGTCGACAGTCAAAGAATCGGAGAATACATCAAGTGCACTGGCTTAGGTGTGCTGTCACCATTCTCACCTACTACAACTCCCCGGGAGACCATTTACTGGCTCTCCCACGATGCATTCTGGCAAGGCGCTGGAGCACCAGACTCACAGCATTGGCTTCAATCACGACCTGAAGTGACATCATTCCCTGGCTTCAATGGCACAATGGGTGTTTTTGCAAGTCAATTGGGCTTCACGCGCAAGGGCAACGTCTGCACCGTTCATCCCGTTCGACCTCCCAAGCCCAAGCCGGGCACTGTCATTTACTCCCGCTTCATCGTTGAGCTTGGTCAGCAGTTACAAATCCGACACATCGACGCGTCCAACCCCGTCCACTTCGAGACATACAAGCGATGGCAAAACTCAGACCGAGTCAACAAAGCATGGAAGGAGCGTGGACCAGACGAGCATCATCGAGCATACCTTGCCAAGCAACTAGAAGACCCTCATACCATGTCATGTGTGTTTGAGTGGGACGGAGAACTTGCAGGATACACCGAGATTGGATGGGTCATGGAGGACAACGCAGCATGCTTCTTTGGGTCCAATTGCAACATCACAGTGGGCGAGCACGACCAAAACTCTCACATTATAGTGGGAGAAGAGCGTTTCCGTGGCGGCAAAAGATATCAGGCTGTCGCCACGTCGATCAAGCATTGCTGCTTCCTGCGCGACCCTCGCACTAAGCAGGTGATAGCCGAGCCTGAATATGACCTTAACCATGTTCAGATCCAGGACAGGTTTTTGCCGCAGGAGAGGAAGAAGCGATTCCACCTACCGCACAAGACGGCTATGCTGTTCGCCCTGCAGCGTGAGCGATTTTTCCAGGAGGCGCATTTTGTCTAAAATGGGGGCTTTAGTTCGTTAGCATGGTAGATCGACAGACCGGACCCTGAAATTTGAGACATTCTTTTGCAATTGTAATTTCCATGACGTAACTTCGTATAGACCGTGATGAGTAAAAATTATCTGATGCAGCTATTGCCATTGTGGCTAAGATCTTCGGAAAAATAACGTAAAACTTGTTAAAGTTGGTTGGTTGCATTGAGTCCCCGGGGCTAAGCGAGCTTATTTTTGTTTGCACTGTAGGTAACCGTAATCTTATCAGATCATCAGACCCCCACTCCCTTACGCTGACCGAGATGAATTATGGGTGTAAGTAGGGATCGGACGTTTCACCGAATATGGACACTGTAACTACCTACCATTTTTGGATCCATACGCCATGACACACTGTGCTGAAGGAAAGTTTCTAGCTTCATTGAGGTGGACATCGTCATCAGTGTGGTTGAGTGCCGTGCTAAGATTGCCGAGCGATAACGGCCGACGTAACTTGGTGGTTTTGTGACAGAGACCCTGTGTCTGTTGATGATCTGGTAAACACCACAGTAAAGTGTCACGAACTACGGCTGTTACACGTACGTGTTGGTGTAAGACAAGGATATTATCAACACTATGGATAACGCAATGTCTATGACACGGCTTCCAGTCACGCAGCTTCGGCCACTGCATACTCACCAGCAATGGACGGGGGCAACTCAGCCAATTAGCTGGATCAGCTCTGTTGAGCCAAGACCCGATGAAGAAACCGCCATCAAGGCATTTGTGAAGCTTGTGTCTCATCTTGTCATTCTTGATGAGGGGGAAACGTTTTGTATTCAAGACTCCAAGCGAGGTGGTTTTATCTTTGCTCAATATTCGAGTTCTGAGAAGAAGGAAGTCGATAGCTTTCGTTTCGTTAAACTTGAGAATGATCAAGATATTCCATCCGATTTCTCTATTGGTGAAGGCAAGGTGAGTGACATTGGCTAGTTCAAAAATGTCAAGGGTTCATTTATATGCTGATATTCTGGTTAGATCCTTCAACTTCACATAGGAGAACAACATGAAGTTCAACTTAAGACGGATGCCAGTACCATCCCTGAGGTTGCTCTGAAGGCTCTTGGCTGCATGCTAGACGACATTATTACTGCGGTGCATCAAGAGCACAACGCAAGCCTTGAATGGACTCAAACTTCTGTTCTCAACTTTCCCCCACGATCTGGTCCTCTGTCTCTCGCTCACGAAGATGAGACTTCAACCGACGATGGTGCGAAAAGTTCGCTTCTGCATCACCAGTTTGAGAGGTGTGCAGCTGAGAGACCCGAGAGCGTCGCTATCGACTATCTGACGGACCTTGAGAGTGGAAGTCGCGTTAGCTTTACATATCGTCAGGTCGCAAATGCAGCGACAGCATTGGCAGAGAAGATTGTGAAAGCCAGTGAAGAGTCGAAACAGTCTCTCAAGACGGTTGCTGTGCTCATGGGCCCATGCCCAGAGCTCTACATCTCCTATTTGGCCGCTCTGAAGGCGGGAGTAACCTTTTGCCCCATCGCCATGGATGCGCCTAGAGAGAGAAAGGAGGCATTGGTGGCAGATTTGAAGCCATCTGCACTACTTACAACAGTGGCATTGATGGAATCTGAAATGCCCTCATTTGTCAACTCCTCGATGGAGACTATTGACGTGACTCCTTTCCTCCATGCATGCGATACTGAGGCAGAGCAACAGCCAACGCCGGTAACAATGAGCGAGACCGACTTGGCCTACATTCTGTACACATCAGGAACAACTGGATTGCCCAAAGGAGTAGCCGTCAGTCATCTCTCTGCGTCATGCACCATCTCTTCCCTGAGCGCCCACTACGGTTTCCCTCGACCATCCCCCGCATCCAAGCCTGTCAGGTGGTTTCAAGGCGCTGCACCGACTTTTGACATCTCCCTCTTTGAGATCTTTTGGACTCTCAGCACTGGTTCAACGCTCTGTTGTGCACCTCGCGAGTTTACTCTGCAAAACATCGACAAGGTTGTTACGACTCTGGAAGCTGATATCACGAACATAACGCCTAGCTTCGCCAGCTTGCTTGATCCCTCTTCAATCAGCGGACTCATGGTCGGTGGCGAGACCTTGAACGCTCGACTTCTCCAGAACTTTGCTCCCTACAACCTGACTGCGAAGGAAGAACCCGGCCAAGTACCCAGAGGCATCTATAACGGATACGGACCTACTGAGACGGCTATTTACTGTTTTGCTCAAGCCCATGTGCCTGACAACCAACGAGGATCCGTTATCGGGACACCATTAGCGACTTGTGGCGCTCTTATTGTCCAGCACAAGCCAATTCTTCAACCTGGCGAGAGCTTGAAGCCTCTCCCCATGGGCGCAGTCGGAGAACTTGTCATCACTGGGCCTCAAGTGAGCAGGGTGGGCTACTTGAACCGTCCAGACGAAACAGCTGCGTCATTCCGAGATGACCCCCGATGGGGCCGCGTATACAAGACTGGTGACAGAGCCAGAATTGTCTGGGACCAGAGCGGCTCTCCCGTGGTGGAGTTTCTGGGCAGACTCTCTGATGATCAAGTCAAGCTCAGTGGGCGACGTGTTGAGTTGGGTGAGATTGAGAGTGTTCTGGCCAGCAAGGTCCCTGGTGTCAAGGAGACTCTTTCCTGCGTCTGGAAACAGGGTGCAGAAGCAGGTTCGGAGAAGGTCGTTAGCCTGATTGTCATTGATCCAAAGGATAGCTTCGAGATTATCCACCAGGCGTGTTTGGAGACGTCTCAGCATCATCTTCCCGACTTCATGAGACCTTTCAAGATCTTGCAAGTCGACGCGCTTCCGAGATCTGCTTCAGGCAAGGCAGATCGAAAAGCAGCTTTGGCACTGGTCAACGAGATGTTGAAGACCGACTTTAGTAGCCAAGAGACTTTCCACCGAGACCTACCTCAGAGCATTGAACCTCTGGCAGATCCTCAAGATGCCGAGCTTGAGCAGGAGCTCATCTCAATCATGAGCAATGTTCTCAGTGACTCGTCTACTTCAAGTCCTGCCATCACTGCTAAGACAGCCCTCGTCGAGGCAGGTATTGACAGTCTCCGTGCAATGAGGATCCTACGAGACATCAGGAAGCGCTGGCCAGGGTCCCAAAACCCTCAACTTGAGCCATCGCTGGCACTACTTCTCGACAACAGCGCCACGGTTCGTTCAGTATTCTTCCCTGGCAGCCAAGGCCTTGATACCTCCATTACCAAGACCAGCAAGCAAGCTAGCACAAGATCTCAACTTGAAGCATTCTCCACGAAGCATACATCGGAAGTCCTGGACAAACTCAACCTTACCAAGCCCGACATTGAGATGATTTTGCCCGCAACTAGCACACAGAGTCAATTGGCAGTGAGCTTCGCTATGGACAAGCGGAACTACATCAGCCATACTACGCTCACACTCAAGCCAGGTGTCTCAGTACCAGCTCTCAAGGACGCTGCTGAGGCGACGTTGTCGAGACAGCCCATCTATCGAACTGCAATGCTTCCTTGTGACGAGGATCTCTCTCCATTCCTTCAGGTAGTATTAACGCCAGAAGCATGGCAGAGACTGAGTGGAAACTCGAGCTGGATTGCTCATAGGCTAGCCAGTGCTGACAGCACTTCTGGCGACCTGCAAAGTTGGCTGGATCTGGCTGAAGAGACACTCAGTCTCGAGTCCCACAGATTGTACCATGTACAGATCATTGAACCTGAGGAGGCTGAGGGTGGTGCTCTTTTGATCATCAGCGCTGCTCACTGCATCTGCGACGGTCCTTCACTTGAAGTACTGATGACTGATATTGCTCGTCAATACGCCAGCCTCGAGCCGCTTTCACGCCAAGGAATATACGAAGCCGTGTTTGACTGGGCCTTAAATGTCAATCCAGAGACAGACCAACTGTGGCAGAAGACTCTGGAAGGATGGGAGACTGAGCCGCTCGGGGCCATCAGCGGTAACAATGTCAAGCCGGACTCAACAGAGACTCGTCATCATGCCATGGTCCAACATATCAGTTCAATTTCTTGGGAGCTTCTGGAGAGTCAGAGCAGGGCACTGGGAGGGTCTCCACTCACAATCCTCCAAGCGTCGTGGGCCATGCTTCTACACATCTTATCCGAGGCAGACACCGATGACGTGACCTTTGGCAGCGTTCTTTCAGGTCATGACCAATTTGTCCATGGTCTAACATTCTCTGTTGTGCCTTGTCGGGTTGGCTTGCCCGAAGCGCAGACTCTCAAGCAACTCGTCAGCAGCCTGATGCATAATTCCAGATTCGCTCAAAGTCACAGACATACATCGTTCGGCGTCTTCAAGACACTCCCATATAACACCGCACTGGCCTTACAAGCATACCCCCAGCCCGAAGCTGATGGAGCAGACAAAGCACCTTTGCTTTGGACCGATATCTCCAATCCCGCTATACGCTACGACTTTGCCATGTTTGCCGAGGTCTTTCCTACGAATCCGAACTCGCCAGACAGGAATGGGAGGTTCGATGATGTCGTCTTCAAGTTGACGTATCGTGACGAGACATTCTCAGACACTTCTGCAGCATGCATCGTCAAACAGTTTGCAGCACTCACTGAGACTATCCTGAAGTCACTGCCTGATGACCTGGTACAGAGTCTACCTGCAAGCATCGACAGAAGCCTGCTGTCTGCCGAGGGGACCATCCCCGTGGTAGAAGAATGCTTGGACGAGACAAGTCGAGAGAATCGTGATAGAGCTCAACTGTTACATGCTCAGTTCGAGGATCAGGCTGCATCAACTCCAGGTCTCTTAGCTCTGAGTTTCCACTCCTCACTCGACTCAGCTCCTATCGAGATGAGCTACGCAGAGCTTGATGCTAGAGCCAACGGTCTAGCCAACATATTGCGTGAGCAAGACATTGACATCATTCCCATTTGCATGGAGCGCAGTGTCGAGCTCTATGTAGCTGTCTTGGCCATTTTGAAGGCTGGGTCTGCATGGTGTCCTATTGACACAACGTCTCCTGTGCAAAGGCGAACGTCGCTCATTGCTCGAGCGCAGAGTAAAGTGCTTCTCACAACCACTGAGTCGTTGCCTCTCGTAGAGCCTTGTCTCGCTCAAGACGCACTCAAAGATGTTCAAGTCATTCTTGTCGATGATTACAACGGCCACAAGTCCTCTGTTCGAGCCAAGCCCCGCAATAGCGTCTCCAAGATTACCGGACAAGATTTGGCATATCTTCTATGGACTTCTGGCACTACAGGAGAACCCAAGGGTGTCATGATTCAGCACAGCGCTGCGGCCCAAGCGATGAGAGACCTGCAAGTCCTTGTCGAGCACGACGATCGTGAGCAGGTTCGAACCCTGCAACTCTCCGCTTACAGCTTCGATGTCTTTGTACAAGACCTGTTCTACACCTGGGGCTTGGCAGGAAGTGTCATCAGCGGTACCAGAGAGCTGGTCTTGGGCACATTCACTGAATTCATCTGGAAGTCTCGCCCAACTCACGCTCATCTGACACCTTCGTTTGGAGCTAGTATTGCGGTTCAGGAACTCAAGGGCTCAACCCTTCAGTACGTCACGTTTATTGGCGAGAAGCTGACAGAAGACGTTGCTGAGGCTTGGGCGCATCCTGACATTACGACTCGTGCATACAACACGTACGGCCCAGCTGAGAACGCCGTCGTCTCTACAATGCGACAGTTCTTCGGCAAGAGTAGAGACACAGCTAAAGCGGCCAATGTTGGCTATCCCTTGGATCACTGCACGGCTTACGCTGTTCGCGAGGTTGAGACTTCACAAGGTACGAAACGGTGGGAGCTTGTTCCTCGGTACGGAGTTGGCGAACTAGCCCTGGGCGGTGCACAAGTCGGCAAGGGATATCTTGCAAACGAGGCCAAGACTACCAAAGCATTCATCCAGGGAGGTCCAGGCATCGACGAGCGTATCTATCTCACCGGAGATCTCGTGCGATTGAACGACCATGGCTTTGAGTTTCTCGGTCGAAACGACGATCTCGTCAAGATTACTGGTATCCGCATTGAACTCAGTGAGATCAGCGCAGCATGTGCAAGTCTGAAGGATGACGATGCTGCGGTTGAACATGTCGAGACATTGTACCTCCAACGCCCGGGTGCATCCGCTGGCAATAACAACAAAGTCGTCGTCACGTTTGTCTCGGTCAAGACTGGCGATGTTGACACTGCTGAGATCAGATCCCAGGTGTTCAAGCGGGCCAAAGACCTTTTGCCTGCTTACATGGTGCCTGGTCACGTTGTTGTTCTGGATACGACCATGCCGAGAACTGCTTCAAACAAGGTTGACCGCAAGACGCTGCAGGCTATCTACGCAGAGTCGGATCTCAACGTGTTGGCTGGTAGAGATGACTCGACACAAGCTCAAGGACAGAGGCACCAAACCCAGCAGCAGTGGACGAAGAACCAACTCTCCATTCTTGAGACAATCGCCGGACACTTCAACATCCTAATGGAGAACCTCTCCCCGGATGACAGTTTGGCCGGTCTTGGTCTCAGCTCACTACAAGTTACGAAGCTTGCTTGGTTGTTGAGGCGAGAGCTCAAGTGTCAAGTTGGAGTCCTAGATCTCATGAGGTGTGACTCTCTGGGAGAGCTGGTCGATGTCACGCTCAGCCGGATGCCAGAGAAAGCTGAGGAGGATGAACCATCTGCCCAAACAAACGAGACAGAAACATCATGGCTCGCGTCCATCAAGCAGATTCTTACTGATAACATCAAGGGTGACATGCGACCCTCTGATACGCAGTACATCCTACCAGCAACACCCATGCAGGAGTCCCTCATCGTCGAGACTATGCTCGAGCCACAAGCTTACTGGGCGCATCGCGTGTTTGATCTCAGCCACTTGGACGATCTCGATGAACGTCAGCTGAAGAGAGCTTGGACTGCCGCAGCCAAGCGCTTCGATATCCTCCGAACTGTCTTTGTACCCTTGACTCAACTGGACGTAGATGGCAGCGATAACACAGTCTCGTGGGCTCGTGAGAAGGGTGTTCACTCTACGATTCTCCAGTTGATTCGAGGAACGCCAAGCTTGCACTGGTCTCAGATTCGCTCCGAGGAGGATCAAAGTCTCAGTGGACTGGCCAAGAAGTTGCAGCTTGGGCTGTCTCCAACAACTACCACCAAGACACCATGGGCTGTCGTTTTTGTCGAGGACACCAAGAAGATGATGCTCAGTATGCACCACGCCCTCTACGATGCAGTGGCGTCTGAAGTTTTCCTGGAGACTGTCACGAAGTTGTATAACATGGAGTCTGTTGAGAATGTAAGCCGAGTTTTGCAGTTTGAGAGTGGTCTCGGCCTTGGGCTGTTGCCGACTCCATCCAAGAGAGATGAAGCAGCTGCGCTATGGAATCGCCGATTGGATGAGATCAGCAAAACGGCCACTGGAGGCACGTTGAATGCGCCTTTCCCTGACCTCACTCAATCCCGACAAAAACAGGTCCAGAAGATTCTGATGTCGAGGAAAGGCATTCCTGTTCCATTCCTTCAATCTACTTCTACAGTTGCACTTCCAACACTACTCCAATCCGCCTTTGGTTGTGTTCTCGCCTCATACCTCGAACTCGATGCCATCGTACTCGGTCATACTATCTCACAGAGAGCCCTCCACCCAGATCTCACTCGAGTTGTTGGTCCTGCAATCGCCACGTTGCCTCTCATTGTTCGCTCCAATTCTGCTTCAGCGGAGGAACTGTGGAAGGAGATGTCTACCGAGTCAGCACAAGTGTTCCAGAGTACACACAATCTTCATCCAGTGGATGTCAAGAAAATGCTCAATCGAGGAAGCGGTAGTAGCAATGCTCCATTCCCAGGTCTTTTTGTGTACCATCCCGCATCAGAAGATAACCAAGTGGATGCTAGTCAGTCCATGTTCAAGGAGGTTGGTCAGGCATTGTCGCTCAACGTTGAGCATCCACTAGCATTGAACATCTTTGAGGCCAACGGAACGATTGAGCTCACTGGAGATGGACGTCGCATTTCTCAGGCACAGTTGGACCTTTTGCTAGACCAAATCCTTGCCCAAGCGCGAGCCATGGTCGAGGCCCCGAAAGCACCCTTGACTCAGCTCCAGAACAGAATGAGTGAGAGCCTTCTGTCCATCAGTGGTGAAGCTTTCACTGAAGAGACAGAAGCTACCAATCCGACTCGAGATGTTTCCTTCCACGCATCCGAGCATTCAGATTGGGTCGCCGTTGAGGAAGTGATGTTCCAGTCTAAGGAGGATGACGAGGAGATTGCTTCAAAGACCATTACCTACGCCCAACTCGACAAGCTCACCAATACCATTGCTACAAGGCTGGTCCAGCATGAGGCTCGTCTACAGCCTGATGACCCTATAGCTATGTGTCTTGGTAGAGATATCAAGTCATTAGCAGTCACTCTGGCTATTTTCAGTGCTGGATTCGTGTATCTTCCTGTCGATGAGGATCTTCCTCCAGCTCGCAAACAGCTCCTCATTCAAGATGCGGGTGCCAAGCTTGTGATAACAACCGACGAACTTGTCGGTGACTTGGGACTTGATGATGCCAGTGGCCCCCCTCTGCTGCTGCTCCCTGACACGAGTGATGGCATCGATACCATACTGTCGTGGCCTGTATCTGAGATCCCATCAGCGACTGGTATTGGCGGTTATCTTCTCTACACCTCAGGCTCTACTGGTCGTCCCAAGGGTGTCCGAGTTTCCAACAGCAACCTCTGTCACTTCATTTCTGCATTCAGCACCCGATTGGTTGAACACTCGCCCGCCACTGCAAGACTCGGCGGTGTTGGGAAGTATCTCAACCTAACTTCCCGCGCTTTCGATCCTCATCTGACGCAGCTTTTCGTGCCCTGGCATCTTGGTCATCGAGTGGTTATTGGAAAGGACCGCACAACCATGATGGCCAATCTGAAGGAGCTGATCAATGAGTTGAATGTGACGCATTTCGGATCTGTTCCCTCAGTGCTGAGCCAACTGAGGCTACGACCTGAAGATGTTCCATCTGTGAGAGTGGTCACAACTGGCGGAGAGAAGGCCTCGAATGAGCTCTTGAACACGTGGGCTCAGACACAAGGGTCGCAGTCGGCAGATGATCGAGCTGTCCTCTTTAATTTTTACGGCCCAACAGAAGTCACTATTGGATGTTTGGGCCATGCTGTGCACCAAGACTCCAACGCTCGCAATCTTGGACTTCCTCTACAAGGTCTTGAAGCTTTGCTCCTATGTCCCAACAACGATGGTGAAAGTCTTGTCATTGCTAGAAGAGGCCAACCAGGTGAGCTCTGCATCGCTGGTCCTCAGGTGGCAATGGGCTATCTGAACCGTCCTATCGAACAGTCCAAGAGCTTCCAGACTATCTCTCTCCCCGACGGCAGCAGCAAGAGAGTCTACCGAACTGGTGATATGATGAGGATGATGAACGACGGCTCACTCGAGTTCCTTGGCAGAGCTGATCAGCAAACCAAGATTCGAGGACAGCGACTTGAGTTGGATGAGGTCGTTGGCTTCCTCAAGCAGGTTGCAGGTGATAAGCGTGACTTGGACTTTGCAGCGACGGTTGCTTCTACAGGAGATGATAGCTCAAGCCAGCAACAACAGCTGCTGGGTTTCATAGCTAGGAAGACCAGTAGGCCAAAGGGTCTGGCTGAACAAGAGGTTGAGTTGCTTGGACTCCAAGATCAGGAGTCAACTTCACTACTCGAGATGATCGAGCACGAGTGTCAACAAAAACTCCCTGCTTTCATGGTACCAACGCTTGTTTGGGTCTCCAAGATCCCATACCTCGCCGCCTCTGGCAAGGTTGATACCAAGATCTTGGCGCGTTTAGCGAAGGACTTCCTAGCTACTCAACAAGATCACGATGGGGATGGCAATAACTCTGGAGTCGCGCTTGGATCGACGACCAACTTGAGTGCGAAGGAATCGATCGTTGTTGCGGCTATGGAAGAGGCCGTCGGTGGCAGTGTCAAGGCGTCGAGCACCAGCAGCATCCATCGTCTTGGTATCGACAGTCTTTCCGCAGTGAACTTAGTCTCTCTTCTAAGAAAGCGTGGCTTTTCCCAGTTGAAGATGACGCATCTCCTGTCTTCATCGTGTACAGTTGCAGATATCGCACGACTTGCTGATGAACACGAGAGCAGTAGCCCTACGAACAGCACACCTCTCTCAACACCCCCATCCACGGACGATCGACAAACACCGACTTTCAACATGTCAGACCTCGGCCCCCTTCCTGATGGTCTTCATGCAGACAACATCGAAGCTGTCCTTCCTTGCCTACCTCTCCAGTCCGCTCTGATCACTCGCTCTCTCGTTTGGCTCAGTGTCTTCAGTGAAAGGGAGAACGCCGAGGGACATGATGTTCCATACGTAGCACAATTCAGCTACCGTCTTGGTCGCGGCACAGACGTCAACAAATGGAAGAAGACAGCTGAAGCGGTCATTGCCTCGGAAGCAATGCTCCGAACCTGCTTCCTTCAACGTGAAGATGACGGCCAGATCTTCCAGGTCGTTCTTCGATCGTTGCGATCTTCTCCTCTAGATGATCATGGGCACCCAGCGGATATTGTGTCTAAGATGAATGTCCGACCTCCCATCCGATTACAATTTTCTGGCAGTGAAGGAGACGAGATCACCGTGTCACTCAAGATTCATCATGCATTGTTTGACGGTGTTGCTATCGATGCACTCAAGAACAAACTTGAAGCGGCATACAAGAGTCATATGTCCTCACTTGCTGCAACCAACAGCTTAGCAACTTTGTCAAGCATTTCAAATCACTGCGACCTATCGAATGAGCAACTCGAGGTTACAAGACGCTCGTGGCAACAACAACTACAGGGCGTTCAACCATGTCGCGTTGGAACTATTGATGACAACAACACAAGTGGTACCATGGCTCGTCAGACTCTCTGTCTTGGGTACACGACTTCTGAGCTCAACGCTAGGCTCAAAACTCACTCCCCAGTACCTGGAGAAACAGTATCAGCATCGTCCGCTTTCCAGTTGGCTGTCACCTTATGCCTCGCCCAACTCACAAAGCAGCCATCTGTTGTCTATGGTTTCATCATGTCACTCCGACCATTACTAGATGGAGTTGCCAACGGCGTTGACAGCTTTATTGGCCCATGCCTCAATACTCTCATTCGAGTCGCTACCATCAACAGCCTCAGTGAGACTCTACCCCAACTGGCTCAAAGAGTTCACAAATCTCACCTTGATGTCTGCCAAGGTGCAATGCCGCTCGTCAGCGTCGACAAGGTCCAGCTCTGGTCTGGATCGGAGGGCAAGCTTTTCGACAGTCTGCTGAGTATCAATATCGTGCCTGGCAGTGAAGAGGCCAGTGACACCGAACCAGGACAGATGACCGCTTTACCAACTCGTAGCAGTAGCGACATGGCTTTGGCGTTTGATGTGGACCTTCACGCTGATGGAAAGATCATGTTGACACTTTCTTCCGCTGGAGCATTGAACGCGGAGCAGCTCAACGATATTGGTCGACTTTTCGAGAAGGTTGTGTACAGCTGCGCTGACAAGACCATCAGAGTGTCGGATGTTGTTACTTCACCTCTCACTGCAAAGACTGTATCAGATCAAGTCCCCAATGGCCTTCGAAGCGATAGCACCTCAGCTGATACACCTGGGGGAAGTTACGATCAGACACTCGCTGACGTACAAGCTATTCTCAGTCGCTTCATCCACCTCAATCCGTCTGAGTTGTCTTCCAAGCCAGACTCAACGTCATTGTACCAGCTGGGCCTTGACTCCATCACTGTTCTCCCATTTGTCAAGTCGATCAACAAGTCGCACAAAATCAAGCTGTCTTCGCACGCCGTGATCAAAGCACGAACGATTAAAGGCGTTGCACAGCTACTGCAGGATGCAAAGGCCAAGTCTGCTTCAGCTAACAGTGTCAACTCTCACCCCAGCAGCGAGCGTACCAGTAGCAAGCTGAGTGAGACTGAGATCTATGACAGTAGGCTTGAGCGTCTAGCCAAGAGTCTTATGTTCATTGCAACGCCACTCCAAGAGGGCATGCTCAGCGCATCTTTGGCCACTGGAGGCGATGCATACACCTATGTTCATGCCATCCAGCTGTCTGACCATGCTCTTGCACATGATACCCCTAGTCTTGACAAGTTTTTCGCTGCTGCGAAAGACACGGTTCAAGCATGTGAGATCCTCAGGACCCGATTCATTTTCACTGATGACGATGAGTCACCATGGGTTGGTATTGTATCTCCCACCGAGCAAAGCGACCGCGTCAGTTGGGAGGTTCAGCCAACAGTGCCCGGTAGAGTGCATTTGCGAATCCATCATGCTCTCTATGATGCAACTTCTATCCAGTCTGTCTGGAGTATCCTCCAAGACTACTACCATCGACGCCTCAACAATGGCCTCTCTGGTGGTTTTGGCGAGCCGAGGCATCTGTACAGGCCGTTTGCAAGAACTGTCGCCTGTTCGCAAAGGGCTTCAATTTCCTACTGGACAGATGCCGTTCGGGACTACACGTACACACCACTCGACTTCCCCAGCAATGATCTCAGAGCATCATCTGCCGTTCATTTCAGCTTAGACACGAGTGAACTGTCGCTTCTCCAGTCCAAATGCCGGGATCTCGGCGTGACCATCAAAGCAGCACTTCAGTTGTCTTGGGTCAAGGTCATGTGTGAGTCCCTCTACAGACAAGCTGACGTCGTGTATGGAGAAGTGGTTTCGGCTGATGCCGATGACGATACTGCCATTGTTGGCCCCGCTATCAACACGGTGCCCTTGAGAGTGAAACTAGGTGACTCCGACGGTTGCGTCAATGTCTCACAGGCTTTGACACTTGTACAGAAGCAGATCGACAGTGCAAGAGGCACCAATTCAATGGCTTCGCTGAGAAAGATCCAGACGTTCTGGAGATCAGGACACGAAAAGGCAAATATACCGGCAACACTGTTCCAAAGTCTGTTCGTATTTGACGGAGTTCTTGGTTCTTCACATACCAGTGATGACTCGGAGAAGCTGTTCAAGTCCGTGCAGACTGGAGATGCTGGCGCGACTGGGCCAGCCTATGATGATTACCCTCTCGTCGTGAGCTTCCATATCAGGGACAATATCCTTAACGGAAAGCTGAGGGCCAAGTTGCCCCAAGAGCAGGTTGATTCACTCGGCAAGAATCTGGTTGCAGCCCTGGACCATGTTCTTCATGGACTTGACGCGCCTGTAGTTGACACCAAGTACCTTGACCCAGTCAAGATTGCGCCGCCTCAAGAAGAGACGAAAAGCGATCCGACTGAGCCTGATATGAATGGCCTGACTCCAACAGCCGATGCAGCATTGAAGCTTGTGGAGACGGTTATAGGGACAAGGCGAGGTGGAAAGAAAATCGGTTACAGCACGAGACTGATCAGCGTTGGTTTGGACTCGATATTAGCCATACGACTATCGAAGCTTCTGAAACAGCAACTTAGACTCAGTGTCAGCGTCTTTGAGATCATGAAGGGCGCCAGTGTTCGCGACATCATCCGACGCCCAGCATCTTCGCGCAAGCCAACGACAAATGGTACTCAACATCAACTAGAGCCTCTTCAGGAAGGTTTAAAGTTGACAATAGCCAAGACCCTTGGACAGCCAGAACATCTCATCCAGTCTATCATTCCTGTCTTACCTGGTCAGCGTTCTCACCTTGAGCTTTGGTTGCACAACGGGAAGAGGTTCTTCGAGCCCCCGTGGGTTTACAGACTTCCCGAGACCTTCGACCAGGAACTACTTGCGGCCTGCTGGTCTGCGCTTGTCAAAACTCACGATGTTCTCCGAACCACATTTGCATCTGGAACGACCCCTGCGGAGCTATACCAAGTCACTCTGTCAGAGCAGTGGCCAGCCCAATCACGCTTCATAGCCCTGCAAGACGCAACGAAGACTGTGGAAGAGTTGATCGCGGAGCATGTGAACCAAGAAAATGCCAAGGCATCTGACTTGAAGGAGCCTCCAGTCCGCCTCTCTTTCCTAGAAGCTGCAGACGGTAAAGCGGTTGTCTTGAGACTCCATCACGCACTTTATGACGCATGGAGTATCAAGATGATTGAAAAGGACCTCAACACTCTTCTCAGCGGCTACCAGATTCGAGACACTCGTCAGTCATTGGAGCAAGTGGTCCAGAGTATCAGAGGAATAAGACAACCGGACGCCGAGGAAACATACTGGAGGCGCCATCTTTCCGGTGCCCAGGAAACAGTATTGGGTCGCAACGTTGAGCATACTATACAATCTTCACTTGGCCCGCAGTTCAAGACGACCTCCAATATCGTCCCGCAGAATAGCATCAGGTTGCTGTTACAGAAGAGCAGCTCACAAGTCTCTGCAGCTCTCATTCTCTCCTACGCAAGAACGCTACAGCACTTCACTCAACGAACAAGGCCTACCTTTGGTCTCAACCATGCTTCTCGATCTCTTTCGTCACCTGATGGGATGCAAACTCTCGATCTGACTGCTGCGAGCATCCCGACTCTTTCTATGACGCCATTCTCTGTCGACTTGGAGTCGTCGACTCAAAATCTACTTGGCTCCATCCAGGACCATCTCGCACAACTCAATTGCTTCAGTCAGGCAGATGGCATTCGGAAGCTCAGTCCCAGGTTCAACTCGTATTTGAACATCATCCACCGCAGCGATCATACAACAGACGAGAATTGGAACGTCGTGGAAAGACCTAAAGCTTTGGGGAGATATAAGCTCCCTGAGCCACTCGCTTCCGACTACTTCACCGCTACAGAACCGTCATCTACAATTTCTACTATTGAGGGACTTGACACGGCCCATTTGCCTGATCATCATTTCTTTTTCAATGTCATCATTGGCGAAAGTTGTGGTATTACTATGTCTGCAAGTGGCGATGAAGCACTTTTTGGAGGAGATCGTGATAGGGTTGTTGATTTGGCGGACCATTTCCTTGATGAGCTTTCCCGGGTTTTAGAGCGAGAGGGTTGATTATGATCTATCTTCTATAAGTTAGTTATGTAATTCTTGTTCTTTTTTATGTCAATATCCAGATAGTTTATTCATTCTTGTTAACAGACAGCTTTTTCGATGTATTTGTTTTCGTCATACCCTGTACTTCAACGCGTCAACGCGCTCACCGCTCACTGGATAAATCTGACATAATGCCAGCTAACAGCCTAATTGGCCATGCTACTAACCACACAGGCGGGTATACGCGGGATACTTCCCCACACTGACCAGGCACGAATTCGGTAGTCGGAAGCTCATGCTCCGCGTCGATTATCGTATTCATCCCCAGGTGCGATCTGAATACCGCATCAATTACACTTAAGCTTTGAAGTCTCATGATCATACCCCAGACCTGATATGGCCTATTGTGGGGAAACCAAGGGACATGAGTGGATGTTGTTATTAGGCTGTAATTGAAGTGGCACTTGGCATCTAGAATTCATGGCTCTCAGTTCAGCTAGCCTCGGCTCTCATGGCACTGGGCTAAACCTATTGTCGTGAGAATTAGAAGTTATTGATGGAATATAGTTGTAAGGTCGTTATAGAAATGGCACAATGGACCTTTTATAATACAAATAGTAAGTCAATTGATAGAAGTTTCGCAGTTTCGCAGTTTCTTGGTTTTGTGTTCTGGCAAATATCCAAGTCTTATACGTCTTTACTAGATCTTGGCTGACATAAAACATGATTAATTTCCTCTCATCTACCGCATTCATGCAAGGAACAAACAAACAAACAGCATATGTCTGCAGGGAACCACGTTTTCAGTCTGCTGATTTGGCTGTGCCGAGCCGGCTAATAACCCTGGGCCTGGTTTTAGCCATCTTGGTTGAGAGAAAGTGCCGCGATATGTGAAACAACCAAGGCGTTGATTTAGCCGGCAAACATTAGGTAATTGACATCATGAACAGTTCCGATATATAATATGAGATGAATCGCTGGATCTAGAGAACTGTTCTACTCCATCGCAGACAAGTCCAAGTCTCGTTCTTAACTTACCTTCACGAGTTGCAAAGATGCGTTTCAGTTTCATCCCCACAGTCGCCTTGGCTGTTTTCAATGGCTTGGCCGTTGCCAACCCCGTTCCGTAAGTCATATCCTTCAACGAACGGTGATAAGAGTTCAACCTCGCTGACACAGAGCCAGCGATGTTGAAGCGCGACAGGCCACTGGCCTACAGGCTGCCATGAAGGCTGCTGGTAAGCAGTACTTCGGCACTGCTCTCACCGTGCGCAATGACCAGGGAGAGATCAACATCATCAACAACAAGAATGAGATTGGATCCATCACTCCCGAGAACGCCATGAAGTGGGAGGCCATCCAGCCCAACCGTGGCCAGTTCAACTGGGGTCCCGCTGACCAGCACGCCAACGCTGCTACCTCGCGAGGCATCGAGCTCCGTTGCCATACCCTGGTTTGGCACAGCCAGCTCCCATCTTGGGTTGCGAATGGCAACTGGAACAACCAGACTCTGCAGACTGTGATGAGGGATCACATCAACGCCGTTATGGGACGTTATCGTGGAAAGTGCACTCACTGGGATGTTGTCAACGAGGGTAGGTTTGGACTTGCACGATATGACCCTCGAGAACATTCGGGAAGACTGACCATTATCTTTTAGCTCTGAACGAGGATGGAACCTACCGTGACAGTGTCTTCCTCCGTGTCATTGGCGAGGCTTACATCCCCATCGCCTTCCGCATGGCCCTGGCAGCAGACCCTACCACCAAGCTCTACTACAACGACTACAACCTTGAGTACGGCAATGCCAAGACCGAAGGTGCCAAGCGCATCGCCAGACTCGTCAAGTCCTACGGTCTTCGCATCGACGGTATCGGTCTGCAGGCTCACATGACCAGCGAGAGCACTCCTACTCAGAGCACTCCTACCCCTTCGCGAGCCAAGCTGGCTTCTGTTCTCAAGGGCCTCACTGACTTGAACGTCGACGTCGCCTACACTGAGCTGGACATCCGCATGAACACTCCTGCAACCCAGCAGAAGCTCCAGACTAACGCAGAGGCCTATGCCAGGATCGTTGGTTCGTGCATGGATGTTAAGCGATGTGTTGGTATCACCGTCTGGGTATGTTGTTCCTCCGTCTATACATGCTTGATATGCATTTTACTAATCTCGTGTAGGGAATCTCTGATAAGTATTCTTGGGTCCCTGGAACCTTCCCCGGTGAGGGATCTGCTCTGCTTTGGAATGACAACTTCCAGAAGAAGCCATCTTATACTTCTACCTTGAACACAATCAACAGCCGCTAAGTTTCAGTGGATATACAGCAGCTAGATACAGTACATAGGCCCTTTTATATCAGACTGCTATTCCTACAATGTCCCTCGTCAATTTAACTTGGTCTTTAACTATAATTACAGTCTTGTCCTAAAACAGAACTTATTTCTGATTCTCCTTACCCTTGGTTGATCCATTGGGTTCTCACGGTAAGTGGAGAAAGCTCCACGTCTGGACTCGAGCCTTTTCCATATCCTGTTTAATATGCATGTTGGCTCTCCCTTGGATACCCACTCACACCAAAATTACCCCAGCCTCTAGCAGCGAGCCACGTATTTGTAAATGCACCCATCAGCTGTTGAATTCGTAAGAACGATGTCTGGAAAGACAACCCTTGTCTAGTCATTAATGATAAGAGAACCCGAGAATATGATGCTAACCACATTGAACACGCTAGACACGCAATGGGGAAGCGGGGATTACATTGCTTTCCATGAGTTCCGTCTGGTAGTTCAATAAAACCTCGCCAAGATCGGTTAGCTGGAAGATCTACTGTTCTCTTTCTTATGCTATCACCAGTAAAATCTCTGCTTCATTGTGGCTACTATGCTTAGTATCTCGATTTTAGCTGGAGCTGTCGCTGCTGTATGTCCGAGACTCCATCACGGTTGTTGCTTTACGTGCTAAGCTAATTATTTTCTAGGCGGCAGTCCTCTGTATTGGATACGTGGTGTATAACATCTTCCTGCACCCACTGCGTAACTTTCCTGGTCCGCTTGTCTGTCGGGCTTCCCCATTGTATCGTCACTATAAGTTCTTGCGTGGAGATCTCTTGTTCGTGACTAAACGTCTGCACGACGAATATGGCCCTGTTGTGCGAGTGTCGCCCAACGAGCTGTCTTTCATTGAACCCGAGGCATGGAAAGACATATATGTCCCTCATGGAGGCTCAGCTCGACTTGGAGATATGGCCAGATATGATAGATTCTATCAGTGGGCTGGCCCCAACGCTCCAGAGACCATCGTCTCATTGGATAGGTCGTATCATGATTCTATGAAACGCCAACTCGCGCCGGCTTTCTCAGAACGATCGTTACAGTTCCAGGAGCCCATTATCCAAGGATATACAGATACACTTATCCGCAAATTGACAGAGGTTTCGAAGAACGGACAACACCCTGTCAATTTGCGTGAGTGGTTCAACTACTATACTTTCGATATTATTGGAAACCTTGGATTCGGATCTGACTTTGGAGGCCTTGAATCCGAGGAATATCATCCTTGGGTCAAGGCCGTGAGTCAGAATATTAGAGAGTTTTCCTTCATGCAGGTATTGATGTACTTGGGACTTCAATCAGTTGTTCATGCGTTGGCAAACAGTTCCATCCTAAGAGGCAAAGTACTGCACGAACACCTAACGCGAGAGAAGGTTGAGGCTCGTATGAAGCAAGAAAAGCCAAGACCCGATATATTCCAACCACTCCTTGACCGAAAGCCACCTCTGGTATGTCCATTACTTCTTTATGCCTTTTCCGGATGTTTAGCTAACACGGATACCACTCAAGACACTAGCCCAACTGATGGAAAATGCATCGCAGTTGATCACAGCAGGCTCGGAGAGTTCTGTCACTCTGTTGGTGGCCGCAGTCTCTCTACTGACTGACAATCCTGCCACAATGCAGAAGCTGGCTCAGGAAGTCCGTTCGTCTTTTAAGAACGAGGACGAAATCACCTTGACGTCTGTCAACCAATTGACCTACCTCGCTGCTTGCTTGAACGAGGCCCTGCGCTGCTTTCCCGCCGTCCCACCTGCGTTACCAAGAGTCGTTCCCCGTGGTGGTGCTGTCATTGCTGGCCATGCGGTACCAGAGAAAGTGAGTTATCAATGTCTCTGCTTCTTATCAACAAATGCTGACCGAGTCAGACGGTTGTCTATGTTGCTTCATGGGCCGCAAACCACACTGAACGACACTTTGCAAAGGCTTTCGAATATCATCCTGAGCGTTTTCTGAAGGACCCCGAGTTTTCTGAAGACCGCTTCGATGCATTCCAGCCCTTTGGGTTAGGTCATGGAAATTGCCCAGGTCGCAAGTAGGTATCCTCATGTTGTCTTTTGAACATTGATGCTCATTCTTTTATAGTCTCGCTTGGGCTGAAACACGCCTCGCAATGGCCCGCCTTGTTTACAATTTTGACATTGAATCAGTGCCGGAAAGCAGAGAATGGACCAGCAAACAAAAAGCATACATGCTGTGGGACAAGAAACCTTTCTGGGCGGTACTTAAGCCTGTACGGTAAATCGGGCCTCCCACAAAGATCCAATATTGCTTAGCATAAGTCTCGCATGTAGAATCATAATTGTCAAGCAAAGCAAGATTTGGTCAAACCGTCAATTTGTCTAACCCTCTCCTTATCGTTAAGATTATCGTTTTATATGTTGTATGTGTTAACGTGAGGAGATGGTAATGACTGAAAATGACTTCTGTAATACTTTTGCCTTTGGTGTTATATCAGAAGAAGCGACTTGGGATATTATCTCCCCTTTTCACCCCTCCACATTTGGCCCACCTCGGTATAAACATGTGATATTTAATGCAAACTTCAGTAATCTAATTTAGTTACGCTAGCCGCCCAATTTCGTAATATGTCATGAAATAAAATGAGACCTCCTTCATAAACATTCCTCATCTCCTGTATAGTGGATTACATGTCTGCAAAGATTTGTCTGCTATCTCCAACCGGAAGATAACGAGACCACAAGGAAGGCCATAGCCACAGAATAATAGCAGCAGTCAGGAGGAGTCCACAGAAGATGATCACAGCGATCTTTCCACCATAGCCACGACGCCGAGACTCAGTCTTTTTGACATATCTGCGACCGCGCATGAGGTTGAGCCAAGCTATGCTACCGGCGTGAACATCCTCCAACGCCTTGGCGAGTCGGGGACTAAAGGTAGCCACCTTGTCGAACTCAACCGCAAGCTTTTCCTCATACTCATGGAAGAGCTCAGCCGACCGGTCAACAGCCTGCTGGAAGTCCATGCGGGTGTCGGAATTCTGCTGAATGATTGCGGCGATGTGGCTGTATTCGGTTATCTGGGCATGGTGCGCATTGAGCTTATAGAGGTCGAGAATCACACCCATATTCCGGCCACTGTAGCTAAAAATGTTCTTCAGGGTATCTGGTGACCATTGACGCAGGCGAAGGAGGTCATCGGCGAGATCCGGCCGCGTGAACGGCATAATGAGAAACATTAGACCCATAGCGGCGTTGGTTTGCCTGTAGGTCAAGTATTCCTCTACAGAGACCGGTTCTTGTTCCACTTCAATCTTCCGAAGGGCCTGAGTACAGTGGAGCCAGAGATCTATTTCAGCCTTTGCCAGCTGAAGTAGTTCACTGTTCCAGCCCTCATGACTCCAAAGCCTGAACAGAAAGTCAAGGCCATGATTGCCCTGGCGGGGTCCCGTCACCCTGGCCTTGATATCGTCCAGAACATCGCATGTATATTTCATGTCAATGCTGTTGTCGATAAGGTCATCCAGAAAGACCCAAGCTGAATAAAAGTCGGCGACGACCTTGATCCTCTCAGCGTCGCCGCCAGGATAGACCCAGCTTCCGTAGAGACCTCCGCATGCGGCAAATTCGCCATTGCGAGAGATAACCTCATTCTCGGAGACTTCTTTGAGCGAACGGTCACAGCTCAGCTTGGAGTACTGGAATATGTGGGCCGTCTGAGGATGCTTCCAGCTAGTAAAGCGGGTAAGCAATTCGGGTACCTCACATTGATCGTCAGAGGACGCCATGGCAGTAGGTATATGAAGTGGACTGGAATGGATAGTCGATATGAAGAGTAGAGAATAGTGGCTGAACGATGAAGTTTAGGACCTGGGCACGGACAGGAATTCCTTTATCTGGCTTAGATAGGTTGGCCAGCTAAACCCTCTTTTATTCCTGTGATATTTCCGGTCCTCGGTCATTGAAGTCATATCATATTTTAGACGACATATATCATTAAAATGACACGTATGAAGAAACTATATTAGTTTCCCCTCTGTTTATGTTGTATTGCTGATGTTGCAAGGGGTAGATGCCGCTAATGATTATCTGTTTACGATCATGTATGGTCCTTTCGCACAAGCGAAGCCAGGATAGAGCGCACATTGAGCCATATGTGGAAGTTTGCCGCGAGAAGCGTAGCGGGCCACGTTGTCATGCATGTCTAGATCGCTTATTAGCGTGGCTAGAACATTCGTGATATGACCGGCCCTCGGTAAGCACGAGTTACTGGCAAAAGAATGCTATCTAGAGACACAATGGCGATATCAAAATGCCACTTTCACTAAACAACACTTGGCTACCCTGAAGCATAGCGGGGTTGTTAGTACAGAGCATCTTTTCCAGTCTGGCTTTCCACCATTCTTGCAAGTGGTGATGCTAATTTAGCCCTCACAGACAGGGCAAATGCTGTATCAAGTGCAAGAAACGGTTTGCGCCATTTTCTGAGCGTGTTGGTCGTGAAGTGCATAAGCATCCTTGATAGCACGGTAACAGCCGAAGCATGCATCCACATCAGGCCTCACGAACCGTCTGATGAGATGGTCCATGCTCCGTCGAGGCCGGGCCAATCCGAGGCCGTCGGCTGCCCCTCTCATTTTTGCGTGACGTGTTCGTCTCAAGTACCAGGGACATGGACCAAGTGTGACAAGACATTACCAGAGCCACGGAACCGGTATAATTCCCGGTCAACCGGGACGAATAACATGCCAGACATTCAATCACAGCTTAATCAATAGAGGACTCTTACTATATCTCTTAGTGAGAGCTTAAAAGTGCATCTTACTTATCTCAATAGAACTTAAAATACACTAACTAGTTGCAGCATATACTTTTCTTAAAAATGTTTTTGATAGAGCTAATCTAATTCAAGGCTGAGCTGTTCTTCTGACTTGGTTTAGCATGGGCAAAATGGCTGTTTGCAGAATACTGACGCTAATATCGGAAAGGATGAATTAATTTCCAGTCAGCCACTAGTTTCTTCGCCAACCACCACGATTTGCCCAAGGGGCCTGAGCCGCATTATGATCATTTTTTTTCCCATATCAACCGAGACAACAACATATACACGACAACGTCGTGTCAAAACATGGACTGGATGGTGGATAAAGACAACCAGCGACAGTTGGAGGGCCAAGACCGAGATGCCCGCGGTGGAAACGAGGTCAATGCCCGAAGTGGGGAATTCACTTTCAACTGCCCCTCGATGACTGACTTGAGAGGAACAGACAGCGTTCCCTTGGGTGCTAATGTAGGCTAAACTTGTCCCATGTCGAGATTTGGTAGGAGCACGTTACAGCGAGCTGACTTGGTGCTTTTTCATCCCAGTCTCAGGCTCAGGCTCAGTCTGCGGCCAGATCAGCATCTTCAGTAGAACATGCCTCATCAGCGACGTCGAGTTTTATCCAGGTCGAGGACTGGGACGATTCGGCTTCCTTGTCAGACAGTGTACAGACATTTCCCGAAGAGTTTGGTCGCACTTATCATGCTTATCGTGCTGGATGTAAGCATCCCGAATTCCCTTGCTGTCATGTCGACATGCAACTAACCACTGCCATACAGCATATCTATTCCCCAATGACAACACAGAACAAGAGCGACTTGGAATTATGGGCGAGTGCTACAAGATGATTATGAAAGGCAAGCTGTATATGGCACCACTCTCTTCTAGAAGGCCTCCGAAGAACATTCTCGATATCGCCACAGGTATAGGTGACTGGGCTATTCAAATGGGCGATCTCTTCCCCGAAGCTACAATTATTGGCACAGACCTATCCCCAATCCAACCAAACGATGTGCCTCCAAATGTCTACTTCTACGTCGAAGACTCGTGAGTCCTTTCCGCATTATCCGGCATATCCGAAACCTTTCTGACCAAGATACATTTAGAAGCGACGAGTGGATGTTCACACACAAGTTCGACTACATCCACACGCGCAGTACTTCTGGATGCTGGTCCAATTTCGAAACGCAGATAGCCCAGCAAGCCTTTGATGCGCTTGAACCTGGTGGCTGGTTCGAGTCGCAGGAGACGGATTGCATTCCCTTATGCGACGATGACACATTTGATCCTCAAGGCCCGGTTGCGACATGGTGCAATGACTTAATAATGGCAGCAGAGAAGCTAGAGCGCCCGGCTGTTTTCGGAGCAAAGCTCAAAGAGATCTACGAGCGGGTTGGCTTTGTGGATGTCCACCAACGTGTGATCAAGATGCCCATCAACGGCTGGGCCAAGGACCCACGGCTCAAGCAAGTGGGATGGATGTGGGCTGATCATATGCTCGATGGTCTATCTGGATTCTCCTACCAGCTCTTGAACAAAGCCTTTGAACGAACCAGTGCTCAAATTGAGGCAAGTTAGCCCTTGCGTATAAGCCAACGTGCTATACTGCTATTTCGGATAATGTGGTCAACTGCTAACCTCATCTATAGGTGTCTTTAATCGACGTTCGGCGAGACCTTGTGAACCCGCGCATTCATGCATATATGCATCTGTATGTTGTCTGGGGAAGGAAGCCGAAGTAACGAATTGTAAAACGCAAAATGTGGATAAGGTTATAACAGGCGTTTGAGTCTAGTTTTCTCGGCGGCAGCGGAGTTGGCGTATTAATTATGTTCAGTCTGGATTTGTGAGCTTGTAGATACTACGCAACTAACAGATTGATGTTGAAGAGTTGTATTTACAAGTTACACCGCAAGAAAGAACCCCTTTCGACTGGCTGTAAGGAAGAATATCTAAATCATGTACGGCCCAACAGATATGAATTTGCAAACAATTATTAGTCCTGGGGCTAGCCCTAGAGGCTTGTCATTTGAGCTTCTACTAGTCTTAGATTCCTAAGCACTGTATATCCAGGCTGTATCACTTTAAAGACCCTAACAAGCATTAAACGAATACAAGGGCTCGCCCTTCACCTACAGCACATCCATTTGGGCCTTCGTGTGACTCAAGGCAAGACCTGTCAAATCTCGTATGGCCTACTGATGTAATGTCATTATTTGGTCTTCTATTAATCTATTATCTATACAGGATCTACCGACGTTCTATCAATGTCAACAAAAGCACACCAATTCCCATTGTGTGCAAATTTACTGCCCGAACATCTAAGAGTCAAAGATAGCTCCATATGCTGCGACGCCCCGGGTTTGCATACCAAAGACAACCTTTTCAGTAACCTTGGGGTTCGAGATTATATACACTGCCTCTGCATTTGACTCCACGACAAGTTGATACGTCTCGCGGACAATATCCGGATAACCTCGCTCGGTGGTGTTCCATATGACTGCATTTGGATCAGCTCGTTGAACTGCACCAACAACAGTTGGTCCGTATGTCTTCTCGGGATCACGAGTAGACCAAAGAACACGACGAGGCGTCTCGTCGGCGTGGAGAAGAGAGAGGCAGGGCCCAATACCAGATCCAGTGGCGACTATGACGATTCGACGAAAGAGCTTTGACGTATATAGAAGGCCGTGGAGAGGGGCACCGCGAACCCATAGCTTTCGCTCACTGTCATTCATGATCTGCTTCTTGGTGAAATCCCCAGCATTGGAAACAACAACACTGAAACCTTCAACTTTACCAGACTCTGGCTCGATATCCGGAATGGTAGCAAACGCATGCCACTCTGTCAAGGGCTTGTCGCTGATCTTGAGGCCATAAAATGGTTTCATTCCTCGGTATTTGAAGTGAAGTCGAGTCGCGTGATCGCTCAACTTCTCGGGATACACAGCCCGGCGACGTAAGCGGGACCAGGAGGCAATCGTGCATGAGGTTGTAACGCAGATACACCAGAAATTGGGAGATCGCACAAGGGCATAAGCTATAGACTTGTCCCACTCGTGTGCCGTAACACGAGCCGACACAATGTTGTGCACCCAAAACGCGAGCAAGGAAACCCAACCAGCGAATCGATGGAAAGCCTCGAAATGGTCGTGGAACTTTCTTCGAATGCTTGGATAAGCTGCGATGAGAATGATGAGGAACATAGCAACCACAACCCAACCGGTGATCATGTTGACGAGTCTGTATTCCTTTCTGTCCTCGGCCCACTCTTGAGTGGCAAGGATGGTATAGGCCATGTACCAAGCAGTAGCAGCCACACCAGCGCCACTATGGAAACCTCCGTAATGGAAGACCTTGGCCAGACGTTTCCGAATGCAGATCGGCCATGAATGAGGAGCCAGCACGACGATTTCGTAGCAGAGGTTTACGAACTCCTCTTGACGAAACAGGATGCATACCATGAGGTTTGCAGAAGCTGCACTGGCGGCATCTCTAGATAAGATGGTGGCTTGAGAGGTGACGATGAGGGCAATAAACACTGCCAAGTTGGCGATGAATATAAACGCAAATATTCTTCTGTAAGTCGAAGCGTGCTTGTCTGGTATAAGATTAGCACAGACGCCTGACAAATAATTTCGAGAACTTACATCGAAGGTCGCGTGTTAATTCTGAGCCCTGTTGATCTGGCAGCTTGACCTCTGGAGGAGGAACCGACACATTCTCGATTTTCCCGCTCGGAGACTGATCTTTGACTGTATCTTGGGTATTTGTATCGCAGTGTGACACTCTCTGCAAAGAAAGGTCAGATGTTGATTCAGTAAGCGAACAAACTGTCTCGAGTTGAAGAGACATGGCTATGAGAAGGATTGAGGAAGCGGTAGGTTGTTGATGATGTCTGCGAGTTGGGTATGATGCAGAGCAAGAGAGTTATATACTGGCCATTGACATCAACATACCTGCGCTTCATCCGTTCAGAAAGAACGAAGAGTTCAGCGGATGATTGTTACGTTTCACGCAAGAAAGCCCATTATTGTCATTCGTGTCCATGGTCCCATAGCGGGTTGCACGAGAGAGTCAAATTGACAACGTCATCAGTGCAGCTACGGTTTAAAGCGACGTACGTTTGCGCGAGGGACAGATTTGACACGAGCTATGGCTAGCAAGCACATGTCCAACAATAGTAACGTGGCGCATATGGCCTCCCCGACCTCGCATTCGCTGGGCGTCGAAAGAAACACAGCCCCAACGTGTTTTGTACCATGTAATTGGACGATGGCATCTTGAAGGTTAGTAATAGTTAGAGGCATTAGCCTCTTTGGCCCTTAGCGCTTATACAGGTCTGCAAGCTTTCCCTTCTTCTGGTGCGGTTGAGTATGGACAGGAGGTGTTTGGTGGCTGAAAAGAATGTGTGTTGCTGTGAGAAGAGATTGGAATGCCAGCTAAACTCGTAATAGCTAGTGATTCAATGGTCGAACGCCACAGGTGCTAGTAAGTAACCTTAGCAAACACGCCAGTTACGTTACTTCACTCTGTACTTGATCAGAGCCGTTATATTATCAGATAAATTAATGGTTGCGTCTTGTAGCAAGATTCAGAGATGGACTACTTACGCCTTTTGCCAGAATTGATTCAAAGTCTGTTGTAATCTGCAACGCTGAAAACCTGAATTCTTGCACTGGTATGTGGCGTTTTCACTGTGAAATAAGCACCAGAAGCATGTGATGTCAACATCAGCTATAGTTTTGCTACATAACTCTACTACCTTCGCCCAGGTTGCCCTAAGGCTTGATGCTATTCTGCACTTACCGGGGTCTACTTTGAGTTCTATTGTAATCAGGCTATCGCTCGTAAATCCTTTTGCAAAAATGTCATCGTCCGCAGGATAGACTAGCGTTCTCGACCGCGATCTGCTTCTGAAGCGCCTAGAAGATCAACGCTGGTTCGAGAAGAACATCCCTTTATTCGAAATACACGATAAACGTATCCAAGAGGTATACTACTACCGCCGGCAGACCTATAAAGAACACCTTGTTTACACTGGAGCCCAGTATGGTTACATGGCCAGTGAGTTTTTGAATCCCGCCAGCTATGGCGCACCGTACGGTGGCGGCGGCTGCGGGTCATCATATTACCGAAGGTCGGTGGCGCGTGATACGAGATACGGCCAGGTCATCGCCAGGTATTGGCTCGCTGGACCAGGACAATTCCCCAAGCCAATGAGAGATGATGTTAACAAAGGTACCTCCGATTGGGCGCACGAGTACAGCTTCTGGGCTGCCACTGCCTTGTGGAAACAGTCCTTGGTCACAGGAGATAAAGAGTTCATTGTTGGGCAGCTTGAAAATCTGGTGAAACAGTATCGAGGTTGGGATAGCCATTACTCAAGTTCCCTAGGGCTGTATTGGCAGGTACCTGTTTGGGATGCCACAGAGTATACAGCTGCTTCCTACGAGTCCAGTGATCCTTACCACGGAGGTGCTGGCTTCCGGCCAACGATTAATTCCTATCAGTATGGCGATGCCATCGCGATAGCGAAAATTGCTGCTTTGTGCGGTGACTCTGAGCTCGAACACGAATATCGAAGCCGGGCTGAAAGTCTGCGGATTGCGTCACAAAAACATCTTTGGGATAAGGAAAGCAACTATGTACAAGCACCAGGCCCGTAACGATAATCCTTCCGGCTCCTTGCTGAGTACCAGAGAAATCATGGGTTATCTTCCATGGATGTTTGATATGCCATGCGATAACTCCCAACTCTCCGCCTTTTCCCAGCTAACAGACCCTCAAGGATTCTTCTCAAAGTTTGGTCCAACTACGGCTGAGCGAAGAAGTAAGTGGTTCATGTATGAAGCAGAAAACTGCTGCCGATGGAATGGTCCCTCATGGCCGTTTGCGACCTCGCAGACTCTAACTGCGGTTGAAAATGTTCTCCACGATTATCCGACACAGAACTATATAACTGCTGAAGATTACTATGAGATGCTGCATCGGTATGCCCGGACACAATACAAAAACGGGCAGCCCTACGTCGCAGAAGCTCATCATCCTGATGCCGACAGATGGATATTTGACGGCCACAATCATAGCGAAGATTACAACCACTCAACCTTTGTTGATAATGCTCTAGCCGGGCTTATAGGCCTTCGAGCCCAGTCTGGAGATGCAATAGTTGTCAATCCTTTGACCCCTGCAAGCTGGGATTATTTTGCCGTCGAGAATGTAGCCTACCACGGCCATTCCATCACTGTCTTATGGGATAGAATAGGTTCAGTCTACAACCGGGGCGAAGGCCTACGAGTTTACCTTGACGGTCAGCTTGCTGGGAGTCGCAGAACAATTGGTCTCATAAAGGTCGTTGTTGGTCCATCAATCCCAACACCTGTTTCCTCCCGAATAAACATCGCAGCTAATAGTCAGCGAGATCCTCAACTTCCCCTCGCTTTCGCTTCATACACTTCTCCAGTGGATGATCCCATGCGAGCCATCAATGGAATGATCTTCCGAACTGGGATACCACAGAACAGCCGCTGGACTTCGTATAACAGCCCAAACCAAAAGGGCCATTTCGGAATTGACATGCATAAGGATCAAGCTGTCGATAATGTGCGGTTATTCTTCTATGATGATTCCGGCGGCGTTCGGATCCCAACCACTTTCGACCTTCAGTACTGGCCAGGTTCCCAGTATGATGCCGACCAGTTCAAATGCAGAGACCAGGATTGACTTCCCTTCCATATTGACTTCTCGACTGCGTGTTGAGGCACCCAATTCTGGGTCTGGCGTTGGATGGGGGCTATCTGAATTTGAGATTTGGACACCTAGCGAAAAGTCTAAACAGCTGCATGTGTGAGCGTCAAGGTTTCCGTCAACTATTACAGATGAAGATGTTGCTACGTTTCCCAACTGTCGTTAAAAAGCACAATTGTTAACTCAGGGCTACTCTTCCATAAGAGGTTGCCACAAGACATGCATCAACGCCAATACTCTTAGTATCGCCGCTGCGGCTTCCGTCGGTTCAACAAATGTTCTGGAGACAATACTATCGCATAGATCTAGCGCACTATCGGTCAGCAAAGCATGTGTTGCGACGATTAAACCACCAAAGCTAGTCCATCAATAGAGGGAATCAGTATTGAAGTTATGTCGGGAAAGCTATGGTCCGGATCGACCTGACCATGCTTATCTTAGCGCGATTTCCCTTATCTGAAGCAAGCCACCTGGATAAATTGGTCTCACTTCAGCCATCTCATCTTAGCCAATTCAAGGTCTTTTGAAACCTCATTCTCAAGCTCACTTCGGTGCAATTAGCTGGTCATCACACAAGGTTTGACTAGGCCTCTAATTAGCTGGCCTTAATTAGTAGTTTATATCAGACAGTAGTTTACCCCGCACCAGTCCGCCCTATTGGCCCAGCCTAGCAGTTAGGTTAGGTTTAATCTCTCAGTGTTTGACTATTAAGTAAGTCCTTTTTCTTAAGCATACTTATTGTACTCAATATGAGCGAGAGTATTGCCGATGGCATTGCCAATAGCCCAATTTCACTTAGTGCCGCGTCAGGTACTACAGATCTGAAGAGAAAACGCCAGAATAGCGCTGCTACCCTAGCTAGGTCACGGGAGCCTGTTGTGTCTTTCCATGTCGGCAGCGAATTGCGACAGACCCCTCAGTTTTCATTCCTGTCATACGTATGGGGCACTGGCCTTGACTCTGATTGTGCATCGTGTGGAAGGCATTTCCTTCCCGACGGTGAACCTCCGATACGAACCATCGGCGCCGGAAACAGCAGCTCACAACCATCTGTCATTGATATCACTCAGGATCCAGTATCGCCGTGGAATCTTAGAATATTTAACAGACACCTCGCCTGCATTAAAGCTGACAAGGTCGACTATGTTCCCATTTCTCATGCCTGGCACGCCACGGTGGCCACTGCGCAGGATCTTCGTCTTGAGAGCATCGACGTTTCCAGGCTGGTTTACCAAACGCCACTCAGGACTCTCCTGGCGCTTACGGCCAAGTTTCCCGGTTGCGAAATCTGGCATGACTACCTGAGCGTTCCACAATGGCGCCCTGACGTTCAGGGACGGCTCCTCCTTGCGATACCGGACATATATAACCACGCCGCAAAAACTGTGATCTATCTGGACGACGTCGGGGCAACCCATCTCTTGGGCCAGGTTAAGGATTCTCCCTACGACAAGTTCATCATCGACTTTGCGGCCATTATTCGGTCTCGATGGTTTGACCGCATGTGGGTGACACTGGAGTACATTCAGAGTAATCATGTCATAATTCTTACGGAGGATTACACGATATGTGATGCCTATGCCAGGGATATATGTCATCAGTTAGACACTGCGCATTCAAAATGGATTAAAAGGCGAAGCAATTCGACTGTCACGGAGGACATCTGGAAGCAAAATACAACTCTGAAAAGGATGACTTCGTGGATAGATATGGAGGCATGGAAGAATGAGCACGACATGCATCGAACTCTCGGGTGGGCAATCGGAATACTAGGCCACCGGAAGTGTCAATATACAAGAGATTACTTCTTGGCTCTAGGGAAAATGCTTGACTTCCGGCCGGAACAAGATCCTCTTGTTCTCATCGAGAACCGCTTTCAATACTTCTTTTCTCTGGTGACATATGCGCTACAGCAGGGCGACTACTCCCCCCTGTTGTTCATCCCGTCGCTAGGTGAAGACGCGGACCCCCGAGCACCGTGGCTGCGTGGATACTCGACGGGAACGTGGAAACTTTGGGACATGGGCAGATGCCATAGGAAGGCGACCTCTCAGCCAATCATTCGAGACGGCAAGATCCAGCCCCGACTCCAGACGGTTGGTATCATCGAAAGGTTCGAGTACTACGACTTTGGAGGAGATGCGGAATCGGTCATGGACTACATTGTATCCAAGGTAGTCCGGACAAGCGGCCAGGATCCCCAAGCTCTATGTGAGGCTGTGGATCGCGTATTCCCCCGGAACGAAAAGAAAGCAGTGAATATGGAATGGAAAGACGCAAAACATGAGGATGCCTCTGCCTCGATGTTGAAGTGCGACTGGGACAAGATACAGGGACTTCTAGAAAAATACGGGCCGTTGCTAGACATCGAACCAGGGCAAGAGGCAACTCAGCAGAGGTTAGAGATTGCGAAGAAGATGATTGGAGCCTTGAAGCTAAGCAAAGAAGGCAAGGACGCAAGAGAGTCACGCCTGGAGCTTGCAGCCGGAGAAGCAGACTGGTTCTTGCGAGAGTACGGAACGCCCATGGAAGGAATTAGTCAGATCAGATGTAAGATTTGTAGGCGGCGATCCGTGTTCCGACTAGTTATGTGGGGAGCCTACCCCATACGTAGCGCAAGTCTATAGAATTCCTGGGCTGCTTTATGATGAGAATGTTCCCAATGGTATCGGGATGGTGGTGGAGCATAATAGGATTATCGGGAAGATGATGTATGGAACGCCTGCTTGTGGATGCTGTCAGTCTGATTTGGTTGAACTAGGCTCAATAAAACCTTAGCCAATGCCTATTAATATATGAAAAGGTGTTAGTTTCAACAGCCTGGCACAATAATAACTGTATTATAGTAAACCTTGAATTATTTTTAATATTTACCTATTACAATTGTTGATTTATGGCTACTCTTCTGTATGAACTGAGGTTATTGGATGACAATCTACTGTAGACTGAATCTAAATAAGCTTGAAATCAAGCTCGACAGAAGGCACTCCCTGGAAGTCGGAAGGCATTACGTAGGTGAAGTTCCAAAACTCAAAATCCCGAATAAGACTGTCTGTACCACCGTATCCGCCGGCAAATGAGAGGGCATAGGTCGAGTTGATGTTGCCAGAGACCGTCACCTCCAGACCCTGAATGTCGGCCCAGCTAGCGACAGTACGTTTCTTTTCAAAGGTACCGACGACAAAGGTAAATACAGAACTGGAGTTTCCGTAAGGGTAAGACAAGCTGAGCTTGCCAGGTTCAACGCTGGATTGGAGAGCCATCTCGGTTGGGTATAGCTGGAGAGCTCATTAGCTTTACGTGCTTGTGAGAAGACTCAGGGCTCATACAGAAATAAAAGAGATTTCATTCCCAGTATTCCACTGGACCACCGCAGGGTTGAAAGACCCCTGAGACTGGGATGGACCGCCAATAACGATCTCGTCATAGGACTCGGCGCCGATAGTAAGCTCTTCGGACAACCAGGTGGTAATGTTGCGCGATGTAGTATCAAAGGGAGGATAGTAAGCGCTACCCTGGAAGGTATGCTCGCCCTGAAACTTTGAGAGCTTGCGAAGTGTCTTCTTTGGGATGAGTTTCTGGTGTGTCTTGTCTAGGGCGGCGAAAAGAGGTCCCCAGGCATAGTCAGCCATATGTGACATGGTCTGAGGCTGTGGCAACAGTGTTAGTAGCGCCTCATAAACCCAGAAAGAGCTGCAAAGATCAGGGGCTGCATACATGGGAGGTCAGAGACGAGCTCTCTTTTCCAGTCAGAGTCCAGAACCACAAAGCCATTAAGCTAAGATAGCGGTTCATATCGTAACCATAAGCTCGATCCCAGGGACCAGCTATGTTTTTCATACCGGGGTGCCACAGCTGGGAAACAGCATCCCAGGTTCTTTCAACCATCCTTGGCCCATTTACAGTCATGACAGACTCCTTGGGTAAATACTTACTCCATAAGATAAGACCGAAAAGAGATACGCCAGTATAAGTGCCTGAGTTAAATTCGGAGAGGGTGTTGTGTTTGTTGAAGAGGTCAATAATCTCTTGGGCGTACTTCTCGCCGCTATGGGTCATGTTCCTGTCATTGAGGCATCCGTGTTAACTACCTGAGAATTATTGTCAAGGCTTGCAGGTTCTACGTACCTGTCATTAAGGCGACGGCCTGTCCAACCAGAAACAAAAGCACGCATAATGGACTGGCATCAGACGTGGTCAGAGGACATACAGAACACGGAACGCCTGACCAGAAATACTTACAGGGTTACTATAAGAGGGATAAAGGTTATCCTTGGTCTTATCGAGGTGGCCGAAACGGTACTCATCGCCCTTAGTTGCGTTATGTAGGGAGTGGAGGATCAGGTTCTGAGTGCTCTTGCTGAGCAAGTGAGGAAACTCTTCCATACACATGACCAAAGTCGTACCAACGAAACCGCGCCAGTTGGGGTCCCAGCTACCGTAGATCTTGGGAGGATAAGCTGGGCTGCCGACGTAAGGTTCTTCTGGTTCTTGCTGATAGTCACCGTACCTAGAGAAGTGTCAGAGCCAGATTAGCTGTGCCATGAGATCTTTAGGGGGTTTGGACATACCATTCTTCAGCGGGAACTTTGTACTGCGCATCAATGGTGTTCTTGATGATCTTCTCAGCCTCGGCAACATCAGACCCCTCATTCCTCGCTAGCAGGCCAAAGGCGTACCAGACTGAGCTACGCGTTTCATGGCGGAGTGCTACCGCGGCGCTGAAGTCGTACAGGTAGCCTGCCTTGCGGTCGTAGAAGGTATCCATCCATTCCATTGACTCAGTGAAGAGTTGTTGCGCATTCGGCGACATGGACTTTACGTAGCTACCAGCTGCTTCTCCATGGCTGATTGCAAGGACTGCAAGGCTAACGATGAAGGGAAAACGCATGGTCTCCAACTGTGTCTCAACCTGTTTGAAGAAAGATCACTGCTGGTTTCGCACAAGGTGGTTGGTGCAAAGGAACTTGACAGGTGCGAGAGCATGTCATATTATACGCATATTATTACACATAGAAACTAGTTGCGAGTCCCATTTGACTTGATGACCCTAGTCCACCATGAGAGCCGAGTTCGGCAGCATGTCATGCGAGTGGCTGCCGATCGACATCTTCGAGTTTAGACATTCCAATTTCCACGTATCGCAATGATAACCTTAGCTTGGGCCCACGATGCTAGTACATGAATCATGTGGAGGGACTAATTACCCCGCATAGACTACGGCTTATCTGGCTCACAAGGCCGATCTCTTAGTTCAAGATATCCTATCTAATCATGTCTGTCCCTCGGTCTTTACCGGTGATTTAGCCGGACCGGACCGTAGTTGGCCGTTGATTGTGCATCTAGCTTCTACAGTATCATCGCACTTGTATCCCAGTTGTCTCCGCGATTGGAAGAGATAGGAAATATGGGGTTACATGGACCCAGTCTAAACCGGGGATCTGCATATCACAATGCTTACCCAACATGCGACCGATGTGCCGACTACCCGATAAGCTATCGTTCAACAATTAAGATAACGCGCTAGGCCATCTGCAGCAATGAATATGCTTATATCTCGCGTGACCCCAGAAATCATAATGGAACCTTTGCAAGGCTTATGTACGTCTTGACATTTGCAACTGCGACATTACAGAGAATAAACTTGAGCTCGCGAATCGCGACTCTGTTCAGTGAGAATGGCTGCTGCCCTAGACGATCAAGGTATATCCGGCATGAAACGGAGTATAGATATTTCGGAGACGAAGGCCGAGATAAATGCGGATGAGTTGCGTCTGGCGCAAATGGGTTCGTCGAATAAGCACTATTTCGCCATGATCAATCTTACTAACTGCTTGCAATCAGGTCATACCCAGGAGCTCAACCGACACTTCAGTACCCTGAGCCTGATCGGTTTGGCCTCCACAACAACTATCTCATGGACGGGATTGGGTCTCGGTCTGATCACTGAGATTGGAGCCGGAGGTCCTGGTGCGGTTATCTATGGCTTCATCCTGGTAACGATCTTGCAATGTTTCCTTGGAGCGTCACTTGCTGAGTTTGTGTCTTCTTACCCTACCGAGGGCGGCATGTATCATTGGATTGCTGCTGTTGCACCAAGAAGAGCAACTGGCATCTTGAGCTTCCTCACGGGTTGGTTCAGTGTTCTCGGTTGTAAGTCATCGCGAGTGATAAGCAGAGTCAGCCACTGACAGTCTCCAGGGATCTTCACCACTGCATCTACCAACATCATCTACGCACAAATCCTCATGGCATTGATCGCTCTGTACATAGCCGACCTCGAGATAAAGGCCTGGCAAACTTTTATTGTCTACCAAGGCTTGAACCTACTTACTGCTGGCGTTGTCATGTTCGGTAACAAGATCATCCCCGCCCTGAACAAGTTCTCGCTCTTTTACTTGCAGATCGGCTGGCTTGTTGTGTTAGTCACTGTCGTTGCATGCGCCCCGACACACCGCGACCCTGAATTCGTTTTCAGGACTTGGATCAACACAACTGGTTGGAACAACAACGCCATTTGCTTCATCACCGGTTTAGTCAATCCTTTATATTCTCTTGGTGGCCTCGATGGAGTGACCCATATCACAGAAGAAATGCCCAACGTATGTTTGCTCATCCGAGAAAATCTATGAATAAGAGCTGACCGAGATTCAGCCCTCAAAGAATGCTCCCCTGGCCATCGGTATTACCTTGGTCATCGCATTCTGTACTGGTCTCACCTATCTGATCAGTCTCATGTTTTCGATCCAGGACTTCGACCAGCTAACATCGGGCAACACCGGTATGCCGCTTGCAGAGCTCTTCCGCCAAGTCACCCAGAGAACCGGTGGTGCGTTTGGTCTCCTTTTCATCCTGTTCATCGCTCTGGGCCCGTGCGTGATCAGCTCGCAGCTCAGCACTGGCCGAATCTTCTGGGCCTTCTCCCGCGATGGAGCTATTCCGTTCTCCAAGGTGTAAGTTAACAGTAATATGCCTTGAGAGCTACATAATTGACTGTATTTTAGCTGGTCTAGGGTTCACCCAAGCCTGAAGATTCCTTTCAATTCCCAGCTAGCAGTCACAGCTGTCATTGCTGCTCTAGGATGCTTGTATCTCGGCTCATCGACTGCATTCAACTCCCTTCTGGGAACCGCTGTCACTATCAACAACATTTCCTATATGTTCCCGATTCTCACCAACCTGCTTACCGGAAGGAGGAACATGCATAGGGGTGTATTTCATATGGGTCCAACGATCGGGCCAATTGTTAACATTGTGACGGTGTGTTGGCTTACATTTGCGATTATCTTCTTCTCCTTCCCCTACGTTATGCCGGTTGAGGTTGCAAACATGAACTACACCTGTGTCGTCGTGGGTGGTCTGGCAATCCTGATTGGCGCATGGTGGCTGAAGGCTGGCAAGGAGTATACTGAAAAGATGATGAAGGCGAAGGAGGAATAGAAATTGCATAAAGAGCTATGGAAAGTCAATCTATTATCTTATACCTGCTCTGTTCTCTTTGACCGCAGTATAAATAGGGGCATAGCATGACTCGTGCTAAGAATGTAACCATATTGACAGGGTTCGACCTCGTATCACAACTCTTGGCAGTGGGTTTACTTCTGTTCTAGGCATTGCTCCCGGACAAGGGGCTCGAGCTTTGCTGTCTCCCCTTAGACATATAAAGCATTGCCGGATCAGCTGAGTTAAAAATTCATAGAACTATTTGTCTCTTCATTCACGACGTTCGAGATGCGATTCTCTCCGATATTGGCTTTAGTAGCCTGTCTTGCGCCTACCGTTCAGGCGCATTTGCCTCGCTATAAGCATGCGCGAAACAGCGACGCATTGACGGTCTCATTGGAGCCTGTCCTCGGACAATCGACGCAGGTCAATGTCTCTATCAAGAACGACGCCGGTTCTGATTTGAGCCTCCTAAAAATTGGTACAATTCTTGATGAGAGACCTGTCAAGAAGCTCTCCCTGAAGGATGAGAGCGGCACGTAACCCGCCGAACTCAAAAGCCAAGTTACTAACAGAAGGCAGGAAATGAAGTTCCTTTCATGGGCATTGAGCTGAGCCTTTACTACGATGGACTCAAGACCAACCACTTTGAGAAGCTCAGAACCGGGTCATCTATCTTTCGAATTGTCGACTTGTCGACCATGTATGATTTGAAACCCGGTACATACTCTGTATATGCGGAAGGCAGTCTCACTGTAGTGTCTAAGGAATCCGGCAAGCCAACTCCCGCTGCGTTGAAGTCTGAGGCCATCCATATCAAGATCAACAACGCTTCATCAGCTGAATCAAAGCAAAAAGCATCAAAGCGTACCATTCTCCAGGAGGACTCATGCACCGCCGAGAAGCTCGAACTCACTGCCAACAGTGTCAAGAACTGCGAAACTCTGGCTCGAGCCGCAGCGAAAGACGCGTCTGACGTTCACTCTGCTCGATTCGTTGAGTACTTCAAGTCGAACGAGACCAAAGCACGAGAGCACGTCACAGGTCGACTTCTCGCCGTCGCTGAAGAGTGTTCCACTTCGGATAGTGGCAACACACGAGTCTTTTGCAGAGATGAGATTGGATACTGCGAAACCGACGGTCCCTTGATCGCTTACACGACTTGGGTTAATGGCTATGTCACCATGTGTCCGCTGTTCTATGATACACTGCCACCGCTGCCACAGAAGTGTCATAAGCAGGACCACGCCACCACGACAATTCACGAGATGACGCATGCTAGAGCCGTGTATGAGCAGGAGGTTTCAACTCAAGATTATGCCTATGGCTATGAAAACTCTACTGCTTTGGATCCTCTGTCTTGCCTTTACAATGCTGATTCGTATTCTCTTTACGCCAACGGTAAGTTCACTATTCTTCTTGGCCCTGTCAATAAGTTATATGTACTGACAGATCTCAAGCGGTTTACTTGGATTGTTAGAGATATTGGGCGAAATGAAAGATGGTCCACCAATGGTGAAGTGATCTTATGTTTGATATAGGTCGATAAATGAGTGTCAATCTATTTAATAGCCTATCCTCTTATCCCAACCGGTGATTGTTATTATAGTCACCATCCGCGGTTGATCACGAGCCGAACAACTTGACGGCTTCTGAGATACCAATCTGCGACTAAAATTACTACTCAGAATGTCAGTAACTGTCTTTCACGAAAATAAAACGGGCCATTTCTTCTTACCTGGCATCTGTACCCGATTGTCTCGGCGGGAGGAATCTCTGGGTCCCTCTCCACACCCTCCTCTGGCTCCCTGGTCAGATAGCCCATGTCGGCAAGCCAGCATGTACCCGCGCATTTGCCACCCGAGCCGCTCTCGGTGAGAACGCATGAGTCCAGGCAGTTGGTCACTTTTGGGGTATACGTTAGCACTACTTTGCCAAGCGTACAGAGAAAATGTTGACATGCCACCCGTGAACGTCATACCCTTGGCCCCCCAACACCGTTGATGCATTGGGGGACCTTGATCGGTTTGCCACTCATTCCCTTCCACGAATCGGGATTGACTCCTTCGCCACTTGTAAAGGTAGCCATCGACATGGCAGTAAGGAAAAGAAGTGTAAGCTTCATCTTTGAGAATTTGTGTTGGTACTTGGAATAGTCGTGTAAGTGTGTTTAGCGGGAGGATGAGTGAATGAAGACTCTTTTTCGAAGTTGCTCCCTGGAGGGGGATGCAGTGGCCTTATATACTGGGAAAAGATGAAGGTTTGTTGCCATTTTCCTAGTACTTGCGCTGACAATTGTATGCTTTGTGCAAGAGACCATAAATTTGAACCTTTCTGTTATTTGAAAGCTTATACTTGCCCATAGCTCAGCAACACGTCTAATAATAACGCCATACTTTATATTCACTTCCAGGCACTGCAGACAGGTGCCTCTATCCTGTCATTAACGTTCCTGGGATATGATTTTGGTTAAAGTTTAAAAACGAGGGCCTTTACATGCTTAGTTTAGTATCTAATGTGCTTCATGGCAATGCAAAGTTTAATAGTCATCGTGAAAGCTTATATATATTCGCATTTCTGCACAAAGCTGCTTTCCAGCCTCTATCTTTACAGTCCCCTGTCAGTGAAAGCTTATATTATTGCAAAAAACACCACATTCATATTGCCTGTTACCTGGCAGAAGCTTACTCTTATGTTTTCAATACCTCTTACGGGTGTTGTTATGTGATTCGCTGACAAATGAGACAAGGTTTGTAGAGCAAAAGTCATAAGGTATAGCTAACCTGCGCAAATACAAAACGGATAGATTGCTACTAGGACTGCCTCTCGTGAAATGGTTATTAGTTCAAAGTTCTTTTATTAAATGCATTAGAGTTATTATGCGCAAGCTTCAATATGCTCCAGAGAGGGCTAACATCCCTACCAGAACGTCGTGAGTGGAATTAGAGATATGAGTGATATATTACCTTTGTCAAAAAGGTGACCGCAAGTTCAAGTGTCGGAAAGTCACTGTGGGAACAGAAACCTTGTTGTCATAGTGTCGTGAAGCATGTAATACAGGAATCTAATGACTTCTTATTCAAACATGAGAGGTAATACTGCCTCGGGTTCTACCGTTGAGAGTGTCAGACAGTTACTTAGCATGTTACTTGCCAGTACACACTGAACGGTACAAAGTGGTTAAAGATAGCCTGCTCTTGATTGTGATATGTAAAGCGAAAATATATAACACAGAATTAAATACACTCTTGTTTATTCCACCCGGGAGATGATTGATCCCGCAATTTAGTTGACGTGGGCATTGAAGTTGGTGACAGTGAGCTTAGCATTGCTTCCACTATTGACGGGTTAGTAAGTACACGTCTACCGAGATGAAGCAAGGTTGACTTACGTGAAAGGCTCGGTACCGAATTGAAAGGCTGTGATGATAATATTAGCGATTGGGTTAATGGTAAAGTACAAAGGGGATACATACTGAGAAGGTACTGCTTGCTGGCAGGGTATCCCTGGCTGTTGGCAAGGTAGTTGAAGAATTGCTTGACATCAGAGTTGAAGCTGTTAACAGGGCTGGAAGCGACGAAGCTGAAGACCTTCATGCTTCCGTTCATGCCCACCCAGAGCTCCCAGCTGCGGCCCTCAATGTTGACAGTGGCCTGGCGAGATCCAATGGGCTGGACGTTGCCATATCGGGCGAGCCTATCCCAAACAGTCTTAGTATCACCCCAATATCCGATGTTATTCAGGGGTACTCACCAGATCATAAGCTCATAGTCACCACTGTAGGTAACATGGTTGGGGTCGGCAGCCGTGAAAAGATCATAGGCAACGTTGGCGCGAACGTTGGTACCACTATAGGACCAAGCAGCAGCAGACTGCATGTTGCTGATGGAGCTTACAAGGCGCTTGGTGCCAATCTGAAGAGCAGAGTTGGGGTAGGCCTTGACGTTGTCTTGGCCGCCGGACCAAGTCCAGTCAACGTGCCATCCGGCGCCGTTGTTGTTGGACCAGTCGATGTAAGTGCACTGAGAACCAGAGCCGGAACTCTGACCCCAGCGGTTGTTGTTGAACTCATAGCCGCCGTTGGCGTAGTAGGAGTATTGGTCGCAAAGAGACTGGGCAATGGCGAAGGGGGCGAAAAGCCCGGCGAGGAAGACAAGAGAACCCTTCATGGTGGATTCGGTATTAAGATGGAGTGATTGTGTTGAGAAGATAGACAATGAGTTACTATTGATTTGGATCTCTGATGAACGACTATATTCACGACAACTTGTCCGTTCCTTTATACTCATCTCCAAATGGAGAATTTATTTACATGCTATGCCGAATTCAACCACGGAAGTTTCTCCGTGAACATATCGAGGCCTCAATCTGGAGCTCTTTCATCTCAACACAGAATAATGGCCAGTTACGATGAAGCCGTCGTACATTCGAAGAACATAGTCGGTCCGTTTCTCAACTTCAAGGTTGACTTTTTCGCAGACTAACGGGACTTCTTAAACATGAGCCGACGGAATTCCCACCATCTTGGCCATAACTTAGCTATCTATGCCAGGACCGAAGACACCAAAGTGAGATTAACCCCTGCTACTGTCACTCTGAAACAAACGCAGGTTAGTACACCATTTGTCATCGCCTTGTTTTTTGGCACCTTCTCCACTTGAGCACGGCAATCCTTGGTAGAATCGGGGGTTGCATTCGGAAGTCTGGATAAACTACATATCCTGCTTGTAGGTGATATTTTCCCGCGGGAGTGATGCCATTATGGAAGGTAACCCCTGGTATATATATGGGACGTACCAAACTTGGTGTTGAACTCCTAGTCAGCCTATCACGAGGTCTACCAAACGGAGGCTAGATTCCGTTCTGGAATGGGACAAGTCTAGAGTGTGGGGAAGCGAGAGCAACTTCAGGAACAGGTTTGGGAGACGGTCCAACGGGCCGGGAAAAACGTCAATCATTCTTGATTCCGTATCGCGGAGGGCGCGAACCCAGCTGCATAATCGGCCCATTATGCCAGTTCAAAGTCTATCCCATTGTTCCTTGTATGACAGCTGATAAGATAGTTGGGATGACGATAAGTCTTATCGTCCAAGCCACGTTTCAAGCCACGGGAAGTGGGTGATGGCGTGCTCTACCCGGGAGAGAGAATATAATTTATATATTTAAGAGGACTGCATCTCTCACAGACACTGTCAAAATCACCCTATACTGCCTTTATCAGCTATTACCAATTCTTTGCCAAGAAACGGTTAAATTGACAAAATGTCAACGTAGCAGTCTCTTCAACTCCGCACTCACTTGCATTCGGCATGTAGATCGTTGTTGTCAATGCATTCAAAGACTCGTTCCTACAGGCGCGCATACTCTCACAATACGAGCTACGGAATAACACTGATACCATTTTTGGTAAATACTGACTGTGTTATACATGTCCAATATGCTATAGCTATCACGCCGCCTTTAACAATTACCCCGTTGCAGCCTCGCCCCATCAGGAAAAACTCGTCCGAAGTGAGGAAGCTTATCGATAAGCCCGGGAGAAAACCATCAGCTCGGAGTAAACGCCCAAAAGGTAGGCAGTTTGCGATGTCATGTTTTCTGGAAGAATTAAGGTATTGCCCCTAATTTACGCTTGTTTGGCAATGATTGTTTTCCTCGACGTAGGCGAAATTGCAGTGCCACCGTCCGAGAAACAGACCTCCTCACCAATTGATGGAAAATGATCTACCGGCTAATAAAACTATTGCTGTTTCGAAACATCCCCATGCAAGTCTCAGTGCGGCAGGGGATATAGCCTCGGACCCACAGACTCCGGATCCCTCATTCGACCATTGATGAACATTGTCGGCTGTTTAGAGCAATGGGTTAACTGCCGGGTTAAACTTGTTTGGATTTTACGCATGATAGTGTCAGTGCAGAATGGCCGGTTTGGGAAACCCTGGAGAGGAGTATTCAGGGCTGGCACGGGTGAAGCTTCGGCAGCTGGAATTCAGGACAGGTCTAGGAATACGAGAACTATATAATAATCTTCAATTCACCTTCAAGAGATACAATTCTTCTTCATCACATAAGGATCTGCTAGACAGAACCACTACTTTCTTCTTCTTCTTCTCCACAATCCACCAGGAAACTGAAAAAGGCTCGGTCCTTTCGTTCACAATGCGATCTCTTCTCACCCTCACCCTCGCCCTCTTCGCCTCAGCTGGGCTCGGCGACGCTGCCTCAGCTGGCTGTGGCAAGCAGCCTCCCTCCAGCGGAGTTAAGAACATGCAGGTCAACGGCAAGAACCGTGAATACACGCTCCAGCTGCCCAACAACTACCAGAACAACAAGCCCCACAAGCTCGTCTTCGGCTACCACTGGCTCAGCGGAAACATGGGCAACGTCGTCCAGGGAGGCTACTACGGTCTTCGCAACTTGGCTGGTGACTCTACCATCTTCATTGCTCCCAACGGCCTCAACGCCGGCTGGGCTAACCAGGGTGGTGAGGATATCACCTTCACTGATCAGATGCTTGCTTTTGCCAAGCAGAACCTTTGCATTGATGAGAAGCAAGTCTTTGCTACTGGCTTCAGCTACGGTGGTGCCATGAGCCACAGTGTCGCCTGCTCCCGACCCAGTACGTCCCCATCCTGACACATTACAAGTTATCTATACTGACTCTTCGTAGACGACTTCGCTGCTGTTGCTGTCATCTCCGGTGCTCTACTCTCCGGCTGCAACGGTGGCAACACTCCCGTTTCTTACCTTCACATCCACGGTTCCGCCGACAATGTTCTCAGCATCCAGCAGGGCCGCCAGCTCCGCGACAAGTGGATCGGTACCAACGGCTGCCAGCAGAAGCAGGTCAACGATCCCGCACCCGGCGCTCAGAACTTCGTCAAGACCTCGTACCAGTGCAGCCGCAAGCCCGTTACCTGGATCGCCCACGGTGGTGGCCACGTTGCCGACCCTACTGGCAACGGTCAGAAGTTCGCCCCTGGTGAGACCTGGAGCTTCTTCAACGCCGCGGCTGGCAAGAGCGCCAAGCTCCGCTGTTAAACAACCTGAGCGTTGGTCAACTTTGGAGGTGGTAAATGCCTTCAGTGTCTCTAAGCTTTGGACTTGAGACGTGGGGAGGGAGATCTTACATTCCTTGTACATTGCAACCAGGTGGAAGTATTATTACATACAAGTGGTCCAGTTCTACCGAGGGATCCAGCACATCCTTCACTGTACATAGTTAAATGCCTTGGTGGGCTAGGATGACAATACATCACCGTGTACCGGTATAGCTTGACTAGAGATTAAGTCCCATTGAGATATTTTTCATTTTAATACAAAATCAGCATCCTCATTCAGTTTAAAGTCTCCAAATACCACGTCGTCAAGAATGAAATCATTCTAAGCGTTAATAGCAGCCTGTCTTAGTTCATAATCCCACCAAATCTCCGGTCCCAAATGCTGCCTTTTGTGTATTCCTATACCGTCTTTTGAGTCCTGTGCTCTCTGCTGAGACTCCTGTCTCGCGAAGTAAAGCCAGACCATATCGTTAGGTGTACCTAGCCTCCGCCTGTAGATAGACCATAGAGCTGGAAACATCTCAACTCGTTTCATGCTTTGTCGGGGGATATGGCCCAGAGAGTTAACGAGGTGCAAGTTGGTTGAGTCATCTGGTTTCAGCCAGCGAGCCTTGGCGCTATTTGAGCTCGGAAACTGTTCGATGCATTTTGTAAATCCCGCTAGAAACTTTTTTGACTGGCCGTCGTCTCTGCTGGCTAGCTCCAGGAGCTGAATATCCCACATACCACCAAGCGAGACATTCAACTGATGAACCAAGAATCTAGACATGTGATGAACGTCGAACCCAACTTTATTAATGGTCTTCGACTCAAGAATGCTGCGGAGAGATGCATCGTTGTCACCGACAGTAGATACAGCAGAGGTGCCAAGTCGTTTTAAGTTGACGAAGTAGAGCGTGTTAGTTGGCAGGACCAACAGCTGCAGGCCGGCCGACTGATTTTGGCCGACAACTGATGTATCAAGGTAAATTGAGGGTGGGTTGTTGGGAAGGCCATCAAGATCTCGTAGTAATTGTTTCAGTTTAGGGATTGAGTTGATAGTCACGGTGAAAGGGCCATCCTCCTGGGCTGCGGGGGAAAGATTCTGGCTCATGATGATTTCAGATGTAAGCTGAATAAGGAATGGATCGTTAAGTGCAAATGGGCCAAAGGCGATTTTGTGGTGAAGATCGCTATTTATTTAGGATATTATCCCCTTCTGTTTCCTTGACGTAGACCCCTGACCTCCACACCAAGTGGTAGCCAGTCAGGGATATAAGAAAGAAACCCTAATCTCTAATGCTTTGAGTTAACTGGTTGGCTGTACGTCTCTCTTTCCCCTTCTGTCTGGGAATTGAACAGATCCAATCGACCTGCTTGAAGTTGGGATAGTCGGCCTCCCGCATTTGCGCCACCGCGCATTGGTGCCTAACGCCCTGGTGCTACATACCAAAATCAATTCTACGTAGAATTCATTTTTACAGGACCAATTAAAATAAATAAAACCAATAGTACTTCTCTCTATATACTAATTTATATAATAGTAAAAGTCCTAGCAGTTTTAATTATTATAAAAAGCTACCTTATAGACTCGGCAGCTATATTAAGTCTACTTACCTAAGCCTCCTTAATGCTAACTTTATGTATTAGCAGTTATTAGCTATAAGAGAGTATTTTTAACCTTCTCCCCCCTCTCCTTGTTTTTTTTAAATAATAAAAAAAAGGTTAGGGCTGCCCCTGCCTAAAGCCTTTATAAGCAAGACAATCTGAGAATATCCCCCTATTAATATAATTAATATCTTTTTATAAATGCTTTTATTATTACTAAGTATTATTTATATTTTCCTCTTTCTTTACTTAAGTTCTCTTTTTTATATTACGTTTTTAAGTAAATTTAATAAATAAAATATTAGAAATATACCTCTTTTAGCTCTTAAGAGTCTTATTAAGTAGCTATTATAGCTATAAGGACTTAAGACATAAAATAAAGCTATTTATAAGTATTATATTTTAAAGGTAAAAAGTAATAATAAAGAAAAGACTGTATAAAACAATATTTTCTAATACTTCTTAACTATAAGTTAAATATAAACTATTAATTAAGTTTAATTAAAATAAGGGTTTTATTATAAGATAGAGAATTAAATAATTAATTTAATAATATTAAATATAAAGGAAAAGAGTATAAAATTATATATAAAAAAAAGTATAAAAAGCTAGAGTCCTTAGGGAAATCTATCTTTTTATATTTATTATTATAAATATTTATTTAACCTTACTAATAAAGCTTAATCCTTTTATCTTAAAATACTTATTATAATTATTATAATATATCTTTCTAAACCTTATTATTTTATAAAAAGAAGAATATGTTTTTTTTTATAATTAAAGTATTATTTTATATAATTATAATATAATAAAATTATAGTATTATATTAATATTATATTCAAAGCGGGGTTAGGACCGGAATGTGTTAGGACTTTTGCATAGAAATATACCTCCTTTCTTTTCCATAGTGTCTAGCCTGTATCTTTATTAGCATATTTGCGGTTTTAGTTGAAATGTTAGATGATGTCTACTAGGCATAGTCGTCAGATTGGTGTGAGACATTAAAAAATTAGACTTCCACCCTCTTAATACAGTTTAACATCAGGAGGTATCTCAGCCTAGTCTCCCCCATTATGCGGTGACGAATAGATGTTCCTTCCAAAACCCTGCTTTTGCCTACCGTGTTCATGTGATTCGTCATTCAAAGAATCCATATGAACCAGAACTCGGTCTTGAAGGGCAACTGCTTTCCCATAGACCGCAATAACATGCTCATCCCCATATCCTATTAGTTCAACACTGGGAGGGTCGTGAATATATCCAGGTCTCGACTTTTTCCCATCCCTTTCTGATATAGCATATAGAAAGTCTGCTAAGAACGTATTAGACCAATGCGAATCCGCAAAGAAAGCTAGCGCAAGCCATGCAGCTCCCGCGAGAACCAGAGCAAAGATGCTTAGAAGGATCTGCAGGCCAGATATAGCAACAGTCAACTTATCAACACTGATCATAACCAGAGCTGGATCGATGCTGACTATATAGCCCCTTGCGACAAGTAGGCCTTCCATCGCGGCCGACATGTTCCGAGTCCAGGACATGACGCTGTCATTAAGGGACTCGGAGCTGATATTGGAACGGCCATTACCGAGGCCATGTAGTATCAGAACAGCGGCAGTGTCTACCTGGCCGAAGAACACGTGACTGTTGTCATCGGTTGTAGATCCGACGCAATCAGTCTGTGTGACCCTTCCACCAAACGCCTCATTCTGGAATGATCCACGGGCGCATTTCTCAAATGGTATTATCGGTTTGTCGATAGTTTCAGATCTTATCAGCGTAATATTGACCGATGCGAAGTTAATCAGCGAAAATAGGTCTTCCCCGGTACTGCTGAGTGAGACAGTAAAGTAGCCCCAGCTGGATTGAAGCACCGTGAGGTTCCCGTTATCGGCTGCGTTGACTCCGAAATGGTAGCTAAGATCTTGACCCTGAGCGTTCATAATGTCTTCCGCAATATGGTCTATGAGCGGGTTGTTCCTGTCGGTCTGGTTCGTGCTCCAGGTCCGGCGTACCAAATCTCTGACTTCCAGCGCCGTAAATGGAACTCCCGGGTCAGTCAACATGGTAACGCGAGATACATACTCAAGAAACGTATGTCGTCTCGTCCCCTTGGTCACGGTAAAGACCTGCATCATAGCCGTAGAACCACCTCCTCGCCCCAAAGAAAACCAAATATTATCGGCTCTATTTGGGGTGACGTATCTTGAATCGAGCTTCAGGTCTGACTTGTCGTTCCAGTGTACTTCGGGCCTCCCAATGACCTTTTCCTCTAAGTTTTGTGAGAATGTGTTGTTAAAGGTGCAATTCCAGTAAGCCGAGCCTCCACCAACGGTAATGCACTCAGGAAACTCTTGGCCGTTAGCGACGGCCGTTTCTGGGATCATGGCATCACTATCTGGTGAAACAGAGAAGCCGTCGTCATCAAGCCAGATTCGCGCCCCGACGCCATACTGCCGCGTCGGTGTTGTGATTTCGGGAGATCCCCTTTGGACTTCACTAGTCAAAGTATAGTTTAGGCCTGGCTTAAAAAGCTCAGACCCCATAACCTGTGGGAGTGTTGCCTCTGTCTCTTGTAATGTACTGGGATCAAGATGCAGCTGGATGATATAAGGGGAATCCTGGTTGCGCCAAGTCGCATACTGGGCAACTGTGACATTAGATGTCTTAAAGATGTAGCCTGGAGCATCTAACGCCCAGAGTAGGGTCCCATAAAGGGACGCAAGCGTGTTAAGAATGGTGAAGAGGAGAACAATAAAGCTGGCGCGGGAGATGCCACTGGACGAGAGGAAGTGCCAGCGTTGAATGTAATCTTCGGCGAACATAAGATACGATGCAAATTGATTGGAAAGTGCCGCAAGGAGGGAGAAGAGCTTGTAGATAAAAAGCGCCATGAGAACCTCCGCCAGTTTGAATACTATGGATTTTACTGCATTGTGCGGTAGAGAGATTGATGATGAGATAAAAGTGGATGATGACTTAATCATATTGGCAATTGTCTATCAAAATGGATAATATATGTTCGTACGTACTTTACTACCTATGCGTCTCTCTATCCTTTTATTCACTTTTCCCATCAGGCTTCCCCAGCCTCGGTCAACTTGTTGCGATAACACTCAGATCTCAGCCAATCGACATGGCGGCAAACTATCGACCTAAGCATGTCAGCCATGCCCGCATATGAGACTAACAATCCCATGAACAGACTAGCTTGCAGCGCTTTGATACCAGTCTGTTATTTATCAGGGAATAACTTCTGTAGCATACGCAGTAGGTACTTAGCTAAGTATAACAATGGAATTAAATTAGGGGGCTTCTTACTAATTTAAGCTTCTTCTCTATTTCTATTAAACTTATAGAAAGGCATGGAGATGTTAAATTATCTAACTAGCTCCAACTAACCCGAGAGCCTTATAAGCAGACGATGAACTGTTTAGCAAGGGCCAACCTGTAGGACAGGCGCGGATTTGGATTAACCTACCGATCGGGCATAGTCGACTAAGGCGTTAAAGGTTTAGCAGTTACTTGTAATGTATGCATGCACGGCCTTGAAAGAGACAATTTCTTAGCCTTATGCTATAACTGGAGCCGACGGAACAGCGGTCTAGAAACACTACAATTAATGTCTAAGACAGCATTGCATTTTGCCAGGCGTCAAAGCGCAGGAATCACGCTCTGTCCTACTATCCTTCTAAGTCACCTAACTTAAGCCCCTCTACCCGCGCCACGTCATCCTCCTTACTCGGTTCACTCGCATCCTCATCCTCATAACCACTATCACTCTTACTATCTTCCCTAAAGTACTAATCGCTTTATACTTAGGCTGCCTTAGCCCTCTCTGCATATTCTACCCTAAACTGCATCATATTCTTTTTATAACCTAATATACTACTGCAAACATCTGCTCTCCCTCCCCCTCATCAAACACACTAAATCCCGCACTCGCGGAAGTCTGACGCCACCACTTAAACCACACCGCGGCGCTCGGTCTGCATATTCCGCTTAAACATCACTGCGCTAGCGCTAATGGTGCCAACCATAAGGTAGGCTTTCTCGTTGACGAGGTATACATCGAGGAGCTTGCGGCAGATAGTTAGGTTATCGGCCTAGAGCACGGCGAAGTAGTCCGGCCCATGCTTTAGTCTGCGGGTGGTGATGCGTGGGTGGTGAGAGCTGAGGAGGATATAATGATGTAGTTAAACATTAGGCCTTAGAAATTTCGGATAACGCGGCTAAGCAGGTTAGTATTTTCAGAAGTAGATTTATAGTTTTAGGGGATTAAAAAGGTCAGTTTATCCTTTTAAATAGCTATTTTCTCCTTATTTACAGTTTTAGGCAGAGATATTGAGTGCTAGTATTACTAAAGTATTTAGGTTAGCGGAGATAAGACCGATATTATCGACATAAATATAATACATAAAGTAAACTTCTCCGCGGAACCCTCACCACAGTAAGGCTGCCAGAGCCAGCTCAGCTCTGAGGTGGTGAAGCGTCAAAGCGTCAAGTGGCTGCGGAGATAACCCAACCGAGCTGCAGTTTGAGCTCGGGCGCACTCAGCCGTATGTTCTATGCGGCCGGCCTTATTAAGATCTTTGTGACTAATAGATGAAGACATGTATGTCCTGGGGTTCATGTATGTCTTCACTTGCAAGCCTCTTCTTTCGCTTTTTTATGAATACTACTCCTGGAAACCTTTACTCTTTGGTCATCAGACTCCTGCCAGAACGCCAATCCTCGGCTGATCCATGTCTTGCTAGCGCCACAAAATTTCCCACCCAAACTTAACCGTCGGTTGCCAGCTGACGCAAACAATAATTGTCAGGGTTTTTCCATGAACTCTACTAAAGTTTATTGCACCCATTATGGGTAGTTAACGGCATATAACACAATATAAATCCCGCCGGATCTAACTACCTTAATCTCACTGGATTTATATTATACTATTTACTATACTACTTCCTACTTTGGGTTAACTTTGCTGTAATGGATACTTGTAATTCCCTTCGTCCTTGGGGTTATCCGGTCTGCCTCTACTGTATGCACGGGCCATGGCTAACCCCCAGCCACTTTCAACTACATTGAAAAAAGCAACCAAACTTCAAATCAATTATATTGCTGCAATTTAGGAAAATACTCTCTTTGAACTAATCTTGGGACTGATCTATTAATTCTCGCACAGCAGAAAGACTCGTGATGATGAAATGTCAAAACATGTACACGACGTGTGAAGTATTGTGTTGAATGACAAACGAAATTATGCAAATTGAGGCTTGCTGCCTGTTCCCCTTAGTCCTTTCTCTAGTCCATGACCTTGTCCTGGTGGTCTGTTAGGCTACTTAGAACATTCGCTATATGCGTAGCACTTCCTATCATAAAACAACAAGGTCTGCTTCCCCCTACCCGATGTGACACCAAGACTCTTGAGGTTCTTCCCATAAAGCTGACACGTCTTATCCTCACCGTAGCCAAAGCTCATACACTGCTTGCTCTTCAAACAAGTCTCTGCGCAAGTGCTCACGCTCTTAACAAAAGAGGCTGTACCAATAATAGATCTGGATGGAACGCGGGCTTTTGTCACATTCCTCTTACAAACCGAACGTGGAGGGGCCTTGGTATTGGCGATAGCTGAGGGAGTACATGCTAGAGAAGCCTTCTTGGACGTTGTGGATGTTTTGGCCAGGCTGGCTTTCTTGTTCACAGCCTGGGTAGCCTTGGTGTTCTTGGTAGTGGCTGTTGTAACAACAGAGGTCCTGGTTGGCTTATTTGTCTTGATACTAGTTGGTTTCTTGCTGGTAGTTGATGTCTTCGGCTTCTTGTTCGAACCAGCCTTCTTACCATTGCTGGTGGACTTGGTACCAGACTTCTTCTTGGATGTCGGATCGAAGACAGGCGCTGGTTGTGGCCCGACACAATAGGCGAATAGACCACTACCACCGCAGTCCATCCCGGTTCCTGACATACCACCCTCATCGTCAGACCCATCATCGCCAGTCCCGTCATTGACATAGCGAATGCATCCTTCAGCAATGGGATCACTCTCCATGGGATCAATGAGAGGAAACTTCGTTGTATCGCCACCAATTGTGACAAATGCATCAGCGGAGTTCTCGAAATGGATGTTCCAAGCGATGCCGTAGCAATCGCCATCAACATCTGTCACAATCTCACCATCCTCAGGGACTGTCGCACTAACCTCGAAGCTCCCTTCCAAGACAACCGAGGGTGTGTCGACTACTCCTCCCTTGGCTGACCATAATCCCCCCAAAACATTGAGCTTGACACCGACACTAGCAGGTATACCCAGAGACGCCTCCATCTTGAGCTCACCAGTAGCTTCGGTTCTGTGTGTAAATACCGGGGTGAGACCATTGGAGTGACTATTATCAGAGTCCAGAAGATCAACCAAGATATCAATGTTCTGCCACTCTACCGAAGCTCCAATGAGCAAGGTTCCGGTTGCTTCAATAGCCATTTCAACTTGGACATCGAGACCGATATAAGGTCCAACAGTGCAAAGGAGTGGAATGCCGAAGCTCCACGGAGAGAATTCTGCGACAGGGTATGTCCATTCCTTCTCGTACTTGACGAATGCTTTCAAGCCAAGGTTGAGCCCAGCTTTGAACCGGGCGTTGAACTGGATCTGGGCTACCTCGATACCGCTGAAGATGCTGGCTTCAATGGTACCAGTGAGAGAAGCCTTGCCGCCAAATCCACATTCCACGCAATAAAGGATCAGACCATAGGACAAGTCACGCTCTGCAAGCGTGGCGTTATCCCAACGCTTGTGATGGCCGTTTGGATCAGCAACTTCGCCCTTGGCATACGAATCATCCTCTTCTCCGCCTTCTGGGACCCATTCGATGAGCTTGGCAGCATTTTCCCACGGCGCGTCTTCATCAGTACCGAGAATGCCTTCATCATTGAGATATTGATGCCATTCGTAGGTCTAAGTCTTGCTTACGCGCTTAAGCATATGTGGCTCGAACATATGTACAACGTCAGTTCAAACTTGGATTATTGGCAGCAGAGGTTGTAACTTACAGCTCTTTTATTAATGGCCCGCCTGACATTCAGTGTTCCGATTTTGCCAAAGTCGAGCTTGAAACGCTTATATACATCGTCATAGTCGGTCGTGGAACCCTTGGCAGTGGATGTCTTCGTGCCATGGTTGAATGCGATGGATTGAGCAAGGACCAAGTCGTTTGCGTAATCTTCTCCACAACTATCCACGGAAGTGATGAATATGATCTTACCAGCTCCCTTCCATTAGGTCTTGGCGTAATTATAGGCAGCGAAATTTGATATAGTACCACTCAATGCGCCTTTGGTTAAAGATGGCGTTATCACGCTTTCGCATTCCTTTCGACCCAGGCTCCAAGTCTGGTGTACCAGTCCAGGCCAGAGTGACCTGTTTGTCGAGGGTGAAGACTGAGCAGTCTTTCGGGTCAACCTCTGGGGGAATGATGGCTCCAGAGTTGTGCTGTTGTCGCTGGTGCTTGTAGCATTGGAATCATCTCGACGGTTGAGAATCGGAGGGTCATGGCTTGGAGCAGTAGATGCGCTAAGGATGAAAAGAGGAAGCACAATGAAAGATGTGAGGTGCTTGGTGAGGATCATGATGGGCACTTAATGCTCGGATGCATCAAGTAGCAGATCGAAATAATGAGAAATAGAGAAGGGAATAAATGTAACGTAGGTGATAGGTGGAAAAGCTTCAACTTCAACATCAGGGTTATGGCTCAACGTGCAAGTCGCAGAGCAACCATCCCAACTACTTCATGTCCAAGAAGGGCGCTGATACTGGGGCTGGGTTTGTTGTTGGTAATGGCAAATGTGGTTTTACTTATAGCGGTAACAGCGATGGCTCGGTGTTTAGCGTTGATGTTTAAGTTTATAGATATATTGTTACCGGGCTGCAGACTATTGCGTACAGGCATCGAGACAGTGGCTTCAATTGATGTCAGTATAATTTATCTACTTAAAATCTTTCTAAGGGATGGAAGTCCTTATACACCTATCACAACATATAGCTCCCCCGTCGAGTCACTCGTCATGAACAGCCTTCCGGACTTGTCAAACGCCAGGCCCGCCGGCCTGAAACACCCTGAAGGGCATTTGGAATTGTCCGTGTTCCACATCAGCGGCACTTCAGCTTTAGGGTCGTCAGATGCTGACACTGGTTCGCCGTTTGCAAAGTCCACCTTGCTAAGACGGTAGCCATCACCAGGATTGCGGTTCCTGAAATCAAAGCCCATGGTTAGCTAACACTCGTGTAAGAAGGGAAATCACACTGGGGGGTTTTGGTTTGGGATTTCGCCCACTAACCAGCTTCCATGGAATGCAACATATGCCGCGCCACCATCTCGAAACTTGATGTCCAATGGCGCAAGGTGTGATCCGAACGTAATCCTCGGCGCCTGCTTCTCCTGGCATTCCTCATCTGTGAATCCCAGATCCTTCTCTCCCTCCGGCGTGCCAGCCATTTGCTTGCCAACCTTTGCTCCGCCTGGGTAGTCATTGATGACGGAGGAGTCGTAGATGGCGAAGCATCCAGGATATCCGTAGTTGGCACCGTACTGGGCGCTGGAGGTGTCATTGGGAAGGCCATGGAAGTTGAGTTCCTCGCCAGGATTGCTGTTATGGATATCGACGTCACCGCGGTAAAGATTGTCGACTGAGTTCTCAACCGACCACTGCACACCAGGTCAGTTCAAAAGCTCTGCCACCAATCCCAAAGTGCTGGCTGAAAAAGAAAGGCTATGCTTACGATATGTCCCGTAGAAGGGTCCTCTGCCCAGCCAACACTGTTACGAAGACCCCAGCCAAGTAATGACGCCCCGCCATACTCCAGAGGAGCATCCGCCGTCAACAGCTCATCAATTTTGAAGACTCTCACCTGGCTACGCACAACATCCTTGTCCACAGTTTCGGTGTCCAAATTACCATCGGATCCGCCAGCCACGAGCAGCAGGTTGGGATTGCCAGCGAGAGGGATCGTCAAGGTGCGAGTAGAATGAGTCGAAGAGCCATCCATACCCGTGATGACGGTCCGGCGGGAGCTGACGCTGCCTTTGGAGGCATCGTAGTCATAGGCGTATACCTCGCTGGGACTAGAAACGAGAATGGTTTTACCATCGGCGGTGAGAGCAATGCCGTGGTTCAGCTATATTCGCACAGACTTGTTACTTACTTCCTAGCCGCTGGGATTAAAAAAAGAAAAAAACGTACATTCGCGTCAGAAATCAAGGCGTCGTAAGAGTCGATGCAAACATCGAGGTTTTTACCACCATCGAGGACAACCCTCCTCACACCCTTGCTGCCAGCCTCGGCGATCAGAAGATTGCCCTCGGTGTCGACAACAAGATGTCGAGGCCGCTGTAGACCGGTGCGCAGGAGTTTGTACTCGACGCCATCAGCGGTAGCGATGTTGGCCTTGGGAGTGAGATTGCATTGTGCAGAGGCGAGGCCTATAAGAGTTGCTCCAGCTGCGAGGAGTACCTGTACTAGACGTGGCATTGTAGTCCTTTTAAAGAGGCGCTCGCTGTTACAAAGAGGATGTGATATCGTGTCAAAGGAGGGCGACTAGTGAGGAAATATATATATTGAAGGGGGTTAATCACTGCCTTAAACATCACAATTAGCATCCCTCTCTCTCCTGCCATTCAGGCCCACTAACCCATGAATGACATCATCCCACTCTTCAAAAGACTGGGAGGGGAGAGAGAAAAAAAAAATCCCTGCTCAATCCAAGGTTCTGTCCCATATCGCATCCTTGTAAGACGTGACATCGTCCAGCCATTGCCCAGGCCACTACTTCCCCCCTTCACTCATACTTCCCACACAGACATGTACAGTATAAGCTTAAATGCTAATATTTCTAAGCTTGTAGCCACCCGAAAACCCCCAGCCTAGCGCTGCTATTACAGCACCTTGAGATACCTTCTACTCTACAGATCCACATGGATTGCCCTGGAAGCCCCTCCATTCCTTGCCTTATCTAAATTCTCTCCAAAGTGCGCTTCTTCGACCACTTGCCCAATCAGGTAGCTATCGGCCGGTGCCCCGATGGCCCAATCAGGCAGGTGTCAACCATGGTTCCGATGCTTCCCCATCCAATTTCTTCACACCGGCTATTCTCTCGCCTCTCAGTCACATTGCTCAATGCGAGGCCCTAATCTGGAAAGACTTTTATACGTCACAGCATCCTTAGTAGGATTCTCTGCTTATTCGTTTCTCGACAGGCAGAGTTCTGAAGCGAACAAAAACGGCTGCCTAGACTCACTTAAATAATGAGTCAAATCAGATAGAAATGCCTCTCACTGGCCCAAAGAAATCAGGGTAAGGATTGCATTTCAGCAGCAACAGTAGCATAAAGATCAACACTTGGGAAGGGGCGTGACAGTAAAAAGGTATTAATGGGAATAGTGCCTATAGTAAGGTCCAAGTGTGGGATCTAGATCCGTGTGGTTATAGCTGGCTAGGTGAATTCCCAGATAGAACCAGGATTTGGTACCGTTTGCGAAGTAGGTATGCCGGGAGACTCAGTGCATGCGTGGATGCTGCCGGAGTTAACTGCTGACTTATTCCCGCATTTACAGTATCAACAGTGTTAAATGCCAATATTGGAATTTAAAACGATATCTTCTTCTTAGACAGGTATTTCGCGATTTCCTCTGTTGATTGGTATAATATTTACCTTGACAAGTGTTGTGGCTAATTTTGCCTATATTTACATAGGTATTTTCCAAGGCTCTCGAAATTTCACCAAGTTTCACGCACCACACTAAACCACGCCGCTAATACACAAATAATATAAATTGGGAGACTATTTGCTCCTAAGGATCCTTCTCGTCTCAGAAACCCTTTTGCTCGCTTTCTATTCGTATTTCCGCCAGAATCAACCTCATCAGGTAACAGCTCTCTATGGGTTTAGCTAAACGCCGCCAGAACTGGCATCCCGTTACTTGTCTTCACCGCCATGCCGTGATTAATCTGAACTGCTGAGATTCACGGGAGCCATCGTCGGTCCAATCAACGTGGAAGAAGCCCGCGTCCAACAGCGTCGACTTCCACTTATACTCATCGGCCAGTGCGTAGGTTCGGTCATCATCGAACCGCCACCAACCATCCAGCAAACCGAACACGCAGTCTAGCCAGGCGAGAGGCCGCGTTAGCTCCAGAAGGCACAGCATGCCGCCGTCCCTACGAAGCAGCCTTTCTATGTTGGCGCAAGCTTGTCCCAGGTTCCGTGTCGCGTGGATGCAGTTTGATGAGATGATGAGATCGTACGACTGCAGCATATTCGCCGGTGGCGGCTTCTCAATATCGAGAACTGTGAACTCCATATTGGATTGCCGCTTCTCGCTGCCGTATAGCGCGCCAAACGTCTTCCTGGCGCTTGTCACGAGCGCCATAGAAATGTCGGTGAATGTGTAAGTGAAGTCGACATTGGATGCCAACAGCTGATCCATAACATTCCGCGTTGTCGCGCCAGTGCCCGCGCCAATCTCGAGAACTCGTAGCATTTCCGTACCACCAAGCTGCGATAAGACTCGGTGGAGGAACTCGCCGAGCATTTTGTTCCCAGTCGCAAACATAGGGGAGCTAACGTACACGTCTTCCAGGAGCTTGACCGAGGCCGCATCCCGGAAGAGTAGCTGCAATGGATCAGCTCGACCAGAGAGGCAATCTGCAAGGTGAGAACCGGTGACATTGAGCAGCTGATGGTCTGGCCGGTACTTCGGACACTCATTCAGGAGTTCGCGGTAAATGTCGGCTGAAGATGCGAGTTGAGGTAGAGGCTCCGCTGTCTGGGAGCGGGTCGACTGGCCCTCACGGACAGAGATCAGGCCAGCGCCTTCCAGAATCTTATGGAACCGAGACACAAGCTTTTCATATTTTGGCGTGTAGGGCACGGGGGGCAACGGGTCTCCGGCCTGGAGTGCGCTGAGATCACACCCCAAAGTTCTGAAGGCTTCTAATATGTATGCAAGCACCAAGAACGTCTGCTTTTCATACAAATTAGAGTAGAAACCAGCGAAGCCTGTCATCTGTGCAAATGAGCTGGTCTCTTGCTTGATTTGAGCGAACTCTAGACGAGTCTGAGTGATAAAAGGAGTAGACCCTCGGAAGAAGGGAGTGGTCCCCATGATAGGAGCAACATGGGAAGGGTTATAATTCTGCCCAGTAAGGATGCTAGAGTCTGGCTTGCTCTTGGGGGTTGTGTCTGGCAACACGGCGGATCTCCGCTCGCTGGATAGGTCATGGTATAGAACCTTGCGACAGAGATCTGAGAAGGTCAAGTTTTCGTCAATCGTTGCCAGGCTCAGCCTCTTCCCGAACATCTTCTCCATGTCTGATTGGAGCTGTATGGCAACTAACGAGTCTAATCCAATCTCCCCCAGGCGTGTATCAGGGGAGATTCCCTGGGAGCAGTTTAGGTGCTCTGCGAGCAGGCCCAGTAGAGCAACATTCTGCTGATCATGGTCGGATATTACAGAGCTCGCTGATGATGAGGGTTGTACAGAAGAAAGCGCCGAAGAGTCCATGACATCATCGCTCGAGGGGAGCCGAGATAGCCTTGGAACAGAAGTAGGATGCGAGCCTGGGACGTCGGCGGGGACATCGCCCCCGATCCTCAGTGAATCTACCTCGGAATACAGAGGGTCAATATCGGCATCTCTGACTAGTGTCGGGGCGCTATCTAGTGCTGTTTGGCCCTGTATCTGTTGGATGCCATTCATTGACTCCAGCGCCTTCTGCAAAGAATGAATCGGAACCCGTGTCAGGCCTGCACCTATAATCTCCAGAGAAAGCATATTACGGTGCGCACTGAACACAAATATGTCGCATACAATGGTCTTATCGTTCTCCCGATCCAAACATGAAAGGACCATCCAAGGTCCCTCGGACTTTCGTCCCATGTCTCCAGGATGTGCATGCGGGATAACAGCGTTAAAACCGTTGCAGATATATACGTCGTCGTCTCCAAGATCTCCAAGACTGCTGGCATGAAGCTCTGCTATGAGCAAGAAGTTGTCGAAGATGGGGGGACTGAAAACTGTCTCTTTAGAAACTTGAGACATAATGGTAGGCACGGCAACATCAGCTACCGCTTCAAGGCCCTTTGAGGTGATGGACTGGATGCCCAGGTAACTATTGTCGTAATTAGCCACTCGCGCCAGGATCTTCTTGACGAACAACCCTTGAACAGTTGCGGCACTGCGATCCTCACGTAGCTCCTCGCACCGATCGTAAAGACGGCGAAGCAGTGGCCGGCGGGGCCCTAGGTAGGAATAGCCCTGTGCCTTCCAACTGATGGTCCCTGAGGCTTGGAGTTTGCGACCCTTGTTGTCACTGTCATCGATAGGGTGGCTCTCCACGACAAATCGCCAACTGGACCTTGCCTGTTTCCGCAACGTGAGGCGCAGGCGCTTTTGGAGATCCAGACCAAACGGTGCATGCATTCTCACCTGCTCGACCTCGACGGAGGGAGGAGATGAACTGGGAGCGGATACGTGCATCTGGAGAAGGGTGAAAGCGCGCGTAGCAGCTTCTATGTAAACAGAACCTGGCGCTAGAACCTGCCCGAAGACTCTCCTGCCACGTACAAAGGCAGAGTAGTCATCACTATCTTGGTTGATGAAGAACTCGGCTGTCTCCCCATCAGCAGGCCCTACCAGAGATACCAACTTTGGTGTTTGCTGCGTTGGGTGCTGGTTCTGGCTTGCAAGCTCCGAATCTTTGTGCTTTTGTATGACAGGTAGCCAGTGTTCCGACTTTTCAAAGGGGTATTGAGGCAGCTCCAACGGCACGAAACGGCGTCTCTCTGAAGCATGGTACAGCCAGAATTGTACTCGGATGCCCTCATTCCAGAGACTCATGGTTGTGTCAGCGAGGGACTTGACTGGATTTTGGCCTTGTAGCAAAATCGAGTAAAAGGAATGGGATGAGAAGCTGGGTGTGCCGCGGTTTGTGAGCGCACGACGAGCCATAGTGACACCGGTGGAGCCGGATCCAGCCTCGAGCCAGATGCAGGGGCCTAGCTGCTGCTCAATTCTGGAAATGGCGTCGTTAAAGTAGACAGGCTCACGGGATTGTCGGGCAATCAGCTCTGGTGTGATATCATCCCAGCTGCCCCCCGACTTTGAACAAGGTTCGATGGGGATAACGGGACGGTGCAGGGTGAGCTCTTGGATAAGCTGTTGGTACTCGGGAATGATGCAGTCCATCAGGTCCGAGTGGAATCCATGGGTGACGGGTATTCGTTTGACAGAAACGTTGCGGGAGCGAGCAACCTCTTCAAACGCCTCGATGGCCGCTTCCGTACCCACCATGACATGGTGCAAGGCGGTATTATAACAGGCAATTTCGACTTTGCCAGCCCCTAACATTGACTGCGCAATGGCTTCAACAGTAGGGGCATCTGCTTCTACGCTGAGCATGCAACCTCGCTCCGAGCCCCACTTGCTCTGGATCAGCGACGCCCGGCCAGAGATCATCTTCAAGGCGTCTCGCAGGTTGAGGACACCACTAACGCAGAGAGCTGTCAGTTGGCCGAGACTATGGCCAACCACCGCCTTGATCTCTAGACCAGCATCTATCCACGATGCGGCAACCGAGTACTGCAACGAAAAGTGCATGCAGTGAAGGTCAACCAAGTCATCGACGGGCTCCGTCTCGAATATGCGTGGGAACAAACTGTGAAGACCCATGGTCTGCAAGATCCGGTCGCAGCGATCCAAATGGCGCTGCAGGAGGTTCGAGCTCAGGTAGGCTTCTCGGCTGAGAAGAGCCTGACGACCTGTCTGGCCCGCGAACACGAGCACCACGGGCTTCGGACGACCTTGCAGCCTTGGTGTCTTTGAATCTTCGCCATCTTTATGGGCTCGGGACTGAAGCCGAACCTTCAGTTCATCTGCAGATGTAGCCGAGAACGCAACACGGTGACGGCAAGACTCGTTCTGTCGTTGAGCTAGGTGAAAAGCGATGCTCGGGAGCAATGAGTCTCCAGGGACACGGCTTTGAGTCTCAATGAAGTATAGAAGAGCTCGGCAGTACTGGCGTAGGCTGGACTCGGAATGGGAAGTAATCAGGATCGGGTACTGATGAGACTGGCCCGCAGACATGATTCGTTCAGGAGATGCTAGTGGAGGTTGGCAAACAAGCATAGCCGCATTAGTCCCCGACGCGCCATAGTTGTTGACCATAGCCGCTCGGAAAGGCGCCTTCCACGGCTCCAGGCATGCAGGAATATCCATGTTTGCCTCTTCCAGCGAGGGTATGGCTGGGTTTAGCACCGAAAAGTTGGCCTGGGGCGGAATCTGGCCATTGTGAAGCATCAGTAGCACTTTGACCAGAGCAGCCACTCCCGACGCAGCCTCGCTGTGTCCTATGTTCCCTTTGATTGAACCGAGACGCAAAGGTGGCGACCCCGATCGACCGCGTCCTCCGAAGACGTTTTGAATGCTCTGCCACTCGATTGGATCGCCTTTCTGAGTGCCAGTGCCATGGGCTTCGACGTACGACACTTGGTGCGGGTGCAGGCCGGCCGTCTGCAGCACAAGCCGGTAGAGATGGCTTTGCGATTCAATCGATGGCAGTGTGATTGACCGACTTCCCTTGCTATTGTTGACAGCCGAGGCTGCCAGCACGCCGAGGATGCAGTCATTATCCGCCACTGCGGCGGAGAGTCTCTTGAGCAGGACGAAGCCTCCGCCTTCACTCCGACGGTAGCCGTCTGCGCCAGCATCAAAGGGTCGACACTGACTTGTTGGGCTCAAGAAAGAGGCCGCCGCTAGGTTCTGGTGCGACCTAGCCTCTGGGACCATCAGGTTGATGCCTCCAGCTAGGGCCATGGAGCATTCTCCCGACTGAATGGCCCTGCACGCCGTGTGGATTGCTACCCCAGAAGACGAACAGGCCGTGTCGACCACCATGGACGGGCCGGTGAAGCCGAAGAAGTGACTGATCCGACCGCTCGAGAAGGCCCGCGCAGTGCCCGTAAAGGAATATGCCGTTGGAGGATGGCTGTTCACGTTGACTTCGTAGTCGCAAGAGGACATGCCGATGTAGCAGCCCACGTTATCTGTCTCTGAGGATGACGGACTGAAATATCCCCCGGACTGTAGAGCTTCGTAGGCCAGATGGAGGCCAAGTCGATGCTGCGGATCCATATGCTCGGCTTCGCGGGGGGACTTTCGGAAAAAGGCACAGTCCAAGGAGCTACTGCTAGCTGCCTCCAGGGAGCTGTTTACCCGTTTAGCCCGAATCTCCTCCCAGAACTGCTGGGGAGTCTCCGAACCCGGAAACCGGCACGATACCCCAACGATGGCAATGGAGTCATCAGGATAGCTGTGATGAAATGCTGCGTTGGCCATGGGGCGGACGACCTGCAGTGGTGTGATGGCGAACACAGACCGGGGAATGCAATCGACAGGGCCAAGCGCTAGGACTCGAGCTTTGCTGTCGGCACTCGAGGCCGCGGTTCTCTGGGCCATATCTGTCACTGACTTGGTCATGGTGGTATACCAGTCGGCACGTTTGACCAAGATGCACTGCAAAGCCACCTCATGTAGCGGCGTCTGGCCCGTCACCACTTGTCCGCTGTGATTCCACCTTAGTGGAACGAGCGGATGGCTATGTTGGGGAAATTGGAGCATGGGCAGGGACACGCAAAGATCAGTCATCCTCTGGAGCACAGCGTCGTGCCCTTGGTGGTGGTAGCGGCCGTGCAGGTCTATCTGCTTGACCACAGCCCCCCTCTCCTCAAGATCGCAACTTAAGGACATAGCGTCCCCCTTGGGCGCCGTGATGGTCACACTGCAGGCATCTAGGCGGACACCAACGTAAGACTAGTTGCAAGTTAGCCATGTTTAGGAGACAGGAAGCGGCTTTGTCTCTGCATCTTCTCAGCGAACGTACCTGCGGATAGCTATCGAGCACAGCCCTCAATACTTCTTCTCTACCATCACCATCGCCCTCGCCCTGCGGCCAGCGCGTACATATGCAGACGGTCGGTTCTGATAGCTCGATCTCGTCAAGATCCACCAGTGCTCCAACACACAACGCTAACCTCACGGCAACAGCACCATGCTTGGCCACATCTGTGTTGGTTGGCGAGCACGCGAGGGCTATGGCAGAGAGGAGTCCGACACAGAGTCCTTGGATGCCTCCGTCGCGGACGCCCTCAAGAACGCTGGTATGCGCGTCCAAGTTCCCACGGCCATCTTCCTCACTCATATCATGACTACTCAAGTAGATCATGTATTCTGAGATATGAGAAAGAACTGTCAACACCGCCAACTGTACATTCCTTGACGTCCGTACCGCCAACGGCAAGAGGGGGTTGTCGCACTCGATCCATTCAACCAAATTCTGAAGCACTGGCGCTGCACTAACACGTTCTAGAGAATGCTCTCTCTCGACGAGTAGCGGCCAGAGTTCGGGGAGTTCTATGACTGCGTCCCTCAAGTCTGCTAGGTGTGAGTTGTGAATGATACTGGAGCGAATGCGGGACAGGTACGCATGATCAGGGTCCGATATCACCGAACCGCAGACTAGCAATGAAGGTGACTTTACAGGCATGGCTCCGATGATGATCAGCAGATACTCAAAGAAAAGGTGTAGAAAAGGTCGTGGGCTTGCTTGCTGTGCAACCGGACTTTGGAATCGCTTCAGCTCCCTATATGCCTTGCCTCGGAACCAATGCTGAGTAACCAAATCCTTTGACTCTTTCCCCGTACTGGATCGGGTCCTCGGACTCTCAGTCATCACGGCGAATATTGAGTTAGCTACGGATCGATGATAGAGCATAATCACGCCACATTTACCCCGTAATCCAAGCTCCCTTGAGTCGTTGACTGCATAATGGACCCACACATATACCGCTCAGGGGCCCGGCATGGCCGACTCATGTCTCTGGAATAGCAAGGTCTAGAACACAAAGCTGGAAACATTGAAGTCGCCTTGACATCGTAACTTCACACCCCCCCTTGGTCGAGTTGAGATGTAGGGGTTCTTGAAGATACAGGCCCGTTATTTTTACTTTTCGTCCCCCACTGGATGATATTTAACTCAAACTGGCGGTATGCTTTAATGGAGGTAGAATTCAGTTCATACTGCTATAGTGTTACTCTACTTACAGCAATGCCGGACAAGTGTCATAATGCTCCACTGGAGGCCCAATCTGGGGTTCTGAAGCAGTACACTACCAAAGCTCGGAGCCATAGACGGAAAGGTAGATCAAATCTTGGATGCTGCTTGAACACCCTTTTTCATATACTTGTGAACAAAACAGCTGTTCTACAACTCGTTTGCAAAAGCTACCTAGGCATAGAGCCTCTAAACGGAAATGTCTTCACCAGTGTCCATCAGCACACTCGACAAGGGCAATGTCACCTTGACAGGTGCAGAAGAAACCCTTCTCATCACCCTTTTTGCCCGTGCCAAAGATGCCGAGTCTCCAAATCCAGTGCTCAACGACCAGCATTCCCTCCAAGTCGTCAGTCACATCCGCGACCAGGGCTACAACTTCTCACGTACCACCTTGGACCGATCAGACAGCGGCTTCTTTACAAGCTTAGTAGCAACGCGCGCCCGGGTGCTAGATATCTGCTGTGAGCAGTTCCTGGAAAGAAATCCAGGTCCCGCTACTATAATACATCTCGCCTGCGGTATGGATTCGAGAAGTCTGCGCCTCAAGTGGCAGGGCGAGGGCAGGCTCTGGATCGACGCCGATAGGCAGGATGTCATAAAGCTGCGGCGCCAAATCATGGACGACCCAGCTCCAGGAGGCGGAGAATACCGGTTGACCGACCCCAACATCCATGATGATGCGTGGTTGAGGGACTACAACGTTCCCACGGACAGACCAGTATTGATACTCTTCGAAGGTCTGACACCCTATCTCACTCGCGAGGAAGTCGTTGGTCTCTTGAGGCGGATCATCGAGCACTTCCGTGACAGCAGAGTCAATGGGGAAATTCGTTTTGACGCCCCAGGTTCTATTTCGTATTTCCTCATCAACTACATCTTCAACAAGCCGCTGAGGTCAATGGGTACGCAATTCACCTGGTACATGGACGATCCAAGGGAATTGGAGACGCATGTCCCAGGCCTCAGGTACAAGGAACGCATGTTCGTACTGCACGACTATGCACGGTTGGGCAATTATGGATGGCTGGCCAGCTTTCTTTTACGAGTTGCCGACTGGTTTAATCTTGGTGGCCGAATCGGTTCTGGCTACGGGTATGAGTTCTGAAAGAGGCTTCGGCCAGACGAGATTGTATTTTTTAGTTTAGTTTTAGATGAATCATGGCCAAGTAATTTGAAAGAATTTTCGAGTTCAATTTTTGCAACGAATACACATGGATTGTGAGCTAGATGTGTTATTTGCAGTTGAGACCTGTAACTGAGAGCTTACAATCACCACACAGAACTTTGCAACAAATACACAGCACCATGGTGGCAGGAATTATCGACATTTTAAAGTAGTGATCAAATATATGAATCTGCAGTCTTACATCTTGGCCGGCTCTCTATCTATATCCACAGGCACAGGCGATCCCAGCCCGTCGCCAGGGACTGTCAAGTCAAGCCTTGGCAACCTTGACAACAATGTCGAAGCCATGCCACATATAATGACTGCCTGCGTCTCTATCCCACACAAAGTCACGGTTGACCAGTGTCATGTCACATGTGTACAGAATCTTGGCAACAGCCAGCCGAATAGACTGGAGCGCCATCTCACGACCAATGCAGACACGAGGTCCAAGTGAGAAAGGACGCCACGCAGTCCTGACATCCTTCTCAAACGGCGTGCCCGGCCCATGATGCTCCTCGAGCCAGCGCTCAGGCCGATACTCGTCCGGGAAGGCCCAGCAGCTGGGATCGCGGTGGAGAGAATAGAAGTCAGCACTGATCAACGTACCGGCCGGGACCCAGACACCGTCGATCATGGTCCCGGACGTGGTGATACGGTGGCTGCCGTGGCCATTCAACGGTGGCACGAGACGCAGGGTCTCGTTGATACAGGCGCTGAGCATCCGCTGTGACAAGAGACCACTGCAGGTGATATCACTTACTGAGGAGTAAGCGCGGTGCAGCTCAGACTGGAGTCTCTTGTATTGCTGCGGATCCTGAAGAAGGTGGTAAAATATGGCAGACAGAGTCGTGGCGCTGCTGTCGTAGCCACCCATTCTGCGTGGTTATACGGTGAGCAGATAAGCGCAGAAGAGAACGGGCTGAAGTCTTACAAGAGTAGCAGCATATTGCTATGGATCTCGTCAAAGCTGAGACCTGCCGATTCCTTGGCCCCCAGGACGGCAGTGAGGAAATTCTTTTGGCCTTCTTGACACGCCATACGTCTGTTGCAATTGTTAGTGGCTACCATATCAGCGACTGCTAGAACCGTATTAACTCACCGTCGGAGCTGGTCCTTTCCCAGGATGTTGCCAGACAGGCCGAAGACCCTTCTGGATACTCCGACCGAAAGCCTCGCCATACGCCCTAGAATCGGGTTCCCGTTGAGGTATTGGAAAAACTCAAAAATCGGGGCGATCTTTGCGTGGAAATCCTTGGCCTTCTCGTGATGTTCTGGTGAGGTCACTTCATCAGTCTCATGCGACACTGTATCCGTGAATTCGATGGGAATCTCATACCGAGTTGCTCCAGTGTCGCAGGTTCTCCAAAAGCGAGATTTCCCACATTGCCCCATACCAACTTGTTCAGCTCCTTCGTAAGGCTGATAGCCTGTGAGGGGTTCATCGCAGCTTCCAACAGTCTCTCCACAGTCTTTTCCACATGATGATTGGTGATGTCCTGCTGGTCCCTCATCGCCTTTGCCGTGAATGCTGGCTGAAGTGCTACTCTGAGCCTCTTATGAGCCTCGCCCTCATCGACAAGGAGCATGTTCTTGGCACCAAAAACAAATCGTAGAACCAAATCTTCAGAGGTGCCCCTCTTAGTATAATGGTGGCCATCCGGGCCGGGGTTGTGGATGTCTCTCAAGGCCCTCTCGGATGAGAAAGAAAGCTCATTAGGAGCAATACGCACTACAGGACCTGCACCCGAGCTCAGTAAGCACCATTCACGGGAAGGATTGTGACTGTATGTTCATACCATATTTGCGGTGTAAGGCTTTGATGTCATTATTTAGGCGATGGCCTGCTACAGACCTGACAAGGCTTATCTACCGCACCATTTACCAGTCAGTAAGACTGATCCTCCTGAGCAATGACGAATAGCTGGATAGACTCACCGGCGACACGGCGGCGAGGAAAGGACCTTTGATGTGTGCAATCGGATGCAGGAAGTAATTGTAGAGACATAGGAGAAAAACGAAGACGGTGAACTGAAATATGTTAGTGTCTTGGCTGTACGAGTGCGAGATAGACCTACCCCGATCACAGCTGCTTGCGTGAACACCAAAGGATCTGACAGCCATGACCGAGCGCGATGTATCTTCACCACGAGTTGGTCGAGAAGGTCCGTCATGCTTCAGTGTTGGGACAATTGTATACAGGGTGTCAGCTTCTTGGGAGGCAAATTGAAGTATCAATTCGTCTCGCATCATCAAGGCACCCTTCAATTGTGGTTCTGTTGCAGTATATGTCGAGGAACAGGATCCTGGGTGTTGGTCAAGACCAGAAACCCCGAGACTGAACTCCGGCACCTGGAAACCACTCCATCAGCCCATCCTTGACGTTTCATCGTACCATCATCAATTGATGGATTTGAGTGTGCATCGGCCACCGGTACTTCCGAGTAGAAACGAAGCGAAGGACGAGATTGCCGCTCTCGAATACGCCTAGCACATTCTGAACATCTCTGTTCGCAACGACCGCGGCCTCATGAACAATCTGGCGGAGGTTTTGCTCCCCATTACCCCTGTCCGCTGAACATCAGATCATCAAAGCCATGCAAGTCCAATGAACTTTAATCAGAATACCCCTGTATCTCAAATACTTTTAGGTTTCGGGATTGAAGATGTGGGCTAGAAACTCTACTGCCTTGCATGAGTTCTACAGGGGGGTGCAAAAAGTATTCGTAGGTGTGCAGGCAAGTCTGATGCTCGGAAGCTAGTCCGGAGTAGTTTGTCAGGCTTTCGGCCCGAATAGAAAGAGTTGCATTGAGACTACGGTCCGCTCCGAGTTGTTTGCATGTCGAGAGCTACCAAGCTTTCTGACATGACGCGGCAGGCCTAGTTTGTGGAGTGCACTGCAACTAGGGTCTCATCAAGCCTGAGTTCCATGCCCAATTAGGCTCTAGTGATCTGCCCGTAGAAGAACATCTACTCGAGGGTCTTTTGATTTAAGTGTGATCCGGTTCAACCGTTATCTATGCATTGCGAGCCTAGCCTCTCGACAAGCTAACAGTTTAGTTAAGCTGTACACTACAGGTGGGGGGCGTGAATAGTTGCAATACAGTACCTGTTGTGCTAGGATACCAAGCCTTGACGCCACGGAGTAGCCACCACTGACTCAATACATGCATTGACGGCATTTCGTATGGCTGCCGGCTGCCGATCGTGTTTTGTGTTGACAAGTGCTCGTAATTGGTAGGCTAAATTTTAGGCTTTTGTTACCCACTTTTTAACATGGATTTGGAATTATAGCCTCTTATTTGGCCAGATGCCAAGCTAATGTATGGCTGACTAGGGGTATTTCGGCCTTGGGGGTCGCTTAGTCGATAGATAGGTTCTATGCTGAGTAGGAAAAGACTTGGCGATACTAGCGACCCTTGAGGGAGGCTGCATTAGAGAATGGAGAAGGGAGAAGGCACAAGGAAGAAGAGTGTAAGGGTATGTTGATGTCTTATTGACTATTTATGAAGGATCAGCCCATTTAGTGAGATAGTCAGGCCATCTTTTTCCCTGCAATCACCGCGGCTAATCTGTTCCACAAGGCAGCGAGATGTTTATTGTAACCAGGGTGGCCATCTTGTTCCAGCAACGTGACCAAAACACGGCTAGGATGCGCATCTACATCAAACGCTTGCTACTTCTAGCCCACAGGCCTCCAGTCCAATCATGCCCAAGATGTGATCCATTACCTCCATATCTTCAGATCGGCCATCTGCTATGGTTTCCATCATTGCTCTCGCCTCGGCCGTCAGCTCGACAAGCTTTCGCCGACAATGCTCGAACGACCCTGTCGACTCAATGTACGCAACTGCAAACAGCTTGACATCAATGTCCGTTGTTCGCTGCTTCAGGATACTCGACAGCTGAATGTTGGCCGGATTGGAGCGGATGCTGTGGATGATGGGGAAGGAAAACTTCCCCTCTGTCAGGTCTTCACCAAACCCCTTGTTCTTGGCGTACTTGTCGCTCTGTAAGTTTAGATAGTCATCGCGAATTTGGAAAATGACTCCCAGAACGCTGACGAGTGGAACGTAGTCTCTGGTCAAGGTTCGCTAGTGTTAGTTACCCCTTGCTCTCGTGTTGCAGTTTGTCTCCCTAATTACTTACTTGTCACTCTCGCTAGCCAATTGCATCAGTTTGACGGCCAGCCTGAAGAGTCCTCCAGTCTTGTTGGAGACCATGGTGAAATACTCTTCCTCGGTTGGGCAGGTGGAGGCATCTCGCCAGTAAATATCCATGCCCTGACCTCGGTGCAGTTGCAGCAATTCTTCCGTGAAGATCTCAAACGCGCCAACATCTCCCAACCTGGGAAGCTCCTGCTGGGCCAGAAAGAAGGCATAGTTGGCAGCATTGATGGTTTGAGGAATCCCGAAGATGCTGTGCGACACCGGCAGTCCACGGCGGAGTTTTGAGGAGTCTTGGATATCATCAATCCTAGGCATGGGAGTCAGTACTGCGAACCCAATACCACAAACTTGTACATACAGGAGTGATGCATTGTGTAGTAGCATGATAATGCGCTTGATAACGTCAAGCTTGTCTTGGGGGATTTTGAGCCACTGGTTGAAAGCCGACATCATCTTGCCTCGAACATCCTTGCCTGGGAGATCAAGAAGATAGGTGAGTGGAGCGCGGATAATCTATGAAATCGTGCAATGTTAGGATTTGTGCGATACTCCAGTCCTTTCGAGTGAAGAGGTCTATAACATAGGGGAGACATACTTCTTCATGGAGAGCATAAGGCGCCGAGTTCACTGACGTTCCTGGTTCCCCGACGGTTAGCTGTTCGGGCGAGGGAACGGGGGGTACTGATTGAGGCATTGTGCGGATCTTGGTAACAGGAACTCAGTCAAATCAATTGTTGGCGACTATTGCTTTGTGTTAATTGCTATTTGTATTGCGCTGAGGTATTCTTCGAAGAAACCCCGATAAGACTTCACTATTAGAATACTCAGATATGTCACCTAAATGGTCTCGTCTGTCTGTTGAGATTCAAGACGTTCAGCGTTTTGATCCTGTTGCCAATCAAGATCCTTGTCACGCGGCGCCCGGCTGTTTTGCAGGTCTCAGATGAGGCCACTTACTACCCTGACAATAGGATATACGATCTCCGGTGACCAGGGTCAGGTTCTGGCGTGCCTGTCTACAGGCTCAAACCTTCAGGCAACCAGGAAACCAGAGATCGGCCCCGAATTTCAGCCTAGACAGGGGTTCGTGACTTAACCCTGGCAGGGACATAAAGCTTAATCTAAAGCTTAGCCATGACAAGGGCCTAATCGCACCACCGTGTTTCAATTACTGGTTACACGGTGTTGAAGGGGGTAGGCCTAGACGACCAAGTTACCTTGCCCCTTATGATCCTTCAACACATTGTCTTGCATAATGTAACGTAATGTGGAGGCTTCAGGTAGAAACTTCTATTGTCGAAATAAATGGCGTGTTCTAATTACCTGTTCTTACAGTGCCTCAATCAATCTCACTGGTGCTGTCCCGATATAGTCGGTCAAACGGAAACTCCAATTACTGTCACATGTTTTTACAACTGCCGACATGAGTTCAATCACCAACGCATCATATTCATATCGTTGAATCTTGTTTATCAGCACGAATGCCTAACCTAGTTTGGCGCCTTAAATACTGGCAGTCCGACGAAGCAAGCTTTCGAATCATCCATCACCTTCAGGAACTGAGCAGTTTTACCATGTCTCCATTGTGGGTCCGTCGATTCTGTATTCGCGTGGTGGACTCGCTATATGGGTCCTTTTTGTATTTTCCTTTGGCTGTTTTGTTCCTGAAGCGAAGCGTTACTGGCTTTGGGACCGGTGAATGGGACGAATCCCAGATACCGAAGCTCGATGGCAAGGTAGCCCTCGTCACGGGGGGCAAGTACGTATGTCGTCCTGCCAATGGATATATCTGACTTAAGAAAATCGTGATCAGCGCGGGAATAGGGTACTACACAGTTAAACAGCTGGCTTCAAGGGGTGCCAAGGTGTATCTGGGGGCTCGATCGGAAAGTCGTGCAAAAGCCGCCATCAAGCGTCTTTTGGAGGAGACTCCCTCGGTACCCCAAGAGAACATTGCCTGGCTACGTTTGGACTTGTCGAACCAAGCACAAGTGGTCGACGCAGCAGTTGAGCTTCGATCGAAAGAACAGCGATTAGACATCCTCGGTAACTCTTGTACTGAAGAGACCAGATCGGAGGACCATACTGACATGGTGCGCAGTGAACAATGCGGGAATTGACCCATATGATTATGTCAGGACCGCCGATGGTTTTGAAATGACAATGGCCGTGAAGTAGAACAACCCTGGTGAGATTTCGATAAGGGATGAGAAACTGACAGTCTTTACAGCCACGTTGGCCATTGGACGCTGACATACTGTTTGCTGCCCTTGCTTAAGGCTACAGCTGCACAGGAAAAATCCGATGTCCGCGTTGTCACAGTAGGTTCTTTACTATGCCAGTAAGCAACAGAGTAGAGCAGCTGCTAAGATGTCCTCGTGTCTCCCCAGGTATCATCCTCCGGAGAAGCCTACTCATCTCCCACAAACCACTTTACCAGCCCCAAGGATTTAGACGACCCATGTGCGAGCCCTGGATGGGAGAATTCCTGCTTGGGCCAGGCAATGAGGTATGGAACAACCAAACTGGCAAACGTACTCTTTGCATCAGAGCTGCAGCGCCGCATGGATGAAGATGATGCCAACATCATCTCTCTTTCTCTCAACCCCGGCACCGTAAGGACAGACGGAGCGGCCGACGTGATGCCTTTCATGGTGCGTCCATTGGTTTATCTCCTCTTCACTGCGCCAGAGAGGGGGGCGGACACTAGTCTCTTTGCCGCAACAGCTAAGGACGTTAAGGAGAACAGCGAGCAGTGGAAAGGCCGCTATCTAGATGGTCCAGGAAAGATCAAAGAGCCTTCGCTCAGAGCCCGGAATGCTGTTGCGGGCCGTAATCTATGGAACATAACCGAATCGGCTGTGAGGGCTATCGGCGTACTAGACAGGCTGTAGCAAGTAGGATCTTACTGTGTTGTAATGGAATTCATTTTATTGCTTTTTAAATACCATCTTTTAAATTTGTTTTTCCATTTAGGTAATTACATAATTTCTATTTATTTTTATATGAGTTATCTTAACATAAATACTAATTTAAGTATCCAGTAATGTATTTTTAATTTCAAGGTATAATAACTATAATATATATAAAACGTCGTTAAGTTGCACTAAGGGATACCTCGATTGCGCAAGCAAGGATAGTCCAGACTCCAAGAATGAAGTTGCTCTTGTGCAGGGCCCCTCCGCTGGCAGGTTGTTTCGGGTCGAATCGGGCCAGCTGCCTTATCAAAGTTGCGCTCCAAACTCCCATCCAACTAACCCAGAGCCACGTGGATTCGAATCCAGCGAGATACGTGTACAGACACACTAGTATAGGACTAACGAGCAGCACAAGCAATACGTGAATATGATTTCCCGCAATGTTGTAGAAGGAATTCACTTTCATCTTGCGGTCATCGACCACGTCCTGATAGCTATACGCCGTGTTCAGGTAGATGGTCCAGAAGAACACCATAACGCATAGGGGAAGGCATTGGCGGGTGGTCTCAGCGAAGGTTTCGTAGTGGCCGCAAATGGCGGCCCGACCCGGAATAGCCGGCCAAGCAATGGTGAAGGCCAGGATGTACTGCGGATAAATCAAGAGCTTACGAGCCAGGGGTCGCTTCCCAAAAGGGTAAAGAATCGATGCCACCATGACTGGTATCAAGTGTTTCAACCTGCAGGGGAGAGGGTCCGTGTTAGATGACTGACTAATAGAATGCGTGGATAAGCTCGCTTACACATCCTTGTTATCGAGCATGACGTGGAGGACACCCCAAGACATGATGACCTGCAACATCATCCATACCATTGCCTGGGCCGTAGTGACCGAGCCCATGGCCAGGGGACGATGCTTGGTCCGGGCAACATTGGCATCAATGTCGCGATCGATCCAGTCGTTCCAGACCATGCCAGCCCCGCAAAACAAATACGCGGCCAGGACGCATAATGCCGTTTGCTGAAAGACAAAGGCAGGCGAGATGGTCGAGCGTTGATCGGCAAGTTCCGCAGCCCCGGCCAGCAACGCGGACCAAGCTGTCCTCATACTCCATAAGCACTGGACTAAACTCGACATAAGATATACGTACCTCCTGCGAAGGTGGTGAAGACAGGGTTGTATTTATGAAATCGGGATAAAATGAGCAGCTCACGAAGGAACTTTGCATTGCTTCTTGCTGCCATGGCTGGATACCTGGTATGGTGCGTCAGTACTGCCTTTTCAGCCAACTGCACACTGCGTTAGAGATGAAATGTTATCAAAAAAAAAAAAAAAAAAAAAAAAGAAAAAGAAAAAGAAAACAGGATGAAAAAAGCTGTCCGTGTTGCCTCAAGCGCTTGACTCGACTCATATAAGTATCAGACCATAATAATAATATCTGGTACCATCTTCCTTATTATACTTTGGGGAAAGCAATCTGATCCCAGTTCCAGATGCTCCACTATGTCTGTGCTTTGTGTCGTTGACAGACACGACTACCACTACTGTCTAGATATCCTGCCATTGTTCAATCAGTCGATGTTATAACCTTGCCGAGGTCGTGTTGTAACAAGAACCCCCGTTCCGCGAGACGTAATTTGGAGTAGTGCTGCAACGCGGCCCAAGATATCCACGTGCAGACTTGAGCAAGTGTTTGGCCAGGACACCCTATGGGGTCCACGTACTACCAAAACTACATCACATTGCCGTTCGTATCGCCAATACGACGCAACTTAATATAAAATGCTCTCTGCCAGGCAGGCCCTAGGCGGCTGATTGAGAACATGCAGGATCTGGTCTTCTTCTGTTCCGCGTCATACGATCTCTGCACCTTTCTGCTACTGTACCCTGCAATCTCAATCACACCATGTCAGTTCTCCAGACCGACCTAGCTTCCTCAGCTGGGAAAACCTGCCTCATCACAGGAGGTGGAGGAGGGCTGGGGAAAGCTATTGCTTTTGCGTTTCTCAAGGCGGGCACTAATGTGGTTATTTGCGACATTAACGAGGAACGAGTGAAGCAAACGTCTGCCGAGCTGGAGGGGATGGGTTCCCTTCTCGCCAAAACCGTTGATATCACCAACGTGAGCCAAGTGCAAAAGCTATTCGATGAGATCTCCAGCAAGTTTGCCAAGTTGGATATTTTAATCAACAACGCCGCCATAATGGATCGCTTCGAGCCGATTGGTGACGTCGATCTGGACTTATGGGATAAAGTCCTGGCGGTGAATCTAACAGCTCCGCTCTTGCTCAGCAAGTTGGCTGTGCAAGGAATGCTGCAGCAGGAGAGTACCGGCGGGTCCATCATCAACATCGCTTCCGGCTCAGCCAAGGCTGGGTGGCTTGCAGGCAAGCATCACATAATCCCCAATACCTACCGGGCTAACCGCTAGCTTGAACAGGGGCGGCATACACGGCAAGCAAGCACGGCTTGATCGGCGTGACCAAGAGTACCGCGGCCTTCTACGGGACCAAGGGCATACGGTGCAATGCATTGATGCTTGGTATTATTGGTGGAACCAACTTGAATGACGCGTTCAGAACTGGAGTCCACCCGGAAGGCCGCCAAATGCTAGGCGAGATTCTTTCTGGAGTTCGGCCATTGCCGTGTGATGTCAAAGATGTAGCCGAGTTGTGTGTGTCCCTGGCCTCTGGACCTGGGTGGAACCTTGTCAACGGAGGCGTCATCGCCGTGGACCGCGGATGGACAAGCATTGTAGGCTAGATTCACTATATCTTCCCACAAAATCTACTTTGTCGATATTCGAAATTGCTATTGAATCATACCTCGTACAATCACCACGCAAACATGGACGTCTCCGACATCTCTCGTGCGCCCCCTGAATATCATGACGTCGCCTGGATTGCCGACACCTGCAAGCTACTGATGGGTATTGGCTGGACCACCAATTACGTCGGTATGGTCTACAAGTCGCTGAAGGATGAGACATATGCCATGGCACTGATGGCGCTATGCTGCAACTTCGCTTGGGAGTTGACCTATGCTCTGATCTATCCGTTTGGTAGCAATCTGGAGATGTATGTTCACTTCTCCGGACTGATGTTGAACTGCGGCGTCATGTACACGGCCGTCAAAAACGCCCACAGAGAATGGGCACATGCGCCATTGGTGCAGCGCAACCTCCCCTTGATCTTTATCATCTGCGTCGCTGGCTTCATGTCTGGACATGTCGCGTTGGCCGCACAGATCGGGCCCTCCCTAGCACAGGCCTGGAGTGCATACGGTTGCCAGCTGCTTTTGAGTGTCGGGGGGTTGTGCCAACTGCTTTGTCGAGGGCACTCGGGAGGAGCGTCATATTTCCTGTGGTACGTCCAACAATAGCTCCCACCATCGCGGTTGAGTAATGCACCCCAAATCTAACTGCTTGTCAGGTTTTCTCGGTTTTTCGGATCACTGGTTCTCGTGCCTCAGGATATTTTGCGGTACAAATACTGGAGAGCAGACCACGAGTACATAGGCTCTCCCCTCTACATTTGGTTTGTCTGCATTTTTCTTCTCTTGGATGGCTCTTACGGCATCTGTCTATGGTACGTCCGTCGTTTTGAACGACAAACGGCTGCAGCCCATGAGAAGAAGAAGATGTAAATCGACAATAGCTTTACTGGTTCAGTGGAGTGAGCACAATGAACCAAGGTCTATGTGGGCTAGGTACTGCATGGGTATGTCTATTGGAATGCCTATTGATGAATATTCTCGTTTCTCTGTAGGCAGTAGTAAAGACGTTATAGTGGAAGACATTAACAAAATTGCCTTAAGAATGCGATGTATTATTAGGCCCACTGCCTACAAACCCATGCCACCATTAACGTAGCCAACAGGAAAATTACGTTCCGGACTACAGCCCATGGCCCTACCCCACCCTCTTTGCTTTTGTACATTTTCCAGCCTGGAAAAGAAGATCTCGGCAATGGCAAGAAATCCAATGCTGCAGCATCTGCAATCATCTTGAAGGGCCGACTTTCGAATCGTCTACCGAAATATGGCATGACATACCTTCCTATTATCTTGCGAAGAAATCCATCCCGTGCATGCACTCGTGCTACCAGCCAAGACATGTCACAGATATGTGACACTCTTGAGAAGTGCATGTGGTTGAAGCGTCGCAGCAGAACATCAATCTCCCGACATGTTGGCTTTAGATCCTTGTTCTCCAAGAGGAGCTCGCGTAATAGATTGGATAAGACTGCAACGTCTTCAATGGCGCAGTTTGCGCCTTGTCCAAGATTGACTGTCATCTAGAGCACGCTACCAGTCAGTATTTAGCGGAGGGTTCAGTAGCGGAAACCGTACCTTATGTATACTGTCTCCGATGCAGACCACAGGACCGAAGGACCAAGTCCTGAAAAGGTTCTCTTCTAGAGAGAGCATGTTGAAAGTCTGTCGCGTCTTCCAAACATGTCCGAACTGGATACCATCCGCTATAGGAGCATGAGCGACCTGCAAGCACTGTGCGGCGGCGTCTTCCAACGTGAAGCGAGGGGCATTACTATAATCGTATTTCCGGTCAAGCTTCTGTACCAAGAACCAGAAAACCAGCTCGCCTTTGTGCGGTATCACCACCAAGGTTCGCCCATTGTACATGCGCATAACCTGCTCTCCAGCCCTCAGGCCAGACAATCCCTGTGAGATACCAAAAACACAGGAATACTCCACCGACGTACCTGTAATAAGCTGTCAGCTGGGTTGTTTTCAGTGTTGATGGAAGGAACCTACCGTTTTTCTCACTGACTGGGACATCGCCCGTCGACGAAGAGCCGGACAGACGCCACATTTCTCTCCTAGTTCGACTATGCACGCCATCAGCTCCGACGACGAGGTCACCCTCATACACATCTCCATCGAGGGTCCGGACCCGGACGCTGTATCTGCCTCCTTCTGAGTATTGCTCAATGTCGGAGACTGTTTTGTTGACCTGAACTCTGGTCTTGTCAGGCAGTGCGTCGTACAAGATTTCGAGCAGTCTCCGCCTTTCTAAAAAGGCAATAGGGTATCCGAAACTGTGATGAACTGGATCAGTACGTAATCAGGATATTGAAGGGCCTTTGCATGAACCTTTCCAACATCCTCCTGGGGTAAGGGCTGGTAAAGTGGAAGCCATCGGGAAAATGGATGTGTGATGTTTTTAGAGGGACGGCGGACTGCTCAATGACATTGTAAAGCCCAAGTTGATCCAGAACTCGAGCACCATTTGGCAGGATTCCAATTGAGGCGCCCTCCTGTAGTGCAACCTTGGCTCTTTTCTCTAGAATCGTGTAATCGACTCCGATTCTGTGCAAGCTGTGAGCTAATGTGAGACCTGTGACAGAGCCTCCCACGATAATGACTCTGAACCGCCGTTCTTGAGACATGTTTCCTGCTGCTTCTGGAACAACCAGGACCGTGCAACGGAACGAATGGCAACTCTTATGTCATGGTAACGTACGTATTGACTTACCGAGCTAAGATGAGTGAAAGTGGTCAGGCCATTTAGAGGCCACGACAAAAGTTCCCGCGGACGGAACGGCACGGCTGTGTAGATGATTGCTGGCCCCAAGGTTAAACTTTAAACTATTAACAACGGAACGGCAAGGGCCGTACGCGCAAGCAGAGTAGGGAGCTGCCAGCTACCCGGGACCCCTGCACTGCGGCCGAACGGATGTATGCGAAATTGTGAATCATGACTTGTGAGACCTACAGACGAACACCCTCAAACGCCCCCCCCCCCCCTTCGCTACAGGCGCCACCCCCCTCGACCCCTGCCTGTTAACCAAGGCGCAGGGTGGGTTCGGTAGTTACTCTCAGATCATGCGTTACGCGCCCTATCGCTTCAGGGAGTGGACATATTAAGCTTAGCCGCTACGGATAGTGGTTGACGGCGTCGTATAATCCTTGAGCTCCTAGGGCTGCTTGTGAGGGGTGAGACATGCTTGTGAAGCAATATCGACCCTGGATGTTTTCCAACTACCGTATCAAGTTATCAACTCGTGAGATTAAGTATCGCTTGTGAGTTATTTTCGCTGGTTTGTAAAAGGCCGATTGGTCAAGATGTAAATAATGACATGATATTTTGCTATTGGTTAAAGGGCCTTCTTAGCTTGGGTCTACAAGCGCTACTTATACGTTTCGCTGAGTTTTTGAACTGTAGTTCTTTGATTGCTCACCATCTTCATTGTATCTTCATCTCATTATACAAACCACTCTCCACATCATGGCCCAGCAAGCTCCCACTGTACAGATCGAGAACCTGCTTGCGCAGGTCAAGCCGCTTAGCAGTTCTCTCAATGCCCGAGACCGTGCGAAAGTCCAAAAGTCTCTCCTCGATGCTCTGTCTCATGTGGAAACTCCATATGAGCATATGCTCAGGCTATCTGGATCTGTAAGGCGCTTTTCCTCGATATGCTAAAGTCACGAAAACTAATAGTAGTGTAGCACTTACAGCTCGCTTGTATCCGTGTCGGTGCGGATATAGGCCTGTTCAAGGTCTTGGTGGAGAGCCAGGAACCATTAACATGCAGCCATCTCAGTGAAAAGCTTGGTGCTGGCCCTGAACTTCTCGGTGTGTGAGCGGTTTTCCGTAGCTTTCTCCATTCTCTTACCGTCACACCTTTGTCACATACATGCGATGCTAATATGATATGTGGTTTCAGGCCGCATTTTGCGACTCCTCGCCTCGGCTGGGTTGGTGAAGCAGACTGGGTTGGACACATTCATTGGAGAAAAGATAACCCAAGAGTTGGCAGGCCAGGCCCTGGAGTCTGGCGCGCATCTTTTGTGCGTATTAACTGTCCGTTATACTGCGTGTCAAGGCTAATTGCAGCGTGTCAGGTTTGACATCCACAATCGAACGTATCAGGCTTTACCGGATTGCCTCTCCGAACATAAATACAACGAGGTCGATAATATGCACGACGGTATTTTTCAGAAGGCGTTTGGAACAGATCTCTCGATCTATGAGTATCTCGCCCACAACCCAAAATTGCAGGGCTATATGCAGGACGCCATGAAGCTTAACCAGCCAGAGGGTGACTGGCTGTCGGTCTTGCCACTAGACGACGAGATCAAGCGGTGGAATGTCTCTGATCCTGATCGTGTCTTGTTTGTCGATATTGGTGGAGGCATGGGCCACCAATGCATCCGGCTGCGGGATAAATACCCGGATATTCCTGGGCGTGTGATCTTGCAAGACATGCCAATCACGGTCGGGCGAATTCCGAAGCCGATGCCTCATGGTATCGAGGCTATGCCATACAACTTTGAAGAGCCGCAGCCGATCAAGAGTAAGTATGACAACAATTTACTCGACTGTGGTATACTAATTCGTGCATAGATGCCAAGTTCTACTACACACGCAATGTCTTCCATGGACTACCTGACAGCGCTTGCATTGCAGCCCTCAACAATATAGCTGCTGCGATGAATACGGAGTCTCGCCTCGTCATCGACGACCTCGTCGTTCCTGACGAGGGCGCGTGCACGCAAGCCTGCCAGTTGGACTTCATTATGATGGCATCTATCGCAGGAAAGAAGAGAACAAGAGACCAGTGGTACAAGCTTTTGGATGCTGCTGGATTCAAGATTTCAGAAGTTGTTACGTACACCTGGCCCCTACAGGACTCGTTGATTATCGCGAAGCCTGTTTCCAAATAGATATTGCTAAGTGGTTAAGATACCATTATGAACAGGGAGGACAAGGGCGTGGTGTGTGATGTATAGTACTATAATAGTAGTATAGTATATATAACTTAAGTCTTTTATTAATACCTTTACAATAAATAAGCTGAGTGATGATAGTTTACATATATTATTTACTAATTAAATATTAAATAATTATTATTTATGACAATAAAGTTCCTTGGATATCAAAGTGGCAAGCTACGCTTTGATGTACGAACTCTTTGCGAGGCGAGGTAAGTACCCCAGGACAGATAGCTGACTTGAGCTAATAGAGCTCGCGGACTTGGGTACTGATATCTAGGGTGAAGCCACAGCAATCATGAATGAATTCAAGGCTGAGGCAACCAACGTCTTCGATGTGGCATACAATCAATTGCCCTTCTTGGTCAAAGTCATGCTACACAGATGCGGGAACGAATCTTACCTCTTGGTTCAGGATGTGGCGGCCAGTCTATCATGTCATGAACTACGTGTCGTGGAATGGCTCGCCCCGTTGGAATGTGACTCCGACGAGGGTACATACCCTGAGCTCGAGTTCAGGTTTGATGCTACGAACCATCCGCTTCATGGCCTTGCCACACTGGTGACACGTGCGGAGAGGGCAACTTTGAACATCTATAATGGAGATTTCTCTGGACTCACCATGACTGGGCTCTTTTTTTTCATTGTGTGGCCTCACCAGTGACGGGACCCCTTGATCAGAATCTGAGGTATGGCGCAGGAAGATGCTGAATGGAGACAAGTCAGAACTTGGATCAAAGATGACAATGATTTGGAGATTTTCGGCGATAAAAGTGCTATTGAAGGGGAGACGCAACTATATAGATAACTATTTTATACCTTAGCTCTATTAAAAAGAATTATTTAGAGCAAATTATACGTATAATAAACCCTTTATCTTACTTCCTATTTAGATATTTAATTATTTCTTTAACTTAAAGTATTTTATAAAGAATATAAAATTTATTATAAGAATTATAAATATTATATTAATTATCTCTATAAAATTAAATATAAAAGTAATATTAAAGCTATATATAAAGTGATATATTGTGAGTGTTTGATTAATAAGATAATATAAGGCAGTATATATTATATTGCAAAACATAGTAGCTTAAATATAAATTTTGTAAATTATATTACTATTACCTTATATCTTAAGACTTAATTAAATAAATAGTTTTAATTTATAAGTATAATAAAAATATTTCTAATATTAATAGTAACCTAAATTCTCTTTTAATTATTAGTCTTTTAATATAATAATTATTATTATTATAACTATAAAAGTTTATAAGAAAATCTCGATGAGCAGACTTGATGGTTGGTGCTAGAAGCTCCAATGCTTCCACCAGTTTCTTGAAAGTTGCTATTGCAGCAGGACGTTCATCTCGGCAGACTGGGTTCTGTGTCGTTCTTGCAACGTGGTAGTTGCACTCGATTAAATCTGAGGAGATGAAGCATCCCAAAGAGGCAATGCGAGGCAGTGAATAAGCAGAGATGAACTTTGCAAGTGTTTCCACTACTTCGTGAACCAGCGTGCAGCAAACTTTGCACTCTCATGGCTTATTGGATCTGTCGTGATGGCATCTGCCGAACTAAGAGACGGAGAAGTGCATATCGCTATAGGAAGAGGAAGGTTAGCTGGGTCAAATTCCAATATTCATGGTGCAAAGAGGTTGGCCTTACCACATAAATTACTAGCTTCCGAGAAGTTTGCAAATCCACCTCAGATTCCATTGTTACTTTTTCCAGAATATCGTTGGACTACCGGAAGACAATAGGAACACTACGGTGGAGGTGTGATATTCGATGGTCTATCATATCGATTTCCTCGTTATCATTCGAAGTCCTGCGTCCAGCCCTGAAGAACTTGTCCCACATTTTCCCACACAATCGGCTCATGTCAACCAGCAGCTGAAGATGTAAATCTAGGTTCTGTGTGGTGATTATAAGCTCTCAGCCACAGGTCTCAACTGCAAATAACACATCTAGCTCACTATTTAGACATTATACCGAAGATGTAAATCATCTTGACTAATACTCCCGGCAAGCACCTCCAAGTCTTGACATGCTGCTAATTGTTCTCTCGAGCAGAGGCCATCGACGGCCACTTCTTCGTCGCGAATAGCAGAAGGCTTACCGGCTTTCTGCGAGAGCCGGCGTTCCATGCAATAAATAGCCCACCATAGCTTTCGTCGCGAAAGAGCTTCTTGTTGATCACAGGGTAACCAGGCAATTTAATCATTGAGCTTGGACTGCCAGGCGAACTGAAGAGATGACGATATTGCCTGCTATGCAGCCTGCAAGTCGTCGGCTTACATAAGGTAGATGGCACGGAAAAGGTGAAACTCAGCCATTCCAATCCAGTGGGCTGGGATAAGTGGTACCTCGTTAATGAGAGAGAAAATCTTGTCATAAAATGACCAGGACTCACCCACCACTTGACCAGACTCATCATGGCCCATGGAGCAACATCCAAGAGCCATGGTAATATAGAGCCGGGAAAACAAGAGGAAGACTCTGGACTCTGTCAACATGTTGCCTGTTACACTGTTGTCCGATGTTACCAGTGGAATAGCCTTATTGTTGATTTCATTATACTCGATCATGGGAATATACATGGCGAGTCGACGGCTGCAAGTATGAAATAGACGACGCATGTATCGCTACTGCAGCAGTTAAACTAGCTTGGGTAAGAGCTGTCGGCCAGGTTGTAATGATACTGAGAGATCGGGAGTAGGATCTGATGCAAGGAGACATCGAGTCGCGGCGAGGAGAGATGGGAGAGACATTAACCCGCTTGTTACACAGTATATCAGAATCGGTCAAGTAAAGAGATCTTCAACCAAGATGGAGGAGTTGGGTCTGATTCTCAACTTGTATCAGCTGAGCTGACGATGGAACGAGAGCTTAGCTCTGCTATGAGACTTAGAGTCGACTCGATTTGTTTCACCCTATTCTCCAAAGTGCTTGATCGCGACTCAAGGGTTGGTAAGGGCATCGCTGGCGGTTCATTATATGAGTTAAGTGACGCCAAATTGGGGTCTACTGGATGAACCGCCCTGTCCTCAGCCTCATTCTCAACATCGGAGAGTGGTGATGAGGCAGATGACGAAGAAGACAATGCAAGGTTAATCTTGTCACGGCGCCGCATTCTCCCCTGCTGCCGACTGAATGTTGGATAAACACTGCTTCTCCTCCCATCAGCTACTGGATTCTGCGCGATGACGGACTGGATCGAACATCTTGGGTCCAAACGCAGGATAGTGCCTCTACTGCACCTAGAGATGATTCAAGGGCATTTTCGCCAAATCCATCAATATAGTATTAGACTAGCCCTTAGGGATGTACCCTCATTGATAGAGTTCTACATCACGGGAGTGTATGTCTATGAGTCGGGTGCTGTTGTCGGTAAATTAAGTACTAGGCTATATTAAATAAAGGACTATCCTAAAAGGTATTCCTACGTGGGAAACTGGTCTCATCTCGGTTAGTTAGCAAACGTGTACATAGGTTTGGATTTTTATTTTTCACTCCCCACAGTGAACGGAAACCTCCACAACAATGGCCCGCGGACGCCCGAGCCGGGACCGGGTGTCATGGTTCAGGGGCGTATGAGTCATGACTCCAATTGAACAAATGATGTAATTAAGATTCAACGATTGTTTGAGCCTCGCTACTAACCCGGAACTTCTCCCTATGATCCATCATGCCAACTAAAGTGGGGAGTCGGGCCATTCTTGATCATCTCCCCATGGTGATCAAGATTAGGGCCCAACGGCTATGGAACGATGGACCGATCAAGATTCAGTGTAATGTGGAGCCGATGAATAAAACGAATCTGGCGTCTATCATTTCGTTATCACATTTTTCCCTTCTTCTTCATAAAGTCAAGTCTTTGACATTTTTCCCACTCAGATGACAAGCAGTTGAATGTTGCATTGTTAGGTTTAGAGATAAAAGATTATGCGGGGCCAACATTGTGAGTCTGACGACGTCTAGAATGCACACCGCTAGAAAAGGATATTAGACAGCCGCCTCAGCATCGGGTCTAACCGCCCCGGCTTTAGTAGGCTGCTCGGACTGTTATGCTGTCTCCATATTGCCCCTAAGAATAGTTCGCATCAGCAACAGCAAAGGGTCATCCACCCCATGTATAAAAACCTGCCCTTTGTACCCTGATCTAATGCCAATCACGCGCCATCTACCGACAGGAAAGAGTTTCCCCGGTTGCCGGATAGTAGTCTTGACTGACCCGCCTCCTATCATGATCGAGCATACCCAAATGGCTAGCCGGCAGAACCGGGAAAATGACACATATTATTTCGCCAGACCGACACTGCCTCAGCATGGGTACAAGGACTATATCAAACCAGCTTTGGTCACACAGATGCAACGTTTTGGAAAGCAAGGGTCCCTAGAAATGATAGTTGATGTTCTATCGGTTAACTCATTTACGGCACGCCTTATCAAAGAGGTTCGGGAATTTATCAGAGATAGAAAGTTTCGGCCTGCATTCGTTCTTATGCACGAGAATTTCCCCAGGGATCCGACCTCTGATTCAGGCACAAGACAGTCAGAAACAAGACTCGCGGCCGCTGCAATTGTGCACCAAGAGAATAGTGGTTCAACAGATGGCTGTATTGGAAATGTGTGGGCTTTCAACCTCTCGTCCAGCTTGTTCGAGAGGCCAGACGGAACGTACGATTTGTTCACAAATAAAAAGCTAGTCGCTCGCTGGAAGCCGAACGGAAAGGGAAAGGCTTGTATATTCCTTTGGAACAAATATATAACGAGATACTGACAAGAAAACTAGATTGCCGAAAGCTTTCATCTCATCGCCATTGACACGCACAAAGTTCTTGCTCGACTGGGGAGAGGTTGTCTAAAATTGATTTCGACAGACAACATCATCAGTCCCTCCTCCGTAAGCCAGAATAGTCAGGCTGGACTGACAATGTTGAAGAGCAACAGCCCCAATGAATACGAAAGTACAATCATTTTCACAGCTGTATGGGTAGCTTACGTGGAGGGTTGGCTTTCTGCGAAACCAGGAGCACATAGCAAAGAGGGCTGATACGTACCGCCAACATTAGACAGCGATAACTAGCTCCGTCTCAGGCTACTCACAAAGCAATTGTATGGCGCATGAGGCAGTAACTAATCGGACAAGAGTTATAATAAGCTAAGCTCTAGCAATACCCCGCATTTCGCTTCTAAACCCGCTACAAGTCCCAAACCCCAGAATTCCCCTCCCGCAAATCCCGCCTGTTTTCTTTCCCTCCTGACTTTTATTCTTCATCTTAACCTTTGCCCTCTCTAGCCTCAAAAAGTCGTCATGTCGCAGGAAAATTTACCAACCACAGGCAGGTCCTCACCGAGCGACGACGCCATCGTTGTGGCGCAAGGGATATTGGAGCCACCAGCTGAGCAGCAAGACGTAACCGCTCAGTTTCCAAAGCCCTTTGTCTGCGACGTTTGTAAGCGCAGCTATGCAAGACTTGACCATCTTGCGCGCCACTTCCGTTCCCGTAAGACCTCCTCTTCTCTGCGGCCGCTTGACTGCAGCTCGCCTTGCAAGCGATAGGTCATGGCTGACCTGGCCTCCTAGATGGGCAACAGAAGCGTTTTGCTTGCCCTCACTGCGGCAAGCAATTCGCGAGGCCGTAAGCTTTTCTCTATCTCTTCCTCGTTCTCTCCCCTGCGTTAGCCACCCCTCACACGGCTGCCGCAACGTCACTTCGTCAGCGGGCCGGAAAGTTGTGTGGGGCTACGTCGATTGCGTTTGTTCTCTTCTGACACTTGACTGCATCCAGTGACATCCTCAAACGGCATATAGGCATTCATATCGATGGCCAAGGGCGCCACAGAACTGCTTCCGCAAACGGGAGGACCCGTGCAGCAAGAGCTTGCACGTTTTGCGCAGAGTCAAAGCTGCGCTGCGAGGGCACGAACCCTTGCCAACGCTGCCGCGACAGAGGCCTCGAATGTAATTATACTCGGCGATTGCGGAAAAAAAGTCGCCGTGATGCTGTATCAGAAGGAACTGATGTTCGTACGATAGAAAACCCTGTCTCAGCCGATGAGGGGGACCCTGCATCGTCTTCTGAGGAACAAGAAGAATACCCAGAGAATCATGAACCGGGGTCATCCTCAGATGCAGCTGACTTGTCCCAGCTAGTTGCGAAACATCTTGTGGACACTCATGGAGACAGTGCTGTACAACCTTTCACCCCGAAGACCTCCGACACAAGTACGCGACTATGTCTCAATGCCTGTAAAAGATATGCTGACACGCGGTCCATGGCCAGGTCTAGTCATGAATGATACAGATCTGTTTGCAGATTTTCTCAAGGACATTATTTACAGCGGAAATGACGTGGGGGCAACCGAGCCTAGCCAAGCAGCCCCGTTTAACCCCATGTCAATGGATATTCTGGACTTCGGTCCCCTCCATGGAACGTTCCCTCAGATACGCGGAGAGAGTTCCTGGTGTTACCCTCCAATGACATGCCAGGATTACTCTCATAGCGAGTGGCCCGCCGACGGAACAAATCGTGGCAACGTAATTAGCAGCGAATATGCCTTCAGGCAATCTCTATGGTCGTGGACTCCAAAAGAGGGGGATCATTGGCGGAGCGAAACGACTGAACTGATGCCCTGTCTTGATGACCTAGTTTCCGATTTTACCGCACAGAACCCCCAGACTTGCGCCAGCACACCACTGCTTGCATCGACGAGACATCGCCTTATTAGCATGATGTTGTCTGTGTCTGGCACAGGTGACTACGAGCGTATCATGTCCACCTTCCCGTCTTTGACCACTCTAGACTACCTGCTGTCCAAGGATCTCCAGCGCCGCAGCATAGAGCTTGATTCATGGATCCACATCGCCACGTTCGATCCCAACCTGGCATGTCCGCAGCTAGTACTCGGCATTATCATCTCGGGGGCATTTCGCTGTAGTCATCCCCTGCTCTGGAAACTTGGTCTAGCAATGCTGGAGCTTCATTTGGAACTCTGCCTCCGACTAGTAAGCCCTCGTTCTCACTCCACTGTTGAGGGCGCCGTACTCAGTATTCCCAGTTCTCAAGCGACCATCGAAATGCGCGCCTGACCACGCCGATCCAGATTTTTGCTATTACTATCGAGGCCGGTCTGTGGAGTGGCAATAGCAGAAGGCTGGAGCTGTGCGAGGCCTTCTGTAACAATCTAGTCACGGCAAGTACATCTACATCCAGAGCTTGGAGCTTCCGCCTGGGGGCAAGAAACTAACATTTCCCAGATGGCTCGAAGAGGAGGTTATTTTAGACTAGGCCCCTTCGAAGGACAACCACCACATATCGGCGATAGCTTGGATGTACTCGAGATGAAGTGGCAAATTTGGGCTGATCATGAATCCAGGAAAAGGTTTGACTCAACTGCGCCCTCAAGCTATTCACTTCATTTGTCAGCCCTGGCTTACCATCTCTGTTGTAGACTTGCAATTCACATTCTAAATATCTGCACCCAGTTCTCTCTAGCCCTTGTGACGACGCCGCTTGTCAGGTACACCGAAATGTCGGTTCCACTCCCAGCAGCGAGGTCGCTATGGAACGCATCCTCGGCTGAGGCTTGGCGGTCGGCATACCTGGCCCTTGAGAACCAAAATCTAGCATGCTTGCCCGAGCTGCGATCATGCTACTCAAACTTCGCCACTCTGCTCCATCTAGGGGACGCCCACGACGCCCCATCCACAGGTCTTGCCATTCTTTCCGGCCTCTGGGTGAACGTGTGGCAATACAAGGAACGGGTCAACGCTCGTAATACTTCTACCGAAACCCTGCGCGCAAACAGCGCTTTAATCATAGAGTCATTGCAGCAAGAGGCTCGCGGGATTCTAGAAGACTTCAAGAACGTTTATACGCAGTTGACGGGGACCATGGAACCTAATCTGCTGGCACTCCACGAGCAGCAACTCATGCACCTCTACATATCACTCGAGGACGTGCAGTATCTCGGTGGCAAGGCTGGCGAGGCAGAAGCTCGTCGCGTCTTACCCTTGCTTACAGACTGGGTGAAGGGGCGTGCCTCCCGCCAGGCGGCGTGGCATGCTGGCCAGATCCTCCGAGTTGGCAGGCAAGACCTTGATCCTGCACTCCGAGCGTCAATGATAGTGGCCGTCTACCATGCCAGCCTGACCATCTGGGCGTATTTAATCCTGTCGGATACCCTATCTGTGGACATGCCGGTTACAACTAGCCAGCGACAGTTGTACCCGAATCAGGATCACTGCCCGAGGAGTGAGCCGTTGGCATTAATAGACGGCGACGACACGCCCGTGGTCCAAAGATTTCTCCTGGTACCCGGCGCCAAGGCGGCCCTCACTGCTCCAGCTAAGGATATGCAGCCCATTCTGTTGCACATCTCGCGTGCTCCGGCAGTCATGACGGCCATTGCAACTTTACTTAGGGACTGTTCGGGCTTGAAGGCTAACTGGAACTGCCCTAGTCTCGTAGATAACCTAACGCGCTTGGTGGAGCGACTGGGGCGGGCGGCTGAGAGCATCTATACATCCTTTGGAGAGTGATGCTTTATCGTAGCCTGGGCAAAGAATATGGTCCTTCTAGAATTTCATAATGGTTCGTAGGGCGGAAGCTGGAATCGGGCTGAGTATCAGGCCTGAAAGCATGACAGAATAATTGGTAACAGGTTTTGTGTCTGGCGATAGCGATAGTATAATAATGCTAGTTTTAAGATATTATAAGCTTTAAGTATATTAAGAGAAGTTAAGTTTAAAAGTAAAAATATACTTAAAAATAGAATTATTATTAATACTTATATAATTTAAAAATAATAATTAATTAATTACTTTATTAGTTTTATAAATTTAAAATTAATTATAATTTAAAAAAATCACTTTAATAATATAAAGTATTTTTATTTTACTTAGTTTAAATTTTAAGATTTTAAATTTTAAATAATAATAAATATAAATTAATATTAATTTTACTTTAAAAAATACTATACTTTAATATATTATTAATTAAAAAAGAAATTTAATTTATATATTTTAAAGGTAAAAAGTAATAATAAAGAAAAGACTGCATAAGATAATATCTTCCAACACTCGCAACTGCAAGCTAAGTGTAGACTGCCAGTTAGGTTCAATTAAGACAGGGTCTTCATCATAAGATAGAAAATTAAATAATTAGTTTAATGATATTAGATATAAAGGAAAAGAGTATAAAATTATATATAAAAAAAAGCATAAGAAGCTAAAGTCCTCAGGGGAATCCGTCCCTTTATATCTGTTACCACAGACATCCATCTGGCCCCACTAACGAAGCTTGGACCTCTTACCCTGCAATGCTTGCCACAACCGTCACAATATAAGGATATTTACTCCGTATATAATATTATAATATAGCTGAATTATAAATTAAAGGAGCTAAGTATTACTAGGGTTATTTTATTAAATTAATAATACGGCCAAAAACAGGGCGCGCCACTTAGTTAGTAGCAAATTGTAATTCCTCTCTTATACGCCTACTTTTCAACATATTCTTCCCTAACTACTTGGGTTTCCCGGCAGAAAGTCCAGCTGAATGCGGCTAATTAAGCACTTGGCCCAATTAAGAATGGCGACGCTAGACTTACCGGCGGACAGCCGATGATATGCAGCAATGAGGGGACTGACCACCTACAATGCCGAACCGATGTGGAGGGTAAAAGGAGATTCAACAATTGCAAGCCGGATCACCTGGGTAAATTGAATTCTACGCGTCAAATGGAAATCTTAATGGCTAAAAAAAAAAGAGACCCCAACTCGGCTACATAATACAATTATTAGGCCGCCTCCTGATAAAACTCGTGTTGCAAATCTATCTGGGTGGTCTGAAACGCATACTTTTCCAAACCCAACAATTAAGCACTCGGCGAGACATCATGATCTTGCCAATTCTTATCACGAGTCTTCTATGGCATAACACTGCCGCGTTAGCGGATGCTGACAAGGTGGTTGCCTGCCAACCGGTCAAGCTTCCTTCTTTTAATGGCTTGGAGGTGGTTTCAGTAACAGCAGTCGAGCAGAGGGACCACACTGTGCCAAAGTTCAAGATGCCATACGTACTGGATCACGACATCCCCGGCCTCAACTTTTGTAACATCACCGTCAAGATCACTCGCCCCGATCTGCGCGATCTGACAACTATCGCTGTCTGGCTGCCCTCTAGGAAGGATTGGAATGGACGCTTCATGGCTACAGGAGGTGGTGGTTGGGCATCGGGTGCTTTCGATCCTCTTCTTGGACAAGCAATCGAGCAGGGCTTTGCTGGAGCCTCGACAGATGGTGGTCATGCCAATGCTGGGCCCAACTCGGATATGGACCCAACCCCCTGGGCGCTTAAGGAAGACGGCTCAATCAATTGGCAGCTATTGCACAGCTTCGCGGGCAGATCGGTTCACGATATGGGCATCGTTGGAAAGGCTGTGACTGAAGCACACTATGGAGTCAAGCCACACCATTCTTACTTCAGCGGCTGCTCCAACGGAGGCAGACAAGGATTAATCATCGCGCAGCAATACCCTGAGGATTTTGATGGCATCCTGGCAGCTGCACCTGCTTTGAACTTCCCCGAGCTCCAAATGGCCTGCCTGTGGCCGCAGGTTGTCATGAAAGAGGCAGGCATCTTCCCGTCGCCCTGTGAACTTGATTACTTTGCCGAGCTTGCCTTGGAGCAGTGCGACGGGCTTGACGGTCTTGTCGACGGAGTGATCCAGAACATCGATGACTGCGCGTTCGACCCGTTCCAAGCCGTCGGCCGAACGATTCAGTGCAACGACGAATCGATTATTATTAGCAATAGTACTGCGGCACTTGTAGCCAAGATGATTACGGGGCCTACGTCGCCTCAAGGCTACCCTCTGTCGGCTGGGATCCCGCCCAGCTGTCAACTCTCCTCTCTCGCTGGCACCAAGGTCTCGCCTGTTACCGGCAAGCGTGTCGGTAAGCCCTTTTTCGTCTCGGATACCTGGGTTAAGGCATTCCTTCGACGGGACCTGAGCTACGATGTCACTCAGATTGGCGTTGAAGAGTATGCATGGCTCTTCACTCAGTCCCTGCTACAATACGACTGGCTTCTCGGATCAAACAACCCCGACCTCTCTGGCCTTCGAAAGGCTGGTACAAAGCTTCTGTCTTGGCACGGCATGCTGGATGAGTTGATTCCTTACAAGAGCATTATCCAGTATCGCCAACGAGTCGAGGAGATGGCTGGAGGTGCTAGCGCTGCCGACGAATACTTCCGCCTCTTCTTGGCCCCTGGTGTGAAGCACTGTGCGTTTGGCAACGGGCCGGTGCCAGTCAAACCAATTAACGCTCTAATCGCTTGGGTTGAGCAAGGCATTCCTGCACAGACGCTTACCGCAGAGACCAAATCGAAGGGTACCCTTATCAGAAGGAATTTGTGTTTGTACCCTAAGCAGCTACACTATGTCAAGGGTGATCCTGCGAGCCCTGAGAGCTGGACTTGCATAGATAAGAAAGATGGCAAATCGGAAAAACTACAAGCGGATAATGGATTCGGGAGTAGTATCCAGAAGATCCTAGGCAAGATTTGATATCGCTATTAAATGACACTGATAGCTAGTGGTCAAACCTAGTTTGGTATAGCAAAAGAAATGATTGACTAGAAGAAAGTTTGTCATTGAATGATAACACTGACCCCACTTGCCTGTGTTCATCACTAGGTATACTACTTTCTCTTAGCACTATAACGCTCAAAACTGTGTCTCGAGTTGCTCTTCAACCAGCTGGACCCCTCCCAAATGACCTCATAGCTCATTCAGAAGTTCTTCTACAGGACTGTCCGTATTACTACATCCACTTAGACCTCTCTTTAAACCAGGTACCAGCCGAAATAAGTGAGCAGCCAGATATACTCAATAAGCTTTTAACCGAGGATTCGGCTTGGAATCTTCGCCAACAAGAGCTACATGAGTGTTGACCCAGTATTGCGTTTCATACAGATAGCCCAATAAAGCCCACTTATGCCATTCATTTAGTAGCGAGTAGGTGGTCCAGACAGGCTTGCAAGTTCATATTACTCTTCAAAAAGTCAATATCCAATAAGCATCGTGGTTAGAAGCCAGGGAAGTCAAAGCTCTTTTCCGCCTCTCTCGCTATAGCACCCTCCTCTCGCTCCATTGACCCGAGCATACTGATATTCAGCGTGTGGAGCAGCGGATCCGCCTTCAACAACGGTGCCTGAGCGATGACGTCCTCCAAGTCCTGTTCTACGTCATAGTATCTGCCCCTCAACGCATCTTTCGCAATGCCCGTTGCAAGAGCCACACACGACATGCCGACCAAGTGCGGTGAGCCGGTGAACCTTTTCTTCCACTCTGCGAAGCGGGAAGTAACTTCAGGAAACTCCTCGAGTGCGATATCCCGCTGGTTATCTATTTACACACATCATCAGCATCTCCTTAGTATATAAGGTTTGATCGCAACCGCGTGACAACTGACCTGCTGTGCTCACGCCCGAACGCACCGCGCCGGGATGGATCGCGTACAGGTGGATGTCGGATGATGGCGCAACTTCATCGACCTCGGCCTGGATGCTGCTAGTCAACTTGATCAAGGCCGCCTTGCTGGTACAATAACTAATGTTGAATGGAAAACTCATGGCGGCGGCCTTGGAAGCAATATTGATCACGCACCCTTGGCGTCTATTAATGAAGCTGGGTAAGACTGAACGCATCAGCACTAGCGGGCCGTTGAAGTTAATTGCCATGTCTCGAAAGAAAAGAGCAGGATCCTGCTTGTGAAACTATATATGTATTTTGGCTTAATTCCTGCGTTTAGTCAAATACTTGGGACACATACCACGCGGACACCAACAACTCCTGCGCCATTGATGAGAACATCAACCTCCCCGACGGTGGAGGTGGCCTTTTGATATCGGTTATTAAACGTTCCATAGCTTAGTGTTGATCACCGCTCACTTGTTTCACCAGCTCCTCGCAGTCTTTTGGGTTGCCGACGTCGCAGCGCGAATAATGCACTGCATCAGCACCAAGATACAAAAGACGTTCCTTGGTAGAATCTGCCAGTGAGGATCCTATATCAGACAAGAAGAGACTGGCACCAGCAGTAGCAAAGCTTTCTGCGACGGCGCCGGCGATAGTACCAAGAGCTCCTAGGGAGAGTTAAACAACAAGTAAAGAACAGGGTATCAGACAGAGAACAGCTGTGCTTCAAGACACGTACCAGTGATAAGAACAACTTGTCCTTTCAGAGAGTTTCTAAACTTTAATGGATGAAGGAATGGGTAAATCTCATTGTGAATGCGGGGGGGCTGCTGTCCTGTCATCTTGAGAACAAATCTAGAGCTGCCAACTATGGAAGATGGAGTAGTCTAATGACCTTCAAATCATGACTAAGAGCCATTCAACTGCTTTATGGTTGCTATATAGCTTCCCTGTTGTTGACAACTTGAATCGATAATGAGGCAGACAGGTAGTTTCGGAGCCAGTCCGCAACCGACGCACCCACAGTTCCCGAACCCGAGACTTCCCCGGCCCGACGGAATGGCTAGTGAGTAGCAGGTGAGAGTGTACTCCGGACCAATTCCAAACATCCTCCCATGTATTTGGTACTGTCTTTGTGATGTTGTTTTGTAAGGTCCACCCCAACTCCATCACCTAAGAGATATAGGCAATACAATGGTTATTATGCACAGCATTGATAGGGCTCAGCAAATCAGGTCGGAAGCAATACGCAAGCCATCGGCCTGAGATAGTCAGAAACGCCACAGAACTGTCTTGCGCCAAATAGCCGAGGAACTCGGAACCACGTCAGTACAACCAGGCTCCTCGTGACACGTCATGTAGCACGTTAGCTCACGGACCAAGTAGTACCGTGATGGCTGTGCTCAATATAAGTGTTTTGTGGATCAATGGTGCGTGCCTTTGCCTCATTCATTCTTTCCTGTTGATGCAGAGCGGGAAGCTTAGGCAATTACTGTGTAGCCAGGATTCCCGGTTACTGCTACCTATGAAGCACAAATTCACGTTCCTTCGTTGACAGTGGAAAATTAGGTTGATGCGGCAGTAATATGTACATGTTACCAATAGGCGAGTTGGGATGCTAGAAGATATCTATACTACCAAAACGCTACAGTGAGTGGATTGTTGCCCACCTGCTATATTGCACAAAAGACGTTGAGTGCAGTCGACAGACGTATGTCGTTGTTATGCTTAGAGGGTACTCGAGGCTTTGCGTTTTCTAGTAGTCCCTTTAAGAACTCAAGTTATAGAAGTCATGCAATCCAAGTTTAGAGACAAACCTCCACCTGGATCTTGATCCTGAAGTTGAGAGGGACCATGGGTTCTTCCAATACCAAGTACAATACGTCTATAAATTATCTTGAGTCATGACTAAGATAGGACTGTACTGTGACCTTGATCCTTGCTGACCATCAACTCAGCTGCCATGTTCGTTCTCCAGTGATTGATAAGGCCGTCATGAAGTTGGTCAATAGCACTTCTGTTCCCCTTGCACAAGGTCCGCATGTACCAATCCTCCTTGGCTATATCGTCAGGGTTGCCACACTGAAGACGTGTCTTGGCCGCAGAACTTGTGGGATGAACAACAGTCTGGAAGACTCGACGCCTCGCAGAGGTGTAGGCCGTGAAGCATTCCTCTTGAGCCTCTGGCTCGCAGGAGAAGCGATTCAGCGCCAGGTCCAAGGTCTGCGCGAGTGCATCGGCGTCCAGCATCCCGGTACAGAGGCCCAGGCCGCCGATCGGGTTGGTGAGGTGGGCGGCGTCGCCGGCAAGGAAGCACCTGTTGCGGAACATGGTGCTCGCAAGAAGTTGGTGCATCCGGTAAAGGTTCACTCTCAGAACCTCGAAATCTGCCGGTCGAGGCCCATCCACATGCTTCAATAGCATCTGGTTGATAAACTCGGGCTTGATCACCTCCTCGTCAGGAATGTCGTCGTCGGTGATGGCCATACTGTAGCGCCATAGTGCACGCTTTCCTGGCCTTGCACGCTCTAGAGGCGTTGATATGGCCCAGTAGTCCGGGTTGACGATGTAGTCGATGTTGACCTCCTCGACTACAGGAGGCGTGCGCACAATGTCCGTTGTCATGAATCGCTCTGGCCAGGAGTGACCCAGCATCTTGACACCCATTAGCCGGCGAACGACCGACCGACCTCCATCACACCCGACGATATACTGTCCTCGAAACTCCAGGTTCCCTTCCTTTGACCTCACGTGGGCTAGAACCCCGTCTTTGCTCTCATCGATGGCATACAGCTCCGTCCCGAAGTGAAACGTAACTAGGCTTGTCTCCAGAGCCCGATCCAGAAGCAGTTGGCCGATTCTGTCCTGCGGATACTGGAGGACGTATTCTCCGGCGTTGTAGATTCCGGAGTCGTTTGGCTCTCCGAGGCGCCACTCAGCCACTTTCTCGCCCAGTCTTTTACCTCCTTGACCATCGTCCTCAGCAAGCTTGCGCCAGCAGAAGCCAGGCGTCTGCGCAGCGTCTTGCAGTATGGTGTCGTATATTCCAACTTCTTGGAATACATGGTGAACTGGGCCAGAGAAAGCAACCGCCCTGGGAGACTTGTTTAATGCTTCGTCCTTCTCCAGCACGGCAGATCGTATGCCTTTCTGAGCAAGCAACAGAGCGAGGAGCAGGCCTACTGGCCCACCTCCGACGATGACCACCGCCGGTAGGGGGGCGCCAGCTGTCGCCATTCTCTTGTCGGCTTGCTTGATGTGCTGAGACAGCGGCTTTGTATGAGTGATGGCGGCCTCTATGGCTTGATATGCTACCTGGACCTGTAGTGTTGGATCGGAGGATGAAAGCAATGGCATGGCTATGCTGGAATGTGACGTTTGGAAACAGGCCGTCCAAATCAGCAACGCTATCGAATCTTTTATTGGTTCCTTGAGCCAGCCCAGATTATTTAGCAAACATAATTCAGTGATCCTGAGCCGAGAAGTCCGCCGGAACAGTGGAAAAGGACATGTGAGAGGCCATTGGCTGCTGCTGTCCTTGAGCAAGGCACCCAAAAGGGCCTGCCGAGAACCAACCCTGACACTCCCGATTCCTACTGACGACTATAAAATCGGACTTCAAGGTGGATGGAGAGCAACCCCAGCTTCAACATGAGAGGGTGCTGCCAAGATCCATAGATCCAACAATGTCAGCGCCAAGTTTCACCAACCTCATCCGCTTCTTGGACGAGAACTCAGTTGAATGGTACGGGCAGGTGGCCTCGGAGTCTTTGGACAACATTGAAGGCTCGGTAGTGAAGGTTTTGGGCCATGATATTGAGAATGTTCGAGACACCGGCATGACAGCAGTCGTCAAGAAGGCAAGTGGTATTCTCTGTCTTAATGAAACTTTTAGCGGAATTGACTGGCTCTAGTTACTGGCACCCCTGCCGCACGTACCTCATTTTACTTGCATCGGGCTGAACTATGCTGCACATGTCAAGGAGGCCAATGTGAGTGAACTGAAGGGCACCTCACGTCGCGAACTGTCAACTGATCAAAATCAACAAGATGGAATTGCCTACAAATCCGGTGATATTCATGAAGCCTGCAGGTAAGAGGTTGCGGTTCCCAGGATATTAGAACTGAGAACTGGGCGCTGATGCTCTCTAGACGCTCTCGCCGGTCCGTATGATACTATCTCGGTACCCAAGGAGGCGCACTTGCTGGACTACGAGGTATGCATGGCTTGAAGTGTTCTAAACGGCTAGGACTGACCTTACTGACTGGAAAATTTAGGGTGAGCTATGCATCATCATTGGGAAGGATGGAAAGGATATCCAACCGCAATATGCCCTGGACCACATCCTTGGTTATACGGTTGGCAACGATCTATCGTCTCGTCACTGGCAACGGCCGCCCCGAGCAGGTGGTCAGTTCTGCTATGCTAAGTCTTTCGACGGCTTCGCCCCGATTGGGCCGACGATTCTATCCCCCCACGTCGCGACAGCGGAGTCTCTGCATCTGACCACTAAGGTCAACGGCGAGGTCCGGCAGCAGTCCCCGATTTCTGACATGATCTTCAACGTCCGAGACATCGTCTCTCACTGTTCTCGGGGGACTACGTTGCGCAAGGGAACGGTCATCATGACAGGCACGCCGAGTGGCATCGCAGCCAAGATGCCTGGTTCCCCTTGGCTTCAAAATGGGGATGTTGTCGAGGTTACTATCTCACACATTGGTACCCTGAGGAATAAGTTAGTTTTAGAGGACGCTTAGAAGTTTATTAGAAGCAGACATAGCGATCTAATACTAGAATCCTTTCCCTTTTCTAACTCCCATCATTTGAGGCGAAATGTGCTAAAGTATCTTGCTACTGGGGGAAAGTTGAAAGGCTCAATTAAGACTTGGTCATTAACATTTGGTGTAATGTTCCTCGGCCAGTTTCGAGACCCCCCAGACTGCACCTTGACCAAAGCTTGCCGTGGTGATGGTGTTGGATGTGCGGATGATTCAAGGGTCCCACTGGCTGGATTCACCAGTAATCGAATGGGTAATAGCACTCAGGGCTCTCGCTGGAAGTTCTCTGGCGGCCTACCTAGGGAAGACGAAGAATCGGGAGGATCTGCAACTCGCATACAGTGGCTGCATCCGGCTGTACAAGTCTTCTGGTTTCTGCCGGTGGGGGGCCCAGAGGTGAATGAGGGGCCGATGGGCGAACCTCGGGCGCTAGGTAGGTCCATGCCGAGACCCTCTCAACTCCCCGTGCCGATGCAGTTGCGTGATTGGTTCTTCAGGTTGGTTCTTTAGACGTTGACGTAGACAAGTTTGGACACAGCCGATGGGAGGCACCGTGAAGCCGTCCTTTGCTGACGTTAAAGAGCAACGGATAGTGGCAGGAGCACAATAATTTCAACTCTGACGGGCGAGAGCAGAAGTCGGTTGTGCACTGCATCATATTGTTGTCTTTTCGTGATTAGTTTGAGTCTCTCTGTTCAGGCCCATAAGGCATCGTCTACCTTCTCACCGAACGCTTGCCCCTCTCATAACCCTCGCAGAAGCTGGATTCTTCACTCTATCTGTCGTCCTCCCGACCAAACATTAATTATTGCTACGGTACTTACCTAACAACCAGATATGTCGACCTGTGACTGCTTCACCGGCACGCCGGGTGACCGTAAGTCTCAGCTTTCACCACCACCTCCGTCGTTCCCCAGAGCCATCTCAGCACCGGATTGTCTGGTGGCTTGTTAACCCCCCGTGGCTCGTAATAGGTACCCACGAGCCAAAAGGCACCATCAAGACACTACACGGACTCAATGTGTATCAGGCGCCTGCACTTGGCGATGTGAGAGGAGAAATTCTCTTCCTCCCGGACGTCTTTGGCCTTTCGACGCACAGCAAAATTCTCGCCGACGAGTACGCTAGTTTTGGTTGGTCTCCTCTTGCTGGTCACAGGGCCACTGCCACCCAAGCACCCAAACGACCGCTTATGTGAGGAAATTCCGACAGGGTACAACACGACGATTGTCGATTACTTCCAAGGTGGTCTACCTGAGAAAAGAATTTGAAGCATCCAGTACTTGCTCTAACCAGAACGCAAACAGGAGACGCATTGCCGGATATCATCATGTCTTACAAACCCGGGACTGATGACCGTAATCTTAGCCCAGAGGTAGGCCGAATCTAATAGCCACTTATCTACAGCCTGCTCTCCCGGTTACTGACCGCCCATTGCTGAGTAGGAGAAAGAAATCATCCGAAATACCGACAGGGATGCTTGGGGTAGCCGACACCCTCAGGCCAAGATATCCAGTCTGCTGCATCCTTTCTTCGAAGCGTTCCGAGAGGCCGTTGGTCCGTCGGCAAAGATCCATGTACTGGGCCACTGTTTCGGAGGGAAATATGCTCTCCGTCTCGCGAGATCAAAGAATATTACTTCGGTAATTACAATGCACCCGGTTCGTTTCCCTACCCTTGACCTAGGGTCTCTTGCACAGCAGCAGAACCCCTCTGGGACGCTTCTACAGATATTCTGACATACATTCTGCCTATAATAGGCATTCATTGAAGAAGAAGACTGGCAGAACCTTCAACGACCAGTCATGATTTGTTGCGCAGGTACCTATTGCCCAGACCGAAACCGCTATATCCTCTCCTCGAGGTTTGCCACGAGATGTACACCAAGACGTCTAATCCACCTGTCACAGAATCCGATGTATTCACGCCATCCTTGATTTCAGATACGTTCAAGGCTGCTGCGGAGTGGAATGTTTATTACAAGATCTCTGTGTACGGCGGGACAGTACATGGTTTTGCCTCACGGGCGGACCGCTCAGATAGTGCACAGATGCGAGCGTACAGATCGAGCTTTGAGGACAGCTTGATCTGGATGAAGTTAGTAGAAGGGCCTCGATGATAAGGTAGTGACGCAGTATCCGGAACAGTGGCTACTGAAAGTGGAGGGGCGGTGTAAGAGCACAAATGAAGACAGGACAACAACAGGCACATTTACTGAGTTGAAGCTTGTGTTAACTCTTCAACCTTTTTGCCCTACCATGGCTCGTGCTTGGTACCACAGTGGGCTCGTTTCCAGGACCATAGCACACGTATGCAGCATTTTGCTTCAACGGCAAGCAACGCGAAAGGACTCCGGCCAATCCTTGTTACATAGCTACTTCTCAAACAAATATGGAATATACAGTCAATATCTTTCAATTAGGTCTGGTGAACATGACCAAAATGTCGGCCGGGGAACTGTAACCGGAAAAAGACAACGAGAAGTTATACGGCCGAAAGGAGCTTACTGCAGGCGATTTGAGACACGATTTAAATTTCTTGTTATCCTATTTCTATAGAGGAAGGTCATGATATTCACCGGTCACCCAATAGGATCAGCAGCCCTCAGCGCGGTCACAGTTCAAGGGGCCGAGATCACCTCGTGGTTCTCGGGCCAATGTTCGGTCGCTTCTTGATGGAGCGTTCATCTTCACCGCTACGGACCCGCTTCACAAACTCTTCGGGATCGAAATCCACCCCCATTGGGTTTTCCTCAAACTCGGGCCCATCCATAAAGGCAATGGTTTCCTCGACGGTATCAAAGTTGTCGACCTGGGTTTCAACCTCATTCCCATCAGGATCTCGGTAGTATAGACTCGTTGTTGGACCGTGATTGACGGTCCATACTGGGTGAATCCCTGCCGCCTTCTTCTGTTCGTAGCACGTCGCCAAGTCGGCCAGGTTCTTGTAGCCAAATGCGACATGGCCCAAGCCTACAATAGGGCGGTTGTCCGTTGGGCGCGGGACGGCGTCGGCTCGGGGTACGATGCCAATGCGATGGTGCTCTTCATCGTATCCAATGAAGGTGATCCCCTTTGCGGCATGTGTGATCCAGCCTCCGAGAAACTGGACGTACCAGTCGACCATTTTGTCGTAGCTTTCAGGTTTCGTCCGCAGCACGATATGGCACAGGGCGGCCGGTCTCACAATGTCAGAAGCTGGTGTAGTGTTGTTTGTCTTGGTAGTCATGGTGCTCTGTCTAAGATGGCTGTCGTGTATTTTGGAAACGGGACGCGGAAGTAGCGGCAAATTACAACAAACGAGTGAGTGCACGTAGACTTGGTTTTGAGTGAGCATCATCAAGCTTCCGAGGATGCGAGAAGGCTCCATATGCAGTCGGTGACCCCCATCCCTCCCTACTACTGAGCGTGCCAGTCAGTCTCGGGCTCTACTTGTAGGCTCCGGCTTTTGTTGTCCGCGACGCCCAGCCCCTTGGTTGTTTCGCGTTCTCGCGTCAACGGACAGTGGGCGAGTTGTCCGCGCGGGGCCACCGGCTGTGCAATTCTTGGGGAGGGGACATGGCACATTGGCAACTATGATGTGACAAACCGGCGGCCCTCCTCCAAAGCAGGCCGAAGAGCTTCTTATGTTCCCGATTTCAGAATCTATCCGGCGCTTCCGCGATCCACAAGTTCTTCATCCCAGATCTGTTTGTCATGGACTCGGGTCCCTCGCTACTGGTTTGCTTTTTCGCACCTCAGCAAATCGAGTAAACACTCGGCACGCCAACCACATCGCTCTTGCATATAGCCGTATGAATCCTTATTCTCGAACTGACCTTGGCCCATGTTTTGAGTTTCTGCACTGTTATTTGTAGTTGAGACCTGTGGCTGAGAGCTTTTTATCACCACATAGAACTCAGAGTTTTTTTCACACTTCACACTCCTCCTCACTTTACGATGCCGTATTCACAGATCCATGACAGTGTGTCTTTGCAGCTCCTCCTGAGCCGCGCAGACTTCCAACGTCAATCAGTCTCGGTCCTGAGCTTGATCGTCCTAGGCCTGCTTGCCCGCGCATTTTATCGTTCCTGGAAATGGCACAGAACTTACAAGCTGCCTCGCACCGTCCCTGGGTTGCCAATCCTTGGCAATATCTTTCAGGTGCCTTACCCGTCTGGGATGTGGCTGAAGTCCTTGGCAGAGAAGCATGGAGAAATGTAAGCAACGCCCTCAATCCTTTCAGGCGTCAATAGCTCACCTGTCTTTCAAGGTTCTCTCTCAAGCTTGGCAGCAAAACATGGGTTTTCTTGAACTCGTCGAGGGTCGTGGAGGATTTGCTGGAAAAGCGCTCCGCGATATACTCTTCGCGTATGCGGTCTCCCATGGCTCAGGAGCTGATGTCGGGAAACAACAGGTTCCTGCTCATGCCTTATGGCGATAGATGGCGTGGCATCCGCAAGATCATGCACCAGGTTCTGAACTCGCGCCAGGCCGACAAATTCCAGGTATACCAGGATATCGAGTCGCGCCGTTTGTTACACGCCTATCTTCACCATCCTGACATGTGGTACCGTGCAAACCAGCAATTTGCAAACTCAGTCATCCTCTCCGTCGTCTTCGGGCGGGTATCGAATATGAACGACCCCACTATGGCCGAATTGTTCGCGTCCTTGCAGGATTTCTTGCGAAACATAAAGCCAGGATCAAATCTAGTCGACATGTTTCACTGGTTGGCGAGCCTCCCGACATGGATGCAGTGGTGGCGTTCATACGGCCTCGCCCATTTCGAAAGGTCTAAAGCGTACGTTGCCTGTAATCAATGAATTGACAGAAAGCAAATGGAGATGTTAACTGGGAACAGCATGTATTTCCGTGAGCTAGACCTCCTCAAGAAGCGGATGGAGGAGGGGACCGCCAAACCATGCTTTGCATTGGATTACATCGAGGCCAAGGGTGATATCGATATCAATCAAGTTGAAACGGCCTTTGTGTTCGGAACCCTCATGGAGGCAGGTAGCGATACGTCCCGCGTGGCAATCGGTCAGGGTATTGCAGCAGCTGCTATCTACGGTGACTGGGTCAAGAAAGCCAGAGAAGAACTCGATGAAGTATGCGGTGACGCTGAAAGGTTACCAGAGTTTAGTGACCGCGATCGACTACCATACCTGTCTGCCGTCGCCAAAGAAATCCTGAGATGGAGACCATTCGTCCAATCTGGAACGGGCAGGGAACTCATCCAGGACGATGAGTACGAGGGCTATAAGTTCCCAGCCGGTACAGTTTTTGTCTGGAACCCATGGGCTATCGCATTGAACCCCAACGAATACGAGGACCCTCTCACTTTCAAACCGGAAAGATTCCTGAATGACCAGCTCAGAAGCCCCCTGAAGGGCCACTGGTCCTTTGGAGCAGGTACGAAGCCAGTCCATACTTGAAAAGAGCGACCAGGTTCTGCACAGCAGAGTCATCAAGCCCGATGCTAACCATGTTGTGAAATTAGGTCGCCGAGTATGCGTTGGATACAACGTTGCAGATATGAATGTGTGGATCGCTACCGCTCGACTGATCTACTGTTTTGATTTTGAACAGGTTCCGGTGAGCTTTCTATCTAATCAACCTTGCTACAACTAGAGGTGCGTTGGCAGACTAATGCTATGATAGGGTGCGCCGATCGACACGTTCCACACTATCTGGGAAGCCCACGACAAGCCTGCGTTCCCCGTTAAGATCAAGTGTCGTAGTCAAAAGCACGCTCAGCTCATCGAAAATATGTATGCCAATCTATCAGACTGATACAAGTTAGTGATACCTATGGTTTAAGAAGCGCTTGGATGGTCCCTCAACGCCGGCTATTATCAAAGTCTACCGATTGGAGAACTCGAGGCATGTTGGGAAGCCCCTACAGTTTGCGATATAAAGGAACTGCCAACTGTGTGCATTATCTATAGTACGCAAGCACATATCCGCCTGCAATTAGTTTTGCACTTTATCTATGTATTTACCCAATCCTGCAGGTCCATGTTAAAGCGCCAATTCTTAATTATAATTATAGTGCTTTTTATCTATTTAAAAGTCATCTCACTAGAAACATTCGGTCTTTAAATAACCTAGACATAAGTAAGTTTTACTTATATTACAGCCTATAGTAGTCAGTATTGATAATAAGTGAATAAATCCTATTAAGTAGAAAGATTGAATAAAAAATATGTTTTATCTTAGTATCTTAATTATGCGAATTGCCCTTACACATAGCAACTGCCCTGGAGAGCCTTTTAACAATTAAGGGGATAAGTCGTAGAGCCGGGGCCTCCACATCGGCATTAAGTGGTGATATTCTAGTGGCGCCAAGATATGACACAACACAATACCGAGGTGCTTTCTTTGTTGCCTATCAGAAGGCTGCCGATGCCAACACTGCCGCTGCCTGTTTTCCCGTTCTGTCTACAAAAGGTTTGCCTGCACCAAGTACGTACACTACGTCTTGGTCGAAGCTGTGGCCGAGACCCCACCGGCCTGATATCTCGCAATTTATAATACCGCTTTTTAAGAATGCGGACGAAGATTCGACCTTCCATGATTGCTGCTATAAACCCAATGCTATTAATAGTTTGGCTTTTGTCTTCACCTTGCAAACGCGAGAAAGGTTCCCTACATAAGTTGCTCGTTTAATTGTTGTTCAGCTCATTACGACAAGACAATACTGGAAACATGACCACTTCAAACAAGGCTATCTACATTGATGCCCAAAATGTCCTCTCCATCCGAGACATGCCGACTTATCACCCTGGGAAGAACCAAGCTTTGCTCCTAGTACATTATTCAGGCGTTAATCCTGCTGATTTGAAGCATGGATGGGAGTTCGGAATGAATGACTCAGTTAGTGGATACGAGTTCAGCGGCACTATCCTTGAGACTGGGTCTGAGTTCCCCTACAACAAGGGTGACGATGTTTATGGCTCGAAAAGGATTGGTGACGGGTCCGAGTTTGGCGCCCACCAGGATCTCATGCTTGTCGAGGGCAACACACTTCTCGCTAAGCGGCCGTCAACCCTACCAAACGCTGATTCCTCCACCATGTCCATAGTTGTCCGTACAGCTGCGGATGCTTTATTCAATGTCATGCAAATTCCGTTCAAGGCCCTGGGGTTTCCGGGGAAGGGCCCAACTCAAACGGCTATCATGATATGGGGGGGCGCTAGCGGAGTCGGATCAGCAGCGATCCAGCTCGCAAGAGCCGCAGGCCTGGATCCCATCATCACCACAGCTTCGCGCAACCATCATGAGGCGCTTATGAACCTCGGGGCAACGCACTGCTTTGATTACTATGACAGTAAGGTTGTTGCACACATTCAAGCCGTGCTAAATGCGATCGACCCACCTCTGCAATACATTTTCGACACGGTGTGCACGGAAGGAGAGTTATCCTCATGGAAGCATTGTGAGGCATTGACAGCTGCACCTACGGCATGCTACGTCGGTTCTCTCCCTGTGGTGGGTTCAAAGTGCAAATGGGAGTGGTGCTTGGCTGCCCGTGCTTGGGATCTTCATTTGCCTCCCCCCGTTGGTTTCACGCCAGCAGATCATGAAAAGGAGACACGACTGGTGAAAGTAACAGACTGGGTGGCTAGAGAATATGGGGTAGCATTTAGCATTCCAAATGTGTCAGTGATTCAGGGGGTGGATGCAGCACTGCAGGCCATTCAAATGTCAGGTGAGGGCCAGGTGAAATTTAAGAAGCTTGCTATTAAACACCCTCTCGTTGGGTAATTGAAATTTTCTTGCATTTGTTATCTATAATAACTAAGTGTAATAGATATCGTATAAGTCAGTCTTCGGCCGATAGATAATGTTGGCGTGCTACTTTGTACCTCCCCCCGAGGCGCTATAGCGGAAGATGGAGCAAGCAATGTCCGGATGCAGTGATTTGGAGATCTTGGCCACGTTATCGAGCTAGATCTTCTGTTCCTTACGTGGGAAGAGATTTCAGTTTCAGAAAATCGGCCAGTTTGCACCTACAAAAGAATAAACGCTCATCATCAGAAGTCAGTTTAGATTTACAACAAGCGTCTATTATATTAAGGCTGCCCATAACTTACATAACTTGCAGCATCAGGATAATGCCAACTAAGACCATCTTCTCGATATCCTGCACATGAGTCCTCCTTTCTTCTCAGAAATACCCACACTCAAAGTATCCACGGGCTCTTCCGGATGGACCATTTCCATTTTGTAGTTTCTCAGCACCGTAGAGAGAACTTTCAAAATATTCATCATAGCCATGTTCTTACCTATGCACATACGATGTCCAGTACTGAAAGGCGACAAGTACCCCTGGAGTTGCTTGCTATTCGGACCAAGGAAGCGATCTGGGTTGAACTGATCGTGGTTCTTGCCCCAAACCGATGGGTTATGGTGAACGACGTGGTTCAGAGAGAAAACAGTGGTCTTCCTATTGTTAGACTCGGGCTTTTTTTATTGATTATTCAATCTTACCTTCTGAGGTATTTGGCATCCCTGGATCACAATTCCTCCAGGACTCATAACCTTCCGTGGTAATGGCATGGAAAACACAGGGTTGATTCTAAAGTTCTCGTATATGCATGCCATTGCGTATGGTAGATCTTTCTCAAGGGCCTTGTAGGAAATGACTTGACCCGTATGATTAGATAAATTCGAATCTAATTCTTGGATGACCCTGTTCAAAACCTCAGGCTTTTGAAGTAAATGGGAGAATAATAGCGTCAGGGTTCCTGACGTTGTATGAGATCCGGCGACACTATACTTGGTGAGAAGATAGCTAGCAATATAGACAATCTCACCTACATCATTGCAAAAGCCTCGGTATTTATATCCAGCTCAGTAAGCTTGGACCCAGTCTCAGGGTCAGTAGCCACCAACAGGCACGAAAGGAGGTCCTTTCGGTCGGTGTTTCCAGCTTCAATCCTTTGCCGGACACAGGCCGCAGTCAGGTTTCGGAGCTGCGCACGAGCGTGGAATAGACGTTGCAGCCATGGAATTGGGATGAAGGGCAGAGCCTTCTTGATCCATGGGAGAGCCTCTGGTGTCATCCCCATCAAGCAAGCAAGATAAATATGGTCATTGACGGGCGGTAATCGGGCTAGGTCTCGCTCATCCTGAGAGTCGAAACTTCTGCTAAAGGCGAGCTCACCTAGCACATCAAAGACATAAAAGGCAATCGTGTCCTTGAGATCAAACTCCTGGTTGCTATCAGAGAAATGATCGAGGTTTTTTCTAAGTTTCAAGATATGGCTGTCGACAAAATGCTCCATCTCCTTGATAGACTGCAGGGAGAAAGCATGGGCCATTTGGCGTCGCCTGATGGAGTGAATCTAATATCTAGACTTAATGGGAAGCCCATTCAGGATAAAGGATGACATGACATACCTCTTCATCTTGTGTTCCAAACAAGTTGGGATTGAAAGTTGTAAACCCATCGTAAAAAGACGTCTTTTGTAATTGTCGACCTGCTTTGTATATGGTATTGACGGCGTCCGGATTCCGGAACGACAAATCATTTGGCCCGACCCGTACAACGTCACCGTACTGCTCATGTAGGCGAACAAGCGTATGCGGGAGATGCAAGTTCCAAAGATGGTATGTTTTCCATAAATTGGTAACTGAGGCGAGGGGAGGACCGGGGTACTTGGCCAGTGGGTGGAGGTAGCGATAGTAAACAACATATCCCAGTACCAAGAAGCCGGCCACGGCCGATGTTTGGAGAAACATGGGTAGCCCCGAGGCCCAGATGATGAAACATTCAATCTGAAGTGACATTTTAGCAATGGAATGTACAATAAGCGGGAAATGCAAACAAGAGGCTACAGCAGAAGCTTTTATTCTTTGTTTACACGTCTACGGACCCGTCCACCTCGGCATCTATTTCATTATATAGAGTACAGTATCAAACAGTATCAAGACCGTCACGGAAACACCCAGGCGGAACTAGCGTCCTTCTTCACCACGGAACTAGTGCGTGCATCGGAACTAGTGTAACCCATCTTACCCCGCACAGTCAATCCCGAGGATTTAGATTGACAACCGGATCGAAAAGAAAATACAATAGAGTGTGCCCAGACAGCTCGTCGTCAGTCTGGCCTAGGGTAGTCAAGAAAGGCGGGAATGGCTTCTTTCGTCTTTTGCTATCATATGTCTCCTTTTGGCTTTTTCTTTACAAGACTTGATCTAGTTGTTGTGCAAGGAGAATACGGATTTCCCTGGATTCAGAAGAGATCAAATACAACAGTAATCATAGCTTTAATGTACATACTATCACGTCTCCTCTTTGCTTCCCATCCGAATCCTCACGTCTTCAAATTTTAACCTTGCCGTCATTAGGTGCTCGCTCAACCATTTCGTCATCACTTTCGTACCCAGACTTCGATCAGCCTATAACGATATGCCGTGTTTTACTTAGAATAGGCTCACATACTTGGGAAATGTTCTCATTGTGGGGGGTCGTATACGAGGAATGAAAAATCAGGAAACGCGTCAGTTCCAATTCCGATGTCCGACAAGAAAGCGAAGTCTCCCGATGTCCATTCAAAATGTGGGGTCGAGTTGAAATCAGTTGGTAAGTCTGATAAGAAATCATCCGTTCCAAGACCAGTCTTGAGGCCACCTGATTGGGCCGAGTTTGACAGCCCATCAAGCCTTGCAGGAAGCTCTCGCAAGCCTTGCAGACGCTGCCATAACCGAACCATCGGGGATGACCTTGTGCTGAGAAGCAGAATAAGATCAAGGGCTTGATCAAACTCTGTTCGCACGGTATCCCAGAACAAGACGTGGGCATGTGCAATTGCGAGTAGAATATTCCCAAATGCTGCAACCAAAAGATGTTTGAAGAAGAGCACATGAGAGAATATCAAGGTTCTGTGTGCACTAAGTCTGCCAAGCGTAGATATCGCGTCTTTAGCAAGCGCTACCGCTGCATGAGCATTCGTTTCATTCTGGCTAATGCAGGAGGCGGACTGCAGTACAGGCCGAAAGACCAAGTTTCGAAGAAGACTTTGCCGAAGATAGAGAGTTGCCTGGACGAACAGTGACGTCGAAAACGATTCACTGTGGCTAAGGCTTGCGTCTAGCTTCAGGTATTGTGGTAGCTCGTCATACCATTGGCTGACTTGGGAGTCCAGGTGCTCAAGCTCATCCCCCTGAACTCTTGTTCCGTTCTCTCCATCAATGTTCATAACTTTCCACGCCTTACCTACGAGTTTAGTCCATTGGAGCAGACAGCAGAGTACAGGATCTGAGTCATCCTAAAGAGTCGTCAGTAATAAACCTTTTTTTCTATAGCCTTCAAGCCACTAACCTGCAGAAATAGTAACTGGTCGACATAGCAATCTTGGATGGAGTAAGGAATACCTTGGCCAAGGCAAATGCGTCTTTCGAGCATGTATACAGACCAAAAGACATTCAATGCAGTCGTTCGATCCTCATGATTCGCAAAGACTTTCTCCATCGTGGTATGCCGATGTAGCCCTATCTCCAGACAAAGTCTTGCTGCAAGCCCAATCATCCTCCCGGTGCGCACTTCGTCGTCGAGTTGATAATGGTAAACGGCCTGCATAGCTAATTAGTAAGCCTGTCCTAGATCAATGAAAAAGCTGTTTACAGTCAGTACCAGAAGCTGTATGCCGCTAATGCCACTTGGGTTCCAGATCAAACTCTCAACAGCTTCTGTTGTACTTTGAAATAGCCTCTGAGCCTGATCATTTCTACCGCCATCCTCCATTGTCTTGCTAATAGCGAGAACAATCTTTAGCTTGTTGGTCTCAGTATTCAAAAGAGCCTCTGCTGCCAGCTCTCTTCTAGGGGTGGGTGTCCCAACACTGATAGGCCCTATAGCTGCATATACTCTGTCGACCGTATCTAGAAGCTCTTTCTCGCGCAGAAATGGGTAAAGTCGACCCATACTGGTAAACCACTTTTTGGCAAGAGTAACAGTTTCGGTTTGAGGTATATCCCATAAAGGATCCATAGCTACAAGCCTGATGAACGGGCCATAATTCGAGAAGTGAGATGGGACCTCCGAACTGTTACCATAATCAGAGCTCAGCTTGCTGAGAATAGCAGAAGGCATGCCCATCTCCCTGAGGTTGCCGCTGACGGCTTTAAGGGCAAATTCAGAGCTTGACAGACCGCAGAATTCTGGGATATTTTGCAAAGAATCTGGCATAGTTTGGACTGTCCGAGTTTCGCTGTAGGTAAAAGTTGATTGATTTGACTCCGTCATGGAATTACCTTTGGCAGCCGTGTCACCACAACTGACAGTTTGAACAGATGCGGTAAGTTTATCCCGAGGGCTCGCGCTATCATGAGATATTAAACGAGATCCCCTGCTAGAATCGTGGTGACGTACAGGGCTGACTGGGGCTGACTTCGCGGGATTTCGTACTCGCACATCTTACGTAGCGAGGAGCATCCCCTGCAAGGTTGTCCACCTACAGGCTACAATTAGCATAGTGTTTATGTGTTTGTGTTTGGAGTTCGCAAGGCTTACCGTCACACTTAGTTTTGCGTCGTCTACAGTAGGTGCTAGAGCTGCAGTCAGCTGCATGTATGGTGCATTGTGTGACACGGACGGTGGGATACATACCAAGCCTGATTGACATATTGCGCTCGTTTAGACCGAACTTTAGTTCTAGGCACTGCCTTATGACTCTCACCCATAATAGTCACCTTTGTATAGTTTCGGGGATAGGTAAGAATGGGCGGAGTGGATTAAAATATTCGGGGGCCACGCTGAGACTATATGAATAATTAAATCCTATCAGAACAACAGTGCGGGGTATAATATAAGTAAACGCTTTTTATATAACTATATTATATACATTATCATAAATTCTAGGCCATAAAAATAGTATATAAATCTAAAAAGAAATATAACTAGGTTTAAGAAGTATTATTATAATATTATATAAATTTTAATTAATAAGTCTGGAATTAACCTGTCGCCTTGGGCGGCGATGCCCTTATTCCGCTCTAGAAAGATGTCTTGCTTGCGCTGGCGCCCGGGCCAGCGCTACCTTCCACTAGACCGGCACAGCCGGCTGACATGACGAGTAGATCTTATGTCATGAACTACGTGTCCTAGCATGGTGTTACAGTCCCAACTTCCCCGATTCCGACTACTACGCACCGGCCCCGCCGGAATGTGACTCCAACGAGGGTGTATACCCTGAGCTCGAGTTTCAGTTTAATGCTACAAACCATCCTCTTCATGGCCTTGCCAGGCTGATGTCACGAATGAAGGGTGCAACGTGAACATCTTTAATTGACAGTTCTCAGAACTAGAGAATTATCTGAGAAGGGATGGACACTTTCTCACCATAACACGAGCTCTTTATCTTTCATCATGCGACCTCATTGGTGACGGGATCACTTGGTTAGAATCTGAGATACAGTGTAGGAAGAGCCACATCGATGCTTGATGGAGTAGAGACAGGCTACCTGCTCCTTATGGAATATCTCAACCTAAGACTATGCATACTGTGAGCGGTTGGACTTGGTTCAAGGATGAAGGTAATTTGGAGCTCTTCGGCGACCAAAGTGCAATTGAAGCGGCGAATCAACTATATAGACAGCTATTTGATGTTTACAACACACACTCATTTAGGACAAAGGTGCACTCGCGATAAGCCCTCCGTCTCATTTTCTGTTCACATATCCAATCATTGCTTCAGCTTGAAGTATCGCGCGAAGAACATAGAGTTGGCAGCAAGAATAACAGGTACCACGCTGACCATCTCTCCCAAACCAGCATACCTTGGCGGAATTCGGAACTCAACCCAAGCACCGCTAGCCATTGTGATTGCCAAGATATTGTAGACAGCAGACCAAACGAAGTTAAAGTACATGCGTTGGAACGAGACTTTGCTGATATCAAGGAGAAACGGAATGCCTTCAAGACCATTCAGAAGAACCACGTCTGCTGCACCTTGAGTCACGTCGCTGCTGGTCAAACCACCTCCCATTTGAGCGCCGACGTTAGCTTGAGCTACAGCGATGGCATCATTCGTACCGTCACCACAAAAGAGAACTCGCTTGCCTTGATCCATCAGAGAAGCGACATAGTCTCTCTTCTCAGGTGGAGTACGCTCCCCAACAACGTTCTCGGCGGCAATACCAACAGATGCCGCGACAGCTTGTACAGCCTTGATCTGATCTCCCGAAACCAGATGAACGTTGATGTTGCGAGACTTGAGCTCAGAAATAACTCGTACTGCTTCAGGGCGGATCTGAGCTGAGAGGCCAAAGACAATAAGCGGAACGGAATCGCGAGTCACGACAAGTGTAGTAAGACCACCATGCTGAAGTCGTGACACATCGTCGAGTTTATCAGCTCCAGTCCATCGAGCATTTCCAGCTCTGAGAATCGAGTTTAGATACTCCGCTTCGACTCCAGCGCCTGGAACGACTTGAACATTAGCCACGCCAGGCATAGATTTGATGGACTGTCCTTCAAGATGCTTCTCAACCGCGGCCGAGACAGGATGTTTACCGCCAGAAACAAGAGCCTTGGCCAAAGCAAGGTTGTCTACCATGTCTCCATTCAGATTCACTTGCTCAGTCACAGCAAGCTCAGCCTCAGTGATAGTACCAGTCTTGTCAAAGACAACGTCGGTGGTCTTGCGCGCTCCCTCAGTAGTGTCAGCAGATTTTATGATGACACCGCCTCGAGCTGCAATACCGCCAGCGACCACAAGAACCATTGGGACTGCAAGGCCAAGAGCACAAGGACAGGCGACAGCAAGGGTAGCCACAGCATATGTGATGGCATTACCAACACTCTTTCCCGCGCTGTAGTCGAGAACCTCCATGCCGCAGGCGATCCAGATAACAAGAACTAGGACGGCGACAGTAGCCATAGCAGGAACAAACCACCCAGCGACCTTGTTGGCGAGGTCCTGGATCTCTGGTCTTGACTTGGCAGCCTCTTCGACAAGCTGGGCAATGTCGGTGACTGTGTTCTTGCCAGGAAGACGTGTCAACTGCACAGTGACAGTACCATCTCCATTCACAGTACCTGCAATCAAGTCACTGCCCTTCTGCTTGACAATAGGAAGTGTCTCTCCGGTAAGCATGGACTCGTCAACTTCAGTCTTGCCCGAGATGACGATACCATCTGTAGGTACTCGAGAGTGAGGCAGAACCTTGAACACATCTCCATACTGAAGAAGGCGGGCGTCAATCTCACGATCGCCTTCCTTCTCAGTGAGTACAGCAATGTTGTTCTGCTTAGATCGAAGAGACACAGCTGAAACAGCTTGGACTCTGGCGAAAGCAGCGATAAGGCGACCAACAAGGATGAGCGTGATTAGCATGGTGCCAGTCTCGAAGAATTGACCTTCATCGAGAGGGTTGTCCGCCATTTCGAAGCTAAAAGCAACGACGGAGTAGACGTAAGCAGCCGTGATGCTTATGACGACAAGCATGTCCATCTCGACAGTTCGACTGTACCAGAGAGCAGCGAGAGCTGGACGATAGAACTCGGGGATAGCGATGCATTGAACAAGTGTACCAAGGATCAGAGAGACGATTCCTTCCGTCTTTTTGTCGACTAGATTCTCACTCCATGAGACTACTGCGACGGGGATGGTGAGTGCTGCGGCGAGCAGAGTCTTTGTGAGTTGGTCCCAGAGGCGACGGCGACTGTTCTCGAGTTGAGGATCTCCACGGGGTTCGGCAAGGCCATTGCACTTGTCTTTGACCTGTTCCATCAGGTCTCGAGCACCAATGATTGTTGGTTCATACGATAGGCGGACCGTTTTCTTGTCAAGTGACTGCACATCCGTCACGCCTTGAGGTGGGTACTCGACAAGTCCCTTGCTCTGTGCAGTCGTAGCCAAGACATCGATAAAGTAATTTCCGCCGATGATCTTGCTAAGCATGAATCCACTTGCCCCAGACACAAAGCTGAGAACCTCTTCAGCATTAGTGATGGATGAATCAACGTCGAACTCTCCCTTGCCCATGACAAAGTTGACCTGTGCATTGGAAACACCAGTCATGCTACCAAAGATTCGGAGCAACTTATCTGCACAAGATGTACAGTCCATACCACTAACAAGAAACCCGACTGTCTCGAGGTTCGCAGCGTTTTCGACATCAACTTGCTTACTCCCGGCCCCAGAAGGCTTGAAGGCTGGAATAGCTGGGGCAGCCTTCTTCTTCCCATGCTTTCTCCGGTGCTTGTGCTTATTCGTGCTCGTTCGTGTGCCCATGCAGCATGTTTCGAGGGATGTCATTCCCTGCTCGATAGCGCTTCGGCAAATGCAGCGGATCTGTTCGAGGTAGCTGCTATACTGGTTGAATGCAGCTTCGAGATGGGTACCGCAGGCTGTGTCAGACTTGTGGAGGCCATGGTCGTGCTCATGGGGCTGATCCTCGGAGCCTGTTCCTGTTAGTCTTTTAGTGATGTTGTGCAGTGGATTAAAGTTACCTTCGTGGCCTGGATCGTCGTCACAAGCCTTCTTGCACTCAAGGGCCGCAATGGCATGGATGCATTTCTCTACAGTAGACACGAGTAAGAGAAAGGGTTCGAAGTCATTGCGGTGTTGTGTATAGAGGACTTACCACTGCAATGTTCCTCGCTACCGCAGCAGGTCGAGGCCCGGGACGTGATACTAGAGGCATCGGAGTGATCGTCGCAGCATCCTCCATGTTCGTGGCCATGGTCCTCGCCATTTTCGTGCGTATGGCCATGATTATGTTCATGTATCCCATCGTGCTCGACAGTAGAAGCTTCGCTTGTATGATCGGTATGCGCATGGCCCTGTTCTCCCAAGCTGGCATGAACATGCTCAGCCTTGGATCCGCAACAAGATGCACCCATGGTTTCGCAAAAGGTACGATTTTCGTAAGGGAGTAGTAGAATATAATACTAGGTGTGATGATATAAGATCCGAAACTGAAAAGAATTGCATTTTAAATAAATACTCGAAACATCGTGAGTTGCAATTCATAGTCAACCTGTTTGTTAGTGTTCCGCGGATGGCTCCACCACCGCTAAAAGTCTCCGCGCTCCGTTTCCGCGCCGCGTTCTCCGTTCTTTTTTCGCTAACCGTTTTGGACTCTGAAACAGGAGACGCGGGGACATTCCAATCAGTCATTTGTGCGACATATTGATAATAATCTCGTGACTGCATTTACGTCATTGAGTTATTGGCAGGAGAGGAAGAGTTATTAAGAGACAAGCATTGGGTATATTGTTAACAGCTTGTCGGATGCTCGTAAGTCATAATCGTAGATATGCAGCTCATCATGCTGAGATAATCCTTTGCGCCTCTGCTATCGCAGCCTTGACCTGATCAACCGTCCTAAAGCATGCACAAGCAGTCGTCATGTCAACTTCCTTCGGACACACCTCGGTTGGATGTTTCGTCGTCGGTAGTGACTCTGTATTTGAACAGCTCGTCCCCGTTTCGCAATTCTCGTGACCCTCAGTATGGAGTTGACTCTGTCTTGTCGCCAATCCTTCACCCAATTCCACAAGACAATCCAACTCCCCTTTAAGACTTGCTTGTAGAAATGCAATGTAACTCGGTCCCTCGAGAGAAAGCTCAACCATATCCCGAGCATCTGGCTGCTGTCCGACGACAAGGCGAATGGGTGTACCAGACACCGATGACTCGGCAGTCCGTTGCTTCTGTACGTAGAAAAAGTCGCCATATGAGGAGCCGATGCTAGATAGTAAGGACCCCAGCAAGTAGACATTCCGTGATGTGCGTGGGCTCTTGATAGACTGGAAGCAGACAGTGCACTCCAGAATAGTCCTTGCTGACGCGAGAGACTGCTTCAAAACTTTGAGGGTCTGGAAAGTCTCGAGGGAGCTTTCTATTTCTGAGAAGTGCTGATTCACCAACTCAATGCAAGAGCACTTTTGAGAAGAGGGTCCGGGAGTCGTCGTGCTCTCGGTGTTTTGAGACGTCGGTGTCACGTCCATCGGCTTTTCCGTGGCTCCGGGGTACATGTTGTTCTGGTCCTGTTGCATTGCTCCCCCATTAAACAAATCCGACGGCAACGGTTCCTGTCCTGGGGTATTATCCTGGTCTGTCGAAAAGTCCATATTGAAAGACGGCAACGGCGTACCCAGATCATCAAGGAACTGATCCATTATCCCAGCAAAATTCCCTGTATCCATAACCTCCGGCGACATTGAAGCTGCACCGGTACTCGCCACGCCATTCGACCTATATCCCAACGGCTGTCCCCTCCTCGGCCGCCCTACGGTCCTCATAGGGGAATATTCGCACGTCAAAGCAAAGTGAGAACATCGTTCGCATAAAGGAGTATGACGAGAACATCGAACTTTTCGCTTCCCTAAAACACGTCATCAGCTGATGATTACAAAGAAGAGGGGGAACGAGGGACAAACTGCATGGGTCGCAGGCGCGGTGCTGGCTCTTGTCACTTATACTTTGGATGTTCATGCCTACTAGGAGCAGATTATATAAGAGTAGCGTGTCGTGTTTTCTTTGCTGGTGTCTTTTTCGCGACAGGTGCGGCCATCAAGGTTCTCTGCCTCGGTATTTTGCCAAGGGGAAAAACATGGGAATGAGTACACTCCGCGGGGCGGGGGCGGAGAGTTTTGAGAGAGCTAATTGGTCGTTTAAGTTCCATTCACTTGCAGTTTCACAAGTTGTTTACCCTGAACTTTAAAATCCTGATGGAAATTATTAAATGGCACTATGCTAAATTGGTACAGGCTTGGTTCCACAGATCTCCAAGTTCTAGGGTAGTTTTATCAACTCATTTAACTCAGGCACTTCACTCACTTATTATACTATGTTAAATTTATTACTTTATGCACTAATACTAGGCCAATTCACGTCACTTTGTATTAGGTCATCTTAAGTCGACAATGAGACACCTAACACAACATTGCTGTATTATTTCCTCTGTTTTTCCATGAGTTTTAATATTTCCGTCTTTGTTCCCTTAATGTCTCTGCGGAGTAGAATTAGCGTTATGCTTCAAAGTGATATCACTTTTAAATTATTAAGTAATTGGCCTCGAGTACTCATTGTTCTATATAGACTTTATTGCAGGAAGTTATAGGCAGCGCAGCCTTTATATATCTTTATATTATATACAATGCTAAGCAGGCCTTTCAAGACTATTTTTTAATTATACAATACGGCCGACACAGCTAATCTCTACAGGACACTCTATTAATTTATTCTCTTATATCTACTTCATGTGTATACCTTATCTAGAGTCTAATTGTAAGTTATTTACTTACACTATCACGCCAAGCAGAGTTATACTTTTAGTAGCAACACCAATGGATACTCATCGAGGCTATCCTCGAGTGAGCGTGATAGAGTCTGATATTACTACTTGTAAAAAGCTATCTAGAAGGGATACATTTATGAAGGAACTGCAGCCCCTGTATCTTGTAACCCCTTTTTGGCTGGCAGAAGAGCTACAGACAAGCTCAGTCAAGAAGATGCAGTCGCCCTCCTTCCCAGTTTACCAAGGGCATGCACCGTCACCATTGGGAAGAAACTGGCGGCAGCAATTATACCAGCTGTCTCCATCAGTCTTGCTGTGCAGACACTAATTGCAACCCAGTCAGTGATACTCAATGCCGTATCGGCTCATGTACTTACGTATTTTCCAGAGAAGCGAACCTTCTTGGAGGTAGTGAGGAATTTGCTGGTTCCCCCGAATCGAGCGCAGCAGGTGTCGGTGGTATCGTCGTCAAGGGCGCCATCAGTGTTGATCTGGCAGCCACAAGCTCCGTGAGGATCGGCGGTGGCAAAGCTGACTGGAGTTAGAGGGTGAAAGAGAGGAGATGGTGTACACATACGAGATGATAGTGGCGAGGACGCCAATGACTGAAACGGCACGCATTTTTGGGACTGAGACTTGGTTGGAATGTAGTTGGATGGTGAAGAGTAATTGCTCAAAGTATGAGTTGGATGAGATTAGTCCGCTACGAGGACCCGAATCTTATATAGCCATCTCCCTCCACAGGAGTCTTCACGAGCTCGACGAGATCGATGTGCCGAGGAAGAAGAGCCATCGACCTGGTCGAGTCCCTCGCAAGTGCCGTGACCCGTATGAGTTTCGTGATGATACAAAGTTCAAAGTCTTGTCGGCTTCACCGCCTGTGTATCAGCGTCTAGACCTCACAAGTGTCAAGAACCCCAATAAACATGCTCGCGACGATATATTAAGGTTTACTCAGGAGTGGTTCGAGTTTTGGAACTTCTAGAAAGCGATCGACATTGTTCCAAACTCTACATATCGCCTCATTATTGCCAGCCTGTCAGGCAAATACGAACCGATATTGTCTGCCAACAAGACCATACTCATAGACATTCCTTTCAAAGATTAGAAGATGAAGCCAACCAGCCGGGTGAGTCAGATAAAAAAAATCGAGAACTCAAGCGGAGGAATACAGGCAACAGTGTCCCAGTTTTTGTCTAAAGCGCCTTGCCAGCCTCTCCTCATAATAAGGGATCGCAGTCGACGAATCACCGATGATCGACATGTTATTTTACTGTCCCATGTAAATTTCCAGTCCCAAGCTCGGTACAAGTGCCGAGGGACTAAACCACTGTAAGCTTACCTTGTTATATCGGATCATTGTGGGTATTGTGGGTATTCTCGAATACGTGTATCCACCCGAGAGTTCATTTGCAAGGTGATTCGTGAAGAAACGAATATTAAATTGCTTTGACATCGTATTGTGGAGATCCTTGTGCACGGGCAGTCGAACCGTCAAAGTCTCTTTCAAGACGGAGCGATGAACTTTCGAACTGCCTGAGCGGTGTCTTGTATGATGATCATTTGTGCTGAAAATTAGACCAGCGATTTAATGGGATGTCATTATAGAGTAGTGAGACAAGTGTTGTAGAATATGTTGATATCAAAATTCCTATGTAAGTCATTTACTCGGAAAGTCCTGCCAACACGACATCTTTAAAGAGTAAGTGACAAGTCAAGCACTCGCGATGGCTTGACAAGGTCTCAAGAACGCTGTGACCGCTCACGAGAGATCTCTTACACGCGAGGCCCAAAGTGTATCATGTCGGCAACACGGCATCAAGCGTGAGGAAAGGTATGGGCCAGACGTTTCAGAATCAAACGACTCGTGGTCTTGAGAGAAGAATCCCAGACTCGGCAGTTCGAATATCACTCTATAGAGTTCGAACGAAGGTGGAGATAGGTATGTGTTGATAGTGAGCTTTGACTTCAGTTCGAATTACAGGGCCATAAGAGAGAAACAGGCAGAAGTCTGCAAACTTCCCAACAGGAGTCCATAGTCACTGCATAAATAGACGGTTGTTCTCCTTTCGGCTACCTAGAATCGCCAATTCATATCCTTTCATCATCAGCACTATCTCTCGCACCAATTTCGTTCAAAATACCAGTCTTGAAAATGAAGTTCAACCTTGTCTTGATCTCCGTCGCCGCTCTTGCATCGTATGTCATTCATGTACATCAGTATGGCAAGCCCCTACTAACTAACAACCAGGCAGGCGTTCGCTAAAGGCCACGGTCTCTGCGCATGCCAGAAGAAGACCAACGGCGCTACCAACGACGATGCCACTCAGGCTTGCTGCAGCCGAGTCGGTGCTCAGCTCAGTGAGAATACATACCCGACACGAAAAAGACATCATCTAACATAAAGAAGCTTCTGATCGCCTTCCTGCTGAAGGTGGAATCAAATATGCCGGTTACTACGTAAGATTCCCATGGCCTCCTGACGAGAGCTGAGACTAACGGCGTGCTTGACTACAGTGCCAGGGCACTGATATCAGCGGCGATGCGTTCTATAAGTGCTGCCGCAACAACGGTGGCGGGGACTCGACCTGCCCTGAATAAGCGGCTTGATGCCACTACTGGACTGCTTCATCACATGGCTAGGTCATAGGCGCAAAGACAATTCTCTGGTCACCTAGCATGGCTGCAAAAGTTCAACTTGCTCCCCCCTTTAGATAGAATACTATACTTTACTGCAACTGTAAATGGCAAGACTAGCCGCACTTGCTTAGTCTGGATAAATAAACATGGTTGTTTTAACTGGTCTACGTTCCTGTTGATAGGGTAATGAGTCTAGTAAACAATCAAGACTCTAAATGTCATAGTAGTAAACCTCAGTCTCTTAACTAAAGCCATGGGATTTTAAAAGATGGTTTAACCTAAGTAATCAGTGTTACATTTAGGGATATGCGTCAAGGATGTGGATTCTTGAAACTCAATTAATGTATCTCGTTTACCGCTATCTACGGTATTAAAGTTTACGTTAAACTCAAAACTCAGCAGATCTTCCGAATTCTGGTATTCAGCACATACCCACCACCCCCTTTCTGTGCGTGTTCCATCTATCTGGTCATATTCTGCAGCCTCAAATACAACTGCCGGCCTCGGTAGAGCTAGCACTACCGTCAATACCGATCTTGAAGCTGCAGAACATGTGAAATATGTTAACATATAAAGTGAGCAGAGTTCCCGTGTAAGTCTTTCCTTCATTATTATCTTTCAACACTCCAGCATACTTTCATCATCATATCTTGCCTACCGTCCACCACCTCTCGCCATCATGAAAGTCGCAATTATTGCTTCGCTCTTCATTGGAGCCCTTCCCGTCTTTGCCAACCCAGCCGCCCTCGTTGACTCTACGTAAGTCTATCCAAACATCTCACTACTAGACGTTACATGCTAAATATATAGTAGCAATGTTGTGAAGCCGGAGCAGATCAGCCGTGACCTTGCTCTTACTGTCCTGGAGCAGAACAACACCTTCCTCAGATGGACCTACAATTACCATCCTGGCGTCGATCTGGCATCTGCTGCCGATGCCGCCGCCCTGGCTCCCAGGGCTAACATCCACTGGCCTGGAGTCAACGAAAGAGTTTCTATTGCCCTCGAGTACGCCAAGGTCACCATCATCAGACTTGCCTTCAACGAGATCAAGGTCATTGTCGATAACCTGACTCGACATGCCATCAATGTCATGCTTGAATGGGATTTGGGCGATGTGGATGATAGGGTTCCCGCTGGTGCTACTACCTCTATCACGCAGCGCATTCATCAGGGTACTTCTCAGAGTATTGATGTCAGCGCTTACCTTGCCGACTAAGAGGAGGCTGTTCCCTACACAGGTCTTTGGGCTTGTCATACTTGTCGTGGCGAATTAGACCCCTTGGATCTCTGGTTACGGCTCTGACTTGTATTGCCTGTAAGCTCGAGCACCATTTCGGAGGGGCTATTTCATTCAGACATTCCGCCCTCTGTCCATACCTTGTATCTTCAATTCTTTCATTCTTTTCGGTTAGTAGGCTTCATAGACAATAACTAGACTATGTCTCCATTACCTTTTCTACAAGAGGTGACTGGTTAAAGCTCCCAAACTCTAGTAGTTGCTTCTGAAGTGCCAGAATTCTGCACCTGTGCTCTTGTTCAGCTACATCCCTTGACGAGCCGCCGGCTCAGCCAGCCATGGGTAATACTCACATGCATGTCCGATGCGGTTTCATCCGCCCTATGGCACTTCCACTGTTGGCTGCTACCAAAACGCTTCGTATTCCATTTGAGACCTCAGCTCTCGGAGCGGATCCCCCAATAGTGACCGGGTTCGAAGTGCCCATGTACGATGGGGATCTTTCATCTCGCATCCGCATCTCACCACTTTTGATCTACGCAGTTGAAGGTTATCGGCTTGAGAACCAGGCGACACCTTTGGCCATGCCCCTGTTGCTTACTACGGCTATGCAAACCCAGGCCTTACCCATATGCCATGTTTCAGCTACGTGGGCCGGGGTCTGGTATTGGCGAGAAGCCAAGAATGCCTCTGTTTGCGTGTAAATGAGGCTGTGTGACAAGTTACACATGCTTGAGAAAGTGTCACTACGTAGAGACACAAACAGAAGAAGAATAGCACATAAAAATGATGCCTCCTTCAGCGCATTTAGCGGGGCTATACTCAATTCTTTAGTGTCTGATTGGTTACTTCGCTTCTTCTTGAGCGAGTGCGATAGTGGGCTGTGCCGTTAACCGTTTCTCGATACGTAGGCCAATGTCAATGACGTCAAGACCCTGATCATCAGGATCCCGCACCTAATCTGAGATTCTGTAATTTCCATGAGACGTCTTTCAATTCATCGTAATAAAGGTATTGCCCAAGCTGTTTTTGCTATAGAAAATGCATCAATCGAACGAACCAAATAATTCCTTGGCATCATCACCACCACCAGAAATACCACCTTTCTCTCCAAGATCAATGGCTGACGTCGGTACCGATTCTGGAAATCTTTTCCGTCTAAAAGACGTCCTCACATATTTCGCCGCTGTCAAAGGGGACCTCTCAAACGTCACTGCCCCTCCTTTCATCCTCGCTCCCAGATCAGCCATTGAGATTCCGGCTGCTTGGGCATGTCATCATGATCTCTTTCTCCAACCTGCAGATGAACCTGATGCTGGGGTGAGGGCTCTTTTACTTGCAAAGAATTACATCTGCAGTCTTAAGCAGCTTGTCAATGCAGATTCCCCCGATGCCGCCAAGAAGCCATTGAACCCGTTCCTTGGTGAATTATTCCTCGGCTCGTTTTCTGACAAGTCTGGCTCGAAATCTGAACTCGTTATTGAGCAAGTATCACATCACCCGCCTGTCACAGCATGCTCTGTATATAATAAAGAGCGTGGTATGTCATCGATTGGCTTCGCGGGTCAGGAAACATCCTTCAGCCTTGTCAATGGCGTCACTGTGCGTCCAACAGGATGTGCAATTATCGAAGATCATAAGCATAATGAGCAAAGTCTCATGACGATGCCAACAATATTGGTCAAGGGCGTGACGACCGGGAATCCATATCCAGAGATGGAGGGTCCAGCCTACATTGCCAGCTCGAGCGGTTACCTGACGAAAATCGGATTCCACGGCAAAGGAAGGCTTGGGTATGGTCAGAAGAACCAGGTCGTCGCTGAAGTATTTGCTCCGAATGACAAGAATCACCCATTATATCGCATCACAGGACAATGGACCGGCGAGTTGAAGGTTGAAGACTCATCAAAGACGACCCTCGAGGAATTCCACGTCGACAAGATCCCAATCTCACCTCTCAAGGTTGCGCCCGTGGAAGAGCAGACACCATGGGAGTCACGTCGGGCTTGGTTCAAAGTTACTCAAGCTATCAAACAACACAACATAGAAAAGGTGTATGCTCACAAGAGCACATTGGAAGAGTCGCAAAGAAGGCGACGAGTTGAAGAGGAGAAGACGGGTAAGCAATGGAACCGCCTGTTCTTTACTCAAATCCCCAAGGGTGACGAGATGCTCGAGTCGTTGGTTTCGAAGGTCCCTGAGAAATTGGGTATACTCGATCTTACAAAGACGGGTGGTGCTTGGAGATTTATTGGGGCTGATAGAGCGGAGGAGGTGAAACAGCATTTGAGCCGCGACAATTTGCCATAGCGTCCCGAGGTACACATGGAGTATTAATAATAGATTAAATTCGGTGGATACATCTGTCTACTGTTCCTTGGCTCTCACCTGCATGAATAGTCAAGGTTCTTCAAGTATCTAACTACCCAACCGGACTGGCATTTACCATTAGAATTCTTAGATCTTGTCAACGTGCTCTCCAGTCTCATGCTGAGCAGCAAGCTTCTCGTCAATTGCCTCAGCCCTGCGAGCAAGATCAGCCTGCAAGTTTGCAGTATACTCGCTCTTGTCAACGAAGGGAATGAACCAAGGAGCATTGGTGAAGAGATAGTTCATCTCCTCCAGAGGAAGCTGCTTGGTCTCGGGAACGAAAGCCCAGACGCAGAGAGCGTTTGTGAAGTTGCAAATGACAAAGACGAGGTAGTACTTCCAGCCAACGGCACCCATGGCAATACCAGTGACCTGACCAATCATGGTGTTGAATGCGAAAGAAGTCATGGTCGCGAGGGAGACGCCCTTGGCTCGGGTGCGGGTATCGAAGATCTCAGCGGGGATGATCCATGAGAGAGGTCCGCAAGTGGCTGAGAAAGAGAAGTTGTATGCCCAAGTAACAATGATGAAACCCCAGCCCTGAGCAGCGCTACCGGAACCAGGAGGATAGACAACAAGCATGATGGTGGCGATGATAAAAGTAAGCATGTTGAACAGGTTACCCCAGATAAGAGTCCATCGGCGACCGAATCGATCAATGAAAGCAATACAGAGAGCCTGGGCGATCAGAGCAATAATGGAGTTGATAGCCTGATACTTGAGAGCATCTCCAGGCCCAATTCCAGCCTGACCATAGATGGTAACAGAGTAGTACTGAATGGCAGAAACACCCGTCATCTGAATCGACGCCTGAAGACCGCAAGCGATCAAAAGACGACGGAAACAAGAAACATCCCTGAAAAGCTCAAGGTACGACTTGGCACCGTTGGTATGCTCATCGGCAATGCTTTCCTGAATCTGCTCGATCTCCGCACGAACCCAAGGATCATCTTCATTGCCATTGGAGTGGAGGCGAGCAAGGGTCTTGAGTGCGTCGTCCTGCTTACCCTGGTCCATAAGCCAGCGGGGGGACTCGGGGAAGACGAAGATCAGAGCACCAAGGATAACTGCGGGGATGATCTGGATACCGAGGGGGATTCGCCACTGTCGGTTGTCGCTGAAGTTTGTGAATGTGCCCCAGCCAGTCCACGAAGCGATAAGAGCTCCGATTCCCAACATGAATTGCTGGAGGGCTGTGACTCTGCCTCGGATGGATGGGTGTGCAATCTCGGCTTGGTAGAGAGGAATGATCATGGTCAAGAAACCGACACCAAGACCAGCGAGGAAGCGACCAGCCATGAGATACGAGATCTTGGGGGCTCCAGTCTGGAGAGCACCTCCGAGAGTGAAGATTATAGAACCAATGGTGATGGTCCATCGTCGACCGGTGTATTCGGTTGTAGGCCCAGCGAACATGGCACCGAAGAAGGCGCCGGCGGTGAAGAGAGCAACTACAGCACCACTGCAAAAGTCAGAATCTCAACAGTCACAATGCGATGGTTTGCGACTTACGTATCGGCAGCTGTGTCGCTAGTGTTGAACTCCCGGTGATAAGATGGAGATGCAATGACCTGGGCAATGACACCCAAATCATAGCCAAAAAGCAGCGATCCAAAGGACGCAAACACTCCAACGAGGAACTGGTAAACCTTGGGCTTCATGATGAACTGCTTCAATTGGATATGCAGACGGTGATGGATAAGAAGTGATCGACAGGAGAGGGATTTCAAGGGCTTTTAATACTTTCCATCAACGACCCAGAAGCTTGGAGCTTCAGAGTAGCATTGCTCTTCTCGCGCTCCAATGGTTGACATTTCCAGAGTCATGTCCCCAGCATCCATCAACTTAGCGCAAAAAGTCCCCCATGGGGAATGGGCCAGCCAAACTGTAACCTCGCGAAAAAACACGAAACAATGCCGAAGACACGCTAAGAGAGCAGCCCATTAACAGCGCGTGACATCGCCATAGAAGCGCTTCTTCATGATTGGAGCGCAAAACAGCGACATGAACGGATCGTTGAGCTAGGTTGCTGGAATGCCAAGCTAATGCGGAGAAAGGCAAACCCGCGTATTGTTAGCATGGGTTAAGGTCGGGTTGTTTGCCGGATTTGCTTTTTGGGCTGGTGCGGGGTTTCAGCTGACATGTCTGGGAGGACGCTATGCTGTTTTTATCGTGTTGTCCGGGGGGGTTGTTGATGCGGAATCGTACCGGCATGAGAGCATGGGATAATGGCTGGAAGCGACAAGGCTGGTGTTGGGTTGATGCATCCGAGGCTTAGGCTTGTGGATGACTTTGCATGACGAGGAGATCGGACGAAATTTCATGATAAGAAGTTGTCGATGGAGAGGGTTTAAATGGTCGTGGGATAACAGGTTGTTTGGCTTGTATGCCAAGACGGTATTGAGTGAGTCTGGTGTATGGTTATTTGTGAATATTCGTATCGGTAGTGACTGAGAATAAAATTTATCTATGCTTAAAGAATGGGCCCAATGAGGAGCGCAGATCAGACCCAGACGATAATGCTTGTTCTTCACGTCGCGTGGTTTTTGTGGGTTCAGCGAATTGTAGCTTGCGAAGATAGATTGCACGTTGCCGATCTCGATTGTTGACAGTTTCAGATAATTTACATACCATTTTCATTGCTGGAATAATTGACAACCCATAATCCTAAGTAAAGAATGATCTGTCGCATGGAATCGCGTCACATCCAGCCAACAGAATCCTCAGAGTTATCATACAGGGTAGGCAATCCTCCGTAACGCACTCGGCCGATTCGGGCATATCGCAGCAAGACACGTTATTCCCGTCCAGTATGCGCCACCTGCTCGCATCCAGTCTGGAAAGGCTCGATTGGCCAGAGAATGGGCCACCCACATAGCTTATCGATAGACCTCACAAGGTAAGGGGATCATGTTTTAACTGAGCATGCAAATTCTTGCCGATTAAAAGTGACATTCCAACTGTTATATAACTATTAAAAAAAAATAAGTATGTCTGTTGCGGTCCATTAGGTTACTTTAATAGTGACAAGAGATCTATTCACTTTTTACGGAGTACAAGAATACTAATCTTGGAATCAGATCGGACTGACTCCACATTATTCTCTGATAAGCGCGCGCCTAAAAAGAGTAACTCTTTCTACCAATCAAGACCGCGATAAATGTATCAGACCATGCCATGTCATTACAAAATCATCGGCCATAAAGAGGCCCTCCAATTCAGAAATGAAGTTTGAGTACCATGTCCTCATTACAATGAGTCTCTGCACACCCTGCCAACAAGCCTTACCTCCCTTCCCATCCCCAGGTGGTAGTGGAGATACCAACAAAGGTTACCTGTCTAAGCCTATCGTCTTCATTAACCCGCGTCTCCCCAAAAGTCACCTTCTTCTGCACACATCATGGGAGTCTTTCATGACATCTCTGGAGGCCGATTGCCCTGTCTGCTGGACAATCTGGCGGAACATCCGATCCTCACCCATCGTTTCACCGGATCATGAAAATATTGAAGATTTCCGAGCGGATATCCTACGGGCAACCTACAATCCCAAGGATTCCGCATATCTCATCACTGTCTCGATAGAGGGCCGGGAACTAAAACAGCCGTCGTTGCTACTCAATATCTGGAAGACAAACAAAGAGTTCTTTGAACGTAAGTTAACGATTCAGGCTTCGTAATTCATCCGTTCAAGCTTATCAAGTCCATAACAGAGGTCGAAGACGAAACTCCCATGCCCATTGAGCATACTCCTCAATCAGCCGCTCAAGCCGCAAACCGTTGGATCAGCATCTGCGACTCGGAGCACTCGTCATGCCTCGATCGTGCCACATCGCCACCAGAAGCAAAAATGCCAACTCGATTGCTAGATCTTGGCGGCAGTGACTCGACAACGTGGTGTCTCATTGAGACTCAACAAGAAAAAGTTCCATATGTTGCGCTTTCGCATCGCTGGACTGCTGATACGCCAACACTTCTGACGAAAGACTATGCAGAGTACTTCAATCCCCAATCAGATGCCCTCTTGCCCCAAAGCTATAGAGATATCGTTGAGATCTGTCGCGCTCTACCTATACGCTATCTTTGGATTGACTCTCTTTGCATCATACAAGATGATAACGGCGCTGATTTCCGCCACGAAGCACCTTTGATGATGGATGTGTATCGCTATGCATTTATCACTATTATGATATGCTGGGAATTTGGAGAAACTACCGCTTTTCGGAAGCGTAGGCCTCGTGGAATAGCTCGACCTCCACCGAAGTCCTATCATGACGACAGCACCAGGAGTACCAATAGTCTCGTCAATGCAGCAGAAGATTTTGCTTTTATTGTACAGAACAAGACCAACGACTACCGTACCGACGTAGACAAGTCACCTATCAACAAGAGAGCCTGGGTTTTACAAGAGAGGCATCTCTCACGGCGAATCCTCTGCCTTGGTAGTGATCAGCTATATTGGGAGTGCCAAGGCGATTCTATTGGAAGTTGCATGTCAAGAGAAGCCTGCCCAGAAAACTTCTCAAGCTTTGGCAATCGCCTGCCACTTCAGCCACTCACAGATAATGATGAAGGTCTCTCCTGGAGTCTAATAGCCGAGCAGTACAGCCAACAAGACTTGACGTACGAACAAGATAGGGTCGTTGCCATATCAGGGCTTGCAAAAGTCATCTCGACCCTGAGTGGTGATACTTATTTTATCGGTATCTGGCTTGAGAGCTGGATGACTGGTCTCCTATGGGAGCCTGATCAAGCAAAAGATCGACCACACAGGCCCAAGCCATCCCATACAGATTCACCTCCTATTGTTCTACCTTCGTGGTCTTGGCTGAGCTTCCTGGGATCAGTGTATCTTAGTTCAGAAGGACCAAGGATCTCAAGGACAGATCCGAACTCCTTTGAATCTGAAGTCTTCAGACCACTTGCTATTCTCAGTCGAACCACCCTTCTACCAGTCGACGCCGACCCGTCCTTTTCCTTCGATCGTGTCATGCTGCATATAAGGTGTCTACTTATCCCAGTGGAGTTTGGTGGCGTCGCAAATGAGGAGAATCTACCATCCTTTTTCAAGCTAAATCACGAAATTGAGTTGCAATCAATGGGTATAGACCGCTTGCACCTTGTTTCATGCCAGGACGATAGAAGGGAGTACGGAGTAATGAAAGTTAGGTTCAGCAAGCCGATAAAGACATCCTCGCGTTACTTCCTTGTCCCACTGTATCTGCGCAAGGAGAATGCAGCTGAACCCCAAAAACTTAGTCCTGACGACACTGAGGGCTTTGGACTTGTTCTTGAAGAAAGCTACCACGATGGAGAGCGCGAGTTTATTAGGGTTGGGATGTGGCAGGAAGACTATGGTTGTTCTTCCCAGCTTGGACCTATGATCAGCAACACTATTGCCAAGGGATGCTTAGCAGAGGCAGAATCTAAACGCATTGGAGGTATTACGGAAATGGAACAGGTTTTTGACAATAAATTACGAGAATACGCATTGCGTCATGCATCCTCGGGGGTAAACTTTCCCTGGAAAGAGCAAGAGGAGCATGTCCAGTGCTCATTGCTGCCACATTTTACCCACGCCGACTGGGCTACTATTTCCTTAGTATGACCTTTATACCTCTATAAACAGGACATATAATTAAAACTTGATATTTTTCGTTGTGGGTTCCACTTCTACATCAATTAACGTATTTCTTTGAGTCATGATCAATTGTAATATCAACACATCAACTGAGAACAAATAGTCTCCGGAGCAATCAAGCGTCTTAGGTCAAACCATATACCAGCCACGGCATAATTTTGACTGCTTAGGGGAGCTGATGGTCGTCACTGATGTCATAAAAGTCACCTCTGATAGTGCAAGATCTGCATTCATGCCTCAGCTGGGCTGAGACATTCATGGGATACGCAGTGAGGCCACTGAGCTAACTAGAGATGGACTGCAGCAAGGCTACACTATTGGCTCAGCAACGCCTTGCGATAAGACATATTGCATCAAGTTAAAAGACATCGTGCCGTGTCATGTCTGATGACGTGAGCGGTAAGTTCTGCTGGAATGCCTCGACGCCAGGAAGGAGAGCAAGAAGTTTCTGTTGCTCGTGCTTAGGGTATATAAGACAGAAGACCGGACTTCTCCTGCTAAAGATTTTTACGTTTTCTGTCGTTGAAGCCTTTCCTTTCACGTCAACAAAAGATAAACACCGATCATACGTCATTGTCTCCCAGAATCAGTATGTCTGCTAAGGTCTACGTCGGGCAAGCCCTCTCAAGCAGCACAACAAGACTTGAACCTAACATTAACCGATCTTGCTATTAGAAACTTGTCATGGAACACCACAGATGATAGTCTGCGAACTCGTTTCAGCGACTATGGCAACATCCTGGATTCGGCAAGTGCTCAAGCATCTACTACATCACCATGCGATATATTAACCTCTCGGCACAGATAGTTATGCGAGATCGAGACACCGGTCGCTCACGGGGCTTTGGATTTGTGACATTTAGCAGTTCGACGAAAGCCAGCAATGCAATTGGTGCTATGAACGAACAAAAGTATGTGCCATGTGCGGTGCCCTCGCTAAGGTACAATCTAACGATGAATTAATCTTAGTATTGATGGAAACCAAGTCAAGGTCAACATGGCTAGTGCCCGTCCTACTGGCAACAGTGGTGGTGGCTATGGAGGAGGTCAAGGGTGGTCAAGGTGGCTACGGCAAGGGATATGGACAGGGAGGATACAGCGGTGGTTATTCAAATGGAGGATATGGTGGAGGTGGAAGCATCTAAAGCCATCATTATGTGATATAGATCAATTGGTAAATCTACTGATGTTACTACCGTCCTTGGAGAAGTCCCTGTAACGCTTCCTCAGTATCATAAGCCTTTAGCAACTCAGCTTTCAGCTTTTCAATCTCATTCTTCTGGTCCTTTCTCACGCCGTCCAACATATCCTTAGCGGGACCAATGAGGTGAGCGTCGCTAAGCTCCATGACTACTGCCATGAGCACTAAGCTGTCTCCCATTTTCTCCAGTTTGCCATCGGCGTCCAACCCGTTCATGATCTTCAGAAGTCTCTCAAAGTCCGCATCGCCAGGCTCAAGGATAACTCGCAAGACAGCGCCTCCGTCACCGCTGACGAGATACTTGTGAAAGAGGGTTGGCACGACAGTCTGAGGCTTTCCGACTTCTAGTGGCTGGGCAGAAGCTTCCAGAGCTTCCAGGTCGGGCTCAGTGCTCTTGTATACAGAGATTGATCCTTCGATGAGATCAAATGTCTCGGAGAAATGTGTATGGAAATGAGGAGGGACAGTGGTTCCGGGAGTCATGGTTTCGATAAAGATGGTGCGCTTACCGTCATTGAGGGTTGTCGACTCCTCAAGCCGAAAGCGGCGTTGATCCCAACGACGTTCTGATGACATATTGATATGATGAAAACTAGTGACGAAGAATAAAGAGATGATTCAGTTTAAGAGATTTAATGAAAACAATCCACTCATTCCAGGTTCCAATTTCCATGTTTAAGTACCTAACTTCACTGCAAAATGCTGACTGCTTATTCAGCGGCTCATCAGCTACTGACCCCGCCGCGTTACGGCTTTGGGATTAGTGATTATGAAGGATTCAGATCTGCGCCATGGGATATCTTATCTAGGCGCAATCACCAATTAGATAGCCTAACTGGTATTTCTCTTAAATGCTTGATTTGCTGGTAGTCTATGCGACTGCTGTTGCTATTGTGGGTACACTTAGAACACTCATTTGCTGTTGTCTTGTTCAATTGTGTGTGAAACTGATGAACTACCTAGACACCTATTTTTGAAGCTGAATGTCGCCAAAATGGGATATCTCCGGATATAAGCTAAAACCTGTTTAGATGACTGATAGGTGCAAGGACCTAAAATAGTATGCAGTAAGTAGAAACCTCCTTCAGCCTTGGTTGATTTCCAAGAGGTAGGCTTGCTTCTTTTCTTGGCGTTTGGGCTTTAGCAAAAGTCTCAGAAGAGAGTGGAGCAATCGTGCGTTTCAATATAAACCAAACATGACCTATCTTAAAGGCATAAGCACACCCGCATCTTTACTTGATCTGGAAATATTCGCGAAAAGTTATCGGACTCGCGGAGGAGAACTGACCTGGATCAGCCAGTCGCATCTGTGTTCCTACACAGTGATCAATGTTAGTCCTCCAATTACCAATCCCCGCAACGTATATGCGAGACTGGCTGAGCCGAGGATCTCGGCACTGCACTATGCTTTGATGTTTCTGCTTTTGCCTCTTTTCTTCTTTGTGTCGGAGTTGAGGTTGCTAACTCGTGTAGATGAAACGAGGATGCTGGGCAAAGGTGAGTGTCCTGGATGCAAGAAGCGTGAAGCCACGAGGATATAAGACACTGCATGGTCCTCTGCTTCATTACTGAAAGGTCTCAGCATTGACAGGTCCAACATCAGTCTAATTTTGTTCCTGAAAAGCATTGTATGGCTTCCTCATCCACTATGAAGTTCTCTGCCTTGATCGCCGTCACCAATGCGGTCGCGCCCAGCCTCGCCATTCCCCAGTTTCTGTCCACCCTCGAGTTTGTTCCTCAGGAGTGGATTGCCCCAGCTCCAGATGCCTGTGAGTTCCACGATGGACACCAGCCCTAGTATCTATGCCCTCTTATTACCTCATACTGAATGATTGATGAAGCTCGCGGTCCCTGCCCCGGACTCAACACTTTGGCCAACCATGGGTACATCCCTCGCGACGGCAAGAACATCACACTCGAGATCCTCAAGGACGGTATGCTTACCAGTTACAACATCGAGCACCTGGACGCTGTTATTCTTTTCACACAGGCTATCAAGACCAGCCCCAAGTATCCAAACACCCGCAGCTTCGATCTGGCTGACCTTGGTCGCCACAATATCCTCGAGCATGACATTTCTTTAAGGTATACCACCCTATTATCCTCTTGCAATAAGTACTGACCCTCGCCATGCAGTCGCTCCGACGCCTTCTTTGCCGATCCGAACCCGTTCAATGAGACCGTCTGGGCCGAGTCCTTTACCTACTTTCCTGACGATTTCATGACAGTCAAACAAGTCGCCAAAGCGAGAATGGGCCGCTTAGCAACCTCCAAGAAGACCAAACCTGAGCACTCGCTGTCCAAGCTAGCTGACGGCTTCAGCTGGGGCGAGATGGCATCCTTCTTTGAGATCATGGCTGATGGCACTACCGGCACGGTGGAGAAGAAGCTTATCGAGTACTGGTTAAGTATGTTTGCTTTTCTCTTTCAATACGCTGAGGCTAACAAGGTATTTCTGCTGCAGAGAACGAGCGTATGCCGACGGAGATTGGATGGCAGCGACGCACTACGACCATGCGAGGAAGTGAGCGTATCGAGTTCACAAGGAAACTCATGCAGGCTGCTGGCATTGCCCGTCGCGACATGAAGACTGATGCTTACGGCCGTGAGATGGTTGCGTAGCATGGTAGTGGCACGTGAGCGCAGGACGTTCGCGTTGGTTGAAGGAGGGCTGGCTTACCCTTGCTCAATTGGCAGAATAGGATAGCGACAGTGAGTGCGGGTAGCGCTACAATGACCAAGTAGACGTGGCTTTCTATATGTACTACGTTCATTATTTTATTTTTTCTTGCAATAACACAGACGGTGATGGATAAAGGGCAGTACTCAAGCTCCCGAGATTTAACAAACGTAGCAATGTTATCGAGATTCCAGAGCCGTGTAATATGGAACCCAAGTTGCTAAAGACTAGAAGATAGAATAGGAGGTTTTCACTATACTGGTAGTTTGTTATCTAGATCTGCATTCCAAAAAGTGCTTGACCTTGTCTAATAAGATGTCTCGTTGAATAGACAAGATGTCCAACCCCAGAGTCAAGTCAAAACCTCGATCATCAAATACGTAGTCAAGCTTTTTTATACTAAATAAACATCCCAAATCTGGTTCTAGCTATCCTTCTTCGTGTTTGGTCTTAGCAACAGATATCCGTCCAAAGCAACAGCTACCTCTATGTCATCCTCTCTGGCCTTCTCATCATCCGCTCCCACTGTTGCATCAAACCCCTCCTTCAATGGCTTCGTGACGCCCAAATGCACATATCTAACTTCACCAGCCAAAGCGTCAATATTCTCTTTCCTCCCAGGTTCGTTCATCACAGGCTGGACCCACTGCCATTCAGCACCAGATGTCGTTGTTGACATAGTGTGTACTGGCACAAGAGGACCTTTGGTATCCTTGCCATCACCGATCACTTGTATACGCATTTTGCCATCTTGCGAGGAGACAGGGTCTGAGCCACGAGATCCAATAATTACTGGGCCTGAACGGAACCAAACGCCGAGATTCTGAAGGTCTCGCTCGATTTCGTCTCGATTGAGCTGTGCTTGGGCTGCGGGGAGTATTCCTGAGCGTATGTGGATCGGAAGGAAGGGATCCAGGAGTACAGTGACAAGAGAAGATTGCAAGGCCTCGGCCTTCCTCTTCTGGTAGTCACCAGCCACATCGCTGATGTTGAAGGGCTCAGAAGTACCTGAAGACAGGACTGGTGGATAGCTGGGGGACACGGTGAGAGGAGGTGCATCACCCGAATGTCTCACGTTTGGCAAGGATGCATCATCAACAGCATAGTCCGTGACAATGTTCCAAGCTTCGTCAGCTTCCAGAGGTGTGAAGTACCCGATCAAGCCATCTTGGTGACCCAGCATGTCGCCCAACTTGATGCCAAACTCGTATCGTGTGAGCTCCTCGTCTTCAGTTGTCTCAGAAAGACCACTACCAGTGATGCTATCGCTTTCGCCCTCAGCATAGTCAGCATAGGCTTGACTCTGCATGGGAGGCGTTGCAAGTTCGATTCCCAGTCCAAGATGTGCGAGAGCAACAGGACGACCAACAAGAGCCGAAGGAAACTGGGCGAATTGTTGGGCTGGTGGCGCCTGAATGTGATCTTGAGCGGCAACGATGGTCTTCCAAAGACCAATGATGAAAGGTGCATGTGACATTGATGTGATCAGGTCATCCAGCGACATGGGCTGCTTGTACCCTTTCAGTGCCGAGGTATCTACTTTATCCAGCCGAGCTTGAAGTCGAAAGTCATGTTCGTCGCGCATCATGTGTGGAAGGATGTCGGAAGACATGTCACCCCCGATCAGTGAATGCCAATGAACCGGTTGGTGGGGTCCAGTGGGAAGAATCGCTTCTCCCTTGAATGTCCGATTCTTGTCATAGACCTGTATAGACTGGTTATGAAAGTTGATGAGGAGCCATGCAAACACCGCATTGTCGCCTTCAGTCACTGGCTGGGTCCCTGAACTGTCTTCATCACACAGGAATGCAGCATGAAGACGAGCGTCTTGGTTGATCCGTGGACTAAGCTGAAACCATTCACAATCGTCTGCTTCATTCTCGCTCGAGGATGTCGCAAATGCTGTATTTGGTGAAGCGTCACTGTCCGGTTCACAAAGCAGGGCAGACCCGATATGAGGATACAGAGTTTCTTTAGGCTGTTCTGGTCGTGGATCGTGAGCGCAGATGACCTGCCCAAAACGGTCGACAAGCTTGAACTGAGTCAGCCGTGCCTGACCATGAGTGACGGGTTGGAAGAACCGATTTTTTTCATCAACAGCATCAGCGCTGGTCAAGGTCTCATATGACAAACCCTCATGGTATGTTCCATATGGAGTTACATCAAGGCCACCCGACGACAAGTCCCTTGGACCCCCATAGAAGATCTCAAGAGATTCTCGGTTGGCAAAAATCTCTTCCCCGAGCGTAGATGACCCCTCTTTCATGGGGATAGCATGAGCTCCTTGGCCAAGAGTAAGAAGATGATCGGTGAACCCATCAAGTCGACCAAAGGTTAAATTCTGGCCCTTGAGGAACTTTTCTGCTAAGGATTTCACCGCATCTGACTCGCCAGAAGCACCAGGAACTGTACGGTGCATCATATCTAGGAGCCCAAGAATAAGCTTCTGGCCGTTTGGCTGTAGAATGCTTCTTCCAGAAAATGTACGAGAGCCCAGTTTCAGGTCTGATAGCTTCTGGTCACTGTCAAGTCCATACTGAACCGAGCCGTCGTCGTCGTATCTCAATTGCCACATGTTGCTGGGGATATTCACGTACTCCACCTCCCAATCAACGAATAGAGGTAGCCATGGCTGACCGTCCCAGCAACATTCTTTCCAAGAAGGGTTCTGGATCAGTACATTCTCACCAGGACGCTCTGCCGCGATCTCCTTGGTAAACGCCAGCATAGTATTGGTCACAGATTGACGAAGCTCGCTGGGAAGTTGGCGGAGCCCATTATGGTTGTTGATTTGCTCCCATAGATCAGGAATACGAGCCTTGGTGGTTGGGGCACCATCCTTAACGAAAGTCGTAGTGTCTATCCACTTCTTCAAAGCCTCAGCATTTGTGTCCAGCCATGAGTTAAAAGATTCGGTCTCGATTGTGGTGGGATTAGCATCCCAATTCTCAGGCCACCCGGAGCCCATGTCTCTGAGAACAAACGCAGGGTCTGTATGGGAGAAGAACTTGCTGGTCTCCTCCTTTTCGAATGGTCCATGTGACACTGACTTATCCAGAACCGCCAGGAGATGGCTCTCGGCTGAAGATATCAACAGAGTAAGGCTTTGCATCTCTTCTAGGAGCCGTTTAGCCCTTGCAGTACACTGAGATCTGCGCTGTACTGAAAGAGTGTCGTGGCCACCGATTAGACTTCGATGTTTCCACCATTCGCAAAAGACCAGATGTCTCGTGTACCTTTTCCGCCGACAAAGTGCATCGAGGTAGTTTTGCATTGTGTTTAACTGGTGTAACACCTCCTTCTGCTCTGCAGTCGGAACACTAGGCTGCTGGGCTTGTGCAAACGACAGACTGCCAAACGAAGCACCTTTGTCTTCCTTCTTCTTTATATGCCAGCAGTATCCGCCATGCGTGCCCTTAAAGTTGGTGGCAGCTGTCGATGCACGGTCAAGTTGTGAATTGGACTGCTGCAAAGAAGCATCGCTCTTTAGACTCTCGAAAGCTTCGGCCATGGAGACTTCTTTATGTGACGAGCCTCTCAGCAAGGCAACACATGCATCCATCACGTCGTTTCCGACGGCCACTGGCTGCTTGTCCGAAAACAGCTTGGCTTTCTCTGCCGCTTTGATCTTGCTGGGAGCAACATCCCTTTGATAATGCACAGAATAAAGTGATCCCCAGCATACTGAGATCGATGTCGATGCTTCGCTAGAGGAGGTAGAGGCAAGTTGGAGGGCTTCTTTAGCAAAGAAGCCGTAGACAGAATAGTTGATGTTTGCGCTCTCAATTGAGCCAGGTTCGCCATCCTCTTTTGTTAGGTCATCGTGAAAGCTAAAGACAGCTGAGTTCTGAGGTATAAAGTCCGCGAACAGGGGATTGCCCGATCCCAAGACAGTGAGAGGGCTGTGATGGCTTGCTGGATCATTATCAACACCGCTCCAGTCTTGGGGAAGACGTGAGACTTGTCCCAAGACTGTTTGAACTTGCTCTTCTGCTGTCAGGCTTCGATCGATGAATGGTGATGAACCCGAGTGGGGATCCCCTCCCTCATTGATGATATGACTGACGTTTCGAATCTTGTTGCTCTCTACTAGAAATATCTCCAGAGCTGGTGTTTCTGGTTGAGATTCTGCTATGTGGCGGAAAATGAGCCATCTGTCAGGAACAGCGTCATACTATCCATATCAGCAAAAATGATCTGGCTAGAGATGGCTAAGCACTCACTTGAACTGGTCCAGTAGCTTCCAATTCCTGGGGCGAATCTGCATCTGCTTTGCCCAACCGGAAGGTCTTGGGCAAACACCAGTGAAGGTATACACCTAATTTGGATTTGATGACCTCTCCTGTTCCAATATCCGCGATACGAGGGTTAATTCTCCATGGTGAGGCATTGTTGAGATCAATAGGATCTTCGACGTCAGGCCGTGAGTCAAATTCACCGGACGACAGGCTCTCATAGCGAGGTGGATGAACCGGGGCCAGAAAGAAACTATCCCCTACAACTGAAGTGTTTAAAATGTAGGCATCGACTTTCATGCCAATGCAATTGATGGGACGTGGCATTTTGGGCGATTACGATGGACCTGTTCTTGAGAGAGGCGTTCGTTTGGCTGGGAGCGTCTTGCGGGCCGTACCGATGGCTCAATTTTGACATTTCCCTGCCTCCAACCGCTGCTTCTTCTTCGCTGTGTCATACGCGACATGCCCACTATACGAAGTGCAGGAAAGCCGAGTCTCGAAGCACAGTATCAATAATAGTGGGTGCTGCGATAATCAATAGTTAGCGCGCTATTGATTCTGGTGGGGAGCTGAGAACAGGGTATTGACACCAAAAGTTTTAGTGGTCCAAATACGCTGGAAGTGGAGGTGACAACAGCGACATGGGAAGACATGATATTCTTCTTTGCTCATCTTGAGTACTGAGGTGTCAAGTTGGTGAAGAGAGCCAAACCCCAGCCATGACAACTTTCAAGGACTTGAAGCCTGGCCAGGCCCAATTCCTATCATCTTTCAAGCCGTCCCTTGTTCCAGGCGATTATAGGGTTACCGTCAAGCAGGAAGTAGTCTATCCCGAAGGCGAGCAGAGTCGGGAACTGAAAACAGACAAAACATTCACAGTAAAAGGTCCAAGTCAATATCAGCTTCCAGCAGGGTCTATTCACTCTGTCTATCCAGCTGAAGGCGATGCTGTCCCTTCAAAAGTACTGCCTCAGGTCACGCTCAGTGATTCTCATCTACCGTGGGAGCTGAGTCCAGATGACAACGATGAAAGAGCCAACAAGCACGTCAACGGGTCACTTATACCATGGCTTGCTCTCTTGGTCTTTACAGAAGATGAGATTAAGAAGCTGCCGCCAATGAGTGCACAGCCCTCACCATCTCCAACATTATCAGTCCGTCTGAGCAAGAAACAGCTAAGAGAGTTGAGCTCGTCTTCCTGTCGAATCCCACTGTCTCAACAAGAGCTTCAAGATAATCCAGACGAAGGGATCAACACTATATTTGTCAATTCCTCAGCTTTCCAGGCTTATTTCTCACGGCAAATGGGTGAGGGCGAGGTAGAGCCAGCGATAGCGCGGTATTCATACTTGTCGCATATTCGACGTTCCCGCTCAACAAAAGCGCAGGATGCAACGACGGATACGTTCGGTATCGTTCTGGGCCACCGGTCCGGTCCATTGGAAGTCAAATCTTCAGTGACCGCATATGCACATCTCGTATCTCTCATGGGAGTGTCAAATCTCCAGATGCCCGAGGAATCAGACCTGACGGCGTTGGTATCGCTTTACTCCTGGTCATTCACATGGACAGAGGGACATGACGCTGAAATTGCCAGCGTCATTAAGACTCTGGCAGATAACGTCAGGCCTCTAAGAAGGGCCGTTGAACCGTCAACAGACCCATGGCTGAAGAGACGCATGGAATCGGGTTACACCTTGGTCAAGCACCGACTGCAAACTGGAGAACAAACTGCTTCTATGTTCCGTGGCCCGTTGGTGCCTTTTCAGCCCCGAGGAGATGAGCTTGAGAATGCTGAGGCTGCAGGGCATGGATCAGGACTCCAGATCGTTGATCGAACGACAGGCATTGTCGATATCACATATTCCGCTGCTTGGAGCCTCGGTCGTTCGCTGGCTATTGAGAACTCTTCTTTCACCATGGCTATATCAGCACTGCGAGCAAAGATCACGCAGGTGTACAGAACAAGCTTGCCGTCAGGGTTCATGGAGGGAGATGCGTCTGAAACAGCGTCTAGAGAGTTGCCTGACTGGTATCAGAAGCTTCAGAAGATTTCTCAAAACACAGGAGAAACAAAATCTTTTTCGACATCAGAAACAAGCTCTCGGTGGAAGAGAGCTCGAGACACCCTCGCCGGATCGAAGCCTGGGTTTTCTGCTCCCGGTTTCGAAGCAGAGGAAAACCTAGAAGCTGTACGCAAGTTTCTTCAAGACGAGGTTGACATACTAGTCGATGACAAAGACTGGTATGCACGAGAACTTGTTGAGCCTACACAAGAAGGTCTCTACCTAGCCAAAGTGCTCGACTTTGTCTACAATCAGCTCCTCACTCTCCGTGCAGTCCCGCACAATTACATGTTTCCTGAACCTGACATTCTTGACACTGAAGCTGTCTTGACTTTCTACGTTGATCCTCTTTGGGTCGATACCCTTGTCGATGGCGCCCTGAGCATTGGGAGTCACAGCACCGTTAATGAGGACTTTACCAGAAATGAGATCAAGCGGGCCATCAATAAGTATCTTTCCAAGGTGGAAGTTCAATACAAGAACCCACGAGTTCCTCGATGGGGAGCCATCATCTGCGGAAAGTTACTGGGAACGTTTGACGATCCTCGCATTCGAACTGGCAGCAGCCTCGCCCCGTCACCTCAACTGCTGGTTACCACAAAGCTTCAAGATAGAGCCCTTTTACTGATCTTGAACTGTCGGCCCAGCGACTTACCCTCTGGCCTGACGATAAGCCAAGCTCCCCATCAACAATGTTTCTCGGCCGGTAAAGTCCTGACAAAAGAGGAGATCGAGATCGAACCAACAGGTGTAGCACCAGAAGATGCAGTCGTTGATCCGAAAGATTTGCAAATTTCTGTTATCAAAGAGCGCAGGGACTCATCGCCGCGGGTTTTCAACTTTGATACAAGATGTTTGAACCCATTCGAAATTATGCAACACTACGTCAAAGAAGCGACGAGCAAAGGAGGCAAATACCCCGCGACTGGTTCATCGGCTCTCTTGTCCTTCGTTCTGGGCGACAAGGTGCAAGAGTTTTCTATCAGACCTACAGAGGACCAAGTCGATACGGGCAAAGAACAACCTCTTGAGCCGTTCCAGCTCAGTACGGAGACTCGCCATGCAAACCCAGATCAGCTTGAGTCCATGAATACTACGACTCTTAAGTCTAGCTCTGGCTCTATCAAGCTTGCTTTTCGGGCTCTTGAAGAAAAGACGGTACCCATGGCGAAGCCGGTCCCAGCGGAGGGCACAGCCAAAACCCAGATATCAAGACATATACCTCGAATCTCTCGGGAAGGCGATGTCAGCTGCATCAAAGCATCTTCCAGAGTCCTGAAACAGCATCACTTGGCAGACGGAACCCGTCTTGTTGATCTAATCGTCAGTCTCAACTCCGAAGAAGCAGACAAGCTGAAGAACAAAAACTTCCTCGGTATCAATGTTTCTTTTCCTCTCATGGCCTTAATGGACCCTAAATCAATCGGTCAACCAAGAGTCACATTGTTTGGCGAAGGTTCCGCTCGCTGGATATCAGGCAGTGCCTATGTCACCAGTGATCAGCCTAGCTTTACAGTTAAGTTGAGACTCAGGGCTCCAGGACTCGCTAACAAGGTCAACTTTGGGTTTTTGTTAAGCAATGTCAAACTTTCAGATAGTATTGATGATGATGTGGTGCTGGGAGTCGAAGAGGAGTATAGTACAGAGGGGAAGAATTTCAGTGGGGAAGACTCCGTGACCAGGGTTGTCAGACAAACGTGTGGAATTGAGGGTCTCTAGAGAGAGAGACGAGTAGTTACTAATTTACCGATTTTCTGCATCAATACGCATCCGTATATTTCCCCTGCAAATGAATCACACGTTGGAATGGTTTCTCACGCTCAGACTTCCGTATCTTCCGAAGCAAATGCACGCAGCTACAATGGGTTTTGCTTGCTGGCAAAGCCCCTCTGAAAACCGCACTGTGAGGGGTGCTTGAGGTCCAGACTGTGGACTATCGATTTACTGCATGAGACCCTGGTTTTTCTTATCTGACGGCAGTTATTCATTATCGTCTGTCTACTCCATTATCTTTGAGTATAGACTATACTACTTTGTTCACTGTGCTGGAGCCATCTTCAATCCAAAGTCAATCCAGCAGCCATGGGCGGATGGTACAAGCCCGATGATGTGTCTGACGGCTATGACCGTACAGACAGACAATACTTTTATGACGGTTCAGCAAAAGACAAAAACGACCTTGACTCTGTCAACCTCCTGGAGCGGTATCCAAACATGTTGGATAGATATGTTCAACCTACCGAAGTCACTGTCGCCGATGCTGTCTGTATCGCCGTTCGCTTTCTCACGAACTTTAGTAACAACGGTCATCTCGTTTCAGAACCTTCTCGGCGATTCATCTATTACAATGCCAGAGCACTTCCTCTCATGGAAAGGTCCAACAATAAGACTAAATGGCCGACGGGGGTCTCTCATGGGCCTATAAGCATTCGGCAAGCCTTGAGAGCTCTAGAGGTCTATGGTGTCATGATGGAAGAGCGCTATCCATGGATTCAGCAGGATCTTGGCTATGCACCCGATGCTTTCTTAAGTATCGACGGACGTCCTTCGAATATTGCTTACGACGAGGCTGCTTGTGCTGCGGTTCTTGAACCGTACCGTGTTGATTTATATCGACCGGATGTCGCAGGTGCAATAGACGAGCTTGAGCGGCGAAGTGTTGGCGCTACCACTCTAACTCGGGTAAAGCTGTGTCTTTCTCAGGGATATCCAGTCATTTTCGCTTTTCACTTCTTTTGGGACACTTTCAGAACCGTTGGGCCTGTAGATGGTGACAAAGGGTATCCAACAATTGAGAAGATTCCAAAGAAACGGCGTTTTGGTGGCCAACGACACGACGAGCGCCACGACTCCCAAGCTGCTCTCATTGTCGGCTTCGACCAGGCCAAGAGGCGGATGCTCGTGCAAAGTATGATGGAGTCTGTTCCTTACTTCTGGATGTCGTACGAATGGATCCTGGATGTTGATGCCACGGAAAGCTTCTGGATGTTGAAAAACTCGGGAAGAAGCAGAGATCGCCGTGAGATGGAGCAGGTCAAGGATGACAGCTGGTATCAGTGGGAAGAATTCGGTTCTTGGCACCTCGATCGCTTGTCAGATTCATCAAACGTTAGTCAAGCTCCCAACAGCTCAATCGCGGTCATATCGCGCGACAAGGGACAAGTCGATATGTTCTGGATCTCAGAGCAATGTACTGTTGAACGAGCATACTCCGCGCCCGACGGATGGAAACGAGAAAGAATCCCTATCAGGGACAACGAGATACCGTTCCCAAGCGCTATCGCCGCTGTTTCAGCTCACGAGAACAAACTCGATATCTTTTGGATGACTAAAGAAGGCGCAGTCTGCAACGGCTCTTGGCAAACTGTTGATCCCCAGTGGTTTACGCGGAGAGTCATGGGTAATGGCACAGCTGAGCCACGAGCAGGGCTTTCTGCAACAACTGGCGAAAAGGGTGGTGAAAACGTAGACCGAATCAACGTCTACTGCGTTGGACCTAACGCCTCTATCAAGCATATTCAAACAACGAGGAGTTGGGCAGGATCAGACACTGTGACGGAGATTTCTGAGCCAAACGCTGCCTACGCATATAGTAACATTTCGGCGGCGGCAGGCTGGATTGACGAGCTCAAATACCAGGGTGGCACTTACTGGCTGGACGTAGTGGTCTGGATTGCCCCCAACCGATCGACAGAGGGCAAAAGACAGGGCCGAAACGGTGGATGGTTCGACCTGTGGAAGTACAAAGGACAGCCAACTGCACACTTGAACTCCCGCATCTCAGCCTATATCCAGCATCGCCATAGCCTCCAGATGTTGTATGTAACCCCAAAGGGAGAGCTCAACCATGACTACGCAAGTATAAAGGTCGGGGATGATGAGAAGGCAGATGGTCGATATCCAGACAGGATGGCTGGTTTCCCTGACGAAAAGGTTAGAGTTGATTCTGATATCAAGGCCATTGTTGTCCCAAACAACGAGAGGATGAGTATCATTGTACTATTTCAGAATGAGTCGAGTCAACTTTTCATGTATGTATCGGGTCCTACTCCGAGTCTTGGACCGAAAGGGCTATTCAAGTTGTGTGAGCCTCGAGGTGTGAGGCGAGGAAGTCCCCTTGGAGTTGCACTCTGCAATGGAAAGCCCGTCATTGGTATGAAGGTTGACGATGGCCGGATCGGAGCTGGTTATTGGGGTAGCTTAACTGGTTGAGTTATACACTTTAGATATTACACCTTTCTCAATGTTAAATACTGATATATTAAAATGCGGCCCTCGTTAAAACTACTCTACCGATATTCTCGGTGCAACATGTGAGAAACTAACTAACCCCTTGGCATATCTCAGCGGCACATTACTGCGGAGACTGGCTGACGCCTTGAGCTTTCGGATAGACGCCCACTGGCTCATGATAGATGCTCTGCGTGTATTCCGTGCCTTGGCAGCATTTTCCTCCTCAGCCATTTGGTCAGTTCCTAGGAGCGCTTTCCTTGCTTGTGCAAAGTCGCTCTCTTCATTGTCCTTGTTCGGTCTGGGCTCGGCATCAAAAGCGACATCCCGGGCTTGGTCAGTAGCAAATTGCGTAGTGACAGGCTTTATCTTCCATAGATCGCTGAAAAGAATGATTTGAGGGTTGAGAGTAGACCATTTAGACAATGGAGCCTCAATTCGTAGGCCTGTGGCATGTGTCACGGTGCTCTCGCGGGATGTGCCCCCGAGCATGGCATCAGTATTGCCATCATATGAGCCCCATAATGAAGCCGGCAGTTGCTCCCTCAAAACCTCAAAGAAAAAGCCTTCTGACAGATCTTCGCCGTTGGTGTTGATCTTGTGAACCGAGGCTTTAATGTTTGCCGTGAGGCCTGAGGAGCTACTGAAAAGTTGCATAGGTCGCGCAAAGATGCGCCCACCGAGCTGTCTCTTAGGATCTTGAGCACCCTCGAATTCAATACTTGTCGTGGGAACACGAGAAGTGATACTGAACGCAAGAGATCCTCCACGAACTATCCATGAGGATTTCGGAGTTTGAGCCTCTGCTGGAACCTTTTCGAGTGTCATTGCTCCAGATTCAAGTGCGAATACGTGGTCAGTCTCAGCGTTCTTGAGCACGACTGTCATGAAATCGCCAAAGTCCAGTCTATCCGGCTTGCTCTGGTGTTCACCAAACTTGACCCGGATGGTGATAACAGTCAGCTTGAACTCGACTACACCACCAAATGGAGGTCCGCTGACAGTCAGGTCTGCGCCCAGGCTCTTGGTGAACTTCTTACGAAGGACCCAAGCATCTAGTTCATACCAGAGACTAGCGTGAACATGGAACTTAGCGTTGTAGTGCAGCGGGTGGAGATATAGAATGAGATCAGTACGGAAGTCAAACTCGGCGCCGCATGACCATTTTTCGTACTTGACACGGACTGCCAATCCGCCCATGAGCGCCTCAGGTGTAACAGCGGCGTAGGCTTGTCCGGACAGTGATAGACACTTGTCTTTACCATAGGTCCATGAGAGTCCCATGCGTGGTAAGCCTTTGGGATAGTGATCTGGTGGCTGATAAGCTGGGTGCCAGCCTCCAATGCTGATGCACCAATCTCCAGCTTGAGGACTGGTGCCGAACCACGCTCCTACTGCAAATCCTCCAGTGAGGACACAGTCGTCGAATAGAATGAATGATCCATCGGCTATCCGGCCTTGGAAAAGCATGGAGCCACGAGACATGTCGATGCTTCCTTGGAAATTGATCTTGATAGCTGCAAGTGCTTTGCCGGGTTTTGCATCTCGGGGGAACTGACCAGACGCTGTACCCACAATAGCCAACTCGCCGGCACTAGGATCCAGTGGTATTGTCAAGACAGCTCTAACGTCGATAAGTTCACAGGCTGTGCCCAAGACACCAGCCGCAACCCAGTTTGCACCATTCGTCTCCGTCATGTACTTTGTGTCACCTGTCCCACGAAGCCTATCAAACATGACCATCGGATCAGTATCAGGATCTACAAGCAGCGGGAACTTGTGAATCTCAGTGATAGATGGGATCTCGAGTTTCGATCCAAATCCAAAGCCACCACTGATGCCGGAAAGTTCAACAAGACCTGTCTTGAGCATTGGACCCTTCAGCAAGGCGTAGGCCATGAGAGAGACAAACTCTTCCTGTTTGGTCTTGACGCTTTTGTAAGAGCCAAAACCGACAAATTGGTACTTCTTGAGCTTGACACTGACTCCACCTTCAAAACCTGTTATAGAGATGTCGTCTCCCTCGACTTTGATGCGGTGCAAAGTGCCAGCGACATTGAGGTTGGAACCTGTCATTGCTAGGGACAGTCCATCGAGACCCATATCAATGTCCAGATTCCTCCAATCGGTCAAGTCTATCCTTTCGCCTCGTGGCAGCTTTATGATCATACTGAAGTTGATCAATTCACCGTCCATCGGGCCAACGGTCATACGGGCTGTGAACTTGACTTTGATCTTCTGCCCTTTGGCGTCATAGTCAAGCCCAACGTTTGTGATAGTAACGCCGTTGACCCTCTTGTCGAATTTCGTTGTTTCTTGAGATTCTGGACTTTCTTCTTCCAGAAGCAGCATTGCCTTGCCTGAAGTGCCATCCCTCTTCTTGGCTTTCCTGGGCTTGGAGGCAAGGATGATATCGCCGTTGTTCAGCAGCAAGAATGACAAACCCTGACCGAAAGCAGAATCGTTTGCTGCTCGACTAGATAGAAGGAGTTCCTGTCCCTTGAAAGTAGCAAGACTGTTCAACTTGCCAACCTCGGCTATCGTGATGTCACTGTTGGTCCAGTAGATTTGAGTAGAGAATGGCTGTTCCATCTGGCCAATCAGAGGTAACGGCGGTGGTCTTGGTAGCGTGTTGACTGCAAGTCTTAGGATTGTTTTCCATGGCAGTTTGTCCTTCTTCTTTGCGCCATCCGGTCGAGTTCTCGTTCTTGCAAGTTGAACAGTTACAGATCCCGCGGTGAAGCTCAGGGAAACTGTGATAGTAGAAGTTTGGTCTCCCTTATGACGGCTGAGTGACATTCCAAGATTTGACGACTTTACATCGATCACTGCCTCTGAAATGAAAGAGGGTAGAGAGTCTTCGATTGAGTCCACAGATAGCCATTCCAAGATCGATTTAACCTTTACTTCTTCCACCTTGATGAGAAGCAGTTTGGCTTGGAGCTCCAAAACATCCTTTGCATCGATGTAGTTGATCTTCATCTCTGCAGAACCGGCAACTGTAAGCTTGCCCGAGACCAATGCTGAGAATGGTTTATCAACACTAGCCTTATTGTAGTCAACGTCAAGGTAGAGATAATCCACAGACATATCCCAGTCAGACATGGAAATTCTGGCTAACTCGATGCGCACGCTCAGCTGTGCAAATTTCAGACCAGACTTGTCCTTATCAACAAACCTGCCGTTGATCCTAGCCATGCCAACGGTGAATTCTGGACATCCTTCTGGTCGTGGTATGTCGACGTTGTCAATTCCGACCGCGGCAAGGAGAGCCAATAGCCCAAGGTCCTTCTGACCCTTCTGTAGTACGATACCGAACTCGACGCAACGCTCCTCAGATGTTGAGTTTGTGAAGGTCCTAAGGCTGACGCTTGTTTGAATGCCTCCAATCATCAACGCAGCAAACACGTCAAGCTTGCTCGCCTCTTTGGTATACTCTACTCTGACTGAGCCCACACTAAAAGGCGTGGTGTCTGTGGCTGAGGGGAGTTTGATAGCTGCATCATCCTTCATCTCTAGCTTGAAAGAAGACGGTGAGCCTGTGCTTAGATCCAGAGACATCTCTACAATCTTGATCTCCAAGTTGCCAAGCCTCGTGTGGAGCGCACTATCGACTCCAGGAATCAGAAGACTCAACACATCCAAAGCCTTCATAGGAAATCCCTGGACCGGTGTAATAGAAGCCGTCAATTCATTCCTCTCGCCGTCATACTTGACCGACATCACGGACTTGATGTTCTTTATCTGCAGCAAAGCTGATAGTTGAAAGGAGATGGTCGATTCAACCTTGTTGTCCCCATCCGCCTTTTGTCCATTTTGCCATGAAAGCGAGAACTCGACATCTTGCAGCTTGAACTTTTCAACCTCTAGCTCGTCTCTCAGAAACTTGGCGGTCGATGAACGGATCGAGACTTTTCCAGTGTCAGATTGCTCAAACTTTGCATCGCAGTACACCAACTCCATTGCGCTGTTTCCATTCAGGAACGGAATGCTTGGCAAAGTTCCGAGCCCGAAGATATCAAAGACATCGGCCAGGCTAATGGCATCGGGGGAAGAAACTATGATGTACCCAAGCTCTTTTGTGGTTGGGAGCCCAAGCGAGAGCTTTGCCTCCTTCTGAAGTTTCCCACTTCGAAAGACAGCTTCTCCCTTTGCCTGCATATCCCCGTCTCCATACCATTCGACCCTTATCACTGTGTCTATCAATGACAGAGAACCAGGAATGAGATCAAAATAGGGAATGCACAGCTCAAAGTCCCACTCCCGGAATTGCCATTTGTTGTCAGTATTCACTACAGAAAACCCAGCCTCTTTGACTTCTACTGCCTCGAAAACATGGTCCAGCACAGGCATTGCTTTGATCTTCTCTGAGACACTGGTGAAGCCAACGGCGCCGACAATATCAGTAACCGTGACTCCGTGATCAGCAGAGGTAATCTGGAATCGATAATCGTATTCACCCACTCTGGCTAAGGGTATAGCATCAAACTGTGCTGTGATACTCCTCTTGGAATTGCTTGGGAGTGGCATGGATAATTGGACACTCGTAGCTATCCTCGATGTTTCCCAGTGCAGGGGATCCAGTACACGGAGTAAAACTTCACTCTTGACTTTTTTAAAGTTATTGGTCATTGGCAAGAAGTCCTGCCAATCTGAGGACTCGGTGCGTACCCAGATATCGGCCAAGTTGTATGTGTCCACCGAATCAATCGGCTGCCTGAGAGAGAACCCTATCCTGGACATTGATCCCGCCTGCATGCTCTTTATGGATTGTGCAGAATTGCTGTCTGAGGACTTGCCCATGAGAGGGATGTCCCCCTGCAGAATCTTCTTGGGGTCGATCTTGGTGCCGACCAGAGCGATGACGAGATCCTCTAAGGCGATCACGCTGGAGCTGAAAGACATGACGGTCTCCTTGTATGACGAATTCCAAGCCATCTTGAATTCTAGACCCTTTTCCTTCAAAGTGACTTCGGACTCGACGGTGAGATGGACCTGCGGAGAACAACAATTTTCAACCTTGGCAACAATATCCTTGAGCTGAAACCCGAATCCTGCCATTTCAATATCAACAGCATTGACTTTTCCTTCTTCATCCTTTGCTCGATGTAAGACAGCGCTCCCAATAACCTTTTCTTCAAGGGGATGTGAGTCAATGGTAGCTGTAGACTCATCAAGATCGACTTCGAAAGTAGCCAATCCAATCTTGAGGAGCGCCTCTGGGAGTCTTTGGAGGACTGTGATCAATGCATCCTTGTCTTTATACAAGCAAGTTAGCGTTTCGATCATGTTGGGTTTCGCTTTGTTTTTGATCGAGTCGTTGAGGATCTCGAATGCCTGGCGGAGTGAATGCTGAGAGCTGAAGGCCACTGCTCCTATTGGAATGTTGAATTGGGGCGGTGGAAGGGTTTCGACAAGACTTGCACTGTCTACCAGATCTCCGGACAGTTTTGCTTGGACAGAATTAGTCTCTGGTAAGAACTGTGCTGGGGCAAGTTCGAGACGGACTTCAGCCAACGCAGCTTGGGTAGGATTCGTGCTAAAGTCGATATCGCCATTAGGGGCATCATGCAATTTCTCGCCGGAGATAGTATCTTCAATGTAGTAGAAATCCCACCCGTTGACAGTTCTGGCCCATGAACACGTAAATCTTCTAGAAGTGATGCCAAACTTCTCTGTTCGACATCTTATTGCGAATTGTCGGTTGTTGGTAATCGTTAGGTCTCGTGTGTCGATCCAGATAAACTGTGGGTTATTCGCGATATCCCACTTCAGTTCAGTGTTGTCAGCTTCAAGGTACAGATACCGCCAAGCGTTATTCACAAAGCTCCTTATTTGGTACTTCCGTGTGCTCAGAATACGACTAGGGTCAGTTTGCTCAAGCAAGACATTCAGCTTAGTTCTGAGATCGACCTGAATGTTATTGTTCGAAATCCTGATCTCCTGTGTCATATTGGCAGCCTCGCGATTGATTATCGGGTCCTCATGTATGCCGCGAGATTTGCCACTCAGGGACATGTATGAACCGCGGCTCATATAGGAGATCCTGAGATACTGTCCACAGAAGAGTTCTTTGACTGTATCCGTGCCCACCACGTGTGCGACCCTAGCTAGCTCGTCGACGTCGAGACTGTTGCCGCTTGTAACGTATAACCGGGCTTTGCGGTTCTGGTATTTGACTGCGAGCGCCAGTCCAACAAGTACTTCGGATCGAGGGTGGTTGTTCCTTCGATTGGCGCTGACGACATATACATCTGCCACGAAGCTTGCGTAGAATTTGACGACGCAGAGAACATGCATATACGTCAGGAACTCGTCGGTCATATGCTTTTTCCGAAAACTATTCCATTTCTTCAGGTGCTGAGTCCTGCGTTTGCCAAGCTCCTCGTCAAGCTTGTCCAAATAGTCCTTGGCACTTCGTGCATCGGCGAGGTTACTAGGTTGCAAACCGATATAGAGCCTGTCCTCTTTCTCTACAGGCGGATTCAGGTTTGCCAACATATCTTTCTGAATCTCTTTGACCACAGTTCCAAGACTGGTAAAAAGCGCATTCATAGTGTACCTTGACACGATCTTCGTACTCAAGTGCTTGGCAGCATGCTTGACTGCGTCTGTAGTGGTTTTCTTGTAGGGGAGATAGGCAGTTCCGCGATGGACCTTGAGAAGAAAGTAGAGGAAGCCTATGGCCTTGACTTCGTTAGAGTACAGCGGCTCGGAGAACTGTTTCATGTTGTCGGCGAGCGAGCCGTGGTGCTGTATCTTGTAGATTGCGAATCTTCGATGTTCGAATGGGAACGCAGCCTCTATCTGCGGAGAGATTATGTCGGCATGGTTGTCTCCTGTGAAGAATATCCCCATCTCTCCGACCGAATTGGGTGTGACAGTGTACATAAGAATGCTGCGTTTGTTCGTTGTCATTTTGCGGTTGAACTGTAGGTCATGCGCCTCGTCACGGTCTGTACCCCCATAGTACCATACAATTCCCGGTCTGGAGGGAAATATGGCTTTGACTGGAGGAATCAAGTAATCCGGGAATTGATCCTGAGGATGGGGAGCTACTTTTCGCATATTGGTTTTGACGCAGATGTCGTCTATCGGCTTGTTGGCGTTGTCCGTGTCGGACATGACATTTGGGACAAACACATTGTCGCTGGGAAATACGCCGCCTTGTAAGGAGTGCAGATAGCCGCCATAATGATCCTCGTCGGGATGTGAAAAGATAATACCAGCGAAATTGTTGCCATTGCCCAAGATTTGTCGGCAGGCAGACGAGAGGTATCGATGGTACGGGGCTTCCCGTGCCGCGCCATAAGCGTCGTAGTTTTTGGGGCCACCATCAACGAGGATGAAATTGCGCCTGCCGGCTTGCTTGTAGTCATCGCATTCAAGAATCATGGCATCGCCACGGCCAGCATAGATAACGTGAAGAACAGGAGCAGGCATGGTTTCTACTCATTCAGGCGAACCGAAAGAGTAATGGATCTAGTGTAGAGTAAGATCATTCAAGACAATCTGTTGACAGGCTCCTTGAACTTGTGCGATACCGAGTTCTCGGGGACATTGTTGTCGAATTGTTGAAAGTGGCTTCCGCCATTAGCTGTAGACATCTCACAGTGCAGATTTCACGGCTGCTATGCCGAATATGCTCGCCTGCGTCGAGACTATCGATTTTTTGCGCGCTGTAACCTGTTGACACAGTGTAAAGCGTTGATTCGTGAGTTGCCGTATTTTGCATTGAGCTATGCCGTTTGTGGGTGTGATCCCTGTCCTGCAATGATGGGAAATGCGAAGCGGAATTAACATGACTCGCGCGGAATTATCTCACTATATACTACCCTGCCACTGACAGGGATAAAGGGCGGCATTCGGAATCTGTTACCCTAAGGCTTAGAACTTTTCGCAATTGAAGTGACATGTGCTTATTCTGTTGAGCATAAATCGATATTTTCAAGGCTCAATGACAGACCATGAAGTGCTACCTGGACATATAACAAATAATATGCCAGACTATCAATCTAAGCAACAGAGCCGGTCAAGTGAAATTATCATAAAACCAGTTGGAGTACCAGTTACCGCCAACAACCATCTTGCGCTCCTCCTCCGTTGGCTCAGTCGCAACGCCACAGTCCAAAAGCTCCGTCTGGTACGCAGTGATATTCTCGCGACCAAGCTGTTCAGCCTTACCACCGGTGAGAGAGTTCATAACCGTAAATGAAGTCTCAAATCCAGACCCAGCTTGGGCGCTATTGAGAACGAGAACCGATCGACTGGTATCTCCATAGCTGAGCGACCAGCAAGAGCCGCAGAGTGGAGAGCCCGGACCATTGACACCTTCATATCCCGCTATCTGATACGTGACTTCGCCTAGTTTTGCCCAGTCTTGACCTTCAACTATTCGGCCACCTTTCCAGCACGCGAGCTCAGTGACGGAGGCAGTATCGTCATCATAGAATCCACTGTATGAGACTTGGTAGGTGACAAGTTAGCAACACGACTACGATAAAGGTAGAGAGCTCGCTCACCGGTGATAGCAGAGGTGAATGAAATAAAGGAAGCAATACTAGCTATTTTGGAACTATACATCGTGAATTAGAGAAAGCAGAGAAGGTTTTTAAAAGAACTTTTCTTTTTTCTTGCTAAAATAAATACCTCATTTTGAAATAAATGCGGATACAAACGGTATGCACATTAACTCAGGGCACCGATCCTACCCCAATCTGAGAGGTCCTTGGCAGGACATGTTGGTTGTTGGTTATGTGATTGTACTCGATTAATGACCTTTTGACTGAGAAGACCCATAAACCACTAGTAATGAACCTATCAGGCTCGTTCGGCAGTCTAGAAGAGCTCGTTACAGGCCCCGCTTTGCTGATTGGAGCGGTCTAGACTTATAAACCTTTAATTGTTATGAAAATGCCTGAATATCTATTATTCCAAAAGCTCTAACAGTGGGAGGGAGACTGGGCCACTGGTTACATTAAGCTTTTAAGGGTTCTTGCTGTGGTGCTGGTTCTTTGTGGCAAGCTGATACTCTAGTATGTGCTTCCTAATTGAAGCCAATTTGCTACCGTATTGACTTTGTACGTAGCAGCGGTGGTACGCCGCTGCCACGGTGACAGTAGATTGCCTCTTTATGGTATCTTCATGCATTCGGCCGGTGTTTCCCCTACCTAGCTCTTTGTTTAAGAAGGTCTATGGCGTTGCATTTGGGGTAAAGAGTACAGGTATCTATGGGGATACTTGCCAGCCGTAAGGTTATACACTTTAGGCAGCTAACATAGGTGATGGGAACACGATGGAGTAAAATTGTTATTGAAAGACTATTTGACTATGTACAAGTGCATTCATTCTACCTGGTTTCGATCCTGCCGTGGCTACAACGGTAACTTCGCTGTTTTGACGCGCTCAAACAGGCTTGATCCCTAAGCCTTATCCTTCTCATCCACCGAACGAAGGAATGGCTCAAGACTCCGATTTCTGTTTAAATGGGGATTTCATCCAGCAACTTATAATCCGGCCTGATTATTGATATGCTTAGTGAGAATCCCGTTTTGGTCAGATTTTGTGGCACGTCAGCAACCAGCTTCTTACATATGGCATACTTTCAGCCGACAGCACTAATACCTGTTTGATGCACGGGAAGCTATGCGGAAATGAAATAATGTAGAGCCAACTTATACGGGTCCTAAGACCGAGTAAGACAATGGATTTATTTAAAGAGCCGGAGCTGCCCGTTATTTGTAAGTAGGGATTTATTCATCTATTCCGAGTCAGGAAAACAGTCTTATGATATGTCTACTCAAGAAACAGCCAAAACCTTATTCCTTAATGTTGATGGGATTGACTTTGCCTATCGTGTCATTGGCAAGTCGAACAATTCTCAGCCTCCACTCCTCATGCTCAATCACGTCCGATCTACCATTGACACATGGGACCCTTACCTGATCAACAATCTCACTGCAACAGGCCGTCAACTCATTACCTATGACTATGCAGGTCTCGGCCACAGAAAAGGACCCGTCGCAACAAGCATCAAGGGCTTTGCACTCAATCTCCTCGCTTTTCTGAACGCTTTGCTTCTTAAGCTCAGCGTTGAAGAAGTCGACGTTTTGGGCTTTTCGATGGGAGGATATATCGCTCAACAACTTGTCCTTGATTCTCCTGATATTGTTCGGAAGATGGTACTCGCTGGCACAGGTCCTAGTCTTGGACCTGGTTTAGAGCGTCCTATGAATGAGGTCCAGTCTACCGTTTTCAATCCTACCCCTGGCCCGGCTACAATCGACGCTTTCTTTCCCCCGTTCACTACAGGAGATGAAGGGACTGCTTGGCTTAACAGAAGTACTACGTCAAGGGCTGGCGTCGCTGGGAAGAATGGGGAACCTGAGATTGCTCTGTTTACTACTGGAAAGCCTCTTCTCAATCTGACTCAGGCATACTTGACATGGGATGCAGATCCGCTTCCCTATGCTCTTCTACAAACCATTCAGAAGGACACGCTTGTCACTTGTGGTGATAATGATCTTATCGTCCCCACGCAGAATTCATTTGTTCTTGCAAGACAACTATCCAGAGCCAATTTTGTTATGTTTCCGAGTAGCGGCCATGGGCACTTGTTTCAGTACGCAGGTTACTACGCAGGGCTCGTTGGAGACTTTCTGGATGGCCATCTTCCTTCTGCTCCGTTCTCAGCTGGACAGACTCCGAGCCTGGGTTAGCATGAGAGAAAATATTAAACCCTATCTTATATAACGAAACATAATACTTATTTGGTATTTACTACCTCCATTTCTATCCAAGTTTAAGATAGAGATGCGCTTGGGCTTTTGCTCTCCTAAAGGCAAGGATTTACACCAGATTACAACCGCTTCATAGTGCCCATGTCCTCCGCAATAGATCTCACTGTCGACATAGCCATCCCAGCATTACACAACATTTAATTGTAACTTCTCATTGTTGAAGCTTTCTGTGACTGCCTGAACTTCATTGCTTGACTGCGAGTGCTGGAGTAAGGTATTGTCGAGAAGCTTTATGCTTTTGCCCCTGAACCTTCGAATGGCCTGCAAAGCAACTTAGTTTTGACATGAACCTTCTTCCGATTGAGGGACTGCTAGCCTTGAGAATATATTTCAGGCAGCTAACACAGGTAATTGAAACACGTTATTTCTTTTCACGATATAAGATTCTACCCCAAAAGCTTGCACGATAGTAAGCCTTCTTCGATTTTAGCTCGACTCTTGAGTCACTCAGACATTTCTTCCAGGTATAAATATCCCAACCCTCCACCACCAGTAGCTCCGGATTTCTCTTTTCCAACACTCAGCAGTCCCCAACTAACATCATGGCCTCCAGTAGTCCTCTCGAGAGGCTTCCAGCACACCTCATAACCATTACTTTCGGTGCCTTGACGTCCCCCCAGGATATCCAAGCCATAATTCGTGCCGACTCTCACATTTTGCGTATTTTCCTTCAAAACCACCATTTAATTCTCCGGCCCCTTCTACAAGGTCTTTGCCATCAGTTTCCAGGTCAAAATCTGACGCAAGCAGCCATAGTATGTCGCCTACGGCAAATCGAGAACGGACTCCCTTCTCAAAACCGGGTTCAAGCTGAAGAGGTAATTAAACCAGTCTTGACATCATCACCAGAACCATTTTCAGTAATGCAGTTAAATCTAGGAGCCCTCTCAGAACTATATCAGCTCCTTCGCGAAGCGGATACTTTTGCAGTCCATTACTCGAAAGAGGCTTGGGACATGTCACAAGATATGGCAACTAGAGAGGGCGAGAGAAATCTTCCCAGGATTCCCATGTCTTTACCACTGTCAGAGACAGAAAGTCAACAGATGCAAAAGGCATATCTACTCTTCGATGCATGCCGACATACTCTCTGTTTCAGCACCTCCTTTCTGCAGGACTATGTTCCTGGGGCACATATAACCTCATATCCCCTACAAATTCATCTACCAAGATAAGGTTCTGTGTATCAGGGCCTTTCAGGCAGTCTTCGTATTCTTATTCAAAGAATATGAGAACCTCTTGAATCGGATCAAGGACCGGATGACTGGCCCGACCTCTCTCACACAAAGACGGCAATATCTACAGAGAGGCACACGTGATGGTCTCCAATTCACAGCCTATCTTTGCTCGCAAGGTTACCATCGGCTGCTGAGTTCCCTAGATATGAACAATATCGCACAAGAAGAACACATTCTGGCTTTGTACATGCGATACCTTCAGCTCAAAGCAAACCGCCGCACTTGCCCGATGGTGGTGGGTGCTGATCTGGAATACTCACTCAGGACACTTCGCTGTGGTACTAACACAGAGCGTGAGTTTTGGATAAGTGGAGCATTTATGTGGGACATGAAGAGGTTGCAGCTGGGGGAAGAATGGGAGTGGCTTGCAACTGAGTTCAGAGAGGGCTTCTAGTGACACATCTCGCAGCCGAACATGACGCCCAGGCTGTGCGCCTTGTGCTTGAAGTCCATGCTTATGCCCAAGAGAAGTGTTCGGAATGTAGGTAAGCTCCCGCAGAATCAGCACCCCTGAGAATATCCAAGTTCAGAGATGCGACAGTGTTTCGAACATCATTCTGCATAGTGTCCGGACCGCAAACGTATATGCCAAGCGAGTCGGTAGATGCCATCCCGTTTGCCACCCCTTTCACAACTCCTGGCAAGTCGGGACGACCATGCAGTTCGTCGAATGATACCGGACTTTCTGTCCCTTTTTCGCTTCCTGGTTCCTTCTTCCCGGGCACCAAGCTACTGTTCGATGGGAGCCTTGATTCTGTTATGGCTCCATCGGTACAGTAGAGCTGCACATACAAGCCCGAGACCATTTTGTCTGAATACTTAAGCAAGGTTTCGCTCACAACTTGTCGATACCAGTTGCAGCTCTCAACATCTCGACTTGCTAGTATCACACGAAGTGATAAAAACGGGGATCTGTCTCTTTGATCTTCTCTGCAGTCTTCATCGCCCTCGGCTGTGTGGGTTGCGATATACTGCTCGATAAAAGGCAAAGTCCATCCAGCTCCAGAACCTCCTGCGATGACAATGAGATGGTTGCTGTTCACGTAAGACTGTGTATTGATGCCCCCGTATGGTCCATCCACCAGTACTGCGACCTGAGCTCCTGGATTCTGCAAGGCATATTCGTACAGCTTTGCTGTAAAACCTCTGTGTCTCTTGAGATAAAATACAAGGAACGACTGGTCACCTGGAGATGTCGATGGTAAGGAGCAAATCGTAAATGGATGCGCTGACAAGGCTTCTGTAAGTCCAAAACCAGTAAAGCGTAGGAAGCAGTGCTGTCCTATTTCCCATGTGAAGTTTGCAGGGATAGTGACACGGACGAAACCGTTGTCTTCTACCTTGACATGAGCCTTTGCTCGTACACCATACTCAAAGCAGGTTCGCAGCCAGGGGTAGACGTAGCAGGGAACGTATACAGCGCCTGTACCTATGAAGTAGTGCCTATAAGGAAGCGTCAGCGTCAGTGGCTGTCAATGGTGGACATCAAAAGCAGCTTTACCAGGACGTTAGGGTATAGTCGCAGTGCCAAAAGAAAGTAAGCATGAATATGACAACTGCGAAGAAGTGCGTTGCCTTGAAGAATTCATATCCCAACAGCTTTCTAGTTTCTATATGTAAGCCAGTAGTCATACATCAGACATCTAGATACGCTTACCGAATGGCACTGTGGGACGCAAAGGTAAGCCAGGCTTGGAAAATCAAGGCGACGATACCAGTCCAATAGAACAAAAGGCTCATCTTAAAATGCATCTGCATATCGTGAAATCTGATATGATAGACAATAAACGGGAAGGTGTGCAGGAGAGCCAGTATAAAAAAGGCGTAAGCTATCCATCGATGGAATACTTGGAGTCTCTCGTGCGAGACGCCTGTCAGTAAGGTAATCCAGTTTGTCTTGGTTGCCGTAGCACTATTACTCGTCAGTAAAGGTCGAAGAGATTAAAGTAGTTTGGTAATGCAGGACTAACAATACAAATGGCATGCATCCCAAAGCCAACCATCCTGATCTTGTTCCTAATGGTGGTGAGCCACCAAAATCCAGCGAAGGCCAATAGTACGGCTGAGGGATTAAGTCCATGCCTATCAAACATTAACTGGTCGTTCTCCTTTGTGGCTGTTTGGTTCACTTACAAAAAAAGAAAATTGTTCCAACAAGTCCCAGTAACAGCACTCCAACGGGAGCCGAGTTGAATCCAAGTGATGTAACATGGAATCCACGGTATGAAAGATATCTGACGATAGTGATTAACATGCGCCAGAGTCTAAGACCACGGAATCTCGGAAAAGCAAGGCCAAGAATGTAGTAGGATATCAAGTGGCCAATCGTGAAGAGTCCAATGCCACTCATGAAGAAGGCTACTGTAGGTAAAGCGTAGACGTGATCCGCGATGTACCTTTTTGAAGTTAAAAAGGACTTTTTCATGTGGTGTTTAGTCAATTTTCAGATTTTCAGCTTACCAAAAATGCCATCTTTTCATATACCAGGCACATTGTGCTTTAGTGAAGCCATCACAAGTGAATGCACGACTCCCAGTCAACTGAACTGGGGGCGTGAGCCAAGCTGCTGACTCCATATAGGAGAGATTGATCGCAGAGGAATTTCAGGGAGTAAATTAAAGAATAAACGCCCAAAGCGATATCTGTGAGGGGCTGTGGGGGTGATGACTATATGTCGAAGTCTTGACAAAACAGATGGGTGATACGGACTGCCGTCTTCCAGCTTAATATGTGTTGGTTTAATAAATCTAGAAGCTGGCGAGAGCGATATAGAGAAGGTTATAAGAAGAAATGAAGTAATAAGTAGCAAAGACGCCTATTGCTCGCCTGGCAAGATACAAAGCAATGTAGGTATGTACTCCCCTTGACCAAGTAACTGTTTTATAACCAACAAGGGTCTTGTGCCGAGTTCCGTAAGCATTAACTCTAATTGGTAGATCTCTTAATAACACTTCAAAATTTCCACTCCATCATCGCATAAACGGCACTTGAGTAAGTTTGAGCAGGCTTGAGCAAGTTTATCTACGGTAATAAGATTATTCCCGAGACCACTAGATCCGCTACCACGATGATATAAGCTTAGATAAAGTAGTGGTCGTTTTTCACCTCGAATTACAACCAAGTTACTATCTCGTTACAAAATGGATTCAAGTTCAATGAAAATGGACATGACTACTTCGACGAGCAGTTCCATGCCCATGTCAACTTCCAACTCCGGCGCTATGGATATGGAGCAAATGAACATGGTTTTCTTCACTTCTACCAAGACACTCCTCTGGGCAAAGTCCTTCGCTCCCACAACGACGGGACAATATGCAGGTGTTTGCATTTTCCTCATTATCTTCGCCACCATATTCCGCATGCTGCTTGCTATACGCGTCAACTTTTACAGCATCAGGGATGGTCTCAGGCGGAGGCGCACTAAAGGCCTGCTGGCGGAGCACCAAACTAGTGAGATTGGCCATCGACCATGGAGAGCGAATGAAGCTACAATTCTGGGAGCAATAGATGTCATTATTGCAGGCGTGAGCTATCTGCTGTAAGTGGTTTTACCTACATTTAGGTCACTGAGTAAAGAGATTGACCAGTGTTTTGTCTAGGATGCTCGCAGTTATGACAATGAATGTTGGCTATTTCCTCTCGGTATTGGCCGGGGTATTCATCGGAAGTGTTGTCTGTAGTCGCTTTTCAGTGAAATTTGGCCTAGATTAGACTAAACCTTGATAAAATAATGTTCGGTTTTACTCATCGACGGATAGCTAACTCAGCCAGTAAGTCCAAGTTTAGGGTCAGCGCCTTACCAGATTCATTAGAGTGTAAACGTTCGTTATGCTCGAAAACGATTCTCAACAGTACCATCCCTATAGTATTACAATAACTGTCTCTATAATTTCCTAATTGGCGGAACAGGTGCCCAAAGCATGTCCGCAGTCTACAGCTTAGATTCTGATGGTTATTACGCCATCAAGGTTCTGATTCAAGACACACAACCCCGTGACCAAGGCCTTGCCTCTATAAGCCTTGATGTCCAACTGATCCCTTCATGTGTGTGTTACCTCGACGATGACGATGGTTTACTGTTTCTTGAACATAATAACTTCAAACAGCAGCAAGTAATGATACTTTTCTTAAATATGAATCCTTATTATTGAGCCGTTCTGGGAACTATCTTCTACCTCCAAAAAGCCACGGCAAGTCTTTTCCCAGAGTGCAAGCTCTGTAATAGTCCCTTTATCTAGGTGTTAAGGCCTTGGCCTCGAAATGCCCCCGGATGAGCTTCAGGTACGCTTCCATCCACTGATCATTGGCAAAGGCTTGGTGGTCCTGATATTTCAAAAGGCCTTGGAACACGCTGGCAACATCTGACAACAACAGGTCCGCAATAAGCGTACGCCCGTTGTCGTCACTTCCCACTTCCTTTTCAGAAGCCTCCAACATTTCTTTGTATTCTTTGAGTTTTGGCTCTGTTCTCCTGATGCGTTCTAGTTCAGCTGGTCTGGCCTCAACACATCCTGGGGGCTCTCGGTCCAGCCCTGTCGAGACAGGATACTGAGCGACAACCTCAACAGGTGCCGCCATAACGCTGCCAAAGCCGATGACTCCGACAATCTGGAATTCTCCATCCACAAGAAGTTTATGGCTTCCAAACTTGCGATTCACAAGGCCGTAGGAGTCTTTGCTAGAACTACTTTCGCTGTACAGAGACATAAGATGTCTGAACAGAATTGGATTCGCAAATGAAGAGCTTGTCTTGACATCAGGAGATGCGTCACGTACACAGACATGAAGAGCGTGATTTGAGAGGTCGTTATAATACTCCATTGAGGACTTCCAAGGCCCTTTGCCGGTCGTTGGATCTGGGCCGATGAAGAACTCGGATGTTTGTTCATCTTGATAAAGGCTCCCAATCTGATCGAACGTGAAGGAAGATATGGTTGCCTGAATCTCGGCCATTCGCTTCCTGAAATTCTGGTCCTGGTCTGGCGTGCCGAACAGATCACCTTCGCATTCATTTGTGAGGCGCAAACTTTTGGCAGTCACTCCGTCGATATAATCCATCAGAATATACGGGGCGCCAACACGGTTGCTGGGGTCAACGGCAACGCTGTAGGAATGGACTACTGGGACGGGAACAGAAGTTTTGGCCCTTTTTGTTTGTTTTAGCAAAGCTCCAAGCCCGTTGCTACAGTGAGCTCACTTCAAGAACTTCATACTAGCAACTTCCACCTTGAGCGTACTGGCCACATCGGGCCCTTCGCGGTCGCCGAAGAGATCCTTCAACTTTGAAAGCCTCACCTTGGCAATCCAACTGGTGCCATCGGTGAAATCAAGGCGGCGAACGATGTCAGAGTAGCCAAAGGTAAAGCCTTGTTGGAACTTGCAGGGAATTCCATCGCGGAGGTTTGAGGCAATCGATTCAAGGTGATGCCAGTTGGCTGCTCTAAACCCTGTCGAGATTATTGCTTGGCATCGGATCACCTGATTTATATCAAATTGTTCACTCATGTTGAGGGGAGAGGGTGTAGGTGAGCGGTGGTGAAGATGCGATAGATATCAGCAGTAGAGGTAGTCGGGCCATCAGCCTTGCCGCCTGACTCTCGCGCCGCGAGTTAATCCGGCCCCGCAGTATGTACTTAAATGTAGCACCTGCCGGAGGTGAGGTGTCCTTGGCCAATTGGGTGCTATGTGCCCTACAAGTCACTGTAGAACAAATACCAACCAACCGACATGGCTGTTATTCCAAGACACACTCAAAAGCGATGCGTGGTATCACGAGATAGATTTAGAACCTGACAAACAGATGCTATAGCAGCTTGACTCTAGCTCTAAACGATGGGAAAAAATACAGTAACTTGAGTGAGTGCCTATTTCTTCTAGCTGACTGTATAGTAACAGCGAATGTCCTATAAACATACGCATCTCTCTGAGCTCTTACTCATCTCTCCACGAACTTCGACTGCCTCCATATCTACGTGTCTCGTTTGCAGCTATCACAGCTACAATCCAATTGGGCCAAATGCACATTCTTGCTATTTCGATCCACCATCAGGCCCCAAAGTAGAAACATCATGAGGCTAACAGCGCTCGATTATCGAATCCGTGGTCTACCATCGACGTAAAACATTAGACTCACGGTCTTATCTTAGATAGGGGATTTCGAGGCAGAACTCACGAGCTTGTTGCCAAGATACGACCAAGGCACTTTATGCTCCCAAACTCCGCGCATCCAGGTATTCTGGCTGGGGCAGTTGTGAAACTGTCCTACCGCATCCGGAGTATAGACGCATGTTGGAGTGTAAGACTGCAGAAATATTTGGCCGTCAGCCGCTGAAGTTAAGGGAATAAGGGCTAGCCAGGGGTTCTCACAGTACAGCTCATCGTGAACGCAGTCCCATCAAAGAACGGCTGATTCCCAGCACAAGCATCAGATCCAAGGAACAAGGCCTCGGCTGTAAGCCAGCCCTTCTGAAGCGTAGTATACCACATCTCAGTGAACCGCCAACCACAATCATCAACCTTTCCAAACGAGTACGTATTCCCATCGTGAAACCAATACTGATCACACACGTTATTGGAGTCGAGACCAGTGCAGTTGACAAGCTTATCGAGTGCGCTTGAAGCCATTTGAGCCGGGTCAGTGCTGTACTGCTTGGTCAAGAAGATGCCGTTTGCTTGCAACGAGCTGCTGTAGATATAATTGACCAGGTTCTTGTAAATGCCGTCCATCTGAGCAGCCAAGGAAGTCAAACTACGCTGGCTGAATCCTCCCTCCTTGGTGAGCGCAAGAAACTGCGTAACGTTTGCTTGAGCAGTCTTGATAGCCGTACTAAGCGTGCCCTGGTAATCCTTAACCTGACTAGACAGTGAGGCAGAGAGATCTGCGATCTGCATCGACTCTTAGAGGTAATTGTTGGAGTTCTTATTGCCGAGCCAGGTTATGATACCGCCGCCTTGAGCTGCAAGGCCTTGAATTCCAACGAGAATAAGCTTCGCTTGCCAGTTTCCCAAAAGCTCCTCAGAAGCTCCAAACTCGCCGACGGTAGCGCCGAGAATAATGGCAATCAGATTCTTGCTGACTTCTGCTTCCTCAGGCGGATTCACGGTGTAAACGATATCACCGATTTGGCCAGCCGCAAGTGAGACGGAGTTACTAAGAGCCTGGCTATACTGAGTGAAGAACTGATGAATGGCGTAAATGGCCCAGAGCGCATAGAACTGCTGCTGAGAGTCAAAGGCCCCATTAGTGTCGATAGGCGGACAGGTACCAACGGCTATTTCATCACAGGTGGGACCGGGATATCTGTTGTTTTTGAGGAAACACTGGGCAAAGCCGAGAGTTCTGCAAGAGGCTTCGTTGGCGGTCCACCAGTCGACCAGATATTTTTCAACTTCGAGCTCGATCCAGCATTCTGGGACGAGGGCAGTTGACGCTTTGGGTGCGCACTTGGGAAGGGATTTAAGGGCTCCGGTTGTGCTATTCTGGGCGACCGTGCCGGTGAGAAACGGATTTCCCACGAGTAGAGTCGTGAGTAGAGAGAGACGAGGCATTACAAATAATACAACAATCTTGAAGCTGTTTTGGGGAGAGTGAATGATTGACTGAATTGGTCTGAAGATTCCTGTTTGTCTTATGACTGAACCAGCTACCTTTTATGAAGTACAAGAGAGCCGCTGAGTCATAATGATTAAATTACATAGGCGTTATCACGGATGCTCGGTGTTGTAATCATCATCCTTTGTCATTTTGAGTTTGTTCTAATAACAGATCATGATCAGATACATACAAATGAAGGGGTTATTTCATGTAATTATTTAAAGCTGGTGCTTGGACCATTTCACCAGCACGTGGACTTGAATGGTTGCATATTTGTGGACTTTTAAAGCCTTTTATACTTATCAGCAGCCCATAGTCAATATGAAACAGACAAAGCCGAATTGATTACCGAGGCCAACCTGATAATATCGGTGATAAGCTTAATATGCGACAAACCCAAAGTCTACATCAGTTGAATATGCCTAGTTCCTTCACCGATCGAAAGTTAGATACTCCGATGGTTCCGGTATCTGTGGTACCATGTCGCGCCGGTCAGTTCTTAAGTTATCTTCGGGTGAGACTTAGCTGATATATAAATTGCATACTCCGATCAAGCAGCGCAAGCTCAAACAGGTTAGCATCTGCATCATGCGCACTTTCAGTCCTCCATTTTACCTATTCTCCGCTGCTCTCCTCGGCTCACTCGAACCTGCCATAGCAGACCGAGACTGCTGCTACGTTTGGCAAGGCGACGAAGGTCTTGTGCAGCAACCTGCAAGATCGCAGGCTGGGGAACAGATACCGAATGTTCCGTCGATACCTCTGTCGTCGACAACGCGTGGCTCAAAGCGAATGCCACAGTCTCTTTCAAAGAGCCTAATGTGTTTCACTTTTCTTTCGGGGTGAATAATAACGACTGTGACTTTCTGGGCGATGATCAGGCTGCTCGCGCTTGGGACTCTTATCTCTTTGCGAGTTTTACGTATAAGACTCAGAAGAATGTTTGCCCTGATGGTGGTGTCTTTTAGGTATGCGGGCACTCGCAACGACTGGGTTGGGCACTGCTAACACGTTTCTATTAGAGCATATTTTATGTCTCCCACTTTTCAGATACGGTGCTGAGCTGCTCGAGCACTGGCCTTGAGGAAGGGTAAATCAGGTTTATAGGAATTGTTGAACTGTGTAAAAAGTTGAGAGATCACGGTTTTGAATAAACGTTCTGTTTTGATCTCATTCCTCTGCCGAATTACCTGCTGTTTCACTTCCAGCCCACAGCTCTCGTGCGTTGTCCCGAAATAGCCCATTCCTCAGCTCCGCCTTTCCTTCTGTTAAGTCAAGTACATGGGACGTCCAAGGCTTGATATCTAGTCCCTCAAATCTAGTGTGCGGCCAATCTGATGCATAAGCTAGTCGAGATGGTGCTTCTCTGAAGAGTTCAAGGATAACAGGATCAAGGTCAGTGTATAAGGGCCCTGGAGCGTGAGAAAGGCGATAGACGGCGGACACCTTCACCCAAGTGTTACTTCGTTGTAGCAGACGCAGCATCGAGTCAAAACCAGTCAGAGTGTGCGGGTAGAGAGCACTCCCAGAAGTATCAGACTTTGGGATCTCTGGGTGGCCAAGATGGTCGATAACGACCTTGACTCCCAAGGTAGGAATCACGGACTCGATACTGGGTATGTCTTTCATCGCGATATAAATCTGCAAAACCCAGGAAAAAGGTCGGATGGCATCTGCATACTGCGTCATCATTTCTTTGAGCTGTTTGGCAGGCGGTGTATCACCAGACGACTGAAAGTTCAATCGTACACCACGCACGCCCAGGTCGTTCCATTCCCGGAGTTGTGCAGCTGATGTGTTGGCGACGTCAAATACAACAACACCGAGGGCCCTGTCTGGGCCGAATGCCTTGATAGTGTCAATGAGGAGGGTGTTGTCATCGCCGTAGACAGATGGCTGTATCAGAACCATGTGTGAACAGCCGATCCGAGTTTCTTCGATGGTGGCATCCCAGGCTGTGTATGTACCGAACTCGTATGAGCCTGGAAGAGGGGGGAAACGAACTGGGGCCAAGACGTGGAGGTGCGAATCCCAGGAGCCATTTGGCATCCAGCTGTCGGGCTTGGAGTCGCATACGTTTGAAGAAGAGGTGGCCCGGGCCAGGACCGGGTAGAGAAACAAATAACGTAAAATAAATAAATAAGTCGGGATGTTTCTAAGATTGTACGTAGTGAACATAGTGAGGTGATGAAGCGGTGACCTCGGGATCGTAGGATCCTAGATGCGCGAGTTATTAAATATGCATCAGTCAGCGTTGCAATGACCCACGCAAACTCATTATCCCAAGCCCGAGCAGTGGCCCGTTGCCGTCAAATAGAGTTGATCTTGGCGGGGGATCTTCACGGTAGTTGATGACGGGGTCCAGATTTGTCCCCGGCTAGCCCGGGTTCTTCTTGTGCACCGCGGCACCAAGGGTGCTAAGGAAATTGAGGTCTCTGTTAGACTTACTCCATGAATAGATCACTTCAATACTATTTCAAGCTTGATTGTGATATCTTATCGACTGATTAATATAGTATATTCCGTATGCTGGCTTAAAATTGACCAGGAAGTTTTTCGTTCTCTATCTATCTATTTCTCCACCACTCCCAAACACCTCTCTCGATCGGCAAGCATGGTCCTTCTTACAAACCGAAATCTCACATACTTCCTTCCACCATGTGCTCGCGTATGGTATCACGCGTATAACAGGCTGTCCATTCTCATCCAAGAAGCGGGAAAAATAGAATCCGCAGGGATCGTCACTTTCACTTTCTCCATCCACGTTGCTCACCCAAAGCCACCTGGAGGACGGTGGTATATACCCATTCTCTTCCCTCCCTCGCTCCTCCATCACCACGGTACCAAGCTCTCCCTGGGCGAGAAACTGAGGATCCCAAGCACCTTCTTGCCAGGTCACACCTTGGATGAGATAAAGCGCCTCCATTCGGACATCGTGGACTCGACAGAGGCGAACGATGGCGGATAAAGGAAGAAGAATACCCTCGCCCAGGGTGATATGACGGGGAACGCCGTTGCGCACCTGCTCCTTCAACCACTCGGTGCAACTGTCGAGCAAAACTCTAAGTGTCTCCTCGTACTTATCATAAGACAAGTCACACGGGACAAGACAACAATCCAGCTGGATCTCCGCTATAATGCAGTGTATCTCTAATAGCTTCAGGCGGTGAAGATGCTCGCTGTCCAGGTTACTCTTAAGATAGGCCCGAATCACTTCACCCCACGACAGAGCTTGCTTGTATAGGATTTTACCACGTTGATGAAATGACTTGATGAATTCCGTGTCGCTTGACGTCACTACATCATGGGCCTGCCCTATATACGCCATCATAGCGCTGTTAAACAATCTCCACCGACCAAGAAGTGACTTTGGTAAATCTACACCAAATACTGGCGGTTCGGTGGCCGAGACTGTTTTTATCTGCATGTAGATTGGTATGGCGGATATGATTTGGCGGGAGTATTGACACATCATGGAGAAGCAGAGGAAGGTATGTTGAACCGAGGTGATTTCATCCTTACTGCCTTCAGTGCACCTTTTCTGTGCAAGATGTTCGTTTAGCAGAGCGGTCACACTTTTCAGTATGCTGTCCACCGACCGATGATTCCCCTGCAAGATCTCATACAAGGCCATCAGAATTGTCATGACTGTCATGGTCCGTACAGAAACGTGAGCTGGGTCGACATTTAATCGCTCACGGAGACCCTGAACACCTTTGAGGTAATGCTTTAGTGAAGCAGCGTGGTTTCTATTTTTCACACTGCTTGGGCCCCAGGCTTTGAGAGGTGAAGGTCTCGATTGGACAATGGACTGTTTCGTCTCCCGGGCGTCATCGGCGATGGCAAGGGTTAGTGCGCCAAGTGCTAGTACTAGCTGACGGATGGAGTCATCCTGGTGTACGCCAGTAAGAATCGTGCCCTCGCAGAAATCCATGTAAAAGCTTCCAGAAAGATCTGGGGCCACGTGATATCGAAAGGCATCAAGGTACGGTACACTGTGGCCATCAAGCTCTGGGAGCGTTGATGGAGCGAGAGGTAAGAACTTTATCGGTACAACCTGAGCCGGGAGAGCAGTCTCTGGCTTCGTGACTGATAGGGCCTCTTGAGTCTCATAGCCGTCGCAGACGAAATCTCCTCGGATACACCGAGCACATGCTGGCTTGCCCTCATCACACTTGACGCGGCGTGTCTTGCAGGTCAAGCAACCACTGCGGACTTTAGGCCTGCTGGCTCGGTAAAACCGCTGCTTGGATCGGGCGTTTCGTCTCGGCGCCAGTTGGACAGGGGCAAGCAAGGGCCCAGGTCCATCTGCAGGAACGAGGGGACGAGAATGATTGGTCGCCATGATGAGTGAGGAGGTACTGCAGTCTCAACGGGTCAATGATTACCTAGCAGGATTCTTATATCGGGACATGGTAGAGTCAGCAATTTAGGGCTGAAAACTAACGGAGAGTTCCGGTCAGTTTCTGGACTAGTCATGTGGGGTTGTCAGTTTGTCATCTTTGGAGAAAGATCTTTTGTATCTAGCAAATCATTGGTGTAAATTGTTGGCTTCAGCCTCATATCAGTATTAGTCAGGTCAGCTCGCCGCCTGGAACCAAGATGGAATCAAGGAATTTTATGACCGTTTTGGAAGATTCCAAAGACACCTCGCTTGTGGTACCCGAGCTTGGTCTGACAAAGGTACTAGCGTTGCACGAAGGAGCAAGAAACTACAGCTCGTCCTAAGCCAGTAGATAAGCTGTTCTTATCCGGCCAATCACCTGTTCGACCTCGTAAACCCACTTTCAATGCTCAGTCATGACAGATACTGATAAATCAGAAATGCATAAGAACCTTCCGTTTCTATTTATTAACATTTAATTAAATCTGTTCCCACTATATGTTCTTGTCCAAAGCTAGGTGCTAAAAGACTTACTCTTTATATTTAACATTATATGTAAAGCCGACGCTAAGGCAATGAATTAAAGTAGCCCTTGCTTCCGAGAGTGTTAACAGGGAGATTCCTTTAGAGATATAAGTCGAGCGAGAATTTATTGCTTGGCGTGAAAAGGACTACATGTATAGGGATAAGAACTTCCTCTGGGAGCAAATTACATAAAGACTTGCTTAGTATGAAAAATTTATAATCCACCATGCTATTACACGAACCTTTTTCTTAAATTCTGTAGGTAAGTAATATAATACTTAATCTTAAAGTAAATAAAAAGAAAATAGTTTATGTATTAAAGTTTATAACTTTTTATTAAACTTAATTTCTTTTATTTTAAGATTTTATTACTTTTAAATTAAAATTAAAAAATAAGTATCTTATTAAGTCTAAGAGTCTATAGATATTTAAATCACTAATAGAAGTTTTTAAGTTATAATAATCTACTAATTAATATTATTACCACTTTTTATATTAATTTATTAATAGGTATGTAAAATTTTATACTTAGAATTTATTAATATTCGCTTATTCCTTAAATAAAAGATCGGCAGCGAACTTCCTATAGTTAGAAGATAAGGGAGCTAGAATATAATATAACAAAGAGTAGAGACAAAATGTGGCTTAGAACAAAGAGAAAAGAGTTACGGTTGAAGTAGTAGCACCCTTCTCGAATGTATTAGACCGTGAACAGCCCGTCTAGCTGCACATAGCTGTACTGCTACGTATGTATCAAAGAACATACTATATTCTGTTTTAATTTAAAAGAACAAAACCACTATGTTCTTATCTAATGCAGAGTTCTAAGTAACTAGTAGCTATGATAAATTCTATAAAATTCTTTATTTAAATAACTTCTCTGCAAAAGCTGTCTCCTGTTTCATCTATCCTCAACCACTGCGGTATCTCTATGCCCCTTCACCCTCTTTCCTCTCCTATATTTTCCTTTTTTCCTGTCTGTTGAAAGATTTATAAGATATCAACGGAACACCACGTGGTTTCCATCATTATGCCTCGATCATTTGATCCATATGCTCGTGGACGTCAGTTCCAGCGCTTCCACAAGGACCATGCCGAGCTGCTTTACACGCTCAGAGAAGAGGACTGGTATTGGATTATTCAAATATGCTCACTGAAAGCTGCTAACCTTGACGAGGAAAGATACCCGGTTAAGTGGACTAGTTGCAAAAGGTCTATGACTAGTGCGCTGTATCGCTGGCGTATGTTCATGAGAGATAAACATCCTTACAAGGGTACCAGGATTCGCGGACGTCAAGAAAGAAAGACTAAACTGCGTCGGATTGCCGAGAGGCATATCAAATCTAATTTTAACTCTGGAGGAAAGGAGACAGATCAAAAGGAAACCACAAAGATGAATCGGAAAGCTGAGGGACACATCAACTACAGATGTAGTTCTGAAGAAGAGGGCATTGACTACGGTGATTCCGAGAGTGAATGATGGAGATTGCTGCTAGAAACTGTCAGCACAATTCTGTGACTTTCGAAACTGGCATCTCAGGGTTCAGGTTGTAAGAAGGACCATGCCCAGATTCCGAGAGAGGTGTTTCAATGTTCTGAAATATTCTGAGGGTGTTAAGATAGATGCAAAATAGAATCTTAGAATTATGCGTTCTTGGCCACGTATCGGATATAGCTATTTCGCGAGACGATATTGATTCCGGGCTAATAGTACAAAAAAATAACCCTTCGTATGAAAACTGTCTTAATTCAACGGATGTGTAATTCCATGCATCAGTCTCCCGTCTTCATTCAAAGCTGCTCAAGTCTAGCGCCATTCAAAGCCTCGTAGTCAAAGATCAAAGTAACAGATATTAGTACGGTACTTGTTCCCAGAGTGAGTAAGGAAAGATGGCCCGCAAGTCAAAGTCTGTGATTTTCCATTGAGCACACTCCCTTGAACCCTAAGATTCTGTCCACTACCAGATTGAATCTGGAAAGCAAGCGTGTTGCCAAATCTCAGCGTCTGAGGACATCCGAACCTCTGACAGAAGTTCTTCAGCTGTGCGTTGGGGCACTCATCTCCGCCACTCATCCCAGTAGGACTCTTGGAAGAGCCATCAGCTCCTGTGGCAAGGGCCCAAGGACCACAACCAATACCGGGGATGTTGCCGCCGATAGGAGGGACAATGGTTGAAAAGTAGCCGATCTCGAGGTTGATCTTTGCGGCCTCTGCTGTGGTGGCCGCGAGGGTGAGGATCATGGCGAGACTTGGGAGGTGCATGATCGAGATTCTCTTGAGATGATTAGCTTTCAGTCTTTCCGGTCGAGTAGAATGACAAACAATAGAGGTTTTCGGAGTAATGACTAAAAGTGCTAGGTGAATGGAGCTGGTGTCGGGCGGAAGAACGAAGAAAACTAACATCTCATGTGTTCTCAACGGCCTTTTATAGCCGTCTAGACCTCTATCGTGTTTTGCTCTTTTCTTGCTCTCGATTCAGCGGAAGGAATAGACCGAGATGAAGCGGCCGACTTAGCATCATGCCAAGCTTCAAAAATGCTTGCATGAGACAGGTCCCCGAGAGTGTAGAGCATGTTGTGTACTCTGCATAAGGTCCACTTTGGAGACGACACAGCCCATTATGGAGAATTACTCAATCGGCTACTACACTATCTTTGCACTTCTAAATCGCACCTTCAACCAGGCGATGCTGAAGATCCGGTCATGCTGGAGATTGGAAGACTGTCCGAGTAGACTGAAGCATTCGGTTGACAGTCGGGATATATATAGAAACTTTTAATAAATGGTAACGCTGTTGAGATAGATATGAGGAGGTGAATTCAATAATATTGACCGGCTGACTCAACTGCATTGTCAGCATTTGACACGGTTATGTAATGATGCCAAGCCTCGGTTCGGCTCGATGCATCTCAAGAATCCAATAACAAAGGAAAGACTAGAAGAAAAAGAGGGACTCGGAACAATAGTTCACTGCAGCTAAACTTCAGCTTATAATTTATTATCCGTGTGCCAGGTGTTCTAGACCCTTTCTCTCATATCACAACAGGCCCACTTCAAAGCTAAAGCTCTGCCCAACCGCCCCTTCACTAACTCTCCAACAGACCTCTGCTTTTCCAGCATCCTGCGCCCAAGCCGTAACAAGCTCGGGGTCTTTAGGAACTTCACAGTCATTCATAAAAACACCATTAGGTACATCTAGTTCCAAAGGAGTTGTTAAACCAGTTGCGCAACCTCCTTCAGAAGTCTTGGTGAGCGTCTCATTTGCTTCTTCAAGACTCCTTCCCACGATCTCCTGTGTCATAACCATCAGCGTTTCGAGTTTCAAATTGGTTCTACATGCCACTGTCCTTATTGCCTGGGTGCACGGCAAAGGATTGAAGCCCCTTTTGGCCATACCGCCTGTTGAGCGCCACAGAGAAGAGGACCTGCGCTCCTTTGGATTTAGCATACGCCTCCGTAGGGTTGTACTTCTGTGGGTCGATGTTGTTGAAGTGAGGCTCCTGGAAGGTTGGCTGGCAGTGCTGGTGTCCAAGGCTCGAAATGTTGACGATTTTTGGGCAAGACGAGGTGAATAATCGTGGCATGAGCATGTTGGTGAGAAGAAAGTGCGAGAGATGATTGATTGCAAATTGACTCTCAAATCCATCCGGCGTGCGTACAAGATCATTCGTGATGACACCAGCGTTGTTGAACAGCGCGTCGATTGTAGTGACGTCTCTGTCGGCAAGGATGGTGTCAGCAGCCTTGCGAACGTTTGCCATAAATTCGAAGTCTGTTTCGACGAACTTGACACTGACTGAAGCATTGATGTCGTGAATCTTGTCAATGACAGATTGATACTTCGTCTTGGAGCGGTCGAGAAGGATGAGGATACGGGGAGATGCGGTGGCAGGGCGTAGGCGGTTGCTGAACCTATGCCATGGGGGTGGAGGACCAGTAATGTCAACTAGACAGGTAAATGGCTAATGCATAGATCATCAAGTCAATCACTGCGAGCACATACATTTCATGTCTTGAACACGGTCTTACAAGGCTGCAGCAACCTCTTACCCAGTCATAGCTCTATTCAAATGAAATGATTATAATAACATTACTCGCAGGTAATATTCTTGAATACTGAATAGCTGTTTGGTTTCGTCTGTTTAGGCATTATCGATTATTTATACTGATCTCTGAAAAGCTTGTGATATTCCTAAGCATTCCGCGCCCAACGATTTCCTATTGTGATTATGAACCAGCGCCCTAATCTAGACTCTGATACTGTCAAAGCCTGTCCGACCTGGCCGAGTTCTCCATAGTTTCATATGATGAACGGATTTAAAGCCGGAGCCAGACGGTTAAGTCCGTCTAAATCCCCGAAGTGCATCATACAGAACTCTTGGATGGTTGGTAATATTCGGAAGTATGTAGTTTCTTTTATTGAGAAATATGATGGTGAGCTGACATTACGCAGCTAAGTCGGCGACTTGGAAAGACCTCGGCATCTCGCCACAGCTGCATCTATTTGTAATCATCAGTTTACGATAGCATAAGAAGACTCAAAAAACAACTGAGTCGCTTTATATTTAAGACCGCAGAATCCGAAGTTTGGGTCAGTTACTATCAGCAACAGGATCTTCACTAAAACTCTCGTCATTCAAAATCATAGCGCAATCTCAAGACACCAACTCCAACCATCTTGCGTATCCTCTCATGGCGACCTCAACACCTATCTCTATTCTTACCATTTCCCTCTCCCGTCATCTTCACGACCGCGACATAAGCGAAAGCCTACAGGAACAATGGTCCGAGATCAAAGTGCCCTCATCGACAGCATCGCGCTTCACAAATCTCGGCTTTGACCTCGACGGCAACGGCGCCAACCTTGATGAACTTAAACTACAACTTAATGAGCGGGCTTGGGGCGGGATTATTGTTGGATGGTGTTCCCGCGGTAACATTGAGTTCACGGAGCTGTTCGAGGCAGTTGTGACTGTCTGCGTCGACTACATCGTTGAAAGGAAGAAGGGAGATGTTTCGCAAAAGGAACCTAAGCTGATCTTTTGTCGCGGGCCGGATGATCTCGTCAACGCGACGCTGCGTAACTTTCCAAGTGGTGAATGAAAATTGACGGAGTGGTTGTCAACTATTACAAGAATGCACCTAAATAGAGCGATAATAACTAATGCCTTTCTGATCCATAAATGATTATAGATTCTCTGTTCATGTGTTCCCAAGTTGCTGTTTGACAAAGCTCAGCTCATTCATTATGCCCCACGAGTTGTAGAAGGCCTTATCTACTGTCCAAAACGCACGCCAGAAAGCGATTCACAATCGCCCCTGACTACTTCATCCGGCTCATCCGGCTGGCGAACACGCTGTCGTATCATAATAAAGCAGGAGGTTTCATAGGGCGGAGGACCGATGGTGGGCCCTATAGTTGCAGTGCATGAATACGTTGATCTTACGCTGGCTATACGCAGCAATACGCCATGTTAAAGTGAGACTCATTCTATCATTCCAAATTACAGGAATATCTTCTGGGACACTGTTATGACGTTGGTCATGACGGTCTTTGATATATATATAAATACGGCGGTTCTCTGGTTGGAATAAACTTCATCAATCAACAACCACGTCTCCACAACCACTCCCATCTCCCATCCCACAAAACAACAACAATGAAGAGTCTCACCAATCTCCTCATTGGGCTTTCGGTTTTAGCACCGGCCCTCGCAACGCCCACCGGACTTGCGAAAAACTGTGTCCAGCTCCAGATCCCCGTGACGGCTTCAGCCAACAACACCCGTTACAATTCCGTCAAGGTTGAGAGCAACATCGATCTCGTAGACTATGTCTGGGACACTTCAACCTGGTCGCACGCAAACAGGAGTTCTGAAGTTCTTCCTGTTCATGGGACTTACTCCATCAACGCTCAACTCTGCATCCCGGGCGATGGCAAAAAGTCGGACATTTTGCAGATCGCCACACATGGTTTTGGCTTTGACAAGAGGTATGCTTAGTATGGTCACGGCGAATCGAGGGCTAATGGCTTGATGATAGATACTGGGATCCTGAGCTGAAGCCTGAAGAGTATTCCTATGTTGACGCTGCTCTTGCGAAGGGTTACTCTATCCTTACTTACGATCGTCTCGGAATCGGCAAATCCACCAAAGCCGACGGATACAATGCAGTACAACTGGGTCTTCAAGTCGGAATCCTAAAAGAACTAACTATTCTTGCTCGAAAAGGAAAGCTTCTGGAGTCATCCAAGGTTCTCGGCAAACGCCCTGAGAAGTCATTTTCCAGTTACAAGCCCAAGAAGGTAGTCCACATTGGACACTCTTTTGGATCCGCCACAACAGGTGGTCTCCTCTCCCTCCACGGCAATCTCAGCGACGGCGCTATCCTGACTGGTTTCCTTCCCAACAATCAAAATGGCAAAGTCGGGGCCAACGCCTTTGGCTTTGAGTTTGCGCGGCAGCACGATCCCAGGCGCTTCGGTGACCGATCTGGTGGATATGTTGTGCAAGCAAGTTTGAGCAATATTCAGCAGATATTCCTCAAGAAAGGATCTTTTGAAGTCGAGGCGCTTGAATATGCTGAGAGGAACAAGCAGACTGGTACAGTTGGAGAGTTGTTTTCGCGGGATGCTGCTCTTGGAAAGCCTGCTACTGAGTTCAAGGGTCCATTACAAGTAAGTCACCATTTCTTCTGCGACTGTAACGAGATCCCGGCTAACATGTTGACCCATTAGTACTTCATCGGCGAGAATGACTACCCTTTCTGCGATGGAGATTGTAACAACACTTATGACATGGAGACACTCAAAGGCCTGAACCCTGCAGCGTCCCATATCGGCGTACACTTGCAGCCTGGCACGGGTCATGGTCTCACCCTTTCTACTAATGCTACAGCGGGATATGAAGTTATGCTACAGTACTTGAGTTCTCAAGGCCTATAGGAGGTTTCGCGCAAGTCACTCGCAGGGATTGATGAGAAGGCCTTGCTATTCACTTCACTTTTAACTATGGTTTAGTAATGACCCTAGCCCTGCTTGACGTAGTCGACAATGTTGGGTCGAGCCTCGAAAGCAGTTCGGAACTTGACGATGGACTCGGGGAGTGTTTCCTATGTATCTCGTGTTAGATTTGCTATCACTCGCTTTAGAACTATAAAACATACCGGAAGGGTTCCTGTTCGAATGTCGTTATCGAGAGATACATAGACAGCAAAGTCTGCATAGCTGACGGTGTCTCCAAGTAGATATGGTCCCTCACGCTCAGCGTAGTATTGTCCGAGAAGCTCATAGTATGGAGGAGCGTCCTTCTCCTTGTACTCGGGATTGAGGCCCTTGAGATTGGCCACCCATTGAACCTGTTTACTCAGTCAGCTCCATGACGCAAAAGGGAATGGTAAGAGCGTAGACTTACTCTCCAGTCGACATAAATGTCTGATACGAGATCGACCAAGTACTTGTCGTCATTGGTTGTGCCATCATATGCGCCAAGCTCACGCGAGAGATATCGAAGGATGGGGACGTGCTAGCCAGCTCAAGTCAGTTTCAGCCATAACAGTCCGATGAATGGCAACTGACCCCAGTGAGGACTTTGCCCTTATACTCTACTGAAGGAAGTTGTCCAGTGCGAGTAAGGCCCTGCTTCTTCAACTTCTCCTTCGTCTCGCCCCAAGTGGCATCTCGGGCGTACAAGCGCTCTTCAAACTTGATACCCGCGTCGATCATAAACAGCCTGACCACAGAAATCAGTAAATACTCAACACGTATTCGTGACGACGTAGCGACAAAAGTCGTGTCGTTAGCATACTTACTTGACGACTTCACCGCGGCCAAGCTTGCCGATGGCGAGGTAGTGGTAGACAACTGAATCAGAGGCCGACATTGTTAGGACTGTGCTTTGTACAGTGTTTTGTTCACAGATAGAATGTTTCTAGAATGAACTTGTCAATTGAGTATGCTTCAGCTATTATACTGCGGGGTTTTCACTAGTCACTGCCCAAGCTTTGACAGCTGTGCTCCACCACGATGCCATATTTCCGATTCCGCGGATGTCGGCTGCGGTTTCGGCTAACGCATTCCGACACCGACAATTGAATCCCTCTCTATCTATCTATCTCTCCTAATACAATTCTTTTTAACAGTCGCGATCATATGTATGCAAGTGGTGATAATAATTCGTCGTGATGCCCCCGTGCGGTCTGTCAAAGATGTAACACCAATCTCCCGGATCGTCGGAAGCAGAGTAAGCTTGACATGACGGGTTGGCGAGACATATAGCCTTGCATGCATTGACTCCTGTGGCTTTTATCATGTCAATACGACCGTGAATAGCAATGCCCTGAACGCCACAGAGAGGTGTTGATTGGACGGGTTCAGAGCGGCAATGCTCCAATTCGGCTTTGAGGCGGGCTAGGCGGTGAAGGCAGTCGTCCTTTTTGTCAGCTAGCGTCTCTTCAAAAGGATCTTCAAAGTCGAAAGACTCGTTGTCTTCTTTGTCGCTGGTCTCAATTTTGGTCATATAATAGACGCCTTCTCGGGGAATATCTCGTCCATGAAGGCTGGACACAACACAGCGTTTTGACGGTGGATGGTAAGAGCATATGTCGACAGCGAGTGATTCGCAGATAGCTGCGCATTCACTATGCGACGAGACTTCATCGTATGTAACTCCCTGACGATACATGTTGCATTTTAGCTTGATGGTGTATCCAGAGGCGAGGACTTCGCGGTGTCCTTCAACGCATGACTTTGAAATATCCGGTCTGCCAGCCAATGGTCGCAAAACATGCCTAACAAATGATCTGATTGTGTCGAAAGGTAGATGCGAATGTGAAATGATGGGAAAAAAGATGACATGAGAGTAAAAGAGGATTGTCAAGCCACAGTTCAGAAGAGTGACGAGTAGTATGATCCGGATATACGGATGAACATGGTGAACAGGCGTTGAATTCATACGCAAGACTGCCATCATGTCAATACTTGGACTTGGGTAGCCCCGAAAGAATATCTTAAGGCGCTGGAACAGAAGGAGGGAATTACTTCTGGAATCGTTGACTCCGGGATCTCATCTCATTTTCATGTCGCTGGCAGCTGACTTTCCTTGGTCACACTGATGAAAGGTCTGGTGCAAGAGTCAGGCACTGGAATGTTGTGGCGTAAACCTGGCGCTGATTCGCCGAACAAGCTGTCGAGACCTGCCCAGATGATCCCAAACCGCGAATAAGATGGAGTGATGTAAGCCTCGTTATCAGGAATGCGGCAAACCGGGTAAGCGCTGCCTTTCTACATCAGATCTCTTCTTTTTAATGGGTAGTCAGTCTTCTTCACGTGCGTCTTCGGGCGTAGCCTTGACGCCATAGAGGAGCGTCCCGGGCGTTTGGTAGCGCGATCGAGGCATTCTTGGTCCGTCTTAGTGTGACTTATTCCCCGATTCAACACGCAACGATGACATTGTCGAAGTGAATTCCTCGGTACGGTCCGCTCCTGAGGCCAGCTTCTCGAGCACACTTGTCATATTCTGATCACAGACTTGTGAACGCAGAGATTCCATGGGCCGCACTACCATGGTCCATGGCTAGGTCCTGGGCTTGGTTAAGGGGCGCTCCGTGCGAGTATTTCCATGGCTTCGCATTTCCATCTCGTGTTCATGATTCGGTGAAAAGTCTACCGAGCATGATCTTCAGCCTTGGGCCCTCTCGAAGCATCACCGGAGCCAGTCTTCCGAGTCGTATCGGATGTCGCACGAGCTAGAAGAACAACAATTTCACCACCAATGATGGCCGCTGCCAATTCCGTGAATATGTTCCGCTCCAATGAAGTTATCAGATGATTCGAAACACTTAATGCATGCACTCCACATAATTACGGATATTAATTGTCATCTCGTCCGATCTGACCAACACAGCCTCTCCCATCTTCGGGCTTGATGTCTTGAAAGCGGTTAACTCATCCGGACCCGAAATAAGCTTAAGTATGGTACGCGCATCCCTAAACATCGACCAGGATCTCAGCTTTGACTAGCCTATCAGCGCTGGGTCGTCCGTCACCTAAGTGGAGGAAATAGCTTGTCCTGAAACAAGGAGCTGAGCACCTTATTTTATTTTTGTAAAGCGGATGATGGCATCCTCCCTGATTGACGGAGAGGAGATAAGAAAATAGGCGAATTAGAAATGGTGGGTGACTTGCTGAGAACCGCTTTGCTGGGTTGGCATGGATGTTGGGCGAATTGATCACGAACACCGGAGGACAGAGCGTGTATAAAAAGGATAGCGAGTTCCCCTTCAGTCATTCTTTCCTATCCATCTTGACTTGGCTTCTCTGCATTAACATTCGTTTCCATATTTGCCATTCGTCGTTACCGTTGACCGGCTTCTCTTCAACTCAGTACTCTCCAGTCTTAACAACCACCAAAATGCACGCCTCCAGCCTTCTCACGCTCCTCACCACCCTCCCCGCCGCGATGGCCTGCCTCGGCTACACCGGCGGCGTCCCCAAAGCCACCGGCACCAAATCCCTCAGCGCTCCTCAATACCTCAAGAAGGGCCAAGTCTTTGATGCCAAGTGGGTTCGCTACGACCGCGGCGTCAAGTGCTCTGGCCAGAGCGAAGGCGGCGAGAAAGACGCCGTGTTCGTTCTCGAAGACGGTGCTACTCTTCGTAACGTTGTCATTGGTGCCAACCAGAAGGAGGGTGTTCACTGTCTTGGTGCTTGTAACCTTGAGTTTGTCTGGTTTGAGGATGTTTGCGAGGATGCTATCTCTATTAAGGGTAGTGGAACTGCGAATATCATTGGTGGCGGTGCTTATAAGGCTGCTGATAAGGTTATTCAGCACAATGGATGCGGTCACGTCAACATTGTCAACTTCTGTAAGTCCAGTCCTTCAATTCCGTGGCTTCGTGCTAATATGTAAAGATGCCAACGACTACGGCAAGGTTTACCGATCTTGCGGTAACTGCAAGGGTAACTCCAAGTGCAAGCGATCCGTCCACATGGAGGGCGTCACTGCTGTCAACGGCGGTGAGCTTATCGGCATTAACACCAACCTCGGTGACAAGGTAAGTGATCGCAACGTGTCCACGAAATATGCCATACTGATCGTATCTGATAGGCTACCTACTCCAACAACTGTTACCCCAAGACCCAGTGCCAGGGCTACAACGGTTGCGACAAGGCCAACGGCGAATGTGAGCCTACCAAGGCTGGCAAGTGCTAGATTTCCATGTCGAGTTGATATTGCTCTGGCAGCAAGTGTGTATAGTCTTCTTTCTTTGGCTTTCTGGAACCTACGGCTGCTGATTGGTTACCATTTTCCATGCCATGTATATTATTAGTTTCTGGCAATTGCCCGTATATATATGGAAACGCCACAGTTGCCCTTTTTACTCAAGCCTTCTCAGTAATCCGTAGTCGTGGTCATCCTACAATACTATTAAGACAATACCTAACCGTGTTATGTCTAGACTAAAGATACACTGTGAAATGAAGTCTATAAGCAAGCAGACCTGATAACGGGCTTGGCATTTTACACCATGAAAGATTCGACGTAATTGAAATTCGAAATTGTGATTGACCAAATTGCATTATGGGAATATCGGATCAGTATCTCCACCCCAACTCCATCTCCATCTACTTGGCTTCGAAGTTATCCTATAAAACATCTCACAGTGGCTAGTACTCAACCAAGGACGCTAAGTACATACGACTCCTCCATAGTTGATTCACATCAGCTCTGAGGCGATTATCAGCAAGCGTGACTACTCCATCAGAATGCCGAGTCATGGTTTGCGCAGTTCATCGCTTGCACCAGGTCTGGTCGCTGTTGAGGAGAGGGCCAAGGTAAGACTCCGGGACTATTTCATAATACGTCAGTCTCAATTTCACGCAAATAATCAGGTATCAGGTTGACTTACTCTCGAGTCCGTTCTGGAAGCTACCGCAGAGCGTTCCCCAGGACTTGTCGTTGTCGCAGTTCTTCCACTGGGGCTCAGATCGAGACAGCGAAGGAGAGTCCTGGTAGTTCCACTCGCACCAGTTGTGAGTTGCCTAGGAAAATCGTTAGTGATTGTTGATAAAGCTCCCGATATATGGTAAACTTACAAGGCAGGTTACGCCAAGCTCCTTGCCGTTGAAAGTGGGCTCCTTGCCAGCACAGTCCTCAACCTTGAAGACATCAGCAAGAGTAGCCCAGCCCTCGTCGACGATAGCCTTGGTGAGCTCAATCTGGGTGTTTCGCCAGTCGTTGGGGTTGTGCAGAGCGTAGGTGTCGGCGCCATCGATCCACCACTGGTTGCAGTTACCAGCCGGGTCAAGGCCATCGCAGGAGATAGCGCCGCCAGTGTCCTTGGCGACAGTCATGGCGTTGAGACCGGTACTCTTGGACGAGACAATTCCATTGGCCTTGAGGGCGCTGGAAAGGATGAAGAGTTGAAGCTGTCGGTAAAGAGTATTGGCCTGGATGGTAAGGGAGGTGGTAACGCGCTGAGAGAATCCACCGTCCTGGCACGCAGCGATGAAAATAGTATGGTCACCCTGAACGAGCTTGACAGTCTCAAGAAGGTTATTCTGATAAGCCTCAACAAGCTTAGCAAGTCCAGAACCGATATCACCGAGCTGGATGAATCGATCGTTGGCAGTTTGAGTCTTTACCAATGTCTCACCGAGCTTGCCGGAGAGATCAAAAGCAGCACCGAGGCCAGCACGGATGAAACCAACAGCGACACCAGCATCACCAGGGACGAGACCAGTGAAGATGGAGACGATACCAAGAGTTGAACCGAGAATGTTCATGAGGCCGCTGGTGGGGGTGTTGGCTTCGACGGGAGGAGCAACCTTGGCGACGATGGCGTCGATGGTTTGACCGGCGAGGGAGGCGCCGTTGCTGAGAGCGCGGGAGTATTGGTTGAAGAATTGGTAGACGGTGTAGATGTTCCAGAGGGCCTGTTATGTGTGAGCTTGGTGAGATTGAGGGAGGTTGGTGACGTACGTAGAATTGTTGGTTGGAGTCATACTTTGAAACATCCTTGGTGTTGAAAGGAGGGCATGTATCGCTGGTGATCAAGTTGCAGGTAAGACCAGTGAATCCCTATTCCGTCAGCTAGTTATTTCTGTCATAGTATTTTGTCAGCTTACATTGAACTGAAGGTAGCACTGAGCGAAACCAAGTTCGTCGCAGTTGGCCTTGGTTCCATTCTCAACAACCCAGTCATTGATATACTTCTCCATGTCCACTACTCCCATTAGTTTCATTACTACCCCACACTATTATCTTTTACTCACAGGCCTTCCAGCATTCTGGCTTCAGACCAGTAGACGACGACGGAGAGCAGTCAACTCCCGGGTCAGCCGGAGCAGGTTCCGGACCGGTCCCATTATCCTGACGTTCAACCAACGGAATCGCAGAAACGACCGTGGAAAAAGAAAGTGATAGCAACGCCGTTGCAAGAAAAGACATGATTGCTCTAAACGAAAGAATAACTTCTCAAAAAATAAGAAAAGACTGTGAGTGACCAGCAGCGAAATGAATGTTACAAGATGGTCGATGGTTCAGACGAACTCAATCGGCTTACATCGCGAGGATATATAACAAAATCGTGGGTGCCGACATCTTACTCCAGAGATACTATAGTCGGCAGTTGAACTCTAATGAATTACCAAAACGTAACCGGAACACAAAACTCGCTCCAATAGTAGCAACAGGTTCGTCTTGTCATCCCATAGGGAGTAACCGGCTTGGCAGGGCTTCAGGTTGAAGGAGCTGAACTTTAACAACTGGGGAACTGGTCTTATCAGATTCGAAAAGGGAATATGCATGACGTTCACCAACCTTTTGAAACTATGGCCCCCTGTAGAGTTTCGAAATAGGTGCTTCGTATTTTGTAAGTACCCCTGTAACATCTCCAGATATGGGTTTTGCACGGATGATCGATTGCGGGTTGGAGTTTCACCCTTGTAACTCTATTGTCGGTCCGAGGATTAACCAAAGCATAAACTACAATTAAAGATGAATAAAGTTCATTGGCATTCTTTTTTCGGAAGGTCATTATGCTTATGGTGATACCGAATCTTTGTAATCGCCGGATTGATACAGAAAGAACATGACTCGTTGGTGGAAATATGAAACCGGCTACGGAGTCACCGTCAGGAACACCCTTGCTCGACGTCCCCACGTGCCACTGCAGATGGTATCATATTGGATGTGATACGCGCTATAAATGGGGTTTTTGGAAGCATCGCAATTTGATTCCGTTGACGATCTTGGCACGTTCCATGGTGGTAGGTTTGTTGATCTGCCGCGGTGATATAGAACGATAACGTCAGACGGAAAATCGTCATGTTAATTGTCTCCGCTTGGCAGGACTCAGTGGAGACGATGGAAGGTTGTTTCTGTTGGAAGTGATAGCGCCTTATCATTTTAACCACGCCGTCATATGATAGATTCGATGGTCTATCTATAACTACCGAGTTCCACTGCGCCATCGTTGCCCATAACTATCATCTGACTGTCAAGGTCCTATGAGAAATGCGGGACCCACGCTAACCAGTCCAAAGTGTCATAAGCACTCTCGGGCATTGACGACAGACAATAAAAGGTCAAAATCAGCACCACTAATCTCGACACAATGTAAGCTAGCAAACTCAACAAGCCCATCAATATGATTGTGTAGGAAAAGAATGCATTCTCGGGAAGAAAACGAAAGTATTTCTGCAATAGGTTGAATACCAAGGGTAATAGAGAAGTAAGAAGAGCACCGAGATTGGACCATCTCCAAAGCGATCTGATAACGAGCGACGGAAATTCCCAGTTCCAAGCAGCTAGATGAATAGCGAGAAATCCGGTAGATGTCAGGTATAGGGCGATGGAAGCGAGATTCAGCCTCAAAGGTTGAGACGCGGACGTCAGGTCTTTGTCGTAGTCTTCAAAATCTACCATGTCGTAGATGAGTGCGAGAAAGGTATCCAAAGGTAGATCCTTGACTCTCTTCTGGAGAAGCTTTTCGTCAGACATTACCAAGTCCTCCATAGATGGGATATTTGGACTTGGCATGCCTGTTCCTTGCGATGCAGTTCTCGCGACTACTCGCCTGGTTTCGACATCGAATGGCTTGTTCCACCAGAATATGTGCATTACAATGGCACAGAAGATGAAGGCCAACGTGGCCAACTCAAGTTGTGATATGGAATATCCTTGTACGCCTCGGGATATGCTTTGCACAACAAGCCACGTGCACTGGGTGATTGCGAATGCCTTGGTAATAAAATCGGCTTTACTGAGGTCCCTGATCTCTGACTCTGGCATTCTGAACATGTCAGGTGGGATATTTGCTATGAGAACGTCAGACGTTGGATCTGCTATGGTTGACTTGACAGCGTTTGAAATCAGGGAACCTACATAGAGATTGGACCATTTTGATCTGCCAGGTCTCACCATGACTCGATACCAAATCTTCCGAGTCTCTAGAAGCTGTACTCATCCGTTCATGTGACTGAACGCTCGTAGCTGACTCTTCCTCCGTGAGAGGCTGCTCGAGTGGGGCATCGTAAATGACAACACCTCCCATTTGAACATAAAATGCGTGCGCCATTGTATACTTCTGTGCACTAACCATTGTCAGATGGAGCTTTCCAATCCTTAACCGAAAACTAACATCTCACCAGGAAAAGCTCTTGTAAAAGAAGCCAATTGTCGCCGCGCCTCCATATACTGCATCGCAGCCATAGCGACTCCAAACTCAGGAGCAACCGCAATAAACGTCATCCACAGAATCTTGCGTCTCCATTTTCGGCGCAGAGGTGATTTAGGCCAGAACGAAATATCAGGAACGCCTTTGCAGATTTGCATCGTATGCCACTCACCCTTGATCTCTTGATGGGTCGGGATGTTGAGATGGACGCATTTCCAGGAACAGACTATGAAGATTGATAGACAGCTCCAGATAATACTCCAGGTGCTTCGCCGAGGTGCAGGTGATACCCATCCTACCATTGTGGTATTGTCTGCAGTGCTGTTGGATTGTGCCAGGACTGTGGCTGATGACATGGCACTGAGCATCAGCACGCGAGGACTAAACGAGATCATGGTGAAGGAGTTTGGTGTTTATGAGAAGATTCAGGTCTTGATTTGGCAGAGTTTTGTATTCTCTTCCGCTCATCAAGTCGTGCTGATCATCTCCCAGCCGCATTTTTAGCTCTTTGTGGCTGGACCCATTTTCAACTTGGATTGGTCGAATTTCATGACTTTGCCGCCAGCCTGAGTGCCAAGAAAGAATCCTTACTTGGAAGAAGCTGACATGGGCCAGTTAATCGAGGGCTTTCAAGCCACAAAGAGCTGCACGGTGTTTTATCATCGGTAAGAATCTAATTATATTTGTTGATGTAATGATAATTATCTACTGTAGACTGCGACGCGTCTCTCCAGTTTCTCAATATAATATATCTTCAGCCTCCCTGCCCACTATATCCACTACAATGGTATCTTTCTCAAGCTGAATGACTTTATATATCGACTCTGCTTTCTAACCAATGCAATTTTGCGTACCTGTTCAACCTCAACGAATTGAAGGTTGAACGAATCAAAGACGTGCTTTTGCCTTATCATTAGACTTGCGAGTCTTCCTAGTCCACGGCACAAAACCCGTCTTCTCATCAGGGAACGGAATATTTTGCAGAATCGGTCCGTCAGCAACCAAGGGAATAGTTCTGTAATCAGCAATGCCTTGCGCTTTCAGTGCGGGCTGATTAGCGCCGATGCAGAGCTCCAGGTTGAGTGCAGAGATATCATTCCATAACTTTGCAGCAGCCTCTCGCTCATACTGATATGTCACGAAGGCCTGACGAATATCGCGGTCTGATGGGTTAGGGCGGGAGTGAAGCAACCAGCTAAGGCCATTTACTAAAGCGATAGCGTCTTCGATGCCGCAGCATGCTCCTGCACCTCTAATGGGGTTCATCTGTCCGATGTTAGTTTATAATCAGTCAGCATGGTATGTCACTAACCTTGTGAGCAGCATCGCCGACAAGAACCATGCGTCCCCAATGCCACCACTGCAAAACACCCTCATCAAAGTTCGCACTACCCCCAGCGATCTTATTCCTCCATAAATCCCCAAACGTAATTCCCTCTCCGATCGGAACATTCATCCAAGGCTTCGCCGCCTCTTCAGCATCATTCTGCCCGAAGAAGGTTTTTGTTCTCGCAGTAGGAATGCGATGATACACAATGATCTGCGCCTCTTCCAGACCAGTAAATACCTGAACGTGAGAGCCATCTTGGTAAACGTTGATGTTTCTACCACGCTCTAGTTCTTTGGGGCAGAGAGCTTTGGCAAATACGCCTGCGTGGGGTGCTTGAAATGGATTGGGGTTTTCGTCGAAGAGGCCTTTTGGTGCTTTTGCTTTCATCTGATCGCGGACACTGCTCCAGACGCCGTCGCAGCCGATGACGATTGATCCGTCTTCTATAGTTCCGTCTGCAAACTCGACTGTTACGCCGTTGTCACGGTTTATGATATTAGTGAGCCGCTTATTTGTCTTGACGTGTTGATCCTTGTTTTCAAGCTTGCTCATCAACGCCGAGGCGAAATCAGCTCTGTTAAAGATACCCATAGGGTATCCGAACCTTTCGGTGGTCAGCATAGTATTCAGTAGCGAATAAAGTTTTGCTCACAATGTGCCGAGTTCTTCAAACCCTCTTGAGCGATGAATAACACCGCCGTCAATTGATCTGTGAACCGCTTCGACCATAGGCTGCGCGACAGCTTCCACAGCTTCGAGAAGGCCTAGTTGGTGGAATATCCGCATAATATGAGGCCATAAGAATAAACCATAAGCAGGATCAGGAGGAATTTGGGAGCGCTGTTCAACAAGCACGTAGTCGATGCCAGAGACCTGCAGCGCGTGAGCCAGGACCATACCAACTGGCCCAGCACCAACGACAATAACTTTGAAAGACTCCATGTTCGATTCCCAGTACCAAATAGAACCAGCTGGAAGGAGGAAATAAGAATGAAATAAGATTGAATCTGGGGAATATGTCAGATTGTTGTTATAATACCATGTCGCTAGGTCACGCTCAACAAAAAACGTTCCAATCAGAACGGAGTTTTTGCCTCCTGAATGATCGGACTTTAGCAATGTCCAACGGACTTTTTGTTAGCGCTGACGAGAGCGAGTGCGAGTTGAAATATCTCCGGTCCTGGTAAGCTGCTGCGTACCAGTTACGTCAAGTGGTGCATGTTTCATCACTCTACTCCGCCTGTTTCGGAATTGACACGCCATGTTTACCGAAAATGGTCTCAACTTGAGCATTGTTATCTGATCTTTTTAGTGACTTACCCTTGAGCAGACTTTATTGTGATGACTGTGTCGCAAAATGATTCCATTACCAGAAGAAAGATACTTGATCTATATAAAGCGTACTAAAGCTTATGCTTATGTTTCATCACATCTTATTTAGGTGAGTGTCGCACATGAATCTACTGGTATATACCTTGAGGCACGAAGTTGGCGTACACTTGCTAAGCAAGCTCAAGTTTTGCCATATCAACTTGCGAGGACCGAAACTGTACTACCTTTAATACCTCCTTACTTTCGACAGTATAGTTATTCCCTCCTTGAACTGGTGTAGCAGAAACAGAACCATCGAGAAGTTGGGCAGCAAAGTCGTCGCATTGAGCTCTCGTGATGGAAGCGTTAGCAAAGAAGTTAGTAATTTGGAACTCTGATAGATTGTCGTAGCTCTCCGGCCTGGCTGCGTATTTGGTGATGTCCATCTTGGTATGTTTGCTGAAAGATATGACGAAACTCATGAACTTGTAAACGTTGATGCCTAATTTCTATCATTCAGTATTAGGAGTCACGTGTGCGCATATCATGTCAGCAATAACGCGAAGGTACACTACTCAGCCAGTTAGACTGTAGAAGCGTGATAGTACCAAAGCCTTCGGCCTCAAGCTCCAATAGGACCAGCAGAAAGATCATTGCTTTTGATAAGTTGAAGTGCGAGGACATCGACTAGGTCCCTCCCGACGATGCATTTTGCCAGCTCAGTCATGCATTTCAAAGCCCTCCTGTCGCCCAAAATGGTCAATTGCCCCTCGCTAAAGTCATAGGGACTTAGAGAGAAAGCAGCTTGCTCGCCAACCTTATAGTCAATGTTGAACAGGTCTTGAATTTTGTATTGTTGGTTGTAGATCCTTGGTAATTGGAGGAGCTTTTGTGAGTGGGCGGTATACTTGTATTGGATATTTTATAAATGGCGGTAAAGTGTTTATTTTCCTACTACTTCCATCTCCGTTACGGGACGGTTGCTACGCTCCGTAATTATCAGGAGATGATATTCAGCTCAGAATTCACCATCATTCTCACAGTTGGAGATTGGCTCCATGTTTCAATGGACAGGGGTTTAGTGTAAGCCACTGCCCAGAGGGTTACAACGAGCCATAGCAACCTCTAATCGTGACATCAGAGGCTTGATGGCTTTCTCTTCGGCAAAACTTAGCTAGTGTCCTCAATTTTTTTACTACCCACGGAACGACCCTATTCTTTAACAGACCTTTGACCCATTTTTTCAAGTGCTGCTGAAAGGATGTTTTTTCCTTAATAGTGTGGTAACCATCAAGAAACAGTGCCAACAGCCTATGAGGTGGTGGCTCCGTTGAAAACCGGGGCTCCTCCTCCTCCTAGGTCGGGCTCTTATATAATAAAAGGATACGAAATGTTTTGCCATCGCTGCTATATACAAACTTGCAAATACATAATCCACATCATATTGCCTTTTTACTCATCTACAATGTGGAATGCACTTCTTCTGCTCGGCGCGACTATCCAGTTTGCGTTGGCCCAGGAGGGTGCTTTCAGCTGTGCCAAGTTCTGGCCAGGTGTCAAACCTGGAGATAGCTTCACCGTCGGCGGCCAATGTCGAATGCTAGAGGGTTACCCAAAGACCATTGGAAACACAAAAGTCAGCGTCATCTACACCGAGGACTGGAGCACCAGTGCCAAGCTCGTCGATTCCCTGCTGCACGAAGCCATCACCGAGAGTGTCGCCTACTATGGGAACTTCGCAACGGTCCCGGACCTCGTCATCATCCTCGGGGCTGCTCCGAACCCCAAAGCTTCTCTCGATGCGTCGTTTCCCATACCAAACGGCCCCTGCCAGATCAGGAGCTTTGAGTTTTGGGGCGCGGAACAGGCTCTCAAGATGGATCCGAAGGCCATGCAGGGCGTTGCCCACGAGATCTACCACTGCGTGCAGCAAGAGTTCAACGGAGGGCAGACCCCTCCTGTAGGCCCGTCACGGTGGGTGGTGGAGTCGTCGGCCGACTATTTTAGCAACCTCGTGTTCCCTCGAGTAAATGACGAGTGGAGCCGTGCCGTACATTACGACCCAGGGGTCCCCATCTGGAGGAATGAGTACAACGCCAACATATGGTTCCAGTCTCTCGAACCCTCGCACGACTTGACCTACATCCACCAGTTTGTCACGTCAACTGTTTTTACAAACAGTGAAAACGAAGAGCGGGCCCGCCTCGCCGCTTATGCCACATTTGCAGACGACTTTTTCGAATTTGCCAAATCCTTCACCATTGGTTCTATCGTAGATTCAGGCGGTGGAGATGTCCCGAGAATTAACACTCCTGACGATATTGGTATCATATGGTCTGTCGACGAGGATGCCACCGAGGGAACTGCCGTCTTGGAAACCTCCCCGTTTACCATAAGGGAGTTTTCAACGTCCTTCGATCCAGGCCAGAATATCAAGCTCTATGCGTCCACCACAGGGAACCAGCGACTGGCATGGAGGCTTGTAGATCCAAACACTTGGAATGCATTCCCTAGCGATGCATCAGGCGGTGGATCAGAAGGTGTCATCACTATTCCTTGTGCCTCGGGCCCAGTAGCGGTTTTTATACTCTTCACCTCGACCGAGGACAAAGACACAGACAAGGTTGAGATCAGCTTCGTCCAGGAATACGAAGACAAGGAATGCTGCAAGAGGCGCTCTGGAAAAGGGGCCGGTAAGAAAGAGTGCTCAACAACCACTGTCAAGCGTCCTCGCCCGACTCGACGTCCTCGTCCAGCGTCGACAGCCAAAGGCTCTTGCAAGGGCTCGAAGATTCCGATGGACTCATGTTTGAAAAAGTCTTGGAGTCTTGATATCCCAACGACTCGGAAATTTATGGAGGACATTCTAACAGCCATCCCACACGTTACCGTCAAGGATGTGCGGGTCAGCGGAACCGCCAAACTCGAGTTCCACGGCAAACAGGCCACGTTTACGTATGATGGCTTCACCGTCGCGTATGTTCAGACGCTGCTGGACAGGGACACACCGGTCAGCGTTGTGGTCAACGGGAAAGCGACTGGTGTCGTCTCCACGGCTTCAGGAGGAGACGGTTCTGGGACATTATGCCTTTCCTTCACCAAGGGGTCGGGGACTGCCGAGGCCAAGGTGCCGTCACTGGGCGTCGACACCAAATTTGATCTTGCACCTGGCGGAGGTTATTTCTCCAACGGCAAGGCCACGTATACCTGTCAAGGTGACAAAATGACACTCAAGCCTATTGGGTCTCCGAAGACCAAGAATGGTGTACCCAGCTGGGGCCCTTACTCGTACAATGCGAAATGACAGGGGGATACTTGATTCGTGAGTTATGTGCTTATCTTGGGCCGAGGCTGGATAGGGTTGGTTGAGTTGTAGGAGGCTGTAAGTGTCTCTCGGTTCACGAACGGAGTCCGCAAATAGCCCGCATTATCCATAGCGCCCCAGAGCTACGACTCTTGTGGCCGGAACTCCTAATATAGGGCAGCGGCCGGCTTACCATAATGGGCATAATTCTTGGACTGACTCATTCCGCTCTTAACGCGACAAGACTCTGGACGTATCGCGCCCTAAACCGCTTCTACAGCCAGCAGCTGGGGAGCGTCCTACAGCCAACTATAGGTTCACTACTAAGATCCAAAACACTGGCGCCATACTGTCAGATATCTTATTTCCAGAGCCCTATTATTAACAGTAACGCGGATCTGTAACGGTAATAACTGTCGCCCGAAAAGCCGCTTATGTAAGGCATTTATCTTATGCTGGACTGAATGTTCAGGTCCTGGCTACGTGCAATGGCCTGGTTTTCTTCGCTGATGATGCTGTTTTTGTAGAAAGCGATGCGTTGGACTAGTTTGGACCTGGAAGACTAATATTCTCAATTCTAGAATTAATGTATCACGTAAACTGTTTCCACCTATTATCATGCTTCGTCCTGGATTGGGACTTTGAATATCTTGGTATTAGGAAACGAAACTCAAGTGACGCGTGACCTGTCACGGACTGCCGCTTTTACGGCCTATTCTTCAGCCCCCCTCCGCGAATCATGAAACATACCCCTTTACACTCAACTAGTCGTAAGAGAAAATACGAATTCATTCCAGGCTTCCAATAGTCTGCTTTGGCATCAGTGGGGCTGGCGCCCAACCCGAACTCGGCATCATCTCGAGAGTTTTGTTTCTGACAGCCAAAAGCGCGGTAAAATCCTGTCTCTTAGTAGGCACATTTACCTGGATAGACTGGTTGCGAGCCTCATTATCCTCGATGGTCAAGTTCTGAGCAAACTCCATCCAGTCATCGCTTATGAATCCGTTTATTTGCAACGCTTGATCAAAGGTTTGGTTATTGGCAACGCGAATTGTACCTTGTTTAATATTAGTTTCCCAAATTATGTCCCCTTAGGACCTGGCTTACCGAGTTCTTGGTTGGATTGACTTTCATCCAAGCTATAAAATATGAGGCATTCATATTCCTCTTGCGTAAGGCGAATCATTCCATCATCTATGAAAGCTAGGTTAGCTGTCTCCCATGACAGAAGAGCCAGAATACGTACCGTCTGGGCTCTTGCCTTGAAGGACTTCAGCTATCTTTAACCCTTGTCCCTTGCCGAGTCTATGCTCAACAACTTGATTGACCTCATGAAGAACTGAACTGTCCAACATGTGAGTGCAACCCGGGTTCTCCTGCTTGTCCTGATCGTTTTGGACAACAAGACCAACATGAGCAACTTGAATATGAAGGATGAGCGTGGCTTTGAGAGTTGCTAGCTCCGTGACCATTCTATTGGCGTGCTCTAAATCTTCAGGGCCGGTCATGAAGTGGTGAGCAACGCGACGACACGAAGATCCTGTGCTGGACTTCTTTTTGACCTGTTGGACATGATTGTCTAGCTTTTCAGCATGCTTTAGCATATTTGCTAAGGCCTTGAGAACTCCTTTGGTTCTGATTTCTTTGATGGTTTGGACAAGTTCTATGACTTGAGCAATACTGGAGAGGTCATTGCAAATGAACTCTAGATCTTTCCTGCCATTTTTATGGATCTCTATGGCTGTAGAGACTCTTCGGATAAGTTTGAGCGATTGATCAATTGTGGCAGTAGCGGCTGCTACTGCTCCGATAGGGTCAATCTGTAAATACAACTGTGTTAGTCACAATGACAGACAAAGGTATTTGGATATGAAAATCACCATGGTGGAAGTATTGGTAAAGTGGATTTACTGCTAAGTGGCTAGGCAGATTGAAGGCAAAGGAATTCAGAAGAACGGGTCCGGGCCTATAGCCACTTCAAATTACAAACTCAGTACACTGATACGGCTAAAAAGCCCACAGAGGGAATTTCCGCCCTCCAGTAAGGCATGCATGCTGACTGGCATTGATTGCGGCCACGTTGGTTCTTCTTCCTAAGCCTCACACGAGTAAATACACCTTTTAATCAGCTGTTCATTTTTGCACTATCTGATTGGAAAGGAGAGGACACCCATTCGGCGGTAGGCTGTGACGTTTTTGGTAGAGGAGGGGTTATTTTGTCGTGGTCTAAGCAAAGCCCATGGGCTGTTTTCCAAAGCTACGTGTAAATGCAATGCAATGCAGTTCCGTCACATCGGGCAGCCAACCAGGCTGACTACTATTTGATGACATGCATGATAATATTGTTTTGCGAACTCACCTATGCATACCATTGAAAATATCAGTGGAGGCTTAGCCTTTCTGCATTTGATTCCGTCCACCAGACCGAGCCTCAAGTTTGGGGGCTGTTGGGGTCCCAGATTTATCTTTCCATCTACTTGTGTAACTGATCATCTGATGAAACTATCATATGTGTCCCTGGTCTTTTTTTTCCCACGCCCTTTCCATGTTCTATTCAACCCCAGTCTTATTGAAATAGCTTAAAATGGACTCTCAAACAATCTCTCACCATGCTTCTGGAAACCAGGCAAATCACAGTTCGATCCAAGTCAACGGCGCCATCGGAGACCGGCTAGAGATTCGAAAAGCTATTATAAAAACCTTGAAGCTCAGTCCCCTTCAAGCGACAGCCTCAACACCATCTACCATCAAGGACGATTTCTACTTCGGACCAATTCCGGCTCTTGAAGAGGATCAGGATGAGGATTTTGAATCTGAGACCATGCAAGAACTGCCACCGGGAATTTCAGAAGCCGACTTCCATTACATCTGTAACGTCAACAGCAGTTTGATGGAAAAATACGAAATACTGCTAGACCGAACTCCTCATGTAAGGGCGACTTGTGTGAAGCAACTCCGTGACAAGGCCAGCGATCAGAAAATGAGAATCAAGGTTCACATAACGCTTGTGGAACAATGGTTTACAGCTACGAAAAAGACTCGGCAAAGCGAGGGGTCGATAGGTGAAAACAGCATGGAGGATCTGAAGCAAAGACTAGACAATATACGTGACAAACTACAGGACGCTATCAATTCATTCCCACAAGTTCCCACTCGAAGCCAGGTAAGAATCGAATCCAGTGGCGTATCGGAACGCTAATGAATGGGCGATAGGGTCGGTCAAGTGAACGTAAGATTCAAAATTCAAAGATCTTCAAAGACCTCAATATGCTCATCGAAAAGATTGGATTTGATGTTTCCGCTATCGAAAGCTTGGTCTACCGGCTTTCAAACTGCCAACCAGCATCTCAATCAACAACGAACTACACCCGACTCTACATTTCAAGTTCAGCCACGAAGACACTCTATCGTCACTGGTGTGAAGCCTGCCCAGTGAATGGCCAAGAGCAAGCACACGGACATACAGCTCTCGTTGGACTTGTACCAGTGCAAGAACAGGAGCCACTTTGTATCAATCCAAATGAAGTTGCCATCACCGGCCATCACGTTGCTATAGAGTCAAACTTTACCAAGGGAGACTACATCTGGTTTGAGGCTCACTCCAGATTGGTCCTTCCAGGGGACGAGAGTGACGCTGTCTATTCAGAGCCGTCTTCGCCTTTGGTGACAGTAATGAATGGGCTTCGTCAACGTTGGCGCCGTGACTCTGGATACTCATCTGGCACTGCGTCATCGTCAGATCAGCGAATACAAACATCAAAAAACTTTGCTGAATTTTGCCGGGTTCAGGTATGTCCTGGAAGTCTTGCACAAGGCAGCGATCGTCTAGCCATGTGTATAGCTGTTGATCAGGATAGCGGCCACCAAATATTCTACTTGGATGAGAAGAAGAGACCAAAGACACGATATAAACCTCTCACTCTCTCCAAAATTATAAGGGAGGGGCAGCAGACGATGCTGCAGTCGAATAAGAGAAAGAAATATCGGCGCTATCTCACTCTCTTCCAACGTAGTCGAGCCCTTCGAAACAACCGTTTCAAGCTGGCTTTAAAGCTTGCCGAAGCCACTCTCCGGTATGGCTGGAGAGAATGGCTTGGAGATGGATGGGGTACACGAGATATCAAATTCTATCCCATTGAATCTGAGAAGATGCCATTCCTGCAAACCGCGATGTTCGACCACGGATCTGGAAGGCCAAAAAGGTTCATGTACCATCTCGGACATGTTCTTCTGGAGCTTGGGCTTTGGAAGGAGCTCAAAGGGCAGATCATCAAGCAACAGCTGGATAAGGAATTGAGTCGTTTGGGAACTGAGACAAGTGTTCAATACCAGGAGGCAGTTCGCTACTGCATGGCTTATGGTGAAAGCAGCGACGATGAACAAAGCGACTATGAAATGTTCCAGCGGACTTTTTATCAGTCAGTCATTAGTCCTCTCAGGGAAATGGTTAAGCGGAGTGAAGTAGATGACATGGAGTGTCAGGAGACTATTGATTAGAAGTCCTGAAACATGGTGTATATATAGCCTGGGAACCTAGTGTGTTGTCTTCGAAGTAATATTTCATTTAACAAGAGTTTATATATAAGGTATCAAGAATTTTAATTATTTGTAAATATGAATCCGGTCCTCATTCCAAGGCGCAAAGAGTGAGAAAGCATTTGAAGTCTGTCAATCTCATATTTGAGACCTTTGATTAAACTTTGATTCCCAATGGTCAGATAAGATTCATCTGACTCTGAAATACCACTACAATCCGTCATTGCCTCGTTTTCAACATTGGATTCCGATGTCTTTATCTCAATCTCTTTCAGTAGACTCTCTAGAATTATCCCTTCGGTCTCAAGATCATCTGGCTCTGATTTGGTCCGCCACTCCTCTTTTGATGTATTAGCAAATACTGTGGTCAAGAATTGGAAGTATGGGATGACTGACTTGACTCTTCAATCAGTATGTTGGCCACGCTAGTCAAGCATTTTAGTACGCTCTGTGCAACTTCGTGGTCGATAGTAGGTAGTCGATCCAGCTCGTCGTTGGAAAAAGATGTTCTCCAGACCTGGAGCCTCTTGAGTTCCTCGCCTAACAAAAGACTCTTTAAAGTGAACTTCGTTAGATCTGCATCTTCATTCAAGGCGTGATCCATTTCGGTCGTTGACACCCCTTCCTTCACTGAACCATCCACTGATGCTTCCTCAATATCAGAGGATTTATCGCCTTTGGAAAAACTGGCCGTAGACCCTCCATCGCTCGTGTTATCGTTACTGAGAGTAGTGGCAGGACTGGAGGGTATATCGTCCGGCTGACTTTGGCTTATGAGGACCTGCTGGTCCAGCATCATAAAAGTCCAATAACGAATAATAGCTTGCATAAGCCTTGATACCAGATGCCCCTTTCTGCCACTGGCTGTGTGTGATGATTGCCGTGACCCTAGAAGCGATGAAGCTTGCACTCCGGCCTGCTGCTCCTGAACCGATATTTGGTTTGTGCAAGATTTAGTTACTGATCGAGTATGATATTTACTATTAGAACAGGATATGCACTGGCACTGATAGTCTGATGGTATTTGTGACATTGTGCTGTTTTAGGAAAAGACGTGGAGATGCTGTGAGAAAACGCTGAACAGCACGCAAAAGAGCAAGAATGGGTCGCAAAAGGCAGGGCGAGCACAGCGATAAGGAAATTTGCCTTGTTTAATTCCCAGGGAAAGATCATCTCCCATCTGACGAGTTGGTGCCCAAAATGGGCAACCCACAACCTGCTTAGATGTACTGGTGGTAAGATGCTTGGTGGAAGCCACTATAACGCATAGCAACCCTACAGCAGAAGCATTTATCCCATAAAGGAAGGTGTAAGGCAAGTCAGACATGAAGCTATTCGATATTAGGAAAAAGCAAGCGAGTCCTGGATGCTGTTGGCTGTATGTCTCGTCACATAGGCGGTCTCGACACGTCTCTTGACCACACCGAAGGCTTGGCTGCAAGTTTACGGGGTCGTGATTGCTCCGATTACTTGCCCGCTGTACTTGGATGATATGGGGTCATTGGTGTGGTCAGAGACTCGCATAAGGTGTGCCCACCTCTGTTTGTAGATTTCATCACAGGCGAGGAAGGAGTGATAATAACGCGTTGTCATGCATAATGACTCCTATGATGCAACCGCATGAGCTGTGAAAGGCATGTAAAACCTGTTTTTAGCCATCTAGGACAACTGTGGCGCCTGCGGGAAGCCAATTTAGTTGACTTCAGTATGTATGATGGTGTTAAAAAGAACCAGGATCGCAGGAAACAAAGAGCATAAGCTGTGATTTGTAATATCTGTCTGAGTCCTCTTCAAGATAGCCAGCACCCCGCTGTTGAACTGCACTGAAAAGGTAAATCACTATTTGGTCTATGGCTCGACATGCCTTGCTTTAGAAGCCACCGATGAGAAATGGGACATAGACTACAAGCACATATGCAGGATTTCAGCCGCCCTTATTACATCGCGTAATCACAGAAGAGTGGACAGTTAACCTCGGGGTATAGGTTTCCAGAAGTATCAGCCACTCCCCTGAGCAGAAATATAGCCAATATTGGGAAGCCACTGAGAACACAGATTTCTACAGAGCAAAGTCCTATAAGGCATAAAATAATAAGGCCTAATCCACTGTCTTTATACTCACTGGCAGCCATACCTAAATGAACGTCTTTAATGAGTCAATGACCACCTTTACAGTATAATAAATATCAATAATAATCCTCACAGCTAGTCTTTATCTATTAGTGTAAGTGCATTTCGCCCTGATAAATATGGGTGGTTTTGTATTAGTAATGGGACGAACGCAAAACAGGTATGCGGCCAGATTCGGTCATGTACCCTGTACAGAGGGCCCGGACCAGGTATGTAAGCCCAAAAATAAGCCTGCTCAGGCGCTGGGCTTGAACTGAGGTGCCAAATCAAGTTAAAGCGGCAAGAAATTAGCTCTAGGAACGGAAATATATTTTAGTATGCTTAAGTTTCGTCTCTGAGTTTGTTGGCATGTAATGAAAAATGTCTTATTGGAAACGTAAGGGAAGTAACCAGATAATTTTACTCATTCATTCCCCCAAAACCTCTAATGCCAAGTCAACATGTCAATTGATATTGTCCATTTTCTCTTTCATCCATAAAATAATGCAAATCGAATTTTAACTCATTGTCCTTAGGCAATGACGTGTTCGAAAGGAAGGTGCAGTAGGTGTAAAGGTACGCCAAAACGAAACCAGCCACGATGAGGCTGGGAAGAGCCATCCCAGAACACCATGATTAATGACAGATCAAAAATAAACAGGAACAAAAGAATTAAATCGTCACAAACGACGATGTCAATGCGTAATCAGGGAATCGAACCCTGGGCTCCCCGACGTTACTCGAATGGCAACGGAGAATTTTACCACTAAACCAATTACGCTTCTAGTTGATGTATTGCTTCGACACTATCGTAATCCATACGTCCCAGAGCACCCTCACTTGGGAAGACTGAAGATTGTTCCAGAAATGAACACCTCTCACTTAAGCAATTGAGCAATGGCACGGATCCTGCATTGCCTAGTCGACATATTGGACGACACAATCTATTAAGCTAACTAGTTCGTATATCTAAAGTCGTTACCGTAACTCATCCATCTTTCCATTGATATATACCCTCAATTAAGTCAAGCCGAGGAAGAGCGGCAGAGCAAACGCGCAAGAAACCTGAACAGCCAAAGGCACAATAGCATATGTACCCGCAGAGAACTTGCCAGGAGCAATAGTCCAACCCCAAGGTGCACCAAAAGCCATGTACATCATACCAGCGGCAAGAATGATACAGATGAGGAACGTCCACTTGAACCGATGCATCATTTTGTTCAACCCGATGTAGATACCCGTAGGACCCAGCTCCTTAGATGTCGACGCCCACTCAATGTTGACGGAAAAGGCGTGGCATAGAAGAGCCTTGGCGCAGTTGATACTGATACCACCAAAGAAGAGAAGAAGGAAGGGAAGCCATTTGCAAGCTTCGAGGATAGCGACCCAGAAGGACTTTTCCTTGAGACGGTGACGGGTCATGCTGGTGGCGATGGAGGCGACGCCGTTGAAGACGACTAGCAGGGAGACCCAGATACCCCATGATGGAGTGTAGAATTGATCGAGGTCTTGGAAGAAGAGACCAACGAGGACGTAGTTGACCAGAGTGAGAAGCATACCAGCTGCGATGGCGTAGTCTATAATCGTCAGAGTGTTACTCAAAAGGGGTGAAGGTTGGGAACTTACAGGTGAAGATGTAGGCAAGAATGGAAACCTTGCTGGTGACTGGCATGTTACTCCAGAGGAAGCGGAGGAAGAGTCGAGTAACAGGACCTTTGTATATCCACTGGTAGCTGTGAAAGGTTAGCAGTTGTACAGAAAGCAATAGAGGCTCAGGACTTACAAAGGATGGAAGACAAGCTCATTGCATCCATAAGCGTACTTCTCCCATCTGTTCAACTCATCATAAACCGTCAACGACACGCCCTCCTGGAACCCACCATTATGATACGTCGCCAACCGACACACCATACCTGCCATCTGAACTCTCAAACTGATATCAAAGTCCTCCGAAACATGCGAGTCAGACCACCACTTGGTGACCTTGTCCGAGGGATCAACAAACGAAACACTCTGGATAGCCTTCCATCTCAAGAACGCATTATGTCCCACAAACGGCGCGACATCCCCAGTGCCGACACCATACTTGATGGCTGTGTACACAATGTCGGTGAAGTATGTGATGCCGTTCTCAAAGATGTTGTGCGCAACTTGCATAACACCTGATCCATGCTGGAGAATAGCGACTTCAGGAGATTCATACATCTCGAGAGCGCCGTAGAGAAGACAGTCGATGGGAACACGGGTATCGCAGTCGATGAGGAGGATGATCTCACCCATGCGGATATTCCCCTCCGCCCACGTTTTACCCTCATCCGCATCAACCATATTCTGCAACGCCTGCTCATACAACCGATCATCATCCTCAGCACTTAAATCATCGTACGCACAACCCCTAGCCTCACACTCAAGCTCCGTAAGTCTCAACATCTCATCCTCAACCCTATTCGAGAACGCAAGACAGTAGTTCATATTACTGGCCTTTTTAAACTTTCCCTTGCGTACAAAACCGAGCTCGTTAGCGCGGCCTTGGGGACTGACTTCTGATTCATCTTGGTTGTCGACGTCAGGATCAACAGGGGGTGAGCGCTTGAACCAAGAGAGGAAGGACTTGGACTTGGGGGATTTCTTGTTGGGAAGACGGGCGCAGTAGCCGATGCCGTTTTCGCGATAGTATTGCTTGCGGGCGGCGGCGAGCTCGGGCTGGATGCATTGCATGCCGTCGTCGTTGATGTATACCGATGCGGTGCCGCCTTGGTTTTCATAGTGTTGGATTGCGGCCATTACGGAGACCATTGTAGGTACGATGACACTGAGAAAGTCAGTTGAATGAGACAAACACTCGTCAGGTGAAATTGAGCTTACCCTCTGAGACCTTCCTTGTAGACGGGCATCTGCACAGTGATGTGAGGAAGTTGGTAGTCCCTGTAACGCTTGGGGTTGGGCTTGACGGCTGTCGCACAAGGTCAGACTTGCTATATATCTCAAGAGTAAAGTAATTACCAGAATGGAATTTTGAGTTCCTCAAGCAAATTCCAGCTGGTAGAAGCAGTTGGAAGACACTACTGACAACGACGATGAAGAAGAACTTGGATAAAGTCAGCAAATACTCAAACCGATCGGGGTGAGCGAATTCTTACCAATGACAATACGCACAGAGGCGGAATGACAACGCACAGGATAAAGCGCTTGTAATCGCCATCCCAAGACCATTGTCGGATCAACTACTCAATGTCAGCCATCACTCATTACTCGCATTGCTGCAACTCACTCTTGAAACACCCACGCTCTGCGTGAGAATAACCAGCATGATAACAATACCAATTCGGAACGAGTGGACAAGAAGAGTCGGACGCTTGAGCTCCTGTCCCTCAACGTCTTCATCTCCCTCGCCGCCCTCTTCAACCTTGATAGCGGCCTGGTAGACCTCGTTTCTCTCATCAATGGCACCACGAACTGGCGTTGGCATGCCGTTGACGGATTGCTCTTCTGTTTGGGCGAGAAGACCGCGAGGCATATTGGGGCCTACGATCTGCAAAAAGATTATTAGATGTTGAACCTTTGAGGAGAGAGGTAGACTTACGATACCCAGCATCTGCTTCTCAACATTGTGAGCCACTGTGAGGACAGTCCTTGCCTCATGAGCCCAGATGAGAACACATCGTTCTTGGACAACAATGCATGAACTTG